TAGTAAACCCAACGTAAAAGGATCCTTTGACAAGTATTGCTTTTTGTTGATGGCTTATAATCTCTGGGTTCCTTCCCGGACACCATTGTTTAAAGCTAGTTAGAGTTATGAACTAGAATGGTCTGGTGTGGTTACTTCTGTTGATTCCACAGTTACTTACGACCTGACTGGTAGATTTTCCTATATCCACGCACACTTGTTTTACAAGCTAGCTATTACGGAGGGTTCTCGTCATGGGTTGTGGGGAGTTATATAGGCCTAATATGTGTTAAGTCGTTGATGGAATGGCTGAATTTGGTTGATTAAGTTCTACAATTTACGACTATTCTGTTTTTTTTTTTTGTTTCAGTGGCGAGGGATCTCTTCTGGCTTCTGGATCTGCGGACTGCACAGTGAAGCTGTGGGACGTCACCTCAAGTACCAAATTGACAAAGGCGGAGGAAAAGTGAGTTTACTCCTTCCAAAGCTCTATCATTTTCCTCATCTAATAGTTTGTTTTGTTAAAAAATGATTTATCATTTGTTGTTGATCAGAAATGGGAACTCAAACAGACTGCGCTCACTCAGGACTTTTCCCACCAAGTCCACACCAGTTCACGCTCTCCGAGTAAGTTATCCTCTATTTACTAGAATTAGTTCCACCAATTTTTGAACACCGTGTTATTTTGTTCCATCATCTTATGCTTATGAATAAATCTAATCATTTCCAAAACTCTGTGATCTCTTTTTCATCATTTGATTCTCTGCCAAGTCTATATCATCTTGTGCTTGTGAATAAATCAATTCATCCTGAAAATTAGTGACCGAAAACTTGATTAGAACTAAAGTTTCAGGGTGTGTGCCAAATAATTAATCCGTCATATAGAACTCTTCCTTCCTAGCATTGCAAAGCTCGTTGATCAAGCATATGGTAAAACTCGTTTTTTCCCGTGTGTTTTGTTTACATTGGTGCAGTTTTCTCGGAGAAATCTGTTGTTTGCTGCAGGAGCGCTCTCTAAACCCGCAAGCTGATCAAACCAAATGGTTTATGATAGTTGCTGCTTTTACATTCTTAGAAGCTGTTCGTAGATCAGAAGAACTCAGGTGTAGAATAGTCCTCTTGATACTCTCAATATCTCCAAAGGTTACTTGTTTGTATTTTTTTGTGGTTTCTCATTTCTAAATTCCAAAGATGTTGAGATTCCCTCAGTAAACTACTACTGCCTACGAATCACTTGGAGCATGTTGGTCTTTAGGATTGCCCAAAATCACATTGTTCTCGTTTATAAATGCAGAAAACTTTTGATTTTTGGTGATGGATTTCTCCTCTTCTTTAGTTTGTGGACAATAAGAAGATTTATTAAAATTTTGTTTTGATCTATAATGTTTACGGGGTAAAAACTTCGACCGCTTGAGCTAAGCCACTAGAACATTGTGAAAGTCTCTCACTTATATCAATTTTACCGAAATGAAGAACCTGAAAAAAAATATTCTGCACCATTTTCACTTGCTTTTGCAGTCCAGTTCTTGGTTTCTTTATTATTTACTGGTTTCGCTTCTAACTTTTCAATAAATCATCAGATATGCCCAAAATTAAGAAAGATTTTTATCTTCCTCTATTTAACCTGAATTAAAAAGAAAAAACCAATGTAAAATTTCCTTTCATTTTGGGTATTACAGTTCCACCGGTTAACGCCATCAGAACATCGTGAAACTTGTTTTCCTATAAATTCATTCTTCTCTCCGGAGACAGAATATTAGCCATTTATTGGATTATGCTAACAATACTTCATTATGTTGTCGGGGCATTGTCTTTTCCAAATTTTTACGCCTGGTATTTTAATATAAAAACTTGTGAAGATATATATGTTTTGAAAGGCATTTTGCTCAAAGTTTTGGATCAGACAGAGAATCTACCAAAAGTAGATTTGGTTGATATGTGATTAGACAATCGTTAACATTTGGAATTATATGTTCGGATGTGTTTTCTTGCATCATCTCTCTCCCATACAGTTTTCTCCTAATTTTTTATTTTCAGGACCAAATAATGCGAACATTATGCATATCTAATCCATTTTTACCATATTCTTGTTCTCATAGTAGTGTGCATAAAGTTTCTATTTTTATGACTCTACTTGAACCTTTCATTGGTAGATTTTTATTTTTTAATTTGAATTTGAATCGCATGAGATATAAATTTGTTTACGGAGTAGTCTTTTTTGTGTTAGAAAAGTAGTCTTCTAAACTCAACAAAAATTAAAGGGGATTATAAAAAAAGTAACCTTTATATATGTTCCAACGGCTTTTCCTTAGAATGTTAGTATATATTCTGATCTTAAATTTTAAATATGAAAACAAAAGATCTCTAAAATGAAAAATATGAATAAACGATTTTACATGTTAAACACGTAAAAAAGTTTATAGAAACTTGTTATTGGATGAACCAAGTTACATTCAGTGCTTACGTAATTTAAATAAATAGCATTATTAGATGGAATAACACGAAAGTTATACAATTTTTTTTTTAAGAACACATATACATTAAGGAAAAAGTATGAATAGATAAGCGTCACCATCTGTTTAAAGTAGATCCAGTGTTCTGTATCTTTTGACCATAACAATTTTATATAATACTACGTGGGATGTTAGTAGACTCATTGAGCAACCATGATAAACAAATAAGTGTTAGTGATTAGTGGGAAGATTAATGGTTCATTTGTCCAAAAGTTGTTATATAGGTCCAGATTAGAGATAAATTTCCCTCAATCGTGTAGTTATCTAATATTTTTTGTTTAATCAGTTTAAATGGTGTCATGTTTTAGACCTACGTTTTAGACCTACTTAAATCCAATGAATATTACGAGAAAATCGATAAAAACCCAAATCATACTAAACAAAAAAAAAAACTATAAACTTTGACAATTCACATTACTTGCCAATCGAAAATTCAGATCATTTATTAGGGTCTCCACGGAGAACTGGAGATAGTAATAACCCCACCAAGTATACATCATTACGTTTTAATTATAAGCAAAACTAATTAAAAAAAAATCAAATTAGCTACTTGCAATTGTAAACTCTGAATCAGCTTTCCCATTTCTGTGTCGGCCATTTGTAACGTTGGAGTTGGACCCACCAACTAGATCGCAATTCGCATACGACAAATTATACAAAATTTAAACCAATAGATCTTTCAATTGCATTACAAGCTAAAGTATATCAAATTATACTGTGTTTCATTTGCTAAATAAATTTAAGCGAAACTTTTGGAATGTTAAGTAGTATCTTAGATTGTTAGGACTTGTATCATATACAATACCTAATCGAAGATGTTGTCATGTTGAGCTCAAGTGGGTTCGATATTGCCGACGTGGCTTCCAGAAGAGAAGTTTTCAATTGGTGGAATAAAGCGACTTTTGTCATATGCAACCTTGTTGTATTTCTTTTATTTTGTTTTTTTCTCTGATTATTCCCTTTATTTACTCTTGGATTTTCCGTACTTTATAATAAGGAAAAAACCTAGTTGAATTTTCATGATGAAATTAAGTGGGAAACCAAAATTTATTATATTGACAAATCCACAAAAGTCTTTAGATGATAAGAGGAAGAAGAGCGTGGAAGTTTCAAAATCTCTTTTCCTTTAACATCACCCAAAAAAAAAGTAAAGGTTGATCGCTCTCCTAGAGACAAACTATTGTTTGAGTCATACCGTGTCTACAATGAATACTATGGATCAAATCTATTTCAATAATGAAACGAATCTAGCCACAAATCATTAATCAGATAGAGAGTTTTTCAAACGATTAATCCCCCATGTTGTGTTATGCGAATAAGTCTTAAGGGATGAAAAAAAATTTGGAAATGGTTTCAGTTAAAATGCATTGTAGACAGAGAGAGAGAGAGAGAGAGAAAGAGAGTGATGAGAGCAAGTACTCATTATATTAAGGAAGAATTATAACTGAGTATCCACATTCTATCATAAGCCATTTATGTTTTTTCTTTCTCTAAAACATGATACAAGGGTGCTAAGAAAGTATTCATCTGAGTGGCTTATAAACAAGTTGCTCTATGAGTGTAAAATTTTCGTATATGATTTTTTGATAGACCACTAAATTACAGAAAAAGAATAAAAAATTTGAAAAGGAAGGGGAACGAAATAATCGAGGGCATACACTTGCTTGACTAAATCCGGATAACGGTTATATACTCTGTAAAGTAGTTCGAGCTACGGTTCGGTCTTAATAGAGTACAAAAGAAAGAAAAGAAAGAAAGAAAAAATGGCCCACAAGAGAAGCTAAAGGAGACAGAAATGGCCACTTACCTCGTGGAGTTATATAAACAGACCTGAAATAATTGAGATGGTCCATTTCCTGTACCTCCTTTTTAACATCCTTTTCAATTTCATTGTCATTTTCCTCTCCTGTCGTTTCATCAGATGTACTAGCTTCGTAACTGTTTTGAGAAGTGCTTCGTTTTCAATTGTCGTCGTATCTTCTAACTCCTTTTTCTCTAATAAAAGAAAAGTTCCCATATAAAAATAGCAAATAGTGCACTTACTCAATTACTAAGGATTAATGTGTTTTACCAAATATACCATTTTCAACAAAACACAATTACATTCACCAAACACAATTGAGTACATAGTGGTATAAAATCTCAATGCAGAAAAAGGATTATTGATAATGTCCAAGGGCTAAAATGGTGTTTCTAGTCTGATACATCTCATGAATGTATATATGGATTTAGTTATTGAAAGAGGGAGCAGCCAAAAGTGGAAAGAATCCTATTAAAATATATGTATTTTAGATGGTGGAGTTCCAATAAGCTAGCTTTTAAGTGTTTTGTGAGAGGAGTATGACAGCAAACCAAAACCTACCTATCGCTCTCATCTTCATAGTACTTTGGTCCACACTTATTTCAAAAAAAAAAAAAAAAACCTAAGAAAATGTTCTACTGTAGGGTATTGTCTTCTTTGTATATTTCCTTTCTAATACCATCTACTTCTGCTCCCATTCACAGATATAAACTTCTTTCATAGCTATTAATAATAGAAAGACAGAGAAAGAGAGACATTGAGAGAGAAGAAATCATCGCTAGGAAAAAAAAAATCCTGTTCCCTTATTATCCCTCATGGACGCTTCGAGGGACAAACAACTGCCTTCAGATCTCTCTTGCACAGCTTCCTCATCCACAGCTTTTCCAAATCAAGATTCTCTAAACCAGAGACTAGAACAAAGCACCAAACACGAAGAAACAGACGTTCTTGATTCTAGTGATCAAGAACAACTCAATCAAGAACTCAATCTCATCGACTGCATAGACACGAGTATTGATGATGTAAGTCCGAGTTATAACGGATCTACTAAATCCACAGAACAGAAGCTTTTCTCATGTAACTACTGTCAAAGAACTTTCTATAGCTCACAAGCACTTGGTGGTCACCAAAACGCACACAAGAGAGAGAGGACGTTAGCAAAGAGAGGGCAACGAATGGCAGAATCAGCCTCGGCTTTTGGACATCCTTACGGCTTCTCTCCTGTTCCTTTCCATGGACAATACAACAACAGGTCTTTGGGGATTCAAACGCATTCGATGAGCCACAAGCTAAGTTCATATAATGGGTATGGTAGTCACTATGGTCAGATCAACTGGTCAAGACTACCACTTGATCAACAACCAGCCATAGGTAAACTGTCTTCAATTGAGAATTTTCATCATCATTATCATCATCAGCATCAGCATCATCAGATGATGATGGATCCTTCAGTAAATTCACGGTCCGATAACATCGGTAGATCATCGAGCAACATAGGAAAGATTCTAGTAGGGTCACCGATTCTTGAACAATGGCGAGGAGACGGAGTACTGTTAAGCCCTAATCAGGAAGATCAGCAGAAGCTTGACTTGTCTCTCAAGCTCTAAGATTCTTTTTTCTTGATTCTTTCATTTAGTATCTTTTACTGTGTTTTCATGTGATTTGTAATCATTCAGTACTCTTGTGTATATTTCTGTGTAGTAATGATTTCTGATTTACATCTTTTTCACATATCTGCTTATTTTGAGTTATTTCGACTAAGCATGAATGGATTTCAGGTAGACACTTATACAACCGTATAAAGTTGTTCTAATTCCTGAAATTGGAAGGGAAAAATTGTATAGAGTTAAAGCAAAAAAAAAAGGAAAGAAAGAAGAAGAAAGAGATTGAGATCTGTGGGAAGATTTGGTTTCGTAGTCACAAGAAAAGTGAAATAATATTATAATATCAAAGTTGGGTTACCTAAAATTATAACAATCATTTTACATATTTTTAAAGTTTCTAACAAGACACTCAAACGGAACAAAACAGATATAATAATAACAAGACAGTTGCTGTGTAGGATGATTGTGACACTAAACGCAAAGAGTACTATAGAAGATAATTGAAACATAATACCCACTAGGTCTAATTAGATAATAAACACACAAAAATTCATGAAACAATAAAGCATCCAATGCTTCTCTTTGTTAGACCCCAAATTGGTGTACACTATGACAACAACCATTCTTTAGCCCTTAGAGGATAACAACACACTCGCGCGCACACACACATATGTAGACTGATGCATGAAAGGTGAAACAAAAGCAAAAGCAAGCGACTACCGAAAGTTGTGAGAGAACTATAAACTTTTTAAAGAGAATATATGTAATGCTTAAGGACATAATTTCAACTTCGTCTATCTCATCCTGAAACGATCTATGTAAAATAAAGAAAAGCACAGTCACACTTGCATGTACGAATTCTCTCAGTTGGTCTTCTTTATACTTTCAAGTTTCGAGCATATAGGAAGGATGATAATAGTTAGCAAAAGCAGGGATGACGAAATTATGATGAGATTATTAGAAGGCCATCGCATTATTTCATATATTGAAAACCATTTAAAAAGTAAATAAATAAAATTTGACACAGATGTTGCTTTCATCACCAAAGACTTCACGTGTTTTTGCCAAAAATGGTCGAAGATAATTGAGTCAAATAAGTCTCTGTCATATATCTTTTTCATCATTAGTAAACAATCTACTCGAAGAAAGATATGCTTGTTTGTATCCACATAGAAGAAACAAAAATCGTCAGAATGAACCAAAAGTCATACAGTTCCATGAATAAATCCAAGAAAAACACAGGTAGACAATCACACATCCAAAACCCCTTCGAGTAATGTAACATATTTGACGACCCCTTGGAGTATATATATATCTTCTTGTATATTACCGTTTGGCCCCCAAATTTTTTCATAAAACCTCACTCACACAGTCACACTTGCATGTACATATTACACAAACAAACAGAATCTCAGGTTTTACTGATCAAAACATTTGCTACCAGTCTACCACTAAAAGATGCGCACACAAGCAAAAACCTAAATGGCAAGGAGATCGGCATAGTCTAGGGTGGTTTAGTAAAATGTCTCTATAGGTTGGGCCACAAGGCCCACAAAGTTTAGTGAGTAACCGAAAAACTGTATTCTCCAAACGTTTTGATTTTGAAGGCCCAGTGAGGGCCTATGTATTCCTAGACTGAAACAAAATTTTAAGACTGTCCGGATGATTTTGTTTGTCCAAACACACACAAAAAGTTATATATGATTTTGTAGATTTTGAGTTCCGCTCGTTAAGAGGATTTTATGTGTAGCCAACTAAATTACGTAATGCAGTTCAATTGTCCATTGTAATTGGTAGATTTAGAGGTGTAGTCTTGTAGACGAATAAATATATTAGCTATTAGTCATTGTAATAGTTAATTTAGTGGAAGTCAAAAAGAAAACAAGAATTTAGTGATCATGATGAAAAAATACCCTAAAATAGCATAAAATTCGTTTTAAAGTGAAATTTTAAAATAGCACAATTGATTTCTCCTAAGTAATTGTATATGATTTTGACTTTCAATCGTAACCAACAAGATACTAATAACTTATATTATCGTCATGATAAGTTGTCTATGATAGTTATGTGCTGATGTACACAACTTGTTGGTCTTCAAAGTCGTCATACAAATGGCCATAGCCAATAAATTGTTGCAGTCATTAAATAGACATATGTAGTTTGTTGACCTTTTAAAAGCCACCTTTATAGAATTAATTAACATATCGAGTATCGAACAAACCAATCACTGATTTAATGTTAAATTACCTTTCTAATACAGTATGATATAACTTATCTTTAATTTCAGTGGGAAAATAATACTTATATTTAGAAGAATGATAAAGTACTTAATTAAGAAGTCTTCTGATATTATTAATCGAATATTCGAATATACGTATATTAACCAATCTACAAAAGACGGCTAAATCGTTTGTTAAGAAGAGTCCATTGATATTGTCTTGTGTCAGGTTCCCCAATGCCAAGTCCACTATAGATAAAATTTTTGTTGATTGTTTTACATAATATTTTTATTGAAAGTATTGAAAAAGTTTCAAAATAAATCCATACCTTACCTTAATATAATATCTGGTAATATGCTGCAGATCCGTGAATTATGTATCCTTTTTGATATAATGGACTTGAAAAGAAAAACTAAACATTCAAAAAAGGAAGAGAGATTTAAATCAAAGCCTAATGTACATTGATGCAACACTATTCGAATACTATATTTAACAATTGGGTTAATCCTTTTGATGGTTACTGATTTTATATATGCTTAGTTTATAGTAATTTAGTAGGAAAAAATGTTTTATCTAATTGAATACAAGAGCCAAACCAGTTTGGGTAGTTTAATAAGAGAAAAATTGTCAAAGTAGCAGGTCTGCGTAATTATGTTGTCAACTTCACGCCCCAACAATTAGCCATCGATTGCTTAAAACGTACACAAAGACACAATTCCTGAGACATGGCTCGTGGCTTTGTCGATTTCTATTTAATTAATATAAACTATTTCACCCTCCTGTACATTTTATTACACAACCATCCACGAGTGATCCATTGCGACCGTTAAACCGGTTTATTTAACAGACAAGGCCGGTTTATTCCATCGCCTATAACAACAAGATACTTGCAAGAGTATTGTAGATGTTTTGATGTTATTTTTCTTATATAAAATGCTAATCATAGATTCATAGTGTCTAACGCCTAACTAATTAAGCCAATGTCTATACAAAAAAATTTGACTATCTGTTGACCAAATTTTCTGACCGATGTCAAGACGGTCGATTTTTACTTTTATACGACCAATTTTAAAAAAGTTCGTGTGGACTTTGCACTCTCCTCAGCTCTCAAGTAGTCCTCGTTGGCGTCGTTGACGAAAACTCCAATTGATAATATTGGGGCAAAACATAAAAGATGTAAATTTATAGGGAGCTCAAACAATCGGTGCCCTAAACAAAAGGGTGACAGAAAGCAGAAAAGAATGTAGCTTTTTAAGAAAGAAAGAAACATCAGAAGCTTCTCTCTCTCAGATTAACAGAAGAAGCAGAAGGATCAGAAAGAATCTTAAGATTCTTCTCTCTAAGTCTCTTTTATTTTCTTCAAAATCTTGGAATCTTGAGGCTCCTTCCTTGTCGGCTAAAGAAGATGTTGTGTAGGATGGTGGTGGTGACCGGCCGGAAGAAGAAAGCCGGTTCGGTTCCGGTTTATCTGAATGTATATGATCTCACACCCATCAATGGCTACGCTTACTGGTTAGGACTCGGGATCTACCACTCTGGCGTTGAAGGTATCGCCTTTTTCTCTCCTTTTTCCGAGAATAAGAAAAAAAAATATTGAGCTTTTCGTCAGAAAATATTGGTGGGTTTTTGTAAAAGTTCACAATTTTTTAAATTGTGGATTGGAATTGAAAATTTAGCTGCTTTTGAAATAGAGATTTGATTCAGCTTAAGCTGTTTCGTTGAAGTAAGAAACTTTTTAGTTTGATGTTTGTTGGCTTGTTTGTTTCTAGAAATTCAAATTGACCGGTTTCATGTTACATTAGATTCCAAAATTGGAAACTTTTTGACCCATTTTGGATCAGCACTTCTGATTTTCTTTGACTAAGTAACCAGAACCGGGTTTTATATGACTTTTAAAAATTGATTTGTGAATTAACTTATTACATATGTCTGTCCAAAATGAAGGATGTTTATGATTGAGATCTAGTTATAGTCTTTTTTTGTTTGGTTCCCAAAAGAGAGGGAAACAAAGATGTTTGTGTTGATATTGTGTTATCAAATGTTTGGTTGGTTAGTTCATGGGATTGAATACGGTTTCGGAGCTCACGAGCAATCAACGACGGGGATTTTCGAGGTGGAACCAAAGCAATGTCCTGGTTTCACATTCAGGAAGTCTATATTGATCGGAAGAACAGATTTGGATCCCGAGAAAGTCCGTGCCTTTATGGAGAAACTCGCTGAAGAGTATAGCGGAAACACTTACCATCTCATCACAAAGAACTGCAATCACTTCTGCAACGACGTTTGTATTCAATTAACCCGGAGATCAATCCCTAGTTGGGTTAACCGTCTTGCTCGGTTCGGTAAGAAGCTACAAATACAGAGCAAACTCTGTTTTAGTAAAAGCTCATGACTTTATGTGTTTGTATTTGTCTTTAGGTTTGTTCTGCAACTGTGTTCTCCCGGCAGAGCTGAACGAGACAAAGGTGAGGCAGGTGAGACCAAAGGAGGAGAAGATTCCGGAAGCAGAGAAGAAGAAACTCCGGAGCAGATCAAGTAGATTTCCACCTGGCCCTTCGCTTTCTTCATCAGGTTCTTTAAACCGAAGCAGAAGAGGTGAAAGGAGAAGAGAATGTCTTCCTCCATCACCAACTGTGAGTGCTTAGTTCTAGTCTTAGTAATTCGATTATACCACTCCTTTTTTGTTCGCAATTCGATTCGGTAGTAATGGTGTCCCAAGTAAGTTACGTGTTACGCGAGAAGATGTGGTTAAAATTATAGATTGAACAAACATTTTTATTGATGGTAATGGTATAAGATCTTTACGTCACTTATTTTTGAACTAAGGAAAATATAAAGTGAAGTGATTTTGAAACTCAAAGTTTTGACCTTTAGAGTCAATCTGATTTATCCATAAACCTCTCGGGTAAGAAAGTTTCCGGATCTTTTTTAAACGCTTGGATTCATATGAATTAGCCCAAATATTGACATGGATCCATGTTTTCTTTGAAATGTTGTAACCTGCGATATCTTGACATCTTTTGAAGCTTCTCTTGGAACTAGAAGTGACACAATCGGTGCTAGCATTTCTTTAATCACCATTTTGAGATACTCGAGTCGTAGTTTGTACAATGACTTCATCATAAGAGTTCTCAAGTTTGCTCCCTTTAAGATTCAAATCCAACCATACAAATCACACTTCCCGACAGTTTCAATAACTTACTGGTTAAAATTGACCGGGCTCTTCAATGAAGCAGATTGCTAGATGAAATCAACGAAGGAGGCAACTTCTCCTTCTCATACATGTCGAAAGGATTGTACCCTTTTCGTTGTGTATAGTTCAACAACCGTCATTTTTCGTGCTTCCCTCACAGTACTTGTTGTAAGGAGAAAAGACAAGATCGTTTAAATTGTATATAAGTAATTCTTGCAGGATAAGGTCGTGAACAACAATCTAAGTCGAATGTTTTCAATCTTTCAGTGTCTTTGACTCTCTGGTATAGATGCCACAACTGTAGATACGCTTCCCGACTCGTATTTTTTGGATAATTTGAACAGCGAACGGTGAGGTTGCGATCCTAGTTGGTGCAAGTTGCCAATAATAGGAAGTCACGGATGTCCAGGAGGTAGATTCTTCTTATTCTTCTTTGCCTTTCTCGTGTTCTTTGTAATGAGTATAAAATGCAAAGAAGACGAATGCTACAACGATATACCACTAACTCATTTTGATTCCCTACCATATAATAGGAGGAGAGTTTATAAGTTCAGCGAAAGAAGTGGAGATTATATAAAGATAATTAGTGTCTAATGAAACTAATTATTTCCAAAGCAGTGCTAAAATACATTGTTGACCAAAAAAAACTCTTTTATATATATATATATATATATATATATATATATATATACTTATAAACATTATTGTATACTGAATGGTATTTTTGTGATATCTTACAGCTTAGAGATTACAGTTATAGATTTATTATTCGATACAGAATAAATTTTAACTTCTATATATATTTTTTTTGTCAACAACTTTAAACTATATATTTTAAACATTTTCAGGATTATGTGAATACTCTTTTTTGCAGTCACCAAGCCTGTTTGTGTTAAGCGGACCATATTAATCTTCTCTAAATCATTCTAATAGCTAATCTACTTTACATCATTCTAGTTTTTTAGGACGTCTCCAAAGAGACAAAAAAGACGAATATAGTTAATGAATTATTACGTATCCATCTAAAATGATATTGTCTTTTTAGTTTTAGATTATACGTTTACAACTTAAATCACCAGATGAGTCTAGTTCAGATCTAGGCACACTTGCATTTATGTATCATACTATCATGGTATATTTCTCAAAATAAATACGTCAGGACAAACATTCGAGTTAGTGGATTGTAGGCAGAAGAACTTGTCATTTTTCATTTAATATATGAACGTAAAAATGCCCCCATTGCATATATGTTTGGGCTTATCGAAATAGATAAGAAAGAAGGTAATCCACATGTGATATTGAACACACACACATGCAGCTTTTATGAACACCAAATTATGAGAGAGGAAACAGTTCACGTATGTGCTTTAATAACAACAACAACAACAACAAAAAGAAGCAGTTCACGTATGTATATTTTCCACGCTTATACTTCCAAAAACTACCCAAAAACTTGAGAAATCCGAATTGAACCGAAGTAACCGACGTCACAAATCTATTCAAAAGCATCTGAGGGGGAAACCAAAACACTATACATTAAAAAAAAAAAAAAACTAACCAGAAAGAAAAATAAAGAACACAAAACAATACAACGAGGAATTGAATGTTATGAAAAGGAGTTTCACCACATAAGGCCATGTTTGGTCCTTTTTCAAACCAACAACTTCACATGAGATTCTACATTGCTCAACACCATCATTCTCTTGTCCATTATTGCCTTTGACCACTTTCCTCCTTAATTTTTTATTTTATTTGTCTATTTATTATATATACAATATATATCTTTTAAATTCATTTTATATAAATTTGAACACATCTCATGTGTCTATGTAAATATTAATGTATATTGGTATCTCACTCACAAGATTCATCGCGGTAAAAGTTGTGGTAAACTAGTTGTCAACAACTTTGATAGATTTTTGGAGTGTGGCACTTTTTGTTTATACCTATCAATCAAATCTAGTTGCTTACCAATAAAAATTTTAATCTACTCTCGATGCAAAATATAATTTAAAAAAAAAAAAAACAAATTACTGTCAAGCATTCCAACTTGAAACAAAAGATAAGATATGTTGCTTATGTAGGATGCATTACATTCCCCGAAAATTTGCTATATATGTATGGTTTTTTTTGTTCTGGACCCTTAACCATATCTATATGACTTCTGTTAAAACTCGGGTGACAAAATTTTCATGCACTAGCTAAGACGAGATAAATAAGAAACTAAATATTACATAACAAGAATGAAAAAAAGATTTTCATGTGAATCATAATCTCTACTTTGTATCTGTTTATTCTTTATTTAGTTAGTGAAGTGAAAATTTTATTGGGAAATTAGAAAAGGACCAAGGACCTTCCTCAAAGGAAAAAAGGGAACCAGAAGTTCAAAGAAGTAATGATGATGAACTCACAAGCATGCCATTATTTTAAATCTCACCTTTGCTGCTTCAATATGCTTTAAGAAAACAGAATAATTAGAATAAAACTACACTTTTATAATTCCCTCTTCTTTATTTATTTACGTTTTAGAAAAGGTTGTGGGGAAACAAAATCAATTTCCAAACAGGTAAGTAGAGTAATCATTATAAGTTCCATTCGATAAAGACCTCGATCCAAAATATAATATCACGTCGAGATTCTAATCTTTCTCAATAATATTATTGTTTGTCAAATTTTGTCCCATATAACAGGTTGTTTTTCTCTTCTTTTATTTGATGTTATAATGGATCTCAGAGAGTATATCTATGTCAATTTCCATGTTAACACATAAATTGTAATCGCATGCATGCATACAAAGCTCTGAGTAAAATACTTTCGAACATCTTACAAGATTTTTATAAGAACGTAAAATTGCTTTTGGCTTCCCATTGTTATCATTAATTGAGATTATTTGTAACAATTAAATTATTTGCTTTTTGTCTTTTTTTTATCAGTCTTATAAAGTATAGGCTTTTTGTCACATCATCAAAAACTTTTCTTTAAATAAAAATCTTTCATGGGTTTCTTAGTTAGAAATAGATATAACATACAATATTATATATGCATAATTTGAGTAGTTTATTTTTTTATTTTGAGAATTAACAGGTTTATAATTTCTTGTCGATAGCATGCAAATAAAGGGACAAGAAATCTTTGGATCCAAATAATTCCTAATGTCAAATCTTTTGTGTGCTGCAATTTAGATGCATTGCATGTGTACTGGTTATATCGCAACGAGCTAGGTAACCATATTAAATTGTCATTTATATACTTAATACAATTAATTATGTTTTTCGGCTTGTTGCTAACAACTGATAACGTGTATTATTATGTGCATGCAAGAAGAAATGATCAACCGGAGTGGAGCAGCTACCGTGTTATAGTGGCTGAGTAACAATCTTTTACCTATGCGACGAAACTATTTAGAAGAAATGGTGTAGGGTGGTTATAGTTGTTTCACGGTTTGATTGGTTGATCATTTGCAAGCATCCGTAAAACGGTATGTATACCGCGGTTGCACTAGTAGCCAAAACTAGCCCCAAAATTAATTACTATTTGTGGATACGATTACTATTTTTATGTGCGTGGTTTCTATTCCATTTGGTTTTCTAGTTGATTCAAACTATTCGACTTTTCTAATGCTACTTCTTAGTTGATAAAACTAAATAACATCCGATTCGTTCTATATAAAACACATGAATAAAATAGTATAGAATAACATAATAATTCACTATATGTGTTTTACTAAATCATGTTCGAGAGTCCGGTTTTCTATTGGGGTTCTTTGGTGTTTGAGTCGAGTACGTTATTTGGGTCGGATTTCTATTGCTTTTTGATTACTCATATAGCTAACCATTGGTTGACAAAAACAAATATTTATACCTAACCATTGTTTTTCTTATAGTTAAACGTGGTAGGAAACACAAATCTCTCTAATTAAAAAGGTGGATTTTCATGGTCTTCTTAGGCTTCAGGTAGGGACACTTTTTTCTACTTAGCAGCAATCCCAAATTAAAAAGGAAAATCAAAAGAGATAGAGATATATAGATTTCTAAAAGGAAAGAAAATTTAGGCCCACCGTTGAAAAATGAGAACATGCATGAAACAAAAACCAAAAGCTAACTCACATTTTTTCAAAACCTTCCAAGCTCTCATCTCTCTCACTTCTTTTGGTATCTTTCTTCCCCAGTGTTGTATCTTTTCACTACATAAAATCCCCACTTATTCACACACGAACACAAAACATACGATACTCATGATATCAAGTTTTGGTTTAAAGTTCAATTGGTTTATATGGAAAGAAAAAAATGATAATTTTTTTATATAATAAAACAAAATAATATACATTATACGTAGCAAATGATCGATTGCTCTTGAAGAAACAAGAATGAGTGTTTCAAAGAGGCCAATTCAGATCAAATGTCTTGAGATTAGCCACTTTTTTTTCTTCTTCTACCAGTACCACTTCTACTCCTCTCTTCACTTTAACGAAAGTACCACGACGTCGTTTTCGTTGGAAGGGAAAATAAATTAATCTTTAAAAAAAAAGAATCCCGCTAAAACGACAGGGCCGTTTCTCACAGCGACTGAGTAGGTAAAACAGAGCAGAGCTCAATGGAGCCGTAATGACGCAGCTCCTCGATCATTTGCTCGATGTGATCTTCCTCTAATGGCCTGAAATTCTGCTGCAGTTCAGAGTTTCCATCTTCCCACTTGATCTCCGTCATCGTCTCCGTTACTCCTCCTCCTCCTCTGTTATACTGATTCCCGTCTGACGTCACGCCGTCAGTGTCCGCCACGGATAACGGCCGTAATCTCGCGTTCTGCGTTTGCGTTTGCGTTTGAGCTTGTTTGGTCAGCTGAAGAGAAGCCATGTAGCATTTGTGGAGTTTGGCTGTGAGAGTGGCCGAGAGGAGCTTGGAAGAGGAAGAAGGAATGGCGTTTGGGTTGTAAGGGAAATTGGTACGAGCTCTCGGGCCACACATTAGCCTCGCCGCCTCGTCGTAGGCTCTTGCCGCATCCTCCGCCGTCTCAAACGTCCCCAGCCAGATTCTTGTTTTCCTGAAAGAAACAAACAAATTTAGCCACTAGCTAAGGAAAAGCAAAGCCTTCGAACATCTTGCTTGGTTAATGAATAAAAAAAAAAAAAAAAGAGAAGGGCACTTTGGTAATTTAGAGGGAGCTTACAAGAGAGGGTGGCGGATTTCGGAGACCCAAGAGCCCCAATGTCTCTGTCTAACGCCACGGAAACGTTGTTGTGGTCGTGCCATTTAGAGAATAAGGGTTCAGGTGAGTCTAGTGTTTTGTGTGTTTCCAAGTGTTTTTGCTTTGTGGAAGAGAAAGTGATGGGAAGTGAAGGAGCGTTTTTGGAAGAGTGAAGGTTGGCTATATGTACTGTTGGCTTCATGAGAGAGAGAGAGATATTGATTGTTTTTATTCTGTAATTTTCTTTGGCAATTAACTGGCAATCAATTTGGTCCTAACCGGGACCCACACCATTACCAGAAAATCTCATGGATTTTGTTTGATGAGAGACATCTATGTGTGTGTGAGAGAGAGATAGAGACCTATTTGCTAATATATTCTTAAATTTAACTCTTTTGTTGTATTCGTAGTTGCCGCGACATGGGCAAATGGTTTATCTATTACTCTCACATATTGCCTATTTATTAAATTTATAGCCAGTATTAAATGCTTAGAAACTGTAAATAAAAATGTCTTTGTAAAGTATTACTCCATTGTAATTTGATTTAAAAGAGAATAAGACTTATCCGCAAAAAATTTACAGAAATTATATATATACACATATATTAGTTTTAGTTAGAAACTTAGAATACAATTTACTTTCATGAGATTTTTTTTAGTTTTAACAATTTTTTTTTTGTAATGAGACTAATTTCGATGATATTGTACTTCTGTTCTAAGAATTATAGGTTAACATTTTTTTAGCAAATAATAAATCAATATCTATAATTTTTTCAACTGTCCTAAATATAGCACTGTGTATATATGCATGTATCAGTTTCCTTTGTTTTCCAATGGTGAACAAGTTGGATCCAAAGAGATTTTGGCTGCGGTGAAACTTCAAACCCACTGTACCCATTTTCACATGGGTTTGATCATCACAACATGTCTGTATATCATAGATACTGCCAAATTTCTCTAGATTTTTCCACAACTAATTAATAATGATAACAATAATAATTGGGAAACAAAAACTAGTTTGATGACTAACGGGGCTCTTTCATCACCATTCTTCGCCCATGTGAGGCTTCGATAATGACTCAATCAAACACCAAACCATCTTCGACTATCATCTATTTTATTCCTTTATTTTATTTTATTAGGTTATTATTGAAACAAACATTAATGTTTTGTAGTCTTACCCATGATTTCTGAGTAGTTTATTTAGATGATAGTCGAAGATGGAAATATTCATTATACACTATTCATCGTAACAATATTGATGTTTGTATGATTATACACTGTAATAACAAATTCAGTATACACTGTAAGATTTAATTATTACTATTATATTATACTTGAGTAGGGAATGTCACATTCATATATATATTTATGTTTTTTTGTCAATTTTATCTATTTTATTCATTACAGATTAACAATTTTTTTTTTGTTGTATAAAGTTTGTAAATAACTGATTCATCGACTAAATTAAAAATCAAAGTTCATATTGCAGGTATATTAAAACTTATTTTCCAATTCAGACAACACATCCTTTTAGAGTCAATAGTAATTGGAATAACAGGTGATATATAGAAGAATATGTTGGGCAAAAGAGTGTGCTGTTAGAATGGATCCATCAAAATGACAAGTGCCAATATTATTGGTGTCAATCGAGTAACAAATTGATGGAAGAATCTTAGACCGCAATTATGACAACAAGAAAAACCAATAGAAGGTCATTAACAGTATATTAATAATTAATCGTTTTTAACCTTAACAGTTAATCAACTTTAACCATAATCATTAAACAGTTCCATCCATGTTAGTAAGAAAGAAAAAGGAAAATAAGTAAATTATCTCTGTCGATGGAGTTGTATCAGTAACTTACATGATCGACTTTAGCAAATGGGAGTATAATGAATTAATAATGTACATTGTACAGTAAGAAACTTATTTTTGAAAAAAGTATATCTTTAATACTGCTATAGTTTTATTAATTAGTCGACTTTAGTTTTAGTATTTATTTTTTGTTTACTAACTAATTCTTCATTTGAGACGTGGTTTAGTTGTATTGGGTGATCAAATCAAGAAGCGAAGCATGTGGGAGTGAGAAGCTCTAACAAAGACTGTGTGTTGTTTAAGTTGCATTGCCGATTTGGTCTCTTCGTTACTGTTTTGACACGTGTGGGTAGTGTCGTTAAATCCTTTTAAGTTTCAAGCTCCACACTGCGGAAAGAGAAAGAGAATTCAATAATTATCTCCAAATGCATGCATGACATGATCAAACAAAACATGATTAAATAAGGTTCATATATATAGAAAGATTCTAGGTAACAAAATTAAAATTGTACATGATGTGAATAGATTCTTACAAAATTCTATGCTTGCAATTTTTTTTTAACGAGCATGGAATCTCCAAATTTACGCCAGCGAAATAAATTCCTATATATTAATCAAAACTTTATTAATATGAATTATTACGTAATTCGCTAAATATGTCTGATTTTTTGTTTTGTTTTTAGAGAAACGAGAATACGTATCTTAATTTGGTTTTGTCGAATTGGAGAGAAAAAGAGAAAGTAGAACATACACAAATTAGTTGTTTTGGGACTACATACAAAGTTATGGGAAAATCAGACAAGTATTATGAATAAAGAAGTGGGGCCTAGGACGTAAACGCGTGACGTGGGACCCCCCGACGACATATATAAACATGGGTGATGAAATGGGTTGATTGTGAATCATGTCCTTTTCTGCATTCAGCTGTAAACTATAGGATACTTACCAAAAAATCAATCTATATATAATAAGCTAATTTATATTACTATTATTAAACTGTAAATACTACTAACACGCATAAAATACTTTTCTAAGTATACATTTTCAGGACTTGATGTAAGAGTTAAATACTTTTTTCAACCATTTAATTTGCTCCAATTATAGAGAGATCATAAGGAGTGATATATTTTTCGAGATATGTAAAATTATAGAAAATATTTCAATCCTTATATATAATTTCTCTAAATCTTAATGTGATAAGATCGCATGGATCATGTGTGTGTTTAAATCAGCGGATGTTATAGATATTGTAGTGATTTTAAGGTATTTTGATGGAGTTTATCAGTTAAATATAATACAAATATCATTATTTCATATGAGATTCTAAAAAAAATTTCTTTCTTAGTTCACCCAAAATCTATAAAGAAAAACTCATTAAAATCCATTTTTTATAGATATTTGGTTCTATTTATTTCTATAATGAATTTTAAGTTAATACGACAAAAGAAAAAAAGAATTGATGCAAAAAAGAAATTTGAAAAACAGAGTAGCTATATAAAAGAAATTAATTTTGTAGATAAATGTGAAATAATAAGGTGACGTCCATATCAAAGACCGCCATTCTATCGTCCCATTCCACACTCAGTCACATGTAAATATGGAGGGTCCATTGAATCCTCAACAAAAGGTCACAACAAAACTAATATTCTATAGAGCAAATGCAATTTTTATCATATTAAAAAACATACTCGTATATATTCTTATTTTATAGTAATGGATGAAGTTTATTCAACATGGACTTTGGAGGTTTCAGAGACGTTGTTCCTCAGCTTGCATACACACATGCAGTATCTTTTGGTGTTATCTACGCATATTTATGTTCTTGGTACAAGAGAATCTAATCTATGTTGACAAATTTTCCATTTTATAATTTCGAAAACTGGAAAAAAAAAACTATATCGAGTTGTTTTGCCTTTTTGTATAATATATGTCGGAAGACAAAAAAATTCTTACAAACATTTATCTTATATGTTCTTTTTCATTGCAATTTGTTATCGTCCTCTGCTTTTCTAACTATAGAGGAGATAATAAAAATAAAATCACAAGTACCAAGTCTCGACTAGCTCTTATCATTTCAGTTATATGGTTTGAATGCTAATGTTTGCACTTATTTCACTTAATCTAAACTTCTATTCGAATATCACATCTAGAGTTTAGAATAAACTTAAACAATATAAGTTAGTATTGGCCAATTTACTCATTTTCGAATTGTTTTTGAGTTGGAAACAAATACTTGCATCACAAACTCTGATCAATGGATGGCCATATGATAGGTAGTCTAGTGAATTATAGTAGTGTTTTTGGGTTATTATCTGGATTCAAGTTTGCATGTTGTTGACTAAACAGAAAACACAAAAAACCACCTAATTAAAACTTGAAAGAAAAAAGGAAGTGCGAAGTAAAAGTTGGAGAGAAGAAAAGATTTTAGATTGGACGCGTTTTTTGGAGCAAAGTGAGAGAGCAACTGAATGTTACATTTGACTCCAAAAGGAAGGAGACATTTTGTCGTTCCAATTAACCGCACTCCATGGGATCTTTGTTCCCTCCTTATCTCTTCTTCCGTTGAAGTTCTTTGTTTCCTACAGACGATTCATACAAAATACTTCTATATGTTAGAGCCACACAAACTTCTTTTGATGACAGGACAAAATATATAGCGAATTTTGTTTTTTGATATTAAACATTAAATCTGTTATTTTTCTCTTTGAAAGTCTGGTTTTCAAAAGTTGTAAGAAAAAAATTCTTCAAAAACAGCCTCTGATTAATTGGCACTTTACGTTTTTTTAAACAATATTGATTACAACCATTAGTTACAACCATTAATGTTTTGAAAGAAATGTTATCTATGTTCCGATACCCATCTCTCAGCTCGTTCCCATGTGCCTTTTGTTCATTTCTATAAATTTTATTTGCCTATCAACAACATCAATTATACGTTTCTTTTGGCTCATTCTGAAATGAAACTTCCAACTTCAAAATATATTATAATTTCATATCAGTTCACTTTGATTTGCATGATCCACATGATTAAATATTTAATAGAAAATCATTAGAGATGTATGTTTTTGTTATTTTCTACAAAGAATATTTTTATATATCGGTATAGATGTGTAGCTATATATAAATGCCAATACAAGAAAAGGTATACAGTGTATATGGAAGAGGAAGTTTGATTTAATGGGGCATGGGATGTGAGCTTTATTGGAACAATGTTGAATATGGAAGAAGAAGCTATATTGACTTTTTCGTTAGATAGTGTTGTTCTTTCAGTTTTCATGTTACCATTTTATTTTCTCCTGTCGCTCTCATCCCATAGCACCACCAGCACATGTACGTCAATATCTTACACAGACACACACACAGATATATATATATATATCTATATAATCATATGCAGATTGTTCATGCAATACATAATGTATATTTATTTTTATTACAAGGTCATAATTCAAAATAGTCTTAAAATGTTCTTTGACCGATCTTGGATAGGACGAACAAGCCGGCAAACTAAAATAATGTTTGTCAAGTGTATCATGTATGGCGATCGAACTTGTGGCGGACCGAGCCGAAAAATCCCACCACGTCATCTCTACGTACATAGACCTCTATTTATATGTTTAAGAGGAAATCTAAAACCTAATATACTTCTCTAGGTACTTTTGAAAAGCTCATGTATTATTATTGTTAAGTTCTCTAGGTACTAATTATAGAAGATAAATATCGATCAAACTGAACAATACACAGCAGGAAGAATTACACAGACTGATTTTTATGTGCATTTGGAATTCCCGTAAAACCATCAAAAATGTTAAATGTAGACCATTAACATCAATATTCGGGGAAGAGAAGAGGACAAAACTAAACTTATGATTTGTTTCGATTTTAAAAACAGGAGAATAGCGTCGATTTTCAAAAGAGGAGAAGATATTAGCTCATATAGTGACTTTGACCGAATCGATTTGGGGAAAATAACCAAGGCAACCTAGGCTTTTTCCACATACGTAATAAATACTTAAATTTATCGCGGATGTAAATCTTACGAGATTCATGCATTATCCACGAAGTCCAATTTTTTTAAAAAATATATTTTTTTCTAGCAAATGCTATTTAATTACCGAAAATTACAACTTCAGTCTAATTTGGACTTCAACTACAGTCTAAAGACTAAACTTTCAAGTGTTTGACGAATTGGTGGGGTGTGTGAAATCAGCACGTCGTAGATGGGCCTAGCCCACAACAGGCCAACATATTTAATCCGTCCTTTTACGCAAAAAAAACACCGCAATTGTTAAAAACAGAAAGCTGGATTCGACGAGTAGAAGAGGGCTCGTGAAGAAGCCCATGTTGAATTTGTTGAACGCTGTTATAACAGACACATTCTCATGTTTCATGCTGCTCGTCTGTTGTGAATCAAAGAGGTAGATGACCTTTGGTAACATTCAAAACTCAAATTGTGATTAGTATATTTTGCAGGATGATCTGCAGAGAGAGGATTACCCGGAATTGAACCGAAGTGGGAAAAATCTAACCGAACCGGATATAAACACCCAAATGTTTTTTTTTTCATTAAAACACGTGAATAAAAACATATGATCCAAACCAAACTGAACCGAATTTTCGATCCTAAACCGCTCTATTCGAGCTACGAGAAATCCAAAAGAACCAAACGAGAATCGAACCCCGAATCAAATACCCATGCCCATTCTTAACTAACTAACTTTTGTAAATCGTGAGAGAATCGAGTGATATCAAAAAAAAAAAGAGAGAGTTGCGATTCTAAAGTCTACAATATTCAATAATGAAAACAAAATATTCATCTTTTACGTAAGAATGAAAACCAGAAACCCACATTTTATAGATATTTTTGCGTCTTTGATCCTAGCTATTCCCAGAAAAATGCAAGTTTATCTCAAATAATTTTTAAGTATGTTATTTCAGTTTGTATTAACTGCCATGTCAAGTATGGGTCCCACCTTAATTCTCCCTCATCTCCACACGTACTAATACTTTATTTATATAGCAATTGAATTTAAATATCGAATAATCAAATGTACACTATTAATAATAACAAAAAAAAATCATTATCTCACTCTCACACCCAAATTATCTTCTCCTCTTTTCTCTCTTTCTCTCTCAAAATAAGAAGTATCTTTGAGTAACCTTTGGCTTTGTTTCTAGCTTTTTCTCGATCGGTGTTTTTCGTCAGTGTAAAACCTGGAATCAGAGAGCCACAAGCTGTTAGAGATGGTGGCGGCAGATGAGTGGACGAACTCAGCGATGAGAGATGGAGAAGTGGTGGCGGAGCTTTTGGTTCGGCTCAAGGAAGCCAAAGTGACGCCTCTTCTATTCACGAATCCGACTGTAGCGGCGCTCCGGTGGGGAATCCGGCAGCCACGGTCTCGATCTCCGAGAATAGAAGCTGAATCGGCTAAAAACTCCAGATGTAGTCCAAGCACACCGCTCTCTTGGAGCGGCGGTTGCGGTGGTTCGTCTTCTTCACCATCTGCTTACGTCGACGGTTACGAGGCCACTAGTCGTCGAATCAGTGGCTCCTTTGCCGTCGGATCTAGATTCAAGGTTCGTGCCTCCTCCATCTCTCTATATATAGTATTCTCTCTTTCTCGTTCTCTTCGATTTCCGATTAGCTGAACTATGCATCTTCGACGAGCTGTCCCGTATTTCGATTTCTTTCGATTTTATCGTCCATCAAAATCTTCTTCTTCACTTCCGTTTTCGCTAACAGCGACATTTCTTAGCGCGTCGATCTCTTGATTTCCGGCTACAGCTTCCGGCCTAAATTCTTTTTTTGAAGCGTGATAACAAGTATTTTCTTAAGTTTCCAATACCAATGATTCTTCCAAATCCACGAACGATTTTTTTTTTTGTAATTTTGTTTCCCGAGAAAACTACCTCCGCTAAATTCCAGAGGTTCTTTTTTTTTTTTGTTTCTTCTTCTTCCTCCGGAGCTCGTTATTCTCAGTGCTTGACTTAGAGAGGGTATTCTAGTCATTTCCTGAGGCGGCTAAAACAAGATGCGAGACGACGCCGTTTTTATTGTTTGCCCTTTTATTTTGGGTTCGCTGCAATTATCCGGCGTAATTATCGTTTTTCTGTTGGCTAAGGTTTTAAACAATTTCTCTTGACTGTGTAATTTATGCTGTGTATAGATTAAATTTTCTCTCTTCTTACGACAAAAAAATTCTCTCTTTTTTTTTTTTTTGTTTTGTTTCTGCAATGATAATAAGCACGATCTGGATCTGGTAAAATGTACTGTTTGTGATGGGCCTTTGGCTCCTTTGATTATGGGTTAGCTCGACTTTGTGACAGTGGACCCCATAGTTTCTTTTGGCTTTTTGACTCTGTTGTTGATTCATTCCATCTATATAACCGGTGGAGTTTTGGAAGAATGACAAAGATTGATTTTTAAATTTCATTGAAATCCGGTCACATCACATTGAATTGTTTTTTTGTCATGTAGTGGCGAATAGAGAAATGGTTTAAGATATTAGATTTGTTTGCTTTCTGTAGAAATATATATATATATAAAAAAAACTTCAACTAAATCTAGATTTAACGGCAATGGAGAGTAGAGTTAGGTTATCAACCTTGAAGACGCGTTGTTGTTGATGTTTATGTCACATGGGACCCTTTTTCTCAACATTGAATTTGTGTGGGGACTTCAACTTCTGTTTCTTGTGACTCAACTTTTTAATTCCTCATTTATTAAACCATTCTTGTTCTTATCGCAGGTTCTTGTAACCGCAGACTTGGATTTTCATGTCAAGAGATTTCAGAGCCAAAAGGTGCCCAATTCTTTGAATCTTGCGTATGATTTATTCTTGAGTGCAATTTTCGGCTCTTTAACTTTTGATCGTGTTTTGTATAAGCAGGACATCGACATTGCATCGCTTAGATCACCATTCAGCGAGCGAGGCATCGAGAACAAGAACTTGAAAAGAAGGAAGTTGAACACACAGATTTCTACTTCGCTCTCAGGTTGTAATTTGGCGGAGGATCAGAATGGCAATGCGGATGGTAATTTCCTGCTACCAGATTTGAATATAATGCCATGTGAAGAAACCGGTGAACACTATTCGTCTTTGGGTGTGGAGACAACACTATATGGGATAAGGATTGTGAGGTGAAGGAACTCACTTAAACCATGAGAAGTGGTTGGTTTGAGACTCTGGTTCGATCAGAAGTGAGCTGACTTGATCATCTTTTGGCTCGGCTTTTGATAAGGGTCCGCCACGCAGGAGCTCTGAAAAAAAAAAAGACATAAGAGATCTTCTGCGTATATATTCCTCAAGGAACTTTCTTCCATTGTGGAGTGGTTCTAATAAAGATCATAAGCAATGTTGTAAGATCAAGAAAACAAAGAGAAGAATAGACTTTTAACTGTTTCTCTGGAAGAAAAGAAAAAAGGTCATTTTGTATTGTTTGTCTATATTACCATAATGGGGTAAAAGGGTGTTCATATTTCGAACCTAAATACAAGATGGGCTCAATAAAATCCATATCTCGACCCACAAAAAGAAATGCATATGGGCGGGCCCTGAGCTGAAACTACCAATAGTCTAATCTCTTCTTTTCCTTTCAACGTCAAGCAACAAAGCCCATTTACATGTAAGAGATGCATCATCATCATGTAAGCCCATTTAATGCCGGGTGAATTTAACTTTTAGCTAACCAAGTCTTAGGACCAAAGACTTGGACTAATTTTGGAAACTGACCAAGGTCTTTGTGGATATCAAAATTAAGCTTTCAAACCTAACTAAGAACAGAAGAATCAGATGGAATCTTTCAGTTGCTTAACTTATTTCCGATTCTGGGTGGAGAAAATGACCTAAGATACTCAAACGTGTCGAATTGATAACCAAAAGTAAGCAAGCAATGTGGGTGTGGTATGGTATGGCCAAAGGCAGAAGCATTGAGAATGAAAGAAGAAGAGAGTGGAGGAGTGGTCCATTCCCTCAAGGAATTGAATATTAATTATAAACACTTACTTTTCTTCGCTTAGCTTTTCTCTATTTTTGGTGGTCCACTTTTCATGGAGAACAGTCTAATTTCGTGAATTTTATTTTGAGGAGCATACAGTATGTCTTATTCCTCTTGACTTCTACATAACTCAACTCTTTTCTTTGCACTCTTTTTACATTCCTCAACATTACATGTTTCCATGTGTTCTACTAGTTAGAAACATTCAAGATCAATAGTCTCTATGACTTTATTCCTCCCATCTGCATCTATTTTTTTCAAAGCAAATTTTTTAGTTTAATCTAATGTTGAGTTATTACATGATTTATGTGCATATGTTTCATCAACGTCCATTGCTACTTCAGCTTAATTTGCTCGGACTGAAGATAATTATCCCCTAGCAGACCTTTTTTGTTGTTCATTAATTCTATATTTTGTTAAAAATAATGCAACTGATAAAGTAGAACCATATATATGCTGCATTCAACTTTTTGGAAACATACTAAATACTTAAAAAGTAGAATTAAAATATGAAAAAATCTTGGAATTAAATACTTTTTCATGTACATTTTTGTTGCGCATAGCCAAAACCAATGATAAAATATATACTAAATGTAAAGAATAATTTTAAAGAATAATGTGTAGTTTTTAAGAGAACTATTGGATATTGCAAAATATTGAAGAAATTAAAAAACTTCAATCAATTTGGATATCAACTTAGGGAGGACGGAGTGTTGTTGATTAAAACTTAAAAGTAAGGTATTTATGGGTGTTTTGAAAATGTTAACATTCTAGTCTCTAGGTATACATAGTTCACACAAAAATGTATAGATCATACACTTAACTTTTTCTACAGCTAAATGGCATATATTAAGGCTGATATTATATTCACTGTGTAAGTATTTAACAAGTCAGCATGCAAAAACTAAAAACTCAATGGTAATAGACTACGACGAAAAAACCTAATGATTTATGTTATTTTCTTACGTATTATTTGTTTTTGTATTTTGTTTGTACTAAATTTTTATTATATATACTGATCTGTATCTTGTCGGCAATTATATGTGTAGATGTTAATACGTGTATGTTATCAATTATCATAATGATGTATCACTATGTATGCTATTTGGCAATGAATAAAGATCAACATGATGAGTAATGAGACTTGACTTCGACAAAGGGTATATGAGTGTCTGTGTGTCCGGTCGTTTAAAACCATGAAATTATATCAATGCAATTCTGATCGATTATCAACAAGGTTTAATTAATGAAAAATCTTTGTCAAGTAGATACACTTCGTTTCCATTTCTACCCCACAGTTTAGACTTTTTTAACTAATTCGTTTGACAAAATCCTAGAGGTTCCTCCACTGTCGGCAGATTAATTGAGGTCTCCATACATTTTTGTTTCTTGCATTTTGACACACATTATACAGACTAAGGACTTGTACATACAAACAATCTCTAATTAATGAATCGGTTTTGTAAAACTTAAACTCGCCGTTCGTTTATAATATAATATATATATATGTTTTAATATATGGATGATGCATGTATTCAGAATTCAGATAAAACATCTATGTTCGTTCCTAAAATCGCTTTTTGCATGGTGTCGCTGTGTTGCACTTGAGCAAAAGAAAAACTACAACTACATTCCAGAAAAAAAAATTCTAAATGATAACGAGAGTGAGAGTTCACTAACATATGTTAACAATATGCATATTCATGAACTAGTATAATGCAAACCAATGACCCTACCAAGTCACCAACCGACATCTAAACAGTATTGACGACCATATCTCACCATGCGATACACCACCTAGAGAGAGTAGACTCTCTCTAAAGAGAGGCATGTAAAATTTGACAAACCTTGTATAATGCTAAGAAATAGGAATCGCCAAACTCAAGGGCTGAGAGATTCATTTATATACACATCGACTTGTTCCATACAAAGGGATTCAGGGACATGATACTGAGGAATTTGTGCATGATTTGAGTGATGAGACTGTACTTAGCATGCATGAATCTAAGGTTAACTTATCTTCTTATTTAATATGTTTATTCCGCATGAGCATCAGGATCATAAGCTTGGATTGTCTTAAATACAAAATATCTTTCACAAGCACAAGGTCATGCTTTATATGTAATAATTGAACTGGGACATGTCAAGTTTTTAAATCGGAAAATCTTGCATAGCCAGATTCCACAGATAAATATAAAAATATACAAATTTGTCTCTACGTATGATGCATTTACTATTGCATAGTATGTAAAATAGTATGTTACAGAAAGCACAGAGTATATTATTACCCGCTTTCGCTTTTGAATGTTATTCTCGTAACTACAATATAATATTTTACTTGGTGAAATTCGAAGTTTCAAACTAATGACCGAATAATTCTCCTCAATTATTTATTTTTCGTTATTACATTGTGAGAAATCGTGTGGATGTGTTCAGCTGTAAAGAAAAAGAAAGAAGAAGGATAAAAAGGTTGTGAAAATGACACACTTCCATTAAAAGAGTAAACGACTTAATTATAAGCCTCTCTCTCTCTCGGTGACGATGATCCAAAGGCAAAGCATTTTATTCGTTTGGTCACCGACCTTATCATTTCCTTATTACATCTCTTATTGAAAATTGAAATGCATTACGTGTTATTGATAAATCCTAACAACATATCCAGTTAGAAACATACAAATCAATAATCTTCAAGCTTATGATCGAACACAAAGACGTAGTTTTTCTTTGTAATTTTTAAGCTTTGACTTCTTTTTTTTTTTTTTAAACCACAAAGTTTATATCCTTTGCCCTATTGTCTCCTTAGATTCACTTGTTCAGAAACGTTAATTATCCCTCCTTATGTACCGAGGACTCAAAAAATAGAATCCACCAGTACCAAAACATATATAATCTAAAGTTTTTCTTATAACAAACTCAAGTTTATTGGTTGGACTATCAATTCGGTTTTAAAATATGTACCAATTGATTTTTGAACCCAAAAAAAAAACTTATTTAACATAAGAGAAAAAAGGTTTTTTGAATGTCTTGTCAGAGACGATAGATATTAAGTTTTGAAATCTTTCATGGAAATGTATTTTTGTCAGAACCGAAATTTGATTTTAAAATTTACCTTAAAGAAAAAAAAAGGATTTTTTTTATCAAGAATTTTGTGGGAAGTAGGAAGGGGACCATTTGGTGATAGGTAAACAGTTGGCTATTTAAACACCTTTCTCACCCTTCACCCGTCACCAACAACTGGACCCCACGCGCTTATTTTTACCAATATGCATATTTCTCTTTTTTCTGAAAAATAATTTCTTTTTATTAAAACGTTTTTTATAAAAGAAAAAAATTGATAATTAAAAAACAATTTGTTACTTCGTTGGGGTTAAATCCGTCCCTCCACTTTCGTTAAGCCGGCGGCTGTCAGCCTAAGTCTGAAAAAAAATCTAGGACTGGTCCCCACGTTTATTTTTTATTTTATTTTTTTTGTCGTTATATATTATCTTCTTCGGAAATAATAATCTTTTTTCTTTATTCGGGGTTGCATCAATCCAAATGTACGGTTAGGATTCTCTTATCCCAAAACGCATGCTATTGCCTTGGGGGGGACCATATGTGGTCCAGACAACGTCGTATTGACGCGTGTCTTTTATGTTTTGGCCCGCGAGTAGCGACGTGATTTATGGTCCCCTCCCTCTCTCTCTGCATTTTATTTTCTCCTTTTGGCCTTTAATTTCCTTTACCACCGGCTATTTCCGGTTCGTTGCTTTCCTCCATCCGGTTATTTGAACTATGGACTCTGCTAAATCTTGGATTAACGTGGATTAACGCTTTTTTTTTTAATAAACTGGTTTAAAAATATAGTATTAACATTAGTAGTCTTAACGTATTTTTGAGTTCAAGTAAATTTACTGTGTATTCATTCATGAATTAATAAGTTTATGTAAAATTTTTTAAATAATTTACTTCCTAGTTTGTTATTCCATGATTTTTTTAAAAAATATTAACTATGTTTTGATAGAAAATTAATTTTAGTTTTTTCAAAGATTAATTAATTTTAAAATACATCAAAGTATAAAAAGTTACAGAAATTAGTTGTACTTGATTTTTTGTTTTCATGTTAAGTTTCTTCCTCGTTCATATTTTTAGTGAATGATTGGTTAAAACTATAGGTTTTGCTTTATAAACAATATGATGTGTCCGCGACATTTGTCTTATTTTGCCCAACAGACTATTGGTTTATTTATTTATTTAAGATTTTGTTTAAGTTTAGTTGAGGTTGTAACTTCGTCACGCTCCTTGGAGGGACATGGAAAGCACGCTCCAACCTTTACGGGGGTTAGCTGTGTATCGCGTCGTTTTAGTTTATTATTTGTTTTTTCTGTCATTATCCATTTGGCATTTGTATCCAAAGAACTCAATAGACCTAAGTATGAGTCACTTGTAGAATATTCAGTGGATAATGGAGAATTTTCAATATTTAAACCCTTCTGATTAAAATAGAAAACGACGACAAAATCAACGCTAAAGAAACTAAGTCGAAGAGATAGATAAATCTTTTTCGGATGGAACCAAGAAAAGGGCAGAAGAGAGATACAAATGAAAGAGTGGAGCATGCAGGAGACACATCAATTAAAAAATGAAGGCATTTTCGACCCTGACGTAAAAAAAACGTTAGTCGTAGTTAGGTCAAGAAAATACTTGTCGTCGGCACTAAATTTAACTATTAGATTATAAGTTTACAAAGAAGAAAATTATAATAAACATGTACATGTTATTCATTATATATACTCATCAAATTTGGTATTAACGTTCATATTATGTGTATGACTCGTATTGAGATAGAGTAAAAGTGTAAAAATATTCCCAATAAGAATTTTAATCGTATTCAAAGTTTTTTCTAGCTAGATATGTTTTCTAAATGGCAATACACTATGTTTTCTAATACACAACGTATCAAAGAATGATAAAAAGCGAGGAGACATGATGATGGTCTTAATCCTCCAACTTGACTTGTCACACTAACTGACAAACAAATTAGAAATCAGCAATTATCGATTTGGGCAGTTGAAAAAAAAAAACGATACGAGGAAGATCTTCAAGCTTAAGCTTGATTTACATCTAGAATTGTATAGATTGTTTTTAGTTTCAATTCATGTGATCGAGAAACTTTTATAGAAATTATATTTTTTGTAATTCTGTTTTTTATGGACATCAAATTTTTTTGTTTGGAGTCTATAATTGTTAAATTTATGATCATATGTATCATATTCACGCGGGTCGTCCATGCTTCAATTCAGAGTTTCACACGTGTGGTTAGGGACAACCTTAGCTTTTTGGTTGAGTAAGATGACATGTGGCTCGACCATTATAACTTTTTAAAATAAAATAAAATGATTGTACCATTAGTGCTTGGACACATTTTAAGAAGTAGTTGCTTGAAGTTATGTTATCAAGGACATGGAGAAAACAAGATTTTGATAACATTATCGTACATCAATTTAAAATCGTTAACAAATTACATAAAATATATCTAATACAATCTTGTTGACATACTATAAAACTGTTAAGAAAAAAACTTGTGGCGAAGTATCCTCGGTGATTTTACAAATTTACATTCCACTTAAATAATGAGAAACAATCTTAAATTTTTGCTATAATATACAATCTATCGTTTGAGGTTTTAGAGTCAAAATGGATTTACGTGCGCACATGTATAACAATAATATTGTTTTTTTAATTGAATTTGGATGTTTGCAAACAAGAAAATCTAGAAATGAACATAGAAAACAACCTGAATCTAGAAATAAGCTGATTCGGCTCGTTCAGAGAGAATAGATAAAGTCTAGAAGTGGAGATTGAGATTTTATTGTAAACCGTATGAAACTATGAATTATGCATACGAGTTACGTTCAGATAGAGATTACACGAGACAACTGTTGACTTGATTAGCTTCCATCAACAAATAAAAGAAAGAAAAAAACACTATTAAATAGATTTAAGTTTAGAAGAGGCTAATCGCTGATGTTGGGACTTGGCATAACACTACGTAGTCTTATTTCTTTTAATTATTTAGCTTACACGATAATGTAGTTAATTTGATTGATTTTTTTTTTCAAATATCATAACTAGTTTTCAATTTGTATTGTGATCTATAATTATAATATGTCATGTGAATTTCTGTGTGCTTTTATAAACAAAAAAACGTTTTATGATGTCTAGCTAATCTGTACTTTATTTATGATTTTGTGATACCATGTAGAACATCTGTAAGGTTTTCTTCGTATATTGGTTGATGAATATTTTTTTTAATATACTACTTCACTAATTAAAATACCTTTTTAATTGAATATTTGTTTCCGACAATAAAAATAAGAATTATATGATTTTATATTTTTGGTCTGCTAACGAGTAGGATTTATATATATTTGTTCCTCTCTAGGATTAATAAGTAAAGGCGTGAAGCAAAAGATAAGTGTGTGTGAGTATATAATAAATAAGTTATGTATGTTTGTTTTCGTAGTGCCATAAAAATACAGCGCAGGGTCCGGTCCGGCAGTAAAATATGAAAGTGAGACACACGCGCTTGTTCACCTAGATACGTTGCGTCTGGAAACACAACACGTAGCAAACTCTTAAAAAAAAGGAAATATATTTATTATTCTCAACAATATAAAATAAAAAACACAGTCGAGGGGGGCAACGACCTTGCTTCACCGTCCGATCACAATGAATCCAGTCGCCACTAACAGTGGACGACTCGGATTAGTCCATGACGACCTACTGTCTTTAATTTACTTTTTGTCGTGACCTAATCTTTCTATTTTATTCATTAGTCACTGGTTTTTATATTTATTTTTTGGTCTATATGTGGACCACAGTGATTGGAAAAGAAGAAACTTTTTTTTTGTTTAGCTAAAATAACATTTTTGTCAACCATAACTAATCTTATTTCTCTACTGATAATTTTGTTTTCTACTGATAATTAAATACTCTTGCTTAATTCAATTTTATAAATATTATATTATGATAGAAAAACTAATGCAACGTGAAATACGAGTACCTCTCGCGCAAGTTTTATTTGTTCATCATATTTTTTAACAAAAGAAAAGCTATATTTGTTCAATAATGTTTTGGTTATCTGCGAAATACAAATTCAATTATTTGATAATTACACTGAGAAAGAAGAAAAAGAGAGAATAAATAATAAATAATCGGAATAAATGGTCTTCTCCGTCTCGATCTCTCAGCTCTGGTGCAGTCTGCACACACCCACATATATACACAATATACACACATATATACCCATTTTCTCTGTCACTTTTTCGATAAAAGAAAAAATACATATAAAAGTTTTCTGTGGATTGATAATTGAAACATGAAACAATCGTCATAGAAGCAGAGATTCACCTTCCCCCTTTCTTTATCTTTCCCTCTCAGAAACAGGAAATTCGAAACACCAAACAAAAAAACATATTTTTTAAAAAAAAGGAAAAGAAGTCATCGAAACGATGGCGTTTCACCACAACCATCTCTCTCAAGACCTCTCCTTCAATCATTTCACCGACCAACACCAACCTCCTCCTCCGCCGCCTCCGCCTCCGCAACAGCAGCAGCAACAACATTTCCAGGAAGCGGCGCCTCCTAATTGGCTCAACACGGCTCTTCTTCGCTCCGACAACAACTTCCTCAACCTCCACACAGCCACCGCCAACACTACCGCCGCCGCGAGCAGCTCCGATTCTCCTTCCTCCGCCGCTGCCGCCGCAGCTAATCAGTGGCTCTCTCGCTCCTCATCTTCCTTCCTTCAACGAACCGGAAGCAACAACAACAACAACGCCGCAGCCGCCTCCGGTGCTGCCGTTGTCGGAGACGTCATCGACGACGTCACCGGAGGAGCGGAGCCGATGATCGGTGGTGGGGAGATGAAGAGCGGAGACAGCAAGAACGACGGAGGAGCGGCGGCAGAAGGCGTGGTGAGCTGGCAGAATGCGAGACACAAGGCGGAGATCCTCTCGCATCCGCTCTACGAGCAGCTTTTGTCGGCGCACGTTGCCTGTCTAAGAATCGCCACGCCGGTCGATCAATTGCCGAGGATCGACGCTCAGCTTGCTCAGTCGCAGCACGTCGTCGCTAAATACTCCGCCTTAGGCGCCGGTCAAGGACTCGTCGCCGACGACAAAGAGCTTGACCAGTTCATGGTACCTCTCGCTTTTTTTTTTCTTTCCGTCTTATTCGTTGAAACAGATTTTCTTCGTTGAACTATTCATTTATCTCTTTTTAAGAAAATCTTTTTGTTCATGATTGACGATTTGAAGATTTATTTAGCAGAAATTTCAATAACTTATAGCAGAAAGAAAGAAAGGATTGTCTTTTACATCGACTCAATTTACGATTTAGATTTAGCTTTCTTGAATGAAAATCTTGTTTGTTTTTGGGGGAAAACAATGGCGAAGCTCAAAATCCGAAAGCTTACATTATCTAGATTGGTGGGACCATAAAAGAAAGAGCTTGCGATATACTAATGGTGAAGGTTAACAAAAATAAAATTTGAAACAAGAATCGTAGTTGCAGAGACAAGTCATCTGGAATTTATGTAAGAGGGGTGTTAAATTTTGTGACGGTACATTTAGGGGGTTTCAAATATATTCTCTTTCTTTTAATGAGCTTTTTCCAAGTTTTGTTCTTTGTCAATGTACTATTGCGTGTTTTGATCTGTTCAATTCATGTTTTTGTGTTATAAACACAGACGCATTATGTGCTGCTTCTGTGCTCTTTCAAAGAGCAATTGCAACAACACGTGCGTGTTCATGCAATGGAAGCTGTGATGGCCTGTTGGGAGATCGAGCAGTCTCTCCAAAGCTTAACAGGTGAGAATGTTCAATTAGCATTTGGTTCGCAAAATCTTTTGATGTGTTACATGAATCTAGGAGCGTAGTATTACATTGACAAAGACAATCTCTTTTGCTTTGTTCATTAAACGATGTGTTTGTTGGTGAGATAGGAGTGTCTCCAGGTGAAGGCATGGGAGCGACAATGTCGGATGATGAAGATGAACAAGTAGAGAGCGATGCTAATATGTTTGATGGAGGCTTAGATGTGTTGGGGTTTGGTCCTCTGATTCCTACTGAGAGCGAGAGATCCTTGATGGAACGAGTTAGACAAGAGCTTAAACATGAACTCAAACAGGTAATGAGCAAACTAGTCAAGAACTTATTTTATCTGCATTTGATCTTCTACAAGAACCAATTCTTATCATGTAGCAAGTATATGGATTCCGGTTTTTACATGAATGAAGTTAAAAATGTAGAAGCTTTGTTTGGTGTGAAAAAGGGTTACAAGGAGAAAATAGTAGACATAAGAGAGGAGATACTGAGGAAGAGAAGAGCTGGGAAATTACCAGGAGACACCACCTCTGTTCTCAAGGCATGGTGGCAATCTCATTCGAAATGGCCTTACCCTACTGTGAGTTCACTCTCTCACTCATCCCAGATGTCTTTCTAACTTGACACTCCCAAGTAATAAACAATGTGAACATATAAATTATTGAACTTTCAGGAGGAAGATAAGGCGAGGTTGGTGCAGGAGACAGGTTTGCAGCTAAAGCAGATAAACAACTGGTTCATCAATCAGAGAAAGAGGAACTGGCACAGCAATCCATCTTCTTCCACTGTCTTGAAGAACAAACGCAAAAGGTATACTACTTATATTATCTTAAAGACATAACCTAAACCTATCGATTCGACTCATGTCTGAAAACTTTGTTTGGATGAAAGCAATGCAGGTGACAATAGCGGAAGAGAGCGTTTCACGTAGAAAGACGAAGACATAGATGAAGTGTTTTGGGAGCTGGATTGGATGGGATTCAAAGCAGGGTTTAGGGGATTTTAAAGTTGTGAAAATGAAGAAGAAGAAGAAGAAGAAGAAGTTGGGCTTATACTGAGAGGGGCAGTATTAGAAAGTAACTTTTTGTGCAATTACATAGTACGTAGTTTGGTTATGTGATGCCCATATATTTATTAGCAAGTACACAAACCAAAAACCAAAAACACAAAAAAAAAGATTGAAAAAAAGGAGATTTATTGTTTATTTTAAGGGGATTTTGCTTGTCTGCATGAGTTGTTTATAACGAACCATCAGATAATCATCATCATAATTATATCTTTTGACTAAAATAGTGAGCTGGGGGAGCATTGGTATAATGGTATGCACAGTTTTTATTATTGACACTGTGTTAGTCTGCTGCGTTTGTAATTGTGTACTTGAAACGTATAAGGAGTAACTTTTATAGTCAGTTGTGCGAATTGGGCATTTGTAATTGAGTATATATTACTTAAAAAAAAAAAATGATGTGTATATTTGTTAGGTAAGTACATGAATAGTATAGTGCAGATTTTGTATGTTTTGGTTCAACAGTATAGTGCAGATAAGTACAAAGTATATTCGGGAGAAACATGTATGCATTTGGGAATTGGGATACACAGATACGTTAGTGTATCAGTAAATAAACAAATACAAACAAGTTGTTATCTTTTTGTTAAAGGGACAAACATGTTATTCTCTAAAGCATTGCTCTATTTGCAATACTAATAAGTTTATAGCCATTTACCAATCACATTTATAGATATCTAACTTCGGGTACCGATCGAACATCAAGTTGAACCTTAATTAGATACGAAATTATAATAACCCCTTGTGTATGTTCGTATTAACATAAAATGACACGATCAGTAAAAAAATAATACAAAAGGAGAAATGAGAAGAAAAAAAAAAAGTATCAAACTTTAATAACAACCGGAGCTACAAACCTCTCCGGTGAAGGATTTTCGCCGCCGTCATCGAAGTTAAGACTGTAATTTTTGAGATCGTAATTGAAATCCACATCCCTCTTCATCTTCTTCTTTCCATTGCTAAAACTTCTTATAAAGTTTTTCCACTTTGGTCCCGCGATTTTCTCTGAAATCTCCTTGAGCTCCTTCAGTTTTCTGCTCCCCCAGTTTTCTCCTCTCTCTTCTTGCAAATTACCGCTCCAGACACTGTCTCCTCCTCTTCGCCACCGGATCACACTGAATTTACGGAAATACCCACACCCGCAAAACGCCGTCGTTTCTTCATAATCATCTGCGAGTAGATTTTCTTGATCTGTGGTGGCCATGATAGAACAGAGAGTGTTTCTCTTTGAGAGAGTTTTGGTTAATAAAAGGGTTTATAGAAGACACTCGAACAAAAATATTATTAGATTTAGACTGAGATATATATACACAGCTGAATGAGATTCCACCACGTGGCGTGTCGACCGTTGGACAATATATTGATTGGGGTTTCTCATTGGACTGTTATTTCGAACAGCGTGACAGTGGTGTGAGAGGAGCGATGGTATATCGCTGGCTAATCATGAAAGACAGCTGTGAAGGCGGGAGCGAAACGGTTGCTTTCCTTTTTTTTCTTTGTTTCTTCTTTTGTCTTTAAGGATAATTACGAAATGATAATATTGAGTTATATAATAAAGTTTGGCGCATAATAAAATATAAATACACTCAGATTCCCGTTATCTGAAAAGTGTCTGCGATTTTTCTTTAAACAGTGTAAACTAAGACGATTTTGTATTAAAGGTAGATAGGGTATATTTGGTTAGGTTGGGATGTTAATTACAAAAAATATCAACAAACTACAAAAGGGATTACACATGGTAAAAGATAACAATTCTTGAGATAAATCTTATAATATGTATAGTCTAAACACATAGTAAAAGATATCTTTGATATGAAAAGAAAATCCCAAAAAACATAATTCTATAAAAGAAGACCTACTAAAACAGTTATACATAGATTGCTCTATTTGAGATAAACTCCCATTAAGAAAAAATCTTGTATTGACGATTACGTAGAAAAAAATCCCTTCATCTATGAAAAAATCTTTTATAGGTATATATAGAGAGAGCAGTTAATAAAAACGATATTAAATAACTCATAAGAGTGCTAATACGTAAGACACACGAAAAAAAACTTGATAAGACAAAATGAAAGGTTCTGGCAAATGATGGTTTTCCGTTGGGTTAAAAGGCAAAAGTTGTGTGGAGATTTGTTAAATAAAACCAAACAAGTCACTATTTAATAAAGGCTGTTGCAGTTGGGTCCATGTTAATCTTAGCAATAAAAAAAACTCTTAAGCAATAAAGATGACTCACTAATCACCCCTGTTAATCATTATGTTTTTTTTTTGTCCTAGTAACGTCATAACAAAGATTTGCATTATGGACAATTGGACATCTTTTTGTTTAAACAAATGCTCAACCCAATCTAGAGTAATTGAATCTTTGTTAATTTTACATGTAGCGAAAGAAAAACTCATACAAAACTAGACCAAACTTTCCTAGAAATAGTGGTCTTCTAAAAAAAAATTAATTTAAAAGCGAGATAAACTTTACTAAACGAGAAATATTAGTCGCAGTTCAGAAAGATAAAGCACAGGACAATGGCAAAATAAACAGAGAATATGCTGCTTATCTGTAGAAAGTATACACAGATAACAAATTTAGACGTACGAATTAAATAAATATATCCTTATACTAAATAATCATTCATTTTAGTAGAAACATCAGCCACTTTCTATGCTTGACAAGTACGCTCGAGTCCATACTGATACCGAGAGCCACAAATGTGCTGCACAAGCAATTTGCTAAACAGAAACTAGCATTATTGAGGTGGTGAGAGTTTCTGATGGAAAGAATTTAGTATCATTTTCATATCTTGTTCAATGTATATATAAAAGTTATAGATAGAATCCTAAGTAATACGAGAGAAATTTACAATATTAATGTTAAGAGAAATCACGATAGATTGAGAGAGAAATTATAGGAATTGAGACATCAAGTGATTAGTTTGAGTGATACTCTATCTCTTTCAGTTATCTCTGCAGTGGTAAGTTTCAAGAAGACGATTATGAATCAAATATGGTTTTGTTCTACTCTATTCAGAGCATCGATCAATTTCCGAGCAAAACCTCCCCTCTTGCTATTTATCTGAAGGCGTATATCTATACGTTTTGTGGCCAGTGATTTATATATTCAAAATTGTTTGACTAATAGTATTTATGAAATTGTGCAAAACCCTCCCGTTTTGACTTTTATTTTGTTAAAACCAAACATATTGTTTACGAGTATATGTATTTCGTACAACATATATTATGATACAAGCCTGAAGCCTCCATCAGTTCCCATTTACTCTCAAACTTCCAAAGCAACTATAAGAGGGAATGCTACATGATATGATATTGAACTTTAAATATTTTAAAGTGTTGAATCTATAGAGCCGGTTCTTACCTCTACAAAATCAAACTTTATGTTAATGACTTGAATCAAGAATGATTCGGAGCTTTATCCACACACACACAAAAAAATTATGCGGAGGCGATCACTCAGGTAAACCAATAAAAATACAGGTTGGATCTCCAGTGATAAAGGTTCATACCAAAAATTCTAAGAGTATTATTTGTCTGTTCGTCCAAAATCCAAACATATCAAACAGTACATCAATCTTTATTTATGGAGTATATATGTTTTCCAAGGTTTGTTGTTCGGTTTGAGAATATTGAAAATCTAGCTTTTATTTACCAAAAGTTTGTGTTATACGAAATATTCCGGTTTAGCTGTCTATCTCCAAAATTCATAATTATGATGTAAGATACTACATGTAAAATTGTGCTACACGAGTTTTTTGGATCGAAAATGAGCAGTATGGGATCACGTTTAGCATCAAATGATCACGTTCGTGTTCCGATACACGTTTGTTTTTGCATTCAGCATTCATGATCTAATCATATTCTTACACACGTTCACAAACATCATATTTTAAGCTATTATAATAATACAATAAATTCAATCAATTTCAGTTACAGAGAATTCATTATATTTTTATATGTTTTCTGATAGCAAATTAAGATTTAAATAAAATAATCCATATATAATGAATTTCTTATCTCTGTTATAAATAATTTAATTATGGTATTACCTAAATTTAACATACAATAATAAATTATTCCCTCCATTTCACAAAAAATGTCGTTCTGACACTTTTTTTGTTTCAAAAAGAATGTCGTTTTAGAATTCTAATGTAAATTTTGACATAAAATACAATTTTTAACCTCAAAAATAAATTCAGAAAATTAGTTATAAATGTAATTCTAAAAGTCATTTCTGTAAATTAATAAGGATATAAGAGACTTTTTATCTTATTTCTTAATTTGTGTGAAAAATGTCAAAACGACACTTTTTGTGAAACGGAGGGAGTACTGTTTTAGAAAACTTCTCTTAAAAAAGAAGAAAGAGCATATAAACAAGATTTGTAACTAAATAAACATTTTTGTCACTTACAACGACAATATTAGCCAATTGAACCACTTAAACATTCAATAAAAAAGAGCAAAATTGACCCTAATGTATTCAACTAACAAAGTCTAGCCGCCTTGGCGATGATGGCTTTAGTTTCTTGCTCAATGTTGACGTATTATTTTAAAACCTCCGAAATAGTAATGATAATAAAATGTGTACTTTCTTGGAAATAGCCAAATAGGTTGAATTTTATGTTTTTCTCTTTTTAGTCGTCAAAGTATTTCATATGATAAATGAAGAAATAGGTTGACAACAAATAACTCGTTTTGTGAAGTGTCATGAACTTTTCTCTAAGACCGAAAGTCTTTTAACATTTCGACAACTATATAAGTACTAAGCAGTCCTCACGAAACCTAAAAAAAAAAAAAAGTAAGCTGCTGATTCCTCGTGAATCATTTCACAACCTCTCGAAAATCGGAGAAAACCCATCAATATCCATAGAGAGATGTACAAAGTCGCAAGAGCTTCAGAGTATTTAGCGATAACAGGAGCAGGGATCGAAGACATAAAGCTCTCGAAGAAATCATGGGTGTTTCCATGGCAATCTTGCACCGTCTTCGACGTTTCTCCGGTGAACTACACTTTCAAAGTCCAGGCCATGAGTGCAGAGAAGCTTCCTTTCGTTCTCCCCGCCGTCTTCACCATCGGCCCTCGCGTCGACGACCCTGAAGCTCTTATTCTCTACGCTAGGCTCATTTCTCCTCACGACAAACAGTCTAATCACGTCAATGAGCTCGTTGAAGGTGTCATCGAAGGAGAGACTCGTGTTCTCGCTGCTTCCATGACCATGGAAGAGATCTTCAAAGGTAACTAATCAAGTCCTTAGAACTTGATTGGTTTTGAAGTTCTAGAAACAATTTCAATTGCTAATATAACTCCTTAGAACTTGATTGGTTTAAGTTGGTTAAAGTTATCATCTTTGGAGCTGTATGTTCTTAAAAACTGAACATTTTTGGGTTAAAAGAGGTTTTTTTTTTGGATTTTATGGAATTGAAGGGACAAAGGAGTTTAAGAAGGAGGTGTTCGATAAGGTTCAACTAGAACTAGACCAGTTTGGTCTCATAATCTACAATGCAAACGTGAAGCAGCTTGTTGATGTCCCTGGACATGAGTACTTCTCTTACTTGGGTCAGAAAACTCAGATGGAAGCAGCAAATCAAGCCAGGATCGATGTTTCTGAGGCCAAGATGAAAGGAGAGATCGGTGCAAAGGAACGGAACGGTCTTACCCTTCAGAACGCAGCGAAGATAGACGCGGAGTCAAGGATCATAACGATGCAGAGGCAAGGAGAAGGGACAAAGGAAGAGATTAGAGTGAAGACTGAGATCAAAGTGTTTGAGAATCAAAAGGAAGCTGATGTGGCCAAGGCCAATGCTGAGCTTGCGATGAAGAAAGCTGCTTGGACCAAGGATTCTCAGGTTGCTGAGGTTGAAGCAGCCAAGGCAGTGGCTTTGAGAGAAGCTGAGCTTCAGACTCAGGTCGAGAAAATGAATGCATTGACTCGGACTGAGAAGCTCAAGGCCGAGTTCCTTAGCAAAGCCAGTGTTGAGTATGAAACAAAGGTTTGTATAGTATATTCCTTCTCTTTCTCTTGTATCTCATTAACAAATATGACACCTGACATTACCGCTGTTTACAAATTTCAAGGTTCAAGAAGCGAATTGGGAACTATACAACAAGCAGAAGCAAGCAGAGGCGGTTCTCTACGAGAAGCAAAAGGAAGCAGAGGCACAGAGAGCTGAAGCAGATGCAGCGTTTTACTCAAAGCAGAAAGAAGCAGAGGGGCTTGTGGCTTTAGCAAGTGCTCAGGGGACTTATCTCAGGACCCTCCTAGACGCTCTTCAGAATGACTATTCTGCCCTTAGAGACTTCTTGATGATTAACAATGGCTCTTATCTGGAGATCGCTAAGATTAATGCGATTGCGGTTAAAGACTTGCAGCCTAAGATTAGCGTTTGGAACCACGGTGGAGAACAGGGGATTGGTGGTGGTGGTAGTGGGAATGCTATGAAGGATATAGCTGGACTTTACAAGATGTTGCCTCCGGTTCTCGATACGGTTTATGAGCAGACTGGGATGCAGCCACCGGCTTGGATCGGTACACTAAGCAAGTAATACTGTCTCAGTAAGCTAAGAAGTTGAGGTTTGGATAGTGACAATGCATTGTGGCATTGGTTTGGCCGTTTACTTGGAATTGAAGATACATCCATTTTATCTTGAATTTAAAGTTCAGTGCCTTTTAATAAGATCGAAGGTTTTTTTTTCTTTTTCATTTTCTTGTGACAATGTAATTCTTTTTTTAATCCCGTTGAAAGGCTTAGATTTTTGTCAAGTATTTGAAGTGCGTCTTTTTTTAAAAAAAAAATTATTTTCATCGTATATTTGTTTTTAAATTAAGTTGTGAAAATAACATTGCAGGAATTTGCAGAGACCACCATGAAGGTTGTTTTGTAGTATGTATGTATTGACTGGCTAATGTATGTCGGTAATATCAACCTTGTTTTTAGTCTAGGCTTTGCTGTAATTTATCTTTTGGGATGCTCGAATTCTAGTAGAAACAGCAGAGAAGGTTTGTTTAAAAAAGCTATATATTTTTACAAACGAAGCCACAATGTATGTTTGAAGAGAAATGGGCAACATATATAGATAGATATCTATTAAATATAAACTGTTCCTCTCTCTCTCTCGATCCCTCTCTATGATCCCCAGTTTGGAATGTTTGCCGTGGCTTCGTTCACCATCTTCACTAATGTTACCTGCAAATACATCAATGAAGAAAACTGAGCTGTGTTTGTAATAATCATAACATAGGGATATTACAGTGTAATCATAGGTATATGTGTTTTCAGAAAATGAAGGCAGGACATGTAAACATACCACACTCTGTGGAACACCAGGTGGTGGCATTGTAAGGTTTCTAGGCGGTGGTGAGCTATCATACGATCTTTTGTCAAATCTCCATTCCCCTTTCTTCCCATAGGTTAGGTGACCCTGAAATCACAACAATCATTCTTTCACCCACTCTCTTAACAATTGCAAATCTACCTTGACGAAGAGGTTTTTCCAACAAAAAAATTCGTTATGACTGTAGGAACGGAAGAAATAATTGCTAAAACCATGCTAATCTCAATATAATCATGTCCTTAAATGACAATCCAGGATTCGAAATCCTACCTTCATATCAAAGTCACATCCATAAGTGTAGTGTATTATGTACTTGTCACCAACCTCTGTATCCCATGGAGGCTGATTCATTACCACAAACAAAACCAAAACAAAGTCCATCCATCTCTTTAGTTAATGCATCACAAAAAAATCTTATCCATGTAACCAAGCAAAAGTACATAGACTTTATGAGGTCCAGACCATAACTATTTCACTGTCCTCGAACTCATGTTAATTCAAAGAAGTTAGGGAAGATATTTCACTCTCGATTAACTAACAATATTTTGCAACACTGCAATTAATTATTCATTTTGTACTGTACTAGCTCATACAACTAGTATCTGAATATAAATTTTGGCTTCTCTATTCATAAGTGCATCATGCTTAAAAACAATATACAGTTTTACCAAATGCAAAACAATATGCGTGGATACGGTTACCTGAATCATGAAGTCTTTGTGTAGAATATTGCTAACACCGTGAAGTGCAGACGAGACAGCATAAGCATACCTACACTTCCACAAAAAGTAACAAAAGTTGTAGTCAAATCTACTTAACACATTCTAGATTAGGAAAAAAAAACTCATTATTATCAAAGGTTTGTACATTTCAAGAACCCATCCAAAAGCCTTGTCTGCTTCAGGATCCTTCTTCATAGCCAAAGAAACATTCATCCAAGTTGGAGCAATCTTCTTCAAAGCTTCCTGGAAAAACCACAACATCTAAATCTTTAGAGATATGCCCATTAAAACCTGATCCTAAATTGTTCAGAACCAAAAAAGAAAAAAAGACAGACCTTTCCCACAATGACAGGAGAGTTTCCTATCGGGTCGATGTTGGTCACAGGTCCTCTCTCTTCTGGATAATACTTCCTCAACACTTTCTCATACTTTTTCGGTTCGATGTAAAAGAAAGGAAACGCAGCTCCAAGCCCATCTTTAGCTAAGTTTGGTATAGGTTTGACAATTATGTGATCAGGCTCAGACATCAGAATATAACTGCATACAATTCAACCAAAAACTACATTTCAGGACAAGACTTTCCCTTTAGTTATCTATAAAACCTTCCGGTAAAATTCAAAGCTTTCTTACTCTTCTTTAATGTCAGTTTGTTGAAGCCACTGTACAAATGCCCAAGGCCTGTTTAGTACTACATAACCCTGCATTCACCAAAATCTCACTCAAATCAATTGCTCGATTGGTCAAATAAACAAAATTCAAATCTTGGAACTCGAAGGATTGATTACCTGATCCATCCCAGAGGGTAAAGGTTGAGCAACGAAAGTAGGAATCTCATCCATATACTTATCCGGTTTACCGGAATGCAAGATCCGGGTAAACCCACCCATCTCAGAGCCGGGTCCAGCGGAATCCTTAACCTTTTTGAACCAGTAGTACATAACTCTGCATTGCCACGTGTTGTAGACGGAGTCAGAAGCCGTCACGGCCGTGTGGAACAGCCTCCTCTTCCTCTCGTTCCCGCGGATTCTGGATCCTCCACGTGGCAATTCGATGACTGGATCACCGGAGATATCGTCGGAGTAGGAGTAAGAAGAAGAAGATCGCCCGGGGAAACCTTGCTTGAGAGGAGCATTAGCGGAGATGATGATGTTGTAAGTGATGAGAGCAACGGAGAGTGTTATCAGAAGTGGGTAGAACAGAGTTCCACCGCAACCCATCGAGAGAGAGATTTGGAGAACGAAGATGAAATCAGTTCTTCAAAGTCGTCGTCTTCTTCTTCCTCTTCTTCTCTCTAGTAGTTGGTGATGAAGAAAAATTAAAAATGGCTGCTTTATCTTGTTACAATACTAGAATTGGAGATTTCGGTTTAGCTCCTGGTTAAACCATAACTAAATTTTAATTTTGGTTTGGTCGGTTTGATTCATTTAAAATGTTTTTACTCGCAAACAAAGAAGAAGATTGATTGATCGAAAATGGCGTCTCTGTGCTTATCTCTCCACCAAACCCTAAACCCTTTGGCGGCTCCTAGAGCAAGACCACTCACCCTCTCCTTCCCCGGATCCACCGTCTCTATCCGCCCCTCGACAAGACGCGCCGCCACTTTGACAACACGCGCCTCCTACACCCCAACGCCGGCGACGGAGCGCGTGATCTCAATCGCGTCGTACGCGCTGCCGTTTTTCAATTCGCTGCAGTACGGTCGGTTCTTGTTCGCGCAGTACCCGAGGCTGGGATTGCTCGTGGAGCCGATATTCCCGATACTGAACCTGTACAGGTCGGTGCCGTACGCGAGCTTCGTGGCGTTCTTCGGGCTGTACCTGGGAGTGGTGAGGAACACGAGTTTCAGCAGATACGTGAGGTTCAACGCGATGCAGGCGGTGACGCTGGATGTGTTGCTGGCGGTTCCGGTGTTGCTGACTCGGATACTGGATCCGGGTCAAGGAGGTGGGTTTGGGATGAAGGCGATGATGTGGGGACACACGGGAGTGTTTGTGTTCAGCTTCATGTGTTTTGTCTATGGTGTCGTTAGCTGCTTGGTCGGAAAAACGCCTTACATCCCTTTCGTCGCCGATGCCGCCGGTAGACAGCTATAAAAACGTCGTCTTTTACTAGTTTTTTTTTTTTTAACTTTGTTTTTAATGTTGAAAGCTTTCACCTTTCAAACCCAAAATGTAATGCTCTCAAGCGCCAAATGAAGAAGAAAAAAATGAGATTAAATGAGATGGCTTCAGAGTTCAGAGATGCTAATTTGTGTGTGTGTTTTTCATCAGCAATTGTTAGTAATGGTGTATTAGAAGAATATAGTTTTGAAAGAATCAGGAAGCTGTTGCGTTTGAAGATGTTGTTAACTCACAGTCAAATGTGGTGCAAACCAAGTGTCTTGTCAGGAGTTAATGAACAAGATTTCGACGGGCAAGGATTTTACAGCATCCATCATTTGAGTGCTCAAGGCCTTTGCTCAAACTGACTATGTTCCCGTCGAAGAAATTACACAGTTTAAAAAAGAAAGAACTCAATTTCATAAATTAGACTGGTTCGCTGTCTTCTTCTGCTCATTAAAAACCATGTGGTCTTCCTCAGAACCTAAAAGCTTAAACCCAACAACTAACTCTACTTGTGTCTACTTATCTAGACTTTTGACTTTCCTTTATCTATAAACCTCTCATCCTCCCTATATAAATTAGCTAGTGCCAGAACTTTCAACAATTCAGATCTCGAGTAAATTAAGGTTTATTCCATTTCGGTTCTTGTTTGAAAGTCTTGTATATGCACTTAAGTTTATTATAATTGACTCTACAAAATCTGACGGAAGTAACATCATTAAAAATAAAAAATGGACATGTTTTGGGTAACACCACCACTACCATTGACACCGTCAACAATCTCACAGAGCTCAGAATAAAGTACCAAAGAAGCAACAAAAAAAACTATCATTCTTCAAAAAGTGTGCTTCCACTCTTTTGATTTTCCCGCCAACAATCTCTCACTCTCTCTGCATAAACATAGTACCACATCATTAGGTATAGAACGTAAACCAAACGTACCCACTTACTATAGTCTATAGGTAGTGACTAATTCAACTTTACCTTCTGACGTTTAGACTCTGGAGGCGATAGTTCAGATCTCCGACTTGAATCTCCTCGCTCTGCACCTTCCTCCTCCTGCACCTCAAATTTATCCACAGCCAAAACTCATTTACACATTTGATTATTCCCAATCATCTATTCTATCATATTATTCAACCCTACAGCAAATGATTCCATAAGTTTTATCACGTAACACGTTTACTCCTACCCATCTGTTGTATATACACAACCTATAGCTTAAGAATACTTTCCTTCACTAACCAAACCCTCCGACACGAATTCCACAAGTCAGTGACATGTTGCCAATAGGCTTCTAAGGAAAGAGATAATAAACATGCAACATGTTAAAAGGTGAAAGAATTTGTATAACTAGTACCTCTCTTGACGACGCTTGTCTACCGCTGTTGCTGCCTCTGCCTGCAGCTTCATCTGAGCTTGAGGAGGGCACGTTTTGAGATATAAAAGGCATGATCTGTTGAAGAACACTTGATATGAAATTCCCTTCATCTGTCCCCGTTGCCGGCTCTACTTGTGCATTTGCAACTGCTTCGTTTGTTTCTGTGGTCGCTGTGGCAGACGGATTTGCTGCAACCTGGGACTGGGGGGTCCCCACTTGAACATGTTCTCGTCGAGATAAGGGCCTCAAAAATTGATGGATTCTATTCCTCAACTCAGACAAACCTCGACCGCCTGGAGAAGAATTGCTATCACCTACACGTTAAAAGTCAGGAAAGCAAAGATTGACATGAGACTGTCTTTTAGGTAATGCAACATCTACCTATTCTAAGAAGATCAAAGCCAAAACAGCAAGGAAAACATAAAATGAGAGAACCCAGTAAAAGGATCAGAAGGAAACTGAAGGAAAGTTTTACTCCTGTCGACATATCAACTAAGAAATTAGCAGATAGTGCAAGGAAGTGACGTTAAAATTACCTTCTCTTCCGGGAGTACTGGTGCTCTGTGGCTGCCTAGAGGATTCAGCAACAGGCTGATGTACACCATCAATACCAGTAGAGCTACGTTCACCAGAAGATCCCTGTGGATATCTTGCAACAACAGGTATAACTAAGGCCACAGGATTTCGAGGATTTTCAGATGGCACTCTCATTGAGGGGACAGAATCAGTGATGATGCTGGCTGCAGAAGGGATTGCCTGCCCAGGAGTTTGTTGTGTAGTAGTTTCTTCTCTCTGATTGGCTCCACCAGAGGGCATCCAAGATCCTAAGATAACATATCACCACGATGAATTCAGACATAAGATTAAGAAACCGGAACTTAATCTGAAGACTTGCAATATAGCAGGAAAGAATGGTTATACTTAGAAATTAAGTGTAAAAATAGCACCTGTGCGTATTCTTATCTCAATATTTCTTGGGGCAGAGGCAAGCGATGGCCCAGTAAAAGCGCTAGAATGTGCAGTTCCTGCTTGTAACCCTCCAATACTTGCTCCCAGCCGAGAGGATTGGGACTACATGAATTAGACAGAAAGGTAAGGGTGAAAAGGACAAAGAGCACAGTGGTAAAGAATAGAGAAAAAAAAAGAGAGACCGACCGGCAAGGGATTTCTTCCAGTAGGGGATATGAACACTGCAGGCCCAGCATTAACAACTGCATCATCCTGACATTTAACATAACAAGGGGCTTATAGATGCTCGGTATATCATATTCTGTGAACAAGATTATACGCATAATAACATAGAGTAAAAATTGGAAGACTCGGATCCATAATATGTAGCAAAAGTATACACACCGGTGTTTGTCCCAAACGGAGCATCATGGTGGCACGGCCAAGCTCCAGAAGTAAAATGCCTAAATTCTCCAAGAGGGACCCTGAATGAAGCATGTTTGACTGGCACAACCTTCGGGTTGACGGATCAGTCACATTTCTATGATCCAAGAGCTGCCTTGCGACATGCTGCAGAAGGAAAAAATACGAAACGGTTATTCTTGTTTCCCTGTCTGAGTAACCAATAGTTTTTGCTAACATTGGTTAAGACTGGTCATAATAAGCAAGGACATAAGTGGCATTCTGATTAGATTGCAGGAGACAAAAGTAGAAGAGCATACAGATATGCAATCTGCTACTTCACCGGTCAGCAATTGCCTTGTCGATTGTAATACTTCTGCTAAATGTGATGGTCTTGGGATCCGACACTCTTCAGTAGTAGAACCAGAAGCTTGCACATTGCCCATTGAATTTTCAGAATTTTGCAAGTTATTAGCGTTGCTGCCTGAAAAAAGTCACAGTACCACTATCAGACTCTCGAGACTTATTCTCAACAAAGAACCAAACATAGAAATAAGTCTAACCATTAGTAGCAAATTCTTGTCTCAGATGATTCAGATATTCAGATAAGGTAGTCAACGAATCTGGAACCGCCTGCAGTGGCAGAAGTATAACGTTCTCATGAGCAAAAATATGATGCACCTAATTCGCAAAAATTGTTTAACATAAGAAATGGTGGAAAAGGAGAGCAAGTACTGCTGGTTGTGAAGATGTCAAGGGGGTAGACGTCTGATCCATAGCATTTGGTGTGACAGATCTTGCTCCAGAAGAATCTCTTGCAGCGTCAGGACCAGAACTCCGAGACAGCCTCTCATGAAGAGGACCCTGGAAAACAGAGGGAAGTCGTTTACATCTAAAACCGATTTATAAAAACTCGCAGGAATTTATATGCAATTACCAGAGCCTCAATCCCTTCAAAAGCACCTTCTGTATTAGAGATGCCAAGTGAACCCAGAACAGCTGAAACAATCTGCCAGACATAAAACATAGCTCATGAAACGGATCTCATCTATCTAAGACATCAAAAAAGAAACGAATCAAACAGATAAAAGAGTGCCCACCTGACCAAGGTCTGAATAAGCTCCATCTGCTTGCTCAGCAATGTTGAAGGATCCTACTACAACTCGTGATCGTTGACTGCCCTGGCTGTCACCGGCACTCAAAGCAGGATCAGCCGCTAAAAAAAAAAACAAGTTCTCCACTTAGCATGTCGAAAAAGAATCTCACGAAAGGCATTGACAAATGCAAAACTATCATGAGAATAGAATTTCAAAGATGTTAATGAACAATTTTTGGGACAAGTGAACTTGAAACAAACCTGCATTACTAGCTGCACTCTCTGATAATGGTGGAATGGGTTGTCTGACAACCATATGTAGAGTGTGGCCATCTTCAACATCTAAGATGGAATGGACCCGTTAAAGAATTTAATCCGGAAGCAGAAAATTCAGGCTATCATACGACACTAAAATTGTAATAACAAACGAGGAAGACAAAACCAAGGGTTTGACAAACTACATCAGCAAACAAGGGTTCCCAACTGAAATGAAAGCTCTAAAAGAAGGATACGATAAGCTGATAGGAGTTGGTCATCCTTCATTACTTGTCCACGACATATTAAGCGTTGTTGTTCTGTAACAACGCCAGTAACGGAAGCAATTTGCTCCTTCAATGCGGGAACAGGGACCTGAAATGAAACGAGGATACAGAAAGCAAATATTAAAAAAAAAAAAAGGTTATAGGTCATAGACAAACAAGTTAGAACCACAGTAAGGGCATAAGTTCCACAATTTAATCAATTATTATAGATTAGAGACTTCACTATGCAACACATAATTGCGGGGAGAGAGAGACGTTTCAGGTAGTATGCTCAAAGTGAAAATAAGATGAAAACGAATATTACAGTAGAGAACAGGAAACATCAAAGAAATGTCTATTACGAAGTTTATCTTACACATTTATCAACACGTAAGGTGTGCGTTTGAGAATCCAATGTCTTTATATTTATCTCAACCATGGCACTGGCACATTGAGATGCCTCCATCTCGCGGACAATAATTTCATCTTTGCCACTCTGTCCCATCTTTTCAAAACTCTTGAACACCTGAAAACAAAAATAAATCCATCAACTTACATTTAGCTATGTGAGCTGCAATGTATGACTAAACAAAGCAGATAACTTTTCCAACAAAAACTGTATCTGTTGAAGAAATTTTTCATTCCCACGAAAATTCATCCAATTCCTCAAGGAAACAACCTTCACGGACATAGAAATCTTAAAAAAAGAACAACTTGCAGGAGAAACAAGAAACCGCAATAGCTTTGGCAAAGACGAAATCTTTTGGCTAAATCTCCGAAAATTCGTCAAGCTGGACAGTGCGAAACCAATTCTTTAATAACTCCAACTCGAAAAATAAAGAAGACGAAGAAGAAAAGAGATAAAGATATGTGATCATCAATAAACCAGCTGCGCAAACTCAACTTCGAGAACTAATAAAATTAAAATAGCAAAAGAAAAAAAAAAGAAAATGGTACCAGCTGCGAAATTCAATCAAGCACCAGTAAATTTGTATGATTTTCGGTGACCAAGAACAGAAGAGTCGATCTAAAACCCTAGAAAAACGAAGAGCAAGCGAAGGGGCATCATAAGAAAACCAAGAAAAGGAAATTATCAACGGAGAGAAATCAAAACCTTAGAAACTTGATCGGAGCTGAAGAGAAGAGAAAAGGGGAATTTTTGGGGTAGATTCTTTGAACCCTAGAGTCCCTTCGAGGCTCGAAAGGCGATTCCGCGGCGAGGAGAGTGAGCCTGAAAATTACCGATTTCTCTCAAATCCGCCTTTCTTTCTTCCTCTTTTATATTTTCACGTGACAGTACATTTTAAAATGTCATTTTAGAAAGAAAAAAAATGGCACCTAAAGTAATTTGGTGAATTAATTTGATTTGGCACATTATATTAGCAAATATGAGTGCTAATTTAGTTTATATTTAAACCAGAATACAAGGAGTTTAAAGAATGAAATATTCTTAATTTGGCACATTAGTAAAGACTAAAGAGGCTATCCATTTACAGAGATTTATGAATATTTGGAGAATACTGGTTCTAACAATCTTTGGCAAATAGAGTCAAGGCAAAATATGTATATAGCATATGACTAAACAAAAAAAAAAAAACAAAATTTTGTTTGTATTTTTTTTATACGAAGAAGGCCTTTTCTTCCACTTCCTTTAACAAAATCTTAGAAACGGCACACATTTCTTCAGAGTGTCCTTAGCGTTTGCAACTCACACAAGCCATTCTAACTTTTATCTCTACCACAGATATCTCCGACTCCGACCCTTGGAGCATGAATTGCGAACGCAGGTTGGGTACCATGTTCTTCATAACTATTAAGCACATTGCTCCAAGAATTTGACCCTTGGAGTAGACTTTGTTAAGATTACACGTCATGGGATATGTTAAGAATATATATACGTTCACAACATATATAAACGTACGCCAGTAAATCCCAAAGGAACTAATGCAGTTTGTCTTCACATTCTTTAATATCCTTCCACGTCTCTTTCGGATCGTCACACTTTTGGTTCAATTGTGGTAAGGATCCACATGAATGTGTTGTGGCCATGAACCCATTTTTCTTATTATGCATCTTATTTTTGGTTTAAGAACAGCTCTGTCGATGTATTATAATCAAATTTCTTCTTTACGTGCAAGACAAATTTCAAATCCAAGCTATATTTCCACAAAAGAAAACAAAATCTAGCAACGATCTACAAAATCCAACTTTCCTATCTACAATATTGGATCTCGTATGATGACACATATATATGTTCACGCATATGAATTGTGAAAACTCAAAGAAATATGAAATCAAACAAACGATTGGCTTTGTCAAAGAAAAACAAACAAAAAAAGGGGGGAAATTGTAGAATTCTTTGCATGAATATAATAATCTTCAGATTTCAAGATAGTGAGTTAGTGACATTCTAATAACAGTGACCATAGTTTTTCTTCCGACGGCAGCTATATATCATCATATATATATTGTTGAACAAATAGTGTATTACACATTGATCAATTGTTACACTTTACCTTTCTCATTGAATAAAATTACCCACTATCTCTTACCAAAACTACAAACATCATGTTTACAAAAAATAACCCCTACGTAGAGTTCTAAATCTGAGAGAGGGGTTAAACCAAATAACTAATTAAAGTCAACCCAGTCAAACCCCTCCCCCCCCCCAAAAAAAAATAAATAATTAAGGACTGCAAACGAGTCAACCCGGTCAGACCGATCCAAATCAGATTATATCTGGGTTAGTAAAGTCTGGGCCTGGATTCTGTATAAGATGTTTATTGGGTTGGTTCGAAGGAAGTTGTGTGGCCCACGAGGGGATGCTTCTCACACCCTTGTATATTTACTAGATTAGCCTCTAATCGAGTCCCAGAAATAATTGATTGATTTTTAATAAGATGGAAAAAGAAATGATATAGATCTAGGATACGACATATGACTAAATCAAACTGCGACTATTTAAGAAAAAGGTGTGATTAGTTTACGAATTATATAAATAGGTGGCAGTGTTTATATTACTGTGGTAATGATTAGACTCCCGAGAGCGGTGGCTTTGGGTTTCACTAATCAATAATTAGGCGCACCTAATTGGCCTTTTCCGCTTAGCTGGAGTCTACTGTCCACTCTCTACCATATCATTAACTATTCTATTCTTAATTAAGCAAGCACTATGTTATCAAAATATCTATTCAAATAATTTTAGATTTTCTAACATGTTTTTCTGAATGGTATACATATTTTTATCTTAATTTTGAACAAAATAGATTCTTCATCGATCATGTGGCCTACAAACACTTCCTAAGCACAAGATAATTTTTGTCTTTTTTTTTGTTACTTGTACTAAACAATGATAATCACATTAACCACGTTATAACTCGACTCCATTGTAGGAATTTGATCACCTTTGAGGGGAAAACAAAATATTTTTGTTCACTTGTCGTGAGGCTGACGAAAAGTGGATGCCGTGTGGGTTTGATGGATTTCAAACGTGTCATAGTTAGGCCAATGCTTAAAAGATTTGGTTGTCCCTCAAGTACTTGCCAAACATGACACAACATTGTGATCTGCTTTGTGAGTTGTGACCACTATCAATATTATTAATTAGCCTAATTTATATTTTGAATTAATTTTTGTAGATTAGTCGGAACTAACCGTAACCGTTGCAATGTGCAGTGAACCACATTTCTATTTATAATAAATTGATACATTATAATTTGATTGCATCAACTATCTTCTTAACGACATGAAATGAGAATGTGGACACCTTAAATTATCCGTCTTCCGTTTTAGACATATTAATTAGCTCTGATAGGAATCATTTGTGGACGCGGTCAGAAAAGCATCAGTTACCCAATAGAATGAGAATTAAAACAAGATAACCGTCTGTTAACTGAAAAATGTTTACAATATTCGTTTGGGAAATGAACAGTTGAAAAATGAACAGAGGAAGTATCTTTTAGAACCTTAAACACCTTAACTATTCAGTCCCTTGTCATCAAAAGATAGTTAAGGTTTTTTTTAAATGTATTACAGCTCATGTTTTAAAATGATAGGATTAAATCACACAGGTTCACAGTTGCAACCAAGCAACCTGATAGAATATTCTTAAAGTTTCTTTTTGACAAAGAAGCCTTCGAAAAAATAATTCGTGGAAAAATTCTGGTATATAAATATCAAAATTTTATCGATATGAGGAATTTATGGCAGTGAAAAGAATGTTAGTTTATGTAGAAAATTTGTAGTTACCAAAAAATTTACTTTACAAGTGAAAGATGACACAATTAATCTGGTAAAGCATACATCAACAAAAGATTACGTGCAAACGTTAAAATCTTTTTTCTTACATCAATTAAAGTCCTTCATAAACCGCTATTTTTTTATATATATAAAGCTGCTGAGTATTTTGTATTGTCTTATTGACGAACAAAAAAAAAAAAGATATTTGTTGTACTGCTTTTTCTCCGATTGTTTTAGTACCTTCGTCTTTACTACTAAAAAGATATTTGTTCTTACAAAAAAAAGATATTTCTTATCAACCAAAAAACGAAGATATTTGTTTTGCTGCTTTTAGGATAGTTATTAAAAATATATTTGTTGAGCTGCTTTTCCGATCGCCAATCTGAGTCAATACCAAAATTTATTACTCGAAGAAAAATCTTACATAAAATAATTGTATAATGAAGTCTAAATTTCTAAAACCATATGACTTGACTCCAAGGCCTTGAAGACTGCTTTAAGACCAGCAGTTGAAAGCACAAACTCAACCTCTTCGTAATAAATTCTTTTTTTCTTATCGCCTACGGTAGATACACTAATCATGCACCATACACTAATCATTAACTAGTCTATAGGTAATCATGCACCATAAATTTACACTGAAATCAATTTCATATTTACCATATTCAAGTGATTTTATTCTCGCTTTATGTTAGGCCATTGTAAATCCTCAAAGTGCAATGAAAGGAGGATTGTATTTTTCACTGGACTATTACATATTTGGGAAATAATGTTTCTTACTGTTTGTCTAACTTACACATTTAAGTTTATTAATAATTCCAAGCAATATATGGCCTTTGCCAACTAGTCATCTTCTTTTACCAACCTATAGATGTTTCCTATATAAATCTGCCTCAATATCAATAGATCTGTTCACCTTCCAACTCAAAACATAGCAATAACTGTATATTTTGTGTTTAACATAATTAACCTCATAGACAAAAAAAAGGCCAACTGAACATAAAACACTGATTAGTAATCTAATGATTTTGTTATATTTAGTGGCAACTGGCAACATTGATTGTCAAGTTCGAGATCATTATAACTTTGTCGTAATCAATTCATTAGAGACCCCATACTGTTGTGTTTTGGTTCAACAACTATTTATGCCATGTACGGATAACATTTTCAATATTTATTCACTAATACAATATTACGTAATTTAATTATGAAAAATAACTGAAAGTCCTTTAACAATTTTCTCTTGAAAACATGACTAATCCCGTAGAAAAAGCAACTACAAAGTATCAAAGATCAAAGTTGTTGCCAATTTTTATGCTTGTTTGTCGTCAGTTGATGTATAATGCTAGAAGTTAGATTCAATAAAAAAAAAAATCATAACAACAATAAAAACGACGAATCAAAAGAGCTTAAATGAGGATGAGCTAACACAATCTTTAGCGAAGAAAAGACTCGAAATATACAAGAGGGGAAAAGGAATACGAGAAAGGGAAATTCAAACACACAAAAAGTTAAATTCACTCGAACTCAAATTATTGTACTTTTAGGTCTGAACTCCATACTAAATTTCGTGTTTCATTTACTCGTTTAATTTAACTCTATACTAAATATGTATATTTAATTCATACCCATTTATTATGTCAAACAAAGTTGTCTTTTTTTTTTTTTTTGATAGACAAAGTTGTCTTTATTTGTGCTAACATTTCGATTCTTTGCTTTTAAAGACAAACTGGATCTGTAAACCAATAACAACCGAAAATTTGAATACTGATCTATTGCATCAACACGTAGATTAGGGAAAAAATTTATATCGGGTATTCATACGCCTTTAACAATAAAATATTCTCGTATATGTAAACACGTAGATGGTTCTGTTTGTTAAAGAAAAGGAAGTCCACGGACCACGGCACTATTTTAAAGACCGATTCCTAAGTTTGATTCGAGTTTGAATTCTAAATAAACAGCCCGTGTCTCTTTCTCCTTTTTAAATGAGTATAATAACATGGTCACAAATTGTCAACTTATTCGCATCGATTTTTATTCTGAATACGACTTTTTGTTGTTGGGTTGGACAAGGGATGCCTAGTTGTTACTATTTCTAAGGGTTTACTTTTCGATCGAGACACCATTTTTCAAACGATGCATTAATCTTACATGTTACCATAGATAATAAAAAAAAAGGAAATGTCCTGGCAACAATAAGATTCTTTTTGATATACAGACAGAATTATCATTTTCTAAGTTAACTTTTATGTAAACTAAGGACGAATGATTTAGGAAGCTAAAACATATGCCCCCAAATTATCTTAAAGATTATGAGTTATTGAAATTTAAACATGCTTATAAACATTATTTTTAAAATCAAAAACTACTTAGATTCTTGTTAGTTCTTCCAACTTATAACGTTCTGGTTTTAGTTTCCTCATGCTAAACTTGATTTTCTTCTCAAAGTTTGGTGAGATTTTTAACACTAAAAATAACTCTTGACAATCTTCCGTTAGTTGCTAGAAACCGTGGGCGGATTTTGGAAACAAGCAATGAGATATAGGCTCTAAATGAGTTGATGATCTTACACGGGTTGTATAAACTTATAACTTACGACAGTTGCTGGAACTTGTTTTGGTCGTATTAAATGCCACATTTTTGTTGCCAACGCTCATATATATGCAAATGTTTTTTTTTTTTTTTCAGCCATATGCAACATTTTCTTTGGTAAAGAAACAATTTTATTTATTTTGTTGACAACCATTTTATTTGTTTTGTTGACAAACATTTTATTTGTTACAAAACAACAGAGAAGAGTATGAACACAAAAACAAATAAAGAGTGTTCGATAATAAGTTAAAGTTTTAAAAGAATAAAAAAATACTTCTTTTGTTTGGTAACACTGAAAACTATGAAATCATGATTTGTTTTTCCGTGTAAAATAGATTGAAAACTCAATAGTTAATTTCTTTACTATATCCATAAAATATTACACATACACAAAACAAAATCACAGGCGAATTTCATTAAAATTTGAAAATAACTGATTAACTAATATGATCCACAGGCTATAAATATAATTTTCTACGAAAAATAATCAATTTATATTTATTTATCTGGTGAGAAATAAAATATTTTCAGTGAAAAATTAAGTCGAAATATAAACAAATTCATCTGAAGAAATATAAAACAAAACATTCTGCTTCATTTTGTTAAGCATGCAACATGACAGAACATACATGAGACTTATGCAAAATTTATATAATTGGTAAGAAGAACTCACAGAATCATAAAATAGTTTTTTTAATAGATTTATCAATAAATACATCGGCTAATAAATTGCGCGGGTAGTTTTAAATATAGAAAAAAGCATCAGTGAGTGAAAAAAACTATCAGCTTCAAGAGAAAAAGTTGTCCCAGCTGGAGGACTGCTAGGGTCACTGAAAATGAAAATTTGGCCCTTGCGAATAGAGGACAATGGTAGTTCCGTAATTATCTACAGCTTTCACGGGGTAATTTCGTAATTTACAAGCTGACCGTTTCTCGAACCAGATTACGTGGAGGCATTGCTAGTGCCCACAAAAGCACTCTGCTGAATCAGCCGTTGGATCAGAATCCGATTCTTTTCGAGACGGCAAAAACCGGCAAGTTGGAGAGCAAATCAAAAAGAAAAAATAATTCCAAAACCATGTATACTTAACAATGGTTAAGTCAATTAACCCGATACAATTTTTTTCTTCAAAAAGCACGAAAAAGGTCACGAGCTTTCTAGATAATCACAGAAATGCCATCCATCGTTTCTAGCTATAAATTCGCATTCTGAGACTCGCTAGGTTTGCCGAACCAACCACCCTCCGGGGACTCCTAACAGAAAACAAAGCTTCCTCTCTCTCTCTTTTGTCTTCTTCTTCTCCAAGTCTCTCTTCTTTCGATTTTGAATTTCTCTACAAACAAATGGCGATTACATCTTCTAGAACCAGATCTACCGGGCCGGTGCTTCGCTCCGTGTCGCCATCAGGCCGTTTCTGTGGTGTGTATTCGAACGGTGTGTCGTCTCCGTCGTCTTCAGGTTTCGCTTCGTCCACAAGCTCCAGCTTCTCGTCGCCGTCTTCAGCTTTTTTCAGCAACCACCATCAACAGCACCACAGATCCGCATCTCCGACGCGCGTGAACCTATTCAAATCGGCGCCGTTGACGCAGTCGTTTCGTTATTCGATCGATAACAGATCTATATCGCCGAATCGATCCATCGCTGTTTCGAAGCCTAGCAGCAATAAGATTCCGGATTCGAGGAGGAGATGTATGTGTTCGCCGACGACTCATCCTGGATCGTTCCGATGCAGTCTACACAAGAACGTCGCGAATCCACACGGCCAAGGCGCAGTGACGTATCCGACCAACAGTTTGAACATGCGTCGATCTGCGATGACGAATTCTCTGGTGAGAATTGGTGGCGTCGAGGGTGAATGGGTGAGAAGAGCGTTGACGGCGTTGATAAGGCCGTCTTCGCACCAGCTCAAGAGACGATCTGCGTATCAGCCTCGACCTAGCAGGCTATCGTCCATGTCGAAAGCAGATGATCTTTGATCTGGTTTTTCAGGTTTGTTCTTGTTTTTGAATCGGCCTCAGGAAATCATCGTTTCTGGTAGAGCTTTGGTTCCGAGGAGGATGATAGATCCGGCGAAGAAAGTCTGGATCTGAAGAGAGCTGATACTCGGATCTGAATCAAAGAGGAAGCTATTCGAGCTGAGTCATGCCGGAGCAGAGTATTGTAAAACGGAGACCGAAACGACACCGTCATAAGTTTTGTTTTGTTGGGTGAAGATGAGAGATGCATTGTACATAGTACTCGTTTGCTAATCAAGGACACAATATTTCCCTAAGTCGAAATAATATCTAAAAATCGGATCAGTAGTGAAATTTGGTGGTAATTAAAATCTGGAAAAGGAGAACAAATGGGACTTGGTTAAATATTTTGGATCCAATATTGTCAATCCCCGTTGAGTTTTGCATCGTTGCCTTCACCGTTAATTGTTCCGTCAACGTTCTCCACGCCCGTTGACCCGTTCCGTTTGCCGTTAACCGTCGTCGTGTCTCCCGTTGTGTGATCCATTATTATTCCAGGTATGCGTTGTTCGTCGTGAGAGGTATGTATTTTTCGTTTTCTTCCATTTCTTATTTATTTGACTAATTCCGTTTTTATTTTATATTTTGTTTAACGTTTTTGATTGTTTTTTTTTTTTTTCAGGTTTCGTACAAGAACATTACGTAGTCTAACCGTTACCTTCGTTTTGGTTTTCGTGGACTTGAAAAAAACGAAATTGGACTGTAAGAAAAATCAACATTTTGACCTTTAGAGAAGGAGATCTCGATAGAGAATAGAGTCAAAGGAATGAGGACAAAATAAGTATCGAATTTTGGGACGAATTTGTGAATCAGAGAGATCTAGATTGCCTGAGGAGATTCTTGAAGCCACTGAAGGTAGAAAATATACTAAATAATCAATAGACAAAATCAGATATTTCCAAAACATCTCAAGAAGGAGATGAAGATGGTAGTTAATGAAATTTGTGAAACTATTTGAGGGTAACTATGGAACCCGTAAAAGACTCTTTGGGGAGCATTTGAGAAAGTGACAGCTGGTTGATGAATGGAAAACAGCAAAGCATGAACTTAATTTTAAGAAACAAATCGAAAAAAGAATATACTATTCGGTTGGAGATTCAACTAATTTAAAAAAGGGCCCTTAAAAAAAAGGTAGTGGTCAGAATGAGAGTATTGGCAGAGACACGTCTTCCTTATCTGGAGGGAGTAAAGTTCGAGTAATATAATGCTTTGGTTGATTTATATAGGGAGTCCCTGATCAGTTAATAAATTTGGCTTAGCTTTGATTTGTTGACCGAATTTAGGATCTCTCTAAGTACTAGGTTGTAACCTTTTCCCGACGGTAGATGAATCAGTTCATTTTTTATGTTGGAATATACTTTTCTACGATTTGAGTTTTTGTGTGTATGTGTGTGTGCGCGCGCGCGGGTGGGTGACTCCTAGTTTTCAGTTTTTTTTTTTTTAGTTTTCGCAATTATCTTATTTCATTTCATTTTGATTGTTATTTTTGGTTTCACACTTCATTTTAACTTATCTAGGTCTAAATTATTTCTCGCTAAAGAACTATCTGTTAAACTTTTTTTATCTGTTTGGTGTTCAAAAAAATAATCTCTTCTCTTTTTTTTTTTGCGCTGTGCTAATTTTTTTTTATAAATCTAAGTAAAAATAAATATAAGGAAATTAATCAATCGATTAAAAATATTGATATTTGGGTGTTTGGAACAGATTTGAACATTTGGAGCTTTTGAAAAACATATTTGTGTAAACGTATTATGTTTACACAAAAGTACAAAACTATCACTATCAGTTTTAATCTAATATATCAATAGAACCTTATTAGGATAATAATGTGGGATTAAAATGATGTAAGCATTATCAGGATGGTGAGAGTTGTTTGCAAGATAAGATTCAGCCGACCTCCTAACAAAGCAACGGAAAGAGGATGAGCATGTAGGCCGCTGGACCATATCTTATCTTATATGCCAATATGATTTTGATACGCCAATTATTTTCTTCAAACAAGTTTACGTCATCTCTCTATGGGTCTCTCTTTTGCTTTGGCCTCTTCCTATCTTGAGTTGCGACTTTGCCAAGATTTTCTCTCTATGAGAAATATATCAATCTTTCAAAATTTTAGGCTTATTTGCAACGAATTTAATTTTCTGCAACCTTTGTTCTTTTATCGCTTATACATCATATCCTATTTTCAGGTGTTTGTTTTAGCTCTATATCAATTTTTATTTATATATTCCGAGCACTGCCAATGATGGTTGATTCTCTTTCAAAAGGTTCTCTTATTCAAATGGAGTTTTCAGATAAGAAAATAAATACATGATGTTGAATGGAGGCTATCAGATTCTCATCCACTCGATACCAGCTCAGCACAAACTAAGCAACCACTATTTGTCTACTAATGTGTCCGATCTTTATCTTAAAGGCGCTAATAGAATTTACTACTTATAATGATGTTATGTACTATATGACGCGCACACACATATATATATATATAGAAATACAGTATACATGTATATTTTTGATACGAACATTTCTTTGGTGATAACTAATTATTTCAGTACCTAAGACCACCTCCAATGGTAAAATCTTAAAAAGAGGTTACTAAAATTAAAAAATTAATATTTTACTATAATTTAATTATTTGATTTAATTTTTATGTTAATTAAAAGAATAAACCAATCATTAATTGACATGTGTAAAGCTTTATGAGAGAGGAGTTCTAATATAAGAGTTTTTAGACCAGGTCCATTGAGGTTTGTTAAATGGGTTTGGATGGGTTTGTTAAGTTTTTTTGAGTTTTTTTTTTTAAAAAAAATGGACATAGGTTATGGATCGATCCTTACACAAGGATTTTAGGGATCGATCCATAATACAATTCACGTGGTGAGTTATTACTGGCTGAGGGAAAAAAAAAACTTAGATGCTTTTCTGGGTCAATTTGTTTTTCTCTCTCCCCGAAAAAAAATCCCAAGCCGAGAACCTTTCCTTCTCGAATACGATTTTTTGTTCCCTCAGCGAAATCTCTAAATCACCGATCATCTCCTAAACGACGACCAAAATTGGGGCTTCTATGAAAGATTAATACATATGCGTAGCTGGGTAAGTTGTTTTTATCAATTTCGAAGTAGTTTGATATAGTTGTAGAAATTAGGGTTTTATTATTGATTTGAGGATTTTTTCTGTAATTGAAAGTGGAGTTCTTAAGACATCCTTTACGGGTTCACTAATAGACCATTAAAATGATCAGAGTTTCATAATTTTCCTTAAAACAAAAAAAAACTATTAAAATATTTTTAAGGATTCCTAAGTGGGTTTGTCTAATGGACATGCTCTTAGAACCTCTTTTATGATCTCTCTTTTACTTTTTCATTTTTTTAATTTAATTTATAGTTAAGAGTTTCTCCTTCAACCTCTCTCATTAGAGGTGTTCTAACGGCCTAAGACTCTTTGCTAGGAAATATTTGATCTGATGGCTGGCTTGTCCGACCATATGATGATATATTTGAATAGTAATTAGGTCCAGCTTTTTATAAATCTATTGATCATCATTTATCTCTTATTGTAAAATAAAATAAACATAACAATAACAAGCAAACATGGTAAAACTGCCTAATAGACTCTTACATGCATGATCTAGATATACAAAAAAACATTAAGAAACAAAAATACCTAAAATACTAAGGTTAATAGCCTATTAAATTATGTTCATGTTGCTTTCAGAACTTCGGTCAGCATGCTATTATCCGAATTTAAATTGATATATGTAATGGGTATCCACACCGAAGGGAAAACAAAAGATAAAAGCAACAGAGTAATAGACGATCGGATAATGTCTTTCGATTATAATGTCAGGCAATGAGTATTTACATACATTCATGTACTTTTTCACTTTATCCAAACATAAAACCAAAGCAAAAACCAAATTTATTTAGCTTGGCATTTAGTAACCAAGAAAATAGGCGTTGAGATGTGAAAGGAGTCATGACCCACAATCCACAACAGTTTTATGACACCACATGTGATGTCTGATGAGGCCACAAAGAGATAAGGTTATTCGTTTTTGTATTGTTTTGGGTTTGGCCATTTTCACCACCAAATGTCAAATCCTTTGAACTTTATGAACCTTTTTTTTTGTCAATTTTTTTTGGAGGCATCACTTTAAGGTTTTCTAATCAGAAGTTAGAAACTCTTTCCTCTTTCGCATGCATGACCCCCACATACATATGTAATCCGCTTTTGAGATTTCTATCACGCAGTAATCAAGTTATTTAAGATGCTGTTAACTAACTTTAACTATACACATCTTTTTTTTGGTTTAATATTAACTAAAGTTTTTGGACTTCTTAAATCGTTCACGATCAAAAACATGTTTAATGCAAATTATGCAATGTAGTCAAATTTAGCATCGTCCTTCTATATTCTCTCGAATATGTAATACAACACTAGACTTGACTATTGATCCTTAATTAATAGCTTAAGAGATACAGTATATACCTTTCTGAGCATCAAATTTATTTATGAAGAAAGTCGATTACATCGGGCTATTGTCTCAAAAAGCCCATATTGTGATGGAATCCTCCAACTAATTAACGTTTCTTGGAACAAAATAAAAAGGCGATATAAGCAAAATTACATGTTGCTAGTTGCTTAATGTTAGGATATCGTATATCGCTCGATGATGATACTCTGTTTTGATGGCTCTAATAACTTATTGCGAATTCAGAAGATTTGCGTACATCAAATCATCGACCGTAGATCTCCCCTCTAGTTTAAACGTGTTAATTAACTAAAAAGCCCAATGTCATCAATTTTTGTCCAATTACATTTTCACTTATATGGGCTTTTCACTTGATCCGTTGGGTTTTCGGGAAACCCAGATGAGCTTTTCACATTTATTTCGGAGTTACCAAAAAAAAAATCTCATAGGAGTTACGTACGTTTTTTCTATAATCAAGTTGGATCAGAGAGTATCGTCGAGTTATTTTTGAGGGAGATTCAAAATCTCTAGTGAATTTACTCAATGGATTCACACTCAACTTTGGAGCTTACAACTGAATTCAAGAAGTCAAGGAATGGAGCAAGAAATTTGAAGACATCAACTTTGTTTGGCTAGCAAGAAATGGAAATCAACCAGCCGATCTTTTGTCTAAGTCTCCAATTCAAGGAAACGGAAAATATATGTTTCACTCTCTAATAACTGCTGTAATAACTAATGTTAACGACGTTTCTAATTATGTTTGTTAGTTGGTTAGATCAGATAACCAAAATTACTGTATCATTAATCCTAAACCTATAGGGAAAAGAAAATCATAAATCCTAAACCTAGTGTAGTTTAAATAAGCATCGCAGTGATTATAAATATAAATGAACTCGATTGATGAGATAGCCTTAGAGGGAAAAAATCAGTAAAGCATTAATCAATTAAACCCCATAATTATGGCGATGAAATTCTGCGCATTCATCCCATATATATTCTGACTTGCATAGTAGTCGGCATAAGGGATTGCAACTGCAATATGAAGACGAGCGAGACCACAATTCACTTTTGTAATTTTTTTATTGAGGTTTCTCATTAGGGTTTTGTTTTTTTTTCCGATACGTTGTTTTGTTTCAATTTTTATTTTGTTCTTTGGTTATTTATTCATTGAGAGAATATCGTTCTAAATAAATTAAACCGCTGATTGTTTTTCTTTTTCTACGAGGTGAACAACCTACTGAGATTTGAACTTTGTATTTTAACTCGCTTGCTGTAGCATTAGTTTTAGCGTATTGTTTGTGCTACGACTTATTATCATATGGCCACATTTGCACTTGTAATCGTTGAATGGTTCGCCTAACTTTATCTTACATGATATTTGACTAAGGTATTTCGACAAAAATAAAATTGTTCGCAGGTAGCCACTTTTCAAAATCCATATGTCCAAACAAGTCCGTCGGGAAAAAAGCCTGGATTTATCTATCAAAAAGACCTTGCACTACTTTAAGATTAGCTATATCCAGAGGTTAACTTAATGAATTAATTAAAAAACCAATAAAATGTAAAACCTACCATCCAACCCGCTGAGATAATATTGACCTGGTTATTCAATCCACTACCTATGTATATTCGACTATATATATGAGGCTTGATCTTTTCCAACGTTCAGCGTATATCCATTAAAGAAAGCTTCTACACCATGAAATGGACCATTACGTGACCTTACTCCAGCAATCTACCAAGAGCCGGTTACATAATTAATGGCTTAATACTTGAAATATACATATACATATACAAAGCATTATTAGATCTACCATATTAGGAGGTTGAGATGATTGCTTACATGTGTTCCAGGACTAACATCTGATAGCGGATGAAAATACTTCTCAGCGAAAATTTGTGGGTTTGTGATGAATTCTTTTGTATATCTCAATGTAGGACCAGTTCCATCTGGACCTATTTTCTTCTTATTAGATGTTTTGATGTTGCCGGTTTGATTCTTTTTTTTTTTTCATGTATTGAAACTGATGGTTTCATATTATTCAAATGATAAATTGTATAGTCAATATATATCACATTAATACAAGTAAAAATGTAGGAGGCAAAATCCTAGACAATGCACCTGTATGTTGTGGGTTTTGAGCAAGGGATGATCAAGTCCTGGTTGCTTATAAATATCTATGCAATCATATGTTACATTTTCACTTATCCGATTAGGACACAAATACATGGGAATGAACCAAGTCATCCATTTATAAAAGAACAGGTGATGTTAAATTAATTACTTAGTAGATCAAAATAATAGCAGGAAAGGTCAAAGGTGTGTCTCAAGTTATTTGTGTTTTAAGCAGATCGTGAAGGATCTGAGAGGTATTGTACTTTGATCGGAACGAACTAGGTTGTTGCGAACAAAGGAGATTAGCTTGATGCTCTTTTTTTTTTCTTTCCTTTTGTGGTAATAAGCAAAGGAGATTAGCTTGAATTGCAAGAAATGCAGAGCCAGAAATGTTAAAGAAGAGAGTGATTTGAGAGTGATATACAAGTGGGATAATGTATAGTCTTTACAACTAGAGAGCAAAAAATAAGCAAAACATAAGGACAAGTTAAGCAAACAAATAAGTAAAAGACAATTTTATTCACCAAATCATAACATGTGTCATTATTAATTTAGAAAATCATATCATATGTACTAATGTAATATATAAATTTTCATATTGTTTGTTTATTATTTCTTAAAAAACTTCAATGCAGTCTGTTGCTATGAACGAAGAAGGTTAGTAACTCTTTTTTGCTTAACTCGTCATCTGCAATTTTTTGTCGAGGCTGAAGTAGAAAATTCTTAGATCAAAAATGATGTCATAATCAAAATTTTCATCATAATGCTATCGATAGTACCAATGCTAGTAGTAATGCTAGGTTAACTTTTAGTAACAAAAAGATGATAAGGTTACAGTCTTTCAGAGATAAGTTACAAAAATATTCTCACTGCTTAACCTACGATAGGTTTACTACAAATATATACCGCTTTTTTTTTTCTTCCAAATTTCAAACCTTTTTTAATAGGGAACTTTATGGATTTTTTTTCCTCTATAAGCTTAGATTTCTCAATAGATACTAAATAGGTGTTAAATGGTAAGAAATCGGTGGAAATTTAGAAAAGGTATTACTCATTAATTTTCCTGTTTTAATATGTATACAGTGTATGTTAGAATTTAACAAAAAATAAAAATAAGGAGACGTTAGATGAACCGTGGAACGGAACGGTGCAAATTATAATTGTTAAATCCAAACATTCTTCGCTATTTCAAAAACTCCATTAAACCATAATACTAGAACAAACTTCCCTCTCAGAGCAGAGAGGCTCACTTCTCTTCTTTTATTTTCTCTCTCTCTCTCTCTCTCAATTTTCCCGGGAAAGCATTTTCTCGGAAAAATCAAATGCAGAACAAGGAAATGGACAAGTTTCAGAGCAGATACACGAGATTCGGTTTAATGTCGATCTTCATTGGATCAATCGCACTTGTATTTGTGATCTCTCGGTGTTCTACTTCTTTCTTCGACTACTCTCTTCGGAAATTTGAATTCTCGTTCCCAGAAAGTGAGCTTCCGAGAAGCGTTTACACATCAGGAGAACAAAACAGAGTCGTTGATTCTCGAGACGTCTCTCAACAACAGATCCTCTTCATCAGATCGAGTAACACCAGTGTAAGCGTTTCTTCGTCTTTCTCTCTCACTCTCTCGAGCAATTTACTCTGTTCAAAATCGATTTTCAAAATTCGAATTCCCTTGAGTAAATTATGCAGAGAAAATTAGCTCTTAAATCTAAGTCATCGCTGTTCTCGAAATCCGAAACTGAGAATTCCTCTTCATCGTTAGCTTGATCCGTTTGCTTAAATTCAAATTATCGAAAACCATGTTATAATTCGGCGATTTTGAAATTTGAGATTTGGTTTCAAAATCCGATGTTCGTTCATTCTATGAATCAGTCGCAGAGGAAGCCGAAGAAGCTAAGTCGGAGAAAAATGGTAGAACAAGGATTGGGCAAAGCAAGGGCATCGATTCTCGAAGCAGCTTCGAATCGTGACGCTACATTGTTCAACATCGACCTTCCCAATCCACAAGTCTATCGTAATCCCTCTGCTCTATATCGGTACGTTATTATGTATGTGTTCATGAATGAATTTTAAATTAGAAAAACAAAATTCTCACACTCCAAAAGTTTGAGTTAAACTTTTTCTTAGAAGTTAGAACTGCTCTGCTTTAAAGTAATTGCGCACGGCTAAATCTCCGGGTTTGCGTAGATTTTAATCTTTTTTTATAAGTAATCTTCTAATTGACGCTAACGAGTCGATGATTTCGAACCAAAATTGATTTCGTTATTGTTTGTATCGAAAATTCACACACACACACCACTAGTTTTGTATCATACTCTCTGAAAAAGCATCTTCCAACTTACTTATTATTCATGATGAAACTCAGCTTTATTTTTTTTTTATACTAGGATTTTGAGAGAAACTCTTTTACAAGCAATCGATTCATAAAGATTATAGGATATGCTATTGTAATTAATTAACCAGTCTATATATACCTTAGGCAGTGTAATTAACCCAAAGTCTGCTACGATTTAAGGTCTGTTATGTGTCACTTTCAAGAATTATACGTCACTTTCTTACAAATTGGCTTTTATCAAATTACGGCTCACTGCTAAAGCCTACACTTACAGTTTTCAACATTTTTGTCATGATCTGATTATTAATTGTATGATGGTCCTTAACCACCTTTAGTCAACAATACTTTTTACTTAAAATGTGCCACACCAAGTGTCAGGTAGCTGCAGTCTGCAGCAATAGATTAGTTGAGATCACGAAACAATGATTTGTACAAGAAAATGTTATTAACAATTTTTTTTTTTTTAAACGAAATTCCTTTTTTGTGTTGTAGGAGTTACTTGGAAATGGAGAAGAGGTTTAAGGTGTATGTATACGAAGAAGGCGAGCGACCGTTAGCTCACGACGGACCGTGCAAGAGCGTATACGCGGTCGAAGGCAGATTCATAACGGAGATGGAGAAAAGGAAGACCAAGTTCCGTACATACGACCCGGACCAAGCCCATGTCTACTTCCTGCCTTTCAGTGTTACTTGGCTGGTCAGATACTTATACGAAGGCAACCACGACGCAAAGCCTTTGAGAACTTTTGCTTCTGATTACATCAGATTAATATCCATTAATCACCCTTTCTGGAATCGAACCAGTGGAGCTGATCACTTCATGCTTGCTTGTCACGATTGGGTAAATCAACATTGTTTTTCTATCTTTTGTTTTCCTCTGTGTTAATCCAGAGTTTGGTATAAATGGGTTTCCTTTTCCTAATGCAGGGACCTCTCACTTCAAAAGCAAATAAAGATCTGTTCAACAAATCAATCCGAGTGTTGTGCAATGCTAATTCGTCAGAAGGGTTTAACCCTACAAAAGACGTGACTCTACCTGAGGTCTCACTCCACGGCGGTGAAGTCCATCCGCAACTCAGGTTCTCTAAAACCCTAATGGCTTCCCCACGGCCACACCTAGCGTTCTTCGCAGGCGGAGTCCACGGACCGGTTCGACCGATCCTTTTAAAGCATTGGAAACAGCGTGACCCGGACATGCCCGTATTCGAATACCTTCCTAAGCACTTGAACTACTACGACTTCATGAGAAGCTCTAAGTTCTGTTTCTGTCCCAGTGGCTACGAGGTAGCAAGCCCTAGAGTCACCGAAGCCATCTTCTCCGAGTGCATCCCTGTTATTCTCTCTGTTAACTTCGTTTTGCCCTTCAGTGATGTTCTTCGTTGGGACACTTTCTCCGTACAAGTTGACGTTTCAGAGATTCCTAGGTTGAAGGAGATTCTCATGTCCATCTCTGACGAGAAATACGAATGGCTTAAACGTAATTTGCGGTACGTGAGGCGACATTTCGAGCTTAACGATCCACCTAAGAGGTTCGATGCGTTTCACATGACACTTCACTCCATTTGGCTACGTAGGCTTAACTTGAAGCTCACGTAAGGAGAACGGATCATATAGGTCATATATATAAAAAAAAACTGTCCAGTTAGGTTTATCTAACTCATAGCCTCAGAAAGTGTAGTACCTTAATGTTTAGATATCATGGAGAACATATATTTGGTGTTATTACTAAAATAAATGGTGAATTATTCCAACTTTCTAATCAACAGAGCAAAGCAATTATAAAAGACCTAAATCTTTATACCATACCGAATTACTAACTATATCAAATCATTTGGTTGGGACGAAGTTGTGAGAAAGGCGTTCGATTTGTGACCGTAGGATCTCACCGAGCGAGAAACGGTGGGGTTGCGGTTGCGGTTGCGGTGCAGCCAAGGCTGGCTTCTGTTCATGGGTCGCAACTCTGTCTTTTGCATTGTCTTCGTTCTTGACTTCAAGATGGATTGGTCTCATCTCTTTCTTCACTGATTCCACAAACTCCATATCGATTTTGTTGCCGGAAATATCTCTGACGTAAAAAGCGTTGAGCGATTTCTGGCCTTGCGTCTCCACGTCTGCACGGACAACAGTCAAGCCGTTCTCACGGAGCACACGAGATATGTCAGAGAGTAAGCCTACTCTGTTCTCTGCGCATAACTCCAACTTCACCCCCTGCATATTAGCCATACACCACACACCCAAATTGTTTACCATTCTTAACTAGAATCCAACAACTTGGTGAATCTTCCTCTAAAATTTCTTCTGTCTGAAGCATTCCAAAGTTAGTAATTCTGGATTGATCTCTCCTAGTTAACACATATAAATGTTAACAAAGTTTTCTTTTTTTTTTTTACCTCGCAAACCCGACGTTCTATAGCAGCTTCCAAGCATTTGATCACCCTTTCTTTCTCGCCTTCTGTGTTCAATGCGCGTCCATCTGCGTGTCTTATGAAGTATTCCTACAAGTTTTAAACCAATACATAAACATCAAACCCTGAAATTCTAATAATTTGAAGGAAGCTTTATTCATGGCCTACCTGAAAAGCATCAGCTCCATCGGACCTGAGAGCGGCGTGGAAGATGACGTATTGCATATCAATCAACGTGCAGATTGTATCAAACATGAGCCTTCTTCGATCCTTGGACTTCACTGTCACAATAGAGTATCCTCTCTCTTCACAATTCCCAATCGAAACTCTTGTTGTCTTCCTCTCCTTCTGATCACAGTACTCTAATTTGGAAGACAGTAACGCCAATGAAGAAGGCCCGTTAAAAGGTACGTCAAAGTCTCTAACAGAGAGCATTAGCTGATGCAAGCGTCTCTCCACGTTGGTATTCATACACCCTTTGCCTTGTCCCGCAAGAAAGCCATCCATCTCGTTCTCCTTGTGACCCACGTGCGTAGAGTTGGAGGCAGGATCCGCTGTGGCACGGATCACGGTACTGAGGTGGTCCTCAATGGAAGCCAAGCGGCTTGGGTCATCGATGGGAGCGTGAGTATTGTCGTCAGAGACATAAGCAATGCAAGCCAAGCGAGCGTTGTGGCTCCAAGCATGAGCTTCTAGAACGTTGCAATGTAAGTCCGCGAAAGCAGCGAATATCTCTGAGAAGAGGCCCGGTCGGTCTGTTCCAGTCATCTCTATCGCTGTGTGCTCGCCGTGATCAATCAATGGAGGTTCCAAGGATATGTTGTTTGCATTGTTATTGGCTTTACTGGCCTTTACAGATTCGGATTCTCGCCTACTCGTACCTATGGTCTACATTATGAATTTATCATGTCGTAAGTACACTCAAATCAAAAATAAACATGGTTTAGTCAAGGATCCAAGTTTAGGACAAACATGTTTGATGTGGTTGATGACGGTTTTGTCAGTGAGTTTATTTCCATGCTCGTCTTTAACATGGAAAACTGCATCCAAGTGAATTTCCAAAGTGAAGCTATATTGAATGGAGATATATAGAATAAGCGTAAACGAGAAATATGGATACGTACGTACCATCCATGAACCATCCACCATCGGAAGAGATGTAACTCTTGGTGATGATCAGATTCATGTCTGTCAAGATTTGCACCACTTCCAGAAGAAGCCCTTGTTTGTTCTCACTATTCACCTTCATTATTAACCGTTTTAGAGGGCACCCAGATCAGATATGCACAATGGAAACACAATACACAAGAACAATTGGTCTGCAACAGCCGTTTGCGTCCATGAACACCATTTCATTCTCCTAAAACGTTAAAAGCTCACGCAATTTTGTGTGCATACCTTCACAACGGTGCAATCCTGGATGCTGTCATTGTCAATGTAGACCCTGCATCTGTCAAGTACACACACAGAGAGAGAAAAAAGATGATGATGATGATGATGATGAAAATGTATACAAATTCACTGATATATACACATTCTTGTTCAAAGGATTTATAACGGAGGAAGAGAGGAAAGAGCTTACGGTGGACCGTATATGCGTTCACCAAGATTCTCAAAATCAGGATCAAAGTAAGGCCAGCAAACTTTCTGCATTGTCTCTACCGCACGATCTGTGATTCCTGTATTAGAACTAGGAAAAGAGATGCAAGAGGAAGGGCGAGGAACCGATTCCTTATCTAAGCAATGTATGCAGAGAGCGTGTTTCCACAGGTTTGAGTTTTTGTATATATACGAAACCGTTTAGGCAAATAGTGTAAAGGAAAGAAGAAAGATAGGTAAGAAGTTTGGTGTATTGGACAGAGGAGGCGATGAATCAAGAAGAGATTTCCACCTTCTAATCCAGAGGATTTGACAAGATAGTCATTTACTAAGTTTAGCTAGGGGAATTAGTGTGTTATAACGTGTGGACGAAGTTCGTTAGGAGAAGATAAAACTTATTAAAAAATGATAGAAATTCTAATATAGATACATTCTAGGATGATGAAAAAATCATTCTTGATTTGATTTATATAGTGTGTAGAGTAGCAATATAGGTCAAGAACTTTGTCAAAGTCAAATACAAGAAATGGTAAGAGACTTAGTGAAAATAAGGTGTTCCTTGTTTTCTTGCTTGTCTCTCTCATCTGATTTGTTAATCCCCACATGTTTTCCTAAGTTTTAGGAGACAATTAAAGTTGCAAAATCTCTGTTAATAATACCAAAATCATTTTCCAAAATGAAGTAGAAGTGAGAGCATTAACTCCATGTGAATAATTTAGAAGCCACATACACAAAAACGTGTGATCTCTTTATCCAGATCATTTGGCTTTGAAACGGTCTACAAAATCTTTTAAAAATGCAAATTTCCCCCAGATTTACAAAATACCATAAATTACATAACTAATTTACTATTCAATACTTACACCCATATGGCGAAAAACGTGTAGTTAGCAGTAACACTACATAATATATTAAAAAGGTAACTTAAACCATATTAAAAGGCATCCATGAAGAAATTAAGAGATGGGACCTATCCAAGTGGTTACATATCTAAATTGTGATAACGAATATACATACCGACCGCTAATAACTTCTTCAATTAAAAACGAAAAACCATTACTTATAAGAATCTGAACATGCCTTCAAATAATAACGTCGATGAACACGGTATAGCAGAGCAAACTGCAAACAAGCATTGGGGGCGTAAATCAACGATTTAAGAATATACACTCTACTTAAAGCCATTACATAAAGTTGAAAAGAAGGCATGCACATTACACAGCGATGACACAAAGCTCAGCTCACACAATTGAAGCATAATATCAGAAACTTAAGTTGAAGGGAGAGCCAAGCGTATCCTTACCTGAGGCATAAAGTGTTGGTCTGAGGCAAGTGAAGCCCATAGCGACGTTTACGATCACTGCTTGTATGCATTCAAGTATCCTGCAGGACGAAAAAATTACTAGTGGAGATAAGTCTTGAGTTTTTTTTTTCAAGATCTATAGGAGAGGGTTACAGTTTGAGCTTGAGCTGAATCAATTGCACTTATTTATGTATTTCCTCAGAAAATTTCCAGAAACCTAATTGGAATTATTTTCCGTGCAAATCTTTTAACAATATTGGCAACCAAAACCCATTTAAGCAAACTTATGGCGTCCTGTGAGAATCATAACATTTGAGGTAGAAATATAAACATCATTTCTTCTTGTTCATCAATTGAACTGAATAATTCTTAAAAGACAACCATTATACCAATGCCTAAAATATCTTTTTCCCAAACTAAATAATGAAACTGAACAAAAGGTAAAACAAGTACTCGAATCAAAATCGAAACAGTAGAAAGTAAAGCAGTGCAAACTCCAAAACAATCACTTAAACCTGTAGAATCAAACTCCGTATCTGCTTCACCCAGTGAGCTCGCATCAAACTCCGCCAAAACGACTCGTACGGCCACCAGAAAATCCTAATTCGATCAATCAAAAGATCAACTTCCGATGCTTTCCGAATATTATCAAGTCGTCTTGCATGAACTGTGATTTTGAATTTTGAGTACTCGCAGGATTTCACGGGAGAAAGCTTCTTTCCGGTGAAGGAAGTAAATTCTGAGAAATGTTAAGTTGCCACTGATAAGATTTCCTTCGGTCCACTCTATGTTTATTGGGCTTCAAATGTTTTAGGCCTGTCACAAAGCTAGGCCCATTAGTGATAAGGTAGCAGACATTATTTACTACCACATCAGGGTAAACAAAAAACAAAAAATTTTACCTTGTGTTATCGTGCATGTGTTGTGACTTTGGTGGATTGGATTCCATACATATATAAACGTAACACCATAAATTTCCTTCTGCATTAAGAGGAGATACAGTACAACTTTCATTCAGATTTCTGAAAAGTGATTAAGTAACAGATATATATATTTTGACTTAATAAGTCTGACTAACTTGAAGTTTTTTTTTTTATTATGAAGTTGAAGAACACAACAATCCATTATTTCTAACTTTTGATTCTCTTTTTGATGATTTATATAAATTTTTAGATCTTTTAATAGTTGAGCAGGATGTGTAACATAAGGTGTGATGTGAATGATTATGTAACTTTAGAAAATTAAATGAAAAGAAAAGAAAATGTGATTAAAGCATCGTAAAAGAGTATGTAACAAGAACCAAGGATCACGTTTTATTAACCAAACGGGCCATGAAAAACATCAAAACAAATAAAGCTTCTTACCTTACAAAGTACAAACAATGTGAAGCGCTTCCTTTTTTTTTTGTTTTTTTCTGTCCGAAAGAAAAGTAAAGTGTTGGCCTTGTATTTAAACGTTTAAACGAAAAGATTTTGTACTCACTGTTAAAAAAATCTAATGCGACGATTACATTGTGTGGTGGTAAAGAAAAAAAAGTCATTTTAACATAAAATGTTGGCCTTGTATTTCGTTCTACTTGTTTGTGTGCCTTTAGCTATCATGATGACCTTCACGGCCCCCCGACTAGCCATCACTGTTGCCATTACTCAGCCGGCCTTCTTAGTAATACAAAATTCCAATAATACCCTTACACCTCGCCGAGTAACCACTTCTCAGCCACTAGATCACGACGACTTGCTCCTTAGCCAAGCTTCAAAAGTCAATCCAAACCCTAAACCTAAATTGCCCAAAAAACTCGCTTTCATGTTCTTAACAACAACGTCCCTTCCACTAGCACCGATTTGGGAGCTTTACTTCAACCAAACCTCTGATCATCACAAGTCTCTCTACAATGTATACGTCCATGTAGACCCAACTCAAAAACACGAACCGGGTTTCTTCGGCACGTTTCATAACCGGATCATACCTTCCTCAAAACCCACTTACCGGCACACTCCAACACTCGTCTCAGCCGCGCGTCGTTTACTCGCTCACGCGCTTCTCCACGACCCGTCAAATTACATGTTTATCCTCCTCTCCCCTTCTTGCATCCCACTTCACTCCTTCAACTTCACATACAACACACTCGTCTCTTCCACAAAGAGCTTCATCGAGATCCTCAACAACGAGCCGGGGTGGTACGACAGGTGGGCGGCGCGTGGACCTTACGCGATGCTCGCGGAGGTGCCACCGGAGGAGTTTCGTATTGGCTCGCAGTTCTGGACATTGACACGAGCCCACGCGCGGATGGTCGTGAGTGACGTGGAGATATGGTCCAAGTTCGACAAGGCTTGCGTAAGTAACGACACGTGTTACCCGGAGGAGCATTACTTCCCTACTCTCCTCCACATGAAGGACCCACAAGGATGTGTGTCGGCGACGCTCACGCACGTGGATTGGAGCGTCATTGATCATGGTCATCCCCGAACGTATAAACCGTCGGAAGTTGGGGCCGGACTTATACGGAGGCTGAGAAGTGCGAAGCCCAAGTACGGCGACGGAAGAAGCCGGACGAGAAAAGATCCGTTTTTGTTCGCCCGGAAATTCTCTCCGGCGGGGATCAGTTCGTTGATGGACATAGCTCGAAACGTTTTCTTAAATGACTGATGTATTCGAATCTTCTCAAAACTCTCAAAATGAAGTTGAGACTAGGGTAATATTTATTCAAACTCATTATTTGAGTTGAAACCTTGAAAGAGTTGATTTGGTTAAGTGCTTTTTCTTATGTATAAACATTTATGCATCGATGTAAAGTTTTATGTTTTAAAAAGAATCCAATAAGGGTTTTGTTACAAGTTCAAAAGCTTATTTTATGACGGAGACGTCAAAGCTTTTGTAGTGGCGACCAAAAATATTACAAATATTTGATATAATTAGCAAAAAGCAAAATGGTAAAATTAGTAAAAGAATGATTGAAAGAGAGAAGAAATCACAAGAAACGCGGCTGACCCTAACTTTCTCAACAAGGAATCTTGGCAATAACAAACAAAACAAAGGAAGCGTAAAAACCTCCATCAACTACACCAAAATTTCGTCGTCTGATTCGAACCCCAAACGAATCAGACAAAATAGAAACACACTCATTCGAATATTACCAAACTTTCGAATCCCGGTTTTAAAAATTTCCCTAAAAATTCATTTGTGTCTCTTTCTAGTTCAAATCTTGAAACCCTGATCCATCAAAGAGGATGCTAATATCGTGTTACATAGGGTTTCTAGATTTTCATTGATCTTGTTTTAAGGAAATGGGAAGCTTTCATCGCCGGACATTTTCTTACGATAAACTTCCCACCGAACCCATTAGGCTTTCCGTTCTCAAACTAGATGGCTCTTCCTTCGGTAAATGCATCATCATATATTATCTCTTACGTTGTGCGCTCACTACTCGTCAATACTCGTTTCGTTAGCTTTATTTTTTTATATATTTAATGTGTGAAGATGTTTACGTAATGAGCTCGGCAACCGTTGGGGATCTCAAGCTTGCCATAGAGACTGCCTTCAGTCACGTCCCCAAGAAGGGACCCTCCAAGATATCTTGGTACATGCTTGAATTTTTATTACAAATTTTCTCTTCCATTACGGTAAATGCAAATGTTAAGAAAGTGTTTTTTTTTTTTTAATAATGATGAAGGTCACACGTGTGGGGGCATTTCTGCTTGTGTTTTGGGGGTCAGAAGTTAGTCACCGATACGGAGTGCATTGGAAGTTATGGGATGAAGGATGGTGATGAGGTTTTGGTTGCTGAATTTCATCTCATTTTTGTGATAAGTGTGATATAAAAGAGGTTCAGGCAGGAGTGAGATTCGAACATAAACATAACTCAAGACGTTGTTGCATATATGTTTCAGGTAAGGTTTAAAAACCATGTGTCGGGAAATGCAGTACTGAACAAGGGATATTCTAGGAAATCCAAGCAAAAGATTTCGTAAGTGTTTTTCTTCTTTAATGATTTTGTTCTTGGTGAATAATCAATCAATCCAAGAGGTGGATAGGGAACAAATTAATATCCTGATTCGTTTGCGATATCCGTGATCCACACAGTTTTTATCCGGACTGTGACAATCGAATCCACGCCTTTTTGACTCTAACCAACTAAAAAAATTACAGAGAGAGGATAGAAGCAAAGGATGGAGATGATGAAGTGAATAGAATGGAGAAGATTGATGATCACGATTCTTGGGATGATCTCGAGAAAGGAAGCTTCGTGAGGTACGGAGATGATCATGACTTGAAGACTTCTCCAGGGGAGAACAGGTCTTGTCTATCCACTGTCCGAGGCTGCTGCTTTGCTTTGGGATTAAAGGAGCTTTTTGGGTTTGCCAATGACAGAGCCTATTACTCTTTGAGGGATACTTGGAGAGACGATTGATTTTTTCTGTGCTTCTCCATTTTTGTTTTTCTATTTGTAAGATTTTTGGTCGCAGGACACTATACATTATTTGTAATCACAACAAAATGATCCAAGGATCTTGTTCTATTACAAAGGATAGTATGTTCAGGGAAGCTTATACAATGATCAGTAGTAGTACAGATAGTGCCTTTAACAAAAAAAGTGGAAAAAAAAAAACAGAGCTTTTGGCAGAAACACAACCTAAAAAAACAACTCCGAAGAGCTGTAATGGCGGCTACGAAGTTACACCGCCATTGCCAAAAGCTCTACAGGGGCGAAGATAAAGGCACGTTCACAAACCTAAACCAGAGAACAAGGACTCCCACAAGAACTTGACGGAACAGGACGAAGACATAGAGAGACAACAACTCCAAAAAGACGGTCAAGACCAAACCCTAACTAGATTACCAGCACTCACTCACAGGATTCCCATAAACACAACAGCTGTAGATACAGGCTCCTTTGTTTAGAAGGAACCTGCTAAAAATTTGAAAAAAACAGCAGCTGCGTTCTGGGAAAGAAACTGAGTTGTACGTGAAATCTATGGGTTTAGCGACCAAAACCTAGAAAAAGACTTGACTGGATACTAAGGTTTTGCAGAAAACGTGGTATTTTTTTTAGTAAAGTATATCGCACCTCCATAGATGTTCCAGAAGGTTATCCACAGTGCTGCTGCTGATTCTACCACATCGTTGGATGTTTAACCCCAAAAGCGTGCGGCCTAGTTTTTGTATGCATGCCTTGCTTTTGTCTGTAATCGCTGAGCAGCCGCCAACAGAAAGCACCTGAAGATTCAGGTGGTTGGGAGAAGATGCCAAAGCCTTGATCCCGTGATCTGAGACCAAAGTATTTGAGATGTCAAGGTCACTAACTGAGTAGCAGTTCTTGGCCACTGCGACAAGGCTTGCATCAGTGATGTTCTTGCAGCCATCAAGGTTAAGAGACTCCATAAAGCGTCCGTGGCACATGGATATTGCAGAGACTGTGTTGTCTGATACATTGATACATCCGCTCAGATTCACCTTCACTAGACCAACATTGTTGCTCTGAAGCAACTCGAGCACACCTGCATCCGTCACTCCATTCAATCCAGAGAGTTCAACATCCTGAAGCTGATGACAAAACTTCCCCAAGAAAGCGAGACTTGCATCCCCAAACCCAGGGCAGCAACGGATTGACAGAGACCGTATGGAGCTACAACCGGTTAACTGCAGAGGTGATTCCGGGTTCAAGTCCTGGATGCCCATACAGTTTGCCAAAGAGAAAGCCTTCAACTTTGAACCGCAGTTCGTGAGAAAGCCCAAAAAACCAAACTGGTTGATCCTGTGGCATTCCTCAAGTTTCAAACTTTCCAGCGACAATGCAGATTTGGCCAAAGCGACAAGTCCTTTGCCAGAAACAAGCAAGCATTTGTTCAGAGATACATGCTTCAGATCAGGGCAACCATTACCAACAGCTTCGAGCCCAACATCCGTCATGCCTCGGCACGACATTACTGAGAGGGACTTCAGTTTCTTCATCCCTTTTGCATTTGCCATTACCCAGAAGCCTTTCTCGTTCACACCTTGAAGGCCATGAAGCACGAGATCAGTAACTGCTGCTCCGTAGTGGCCAAGAACGGCAAGAGACAGACCCGTTATGTTCAACATCTGGAGTTTCACTTTTGTCAAGTAAGAACCAGCTTGGGCCAAGAGGAAAGCAACTCCTTGATCTCCAATGCGTGGGCAGCTCCTGATAGAGATAGATCTCAGATTGGTACAGCGTCGTGCAATAGCCCTTAAACCCTCGTTTCCAATACCAGAACACGAGTCAATTGTCAAATCACTCAGATGCAGGCAGTTCTCGGCGATTGCAACCATAGCGTTGTCGGTTATTCCTGGACATCGTGAAAGGTCAAGTTTCTCGATCATCGGGCATGACCGTGCGATCTCAGACAGACCAATATCACTAACTGCAGGCAGATTCCACAGAGATAGAACCCTAAGAGATGGACAACCATGGGCAATAGATCCAAGGCCAACGTCTGTCACTTTGCTGTCAAAACCACTCCCACGGATTTGAAGCTTCCCTAATCCTCCGCGCGTAGATGTCCCAACTGAGATCGCTGACAGCCTCAAATCTGTGGCTTTCTTACCTTCCAAACTTCTTGACAAAAATCCTTCACCCTCCACATCTTGAACAGACTCATTCACTTCACTCCTGCTGATACTACTCAAAAGATTAAGCCAGTGCTTGGAGACACAAGCGCAGGCGCTCCTTTCTTGGCCGGAAGGCAAGCGTCTTAGGATCTCAAATAGACACTCATCAGGCAATACTTCGATTGAAGTTTGTTTTTGCTCAAAACCGATTTGAACTGACGGTGCAGCAATCCGCAATCTCTTGCGTGCTGGGAAATATACGCCGGGACAACTCCCTGGCGATAGATGCATTGATCCCCCAGGGAAAAAATCTTCATCACCTATAATCGAACAAGTAAAGATCGATTATTGTCAATCGAAATCTCAAAGAAGGTAACTTTCAAAGTCGAAAATCTTTCGCACTAAGCATAGGCAACAGAATTCGTGAGAACAATAAAAGCGACCTGATGTACAGAGAGCACATCTACGAAATGGAACCAGGGAGAGATTAAGCGGATTAAACCCTAGAACCTAACCAGAAGTTCCTTATCAAATCGTAGATTTCCTAATTAAGCCAAGGAGACAAAAATGGAAAGTAAATCGGGATTCTAAACTATGCCGAGTAATATAAATAATGATGATGATCAAACCATTCCGAATCTAATATTCGGCTAATCAAGTAAAGAATTCAAGAGCATACCACTAAATCTGAAGATTCCAGACATAATTCCAACACCGTAGGAAGAAACTCCAGGAAGGTAGGTGAGAGGACGAGAACGTAGACGGAGACTAACAGAGCAGAGACGGTGTTGAATAGAAGACAAAGACTGAGATTCATGAAACGCGAAGAACCCTAGAATATAGGGCAAAAAGGAAGAGAGAAGAAGATTTACAGAAGAGAGATAAAATTATGAGATATAACAGAAGCAGAAAAATTGAGAAACGTCTTTAAGGATGTGGAAGATGATGGAGGGCGTACGGTGCGCTTTAATGTAGGGAATAAAAGCCAAAGTTCAATGTATACACGCGAGAAAGTCGGATTTCTTCTCTACCTTCTTTGTTCCCAAGACCCACCAAACCCAATTGTATTTGTAATCATATTATTTTAATTTTTTTCCTGACAACAGAAACATTATTATAATAAATTTTAAAAGCATAAAGAAAGAACAAATGATTTTATTTCATAAAGTTTTGAATGCATTGAAGTTGAGAGCTAAAGGTTGACAAAAAAGGCTGAATACATTGAAGGACTGGAAAAGAAATGTCGAATACATGCATAGTTGACAAGAAAACATTGAGATGTCGACTAGGTTGAATTTTATATTATTCAACTTGGAGGAATTTGGAAAAAAAAAAACATGACTGTAACAACATTAGTTATTGTTTATTTGAAAAATAATACCAAATGTTGGATATCTCGTAACATGTTTTTTAATGATGGGGATAACATAGTCCAAATCCATGCTAATCTTCTATTTGAGAAATATTTAAAGGTTCTTGGCTTCGATTTGTGAATCATATGAAAACATAAATAGGTAATTATGATATTCTTTAACAAAATGATTTATATAATATTCCTTTAAGGGGTTTATTCATCTATAAATTTTACTATAAAAATAGTTTGATACATTATTTATTGTTATTTAATAATTTTTTTTGAAAGAGTTTTTTTTGTTATTTAATAATTGATTACAAATTTCGCATGAGAATCTGATACTATAGTAGATATGATATATTTGTAAAATTACAAAACGGTATAACCGATTCTGCACTGTCCATCTCAAAAAGCCTTCTATTATCATGGTTTAATTTCATTTCTAAATGCAAAAGTTAAGTTCACTTAGGCCAATTTCAGGTTAACTAGAGAAAAAAAAATTTGATTTCTCAACCTATTAATATCTAATATGAACTTTCATCCCAACTAGTATTTTCACTAAGAGAAAAGCCAACAGATCTCCATCATGTATACTAGTGACAACATAGTCACAGTTAAACAATTAGTTAACTGTTGTTTGTTATGGTGGTCATGTATGTATATTATCAGTAGTTGCATCATCATTATTGGCAAGCTATGTGAACAAAATAATAGAACATGTTGATGTGTTTTTAAAAGAAGAAAAGTAAACAATATTATTGTTTTTGAAAGCAGCGAAAGTGATGGTTAAGGTTGACAGCAAATTTTAATACATTGAAGGAGATTGTTCGAGTACATGCATTGTAGATAAACCATTTTTTGGAATGATAAAAATTGTTGACAAAGCATATGTAGGTTGAATTCTTTGAATTGTTATAGATCTTTCGATTGAAGGGAAAATAACATGATCGTGACGACATGAATTATTGTTTGTTTGAAAAAATTAAACCAACTGTTAGATATGTCGTCGTTACATGCATAGTTTTTTTTTTTTGGTCAGTAGTTACATGCATAGTTTATTTAATAAATCTCTAAGAAAAAGCATGCACACTATATTCTACATGAATAAGTATAATGTTTACAAGTTTATCATTCCAAAGAGAGATTGCATCAGTGAGTTTTTGCCAGTCAATAATAATAAAAAAGCATACATACTACAATCTACATGAATACGTTTAATTAATGTTTATAAGTTTTAAATCCAAGCGAGGAAAACCAAGGATGAGAAAGACGTAGAAGACATGAAAAACGTCATTTTGATCACAGACATCTACAATTTAAACAAGAATTTACTTTCTCGCCAATAATTGATTTTAGTCGGATTTGTGCTAACAATGGGTTAGATTTAGCAAACCATTAGTCCTTCCAAAACGATATAATACAGATTTTAGTTTTATTAAAACATTCAAATACTAAAGATAAAAATAGTGGTATTGTATACTGGTATTAGAGTGTTTTTAAAAAATCCGGAACTTGGATGGATACCTATCATAAAAAAAGGTAATAATGCTCAGAAAAGAGTAGAACCACTTGGGCCATAAATTCACAATAATACAATTCTGAGTATAACTGAAGTCGAGTATTGAACCCAAAAAAAAAAGAAAAAAAATCGGTATTTCCTTTCAACGGGAAATATTTGAGTTCCTTGAGAGTTCGTTCACTTTCAGGAAGCCAAGACTAAAGACAATCCAAGTTCTGGAATTTTGTTTTTCTTCTTTTGATTACACACATAAAATAAAATAAAAAGAAGAGAAATCAAGTTACAAGAGTTGCAAATCAATCATACAAGCCCTCTTGCTCCCACACATCCACCAGAAAATCCACCATTTCCTGCCACAATAATCATTACAACCTTCAACAAACCCTAAATCACATATATAAAATGTAGAAATTAGCAGAAAAATGCTTACAGGGAGAGGTATTGGACGAGTGAACCGCTTGTTCATACCCAACAAGCTCTCATACGTTGCATTCCAGCTGCAGAAAACGACATATTAACTCAGCAAGTTTGATGAATTATTCGAATTGACAAGAAATCTGATGGTTAAAGAATTATCCATAAACTTTCTGACTTCAAAACTGTAAGAACCTCATCTTCTATAACCCAAAATGAGCCTTAAGGACTAAAGAGAAGAATCTATCACAAGACACCGTTCTTGTAACAGCCTTTCCTACGCCAAGCTTTACATGCTACATCAATGGCGTCACGCAACTGATATTCTATTACTCATCGAGCCCCGTTCTTTAGATTAAGAATATATTCCTACTATTCTCCAGTTAAGAAGTTCAACTACAATGTTCGGTGGATGAGAAAGTAAATATTGATGGAAGCATTGATATAGCTAACAACTGAATTCATGTAATAACTGGAATCTTACTTATGCATATTTCTTAAGCAAGAAAAGGTATATAAATATAAATGCATGATATCGATTTTGAATATATTTGTAAATGGCAAATGATTTTTAAAAGATGAATGACAATCTCAACTATCACAAACTTATAATTTTTGTTTTATTTTTGAATGCACATTAGTGGATACCCGAACCAAATACTTTTCAGTATTTGATTCGTGTTCTTGGTAGAATTAAGTGAAGAACTACACTCATCAAGTATTAATGAATATGCAGAAGAGGAAAAGAAAGCTAACTTTCACCAACCTTATTGTAGGTTCTCGAAGTTTGGCCTTTGTTTGTGAAGTTCCATTTGCAAGCCACTGTTGTCTAGTTTGGTTCCAGAGGTTCAATCCTAGCCACGAAGAAAGAACAGACACAAGATTTCCTTAGGGAAAATGACAGCATTGAAGAACAAGAATGAGAGAAAAACAGAGCAGAGAACCAGGAAGCAATCTGAAAGTCGAAGAAATAATGTGTCGAGATGCAGGTCAAAACACAGCAATACAAAAGAGAAGTGGATGAAATAATATTTCTGTTTGGAAGCTTATTATGCACAGGTCAGGTTGAATTGCTGGTAGGTTTGATAGAGAAAATTCAGCAACAGCCAACATCAACGCATCATGAGACAAAAGTTTTCATGTTAAAACAACAAATATTTTCTAGAGAAATGTGCCTTTATATGCACTTTTCCATAGTAAATCATGAAGTAGGGAATATCCGCTGATTGGGAAAGCTAATACCATAAGTAGGTAGTTTCAAAGTTGAATAAATCAGACCGTATTAAAGCTTTGAATTAGAAAAACAGCCAAGCAAATATAAAGCGAGAAAGGAAAAAAGCAATGTGTGGAAGTCTCATCTCACCGTTGTTTACAAATTCTGTGGGGTTGCTTGTACTTGCAGAAGTAGCGGTATTGTTGGTGAAGCTGATAGAAGACATGCTTCTCTGAGACTGCATTGTGCTGTTATCCATTTCGCAGGTGCTTGTGCTCCAGAAGTCGTCTGATACGCTTGGTTTCTTCACTAAACGACCTTGAATCCTTAACCCTTTAGAAGGCTCATCCACTGCAACTATAAGCGGTGGTTTATTGCAGCATCCAAAACAACCTCTGTACTGTTGCAAAACCACAAAACAAAAAATGCCAGTGAGAAGACTTTTATTAGCGCTGCTGGAGATCTGTTGTAATTAGGAGATTTGCAAGAACTAAGGAATCTGATTTGGAAGACCCTTTGCAGCCACAACCATAGATTCCACAGAGACAGAAAGAGAAAAAGACGGTTTTTTTACAAACAAACAACTCTGACGAAAAAAGGGACAAAGGCTTTGTTAGAAAAAACAGAAGAATAAGAGTGGAGAAGTATAGATGTGATTCAAGTCACATACTGTATTTATCCTGTTAAAATTATGAAGTGAAGTTTCATTGATGATCTTAACCAAAGCAATATAGCAATCCAAATTAAAAGACACTCACAAAACTAAAGAAAGCAAACGATTTTAATCATGAGATAAAAGACCTAGAGCAGAACCAACAATTGAGAGTTGCTTTGATTCCACTTTTTTTGCTTAAAATGCAAGCAACAACCCATATACATCCACAGATGCTAGAGGGAGATAGTGGCCAACCAAGCCTACAAATTTAAGGAAACAATATAGCCACAAATTCTCAAAAGATGATGGGTCAAATTTAGATTTAAAGTTTAAATTTTTACTCCATTCTCGTAAGATTCATCTTCCTTAATTTCTCAGTCATACAGGTAACACAACCACATACAAGGAAAAGGCGAAATCATTAATTTAATTTTGTTGAAAGTTTCAATTCCAAAAACTTAGAATTGGGAGAAAGATCCTCACTCACCCCATGCAACCAAATAACTGGTAGATCCAAGAGGGAATATATTCACGGATATGCATTTACAGCAACCAAATTAGCGATCTTCTAATCAAGACCCTGATCCCAGGTAGGAGAAGTCTCACTATCCTGCAATTCAAAAACCCAAAATTTTCCATTTTGCCAAATCAATCACTGAATCGAAAAACCCACTCTGGTAATTTCTTCTGATGAGAACAGAAAAATAACCTCAAAAATGGCATATTCAGGGCAGATTGGGATTAGGGTTTTGTTCCGCCACCTCCCCAGCAGCTAAATCTAAAGCCTGCTTGGTTCCGGAACAGAGGCGTCTTCTTCTTCTTCTTCTTCCTTCTTCTTTATTCGACTCTCTTTTTCTTCCTCCTCCTTGTTATTCGTGTGTGGTGGTTCTGCAACTCCCCAAAAGGAAGGAATACAAAAAAATCCGTTTTTTTAACAAAGTAAATTGTCCGTTATTCCTATTAATTGTGTACTTTAATAATAAATAAATGTTTTGAGATAGGGAAAATATAAACCATTTATCAACCTTGTTCTTATATGATTTTTAATCAGAACTTTTTTATTTTCCTTTTAATAATGAAGTGATTATATCAAAGATATTTTTTAGATTCTTTACTAAATTTAAAATTTTGTTTGTTGGAATTATGATCTAAAAAGCAATAATTCACAAAAGCTTTCCTTTTTATATTTACTTTAATAAAATATAGAAAAGAAAGATATTCGTGCATGTGCCAGCCATTGTGATTAGGCACACATTTTTTCTGTTTCTGTCAACGCACATTAGTTTCCTTTTGTTACTGTCACGATTTCATAAATTCGAGAATTTCCAAGCTAAGTAATCCTCTCGAGTAACAGAGAGAACATTGTTTGGTTCCTTTTTGGTTGATTAGTGGATAGCAAAACAATTTGAGAATAGACATATATAAATAATATAAATAAATAAAGAACAATAAAGCATTGATGAATAGATGGTATATGGATGTTTTGTGTCGGCAGTGTCCATGGATAAGTTGAATTGCGTCGCCATCTCAATTATTGATAATGTGAAAAAGTGTGAAGAAGTTTAAGTGTTATCCATATGTATGATTAGAAAGGGTTAATGTACATACTACTACTAGTCTACTAGCTTCAAACAAAAGCCAATTTGGATATAAATTATATAATCATTATAGATAGAGTCATAAAGATGCTCTGAATTGTTATGTATAATATATTTGTATCGAATTTGTGTTTCTTAAAACTTTTTTTAAAGACTAACACCAGTGGATTGGCATGTCGGTGCTCGGGGTGGCGCCGCCGAATCTAGCTTTCAACTAAATCGATTCAGAGAAAGAAATTTTCTAAATGATATATGTATTATTGTTGTAACATTTTTATATAAGCATGCATGTATCGTTGCATCGACATTCATATATCGTGGACATAACATAACAGAATGCAGAAGATTGGTTAGTCAATGCTAACACATGTAAACCGGAATTACGTACACATTATCATAGTATGCGATGCAAATTACATCACCTACGTAGTGAGGATGGGAGGGAGATAATTAGATTTTTCACCTAAAACTTTTGCGTTAGTATCAGGAAAGAGCTCAGCACCAGCAAGACTTGTTACTTCCCCGTTGCTACCGATGCTAATCGGATAACTAAGCAAATGCCCTGGTAGATCGTCATCTCGAGGGTACTCTTGTGCTGAGTATAGTCCCCATAGCTCGTCTGCCTTTGCATTTACCATTCTTATACACTCTTCGCTTTCAGGAAATTGGAATACGTTAGTTATAATCCGTAAATGTTCAAGCCATAGTGATATCCTAAAGCTAAAGACTTGGCCTGTCGGCCTCATTAATTGATTGGTAGATAGCAAATGGTTAGGTTGGTATGCCCCCATTGCGATCTCTGAGTCTCGGCCTCCATCCATTGACCTCTGGTTAATATTAGCTGATCCTATTATTATGTACTCATCATCAACTGCATAGAGATGGAAACTTTGTAACGAGAGCTTGTGATTGTTATATAGGTTTTTTACGGGCTAACTAGGTCTTGATGGCACACTAAAAAAGACAAGTTCTAAACTAATTTTTCTTGCCATGCAAGGTAGATTTGACTTACCAATCATCATTTTAGAGTGGACATAGATCATGAACCGACGAGATTCTTGAGCTCTTGCGTAATCAGAATTAGCCTCTGGTTTTTCCGGAGGCCAGTACTCACCCGCCTTGTTAACTTCCCGGTTCCCGAGGCAAAAAAACGATAGGTAGTCTCTAGGGTTTGCATCTAAACCTTTCCTGCGAAGAGCAATGATGATATCTGTATACATCATCTCCATTGTTCTCCTTTGCCAGTCTAGTATTGCTTGAACCGATGCAGATCCAGGTTTTCCTTCAGGCCACAATGGAATCACAATATACACTGAAAACCGCTCGCCCGCCTCGATCTTGCTCACGATCTTGAGAGAAATCTCTTTGGGAATGAGGTGCAAAGCGTTGATCTCGTTCAGATTAACGTCTCTAGAGCTCCATCCAAAGGAGCTTCCGAGGAAGTATTGGTTCTCAATGTAGATAAAGTGTTTGGCTCTCCTTATGGCGTTGATGTAAGCGTCTTGTATGCTTCTTTCGATAACATTGTCTTTTCCGGTGATAAGTCCTACGCTCGAAGCTTCAACGTGGATCCTCTGGGATCCCTCAGGCCGCACCATCATCTATCGACCGGAAAAACTTGAACAGTCCAACCTTCTACATTGTCTGATTCCAGTACTGGAAATGGTGGAACCGTGATCTCTGAGAGCCGTGCCATCGATATAAGATACCTTGTACCACTACCTGTAATTAAACACACAAAATGATTGATTTCTTTAAGTTTCTAGAATGTCTTTTGTTTAGGGTTAGTTACCATATTGTTTCAAACACTAATTTAAGAATTTGATTTACATGCATGATTCTTTTTCCACATAAAAAAAAACAATCACAAAATATATTTCCTTAAATGTATTTTCACATTCACACGCTTAATTTAAACTATTTTTTTTTGTTAGCTTTCAAGCAAAAATCTACAATTTTCTTTTAAAAAACATGTTTAAGGTTTAAAAGGGTGTGTGATTTTATTTGGAGAAAATCACCATCTTATAACATGTAAACCTAAACGTCATAACATGTATTATTTTTGGTAAAGACATTATAACTAACATGAAAACACAGAGGAAACAAACCGTTAAAGCCTAGTGTTAGTTGTTTCAATACCTTGTTTCATCCATCTCTGCTCAAAATTATACAAAACATCCCACGCCGCAGGACCATCGAGCTTGCAGTGAATATCGTGCCATGGCTCACGTGGACCGCCTTTTTTAATCGATGCGCCATCAAAGTTCGGCTGGTGAAAGTCAGTGGAATGAACATTGTTCAAAGTACCGAACAAAGGATGCTCCTCAGTATCGTACCTCCCATCACAAAGATCAATCCCTCCAAGAAAACTAACTATCCTTCTCTTCGTTTTCGATCCGTCCACTTCAGCGTCCACCACAACGGTTTTCTGATGGTGAGTGAACATCGCAGCCACCTCAAACCCTTGAACAATGCTCCCACCGTTATCCGGATTCCGCGGACAGAGAACGCAACGCACTTTCGTGTTCTTGAAGTAATCGTAAGTTTCTTGATCATGAGTCATCATCAAGCCGTCTCTCTTAAATGCTTCGTTAGAAGTTCTATCGTCCCAAACAAGCATAAGCACGGTCACGTTTTCTTCGGCTTTCTTCTTCAGCAACTCTCCTAACTTCATGTTCCCTCCTGGTCTCGACCGTTTAGGATCCCTGATCAGTGTTATGTCAGGGTAAACCGACCAACCCGTGATGTATATCAAATGTTTTGCATTCCATATGGCATCGAAGATGTCTTCCCAACACCGATGATGTTTGTAAATCGCTTGTCCTCCAGCTAGAGTAATGTCCGGGAAATCGCCGAGAACGTGAGCGTCTTGGTAAAGCGTGACCTTGCAACCTTCTCTTTGGTTGAAAAATACGTTAGGAACTCCTTGGAAAGAAGGTAATATGATACCTTTGTTCCAGTTCACGTCCTGTTTTATGTTATTGAACTTCACACGGACATGGATTTGCGAACCACCTTGGATCGGTCTCTTTTGTTCATCTAAGATATCGAGCCATCGGTCTATAGGCTGTCCGGTGATGACTTCAGTGACAGGTAAATAAGCTCGGCCGATCAAATTCGCACCGACCGGTTCATCTTCTTTGACTGTGAATATGATTTTGGAGATTGAGTGTGCGGTGTAGACGTGGAAGGATTGGAACCATTTTGGATGGCGTCTCATCATGGTTCGAGCTACTCTTGACCTGTCTAGGTCAATGGTTGCGTAGAGATGCCCTCCTAATAAATCTGTGCATGAGCCTGTTAGTCTCTTGAGCTGAGATTGAATATTCTTCCCCCTCGGCTCCTTGTTCCCCTATTAATCATGTGAGTTTTATTTTACATTAGTTCGTCTACTTATTCATCTAAATACGTGACCGGTGGTATCTTTTAAATTAAAGTATTTAGCCATATCGTTCTTGACAAGATCAATTATAGAATTACTACTTTTGATTATTTCTATTTTATATTATCTTAATATATATTTCGCCTATTACTTATTTAGCTATAAGAAGCTTAATTTTTTTCAAAATAATATTTAAATATATAGTTCACAGAATAAAACAATAAATTAATAATAAACTCATTACTTCTTTGAAAATGCTTATATGTTAATTAATGTTAAAACTACAACTAACTTTTTATAATTATGTTGAAATTCCGACAATATGGATCACTTAAGGGTTTAATTGTTTTTTTGTTGAAAATTATTGAAGGGTTACCTTGCCGCATAAACTAAATCTTGCGCGTTGATGCAACCTATCGATCCTATATATCTTCACTTCAAGAGTTCCATGAAGCAGCAACTGTTCCGCCATTTTTTTTTTCACCTAGAAATTATTCTATTCGCAGTTTTAACTATATTTGTATTTTTTTTTTCTTGAAAAGTGGATGACTATTTCTTGTGTGGATGACTCATAAGCAAAATAACAAACCACAATGGGTCTAGAAAATTTCCCTTTTGATCGAGGATCTTTTTGAAAAGGCTCCAAACCGCTTATCAATTAAAGTATGTAGACATAAAGTTAGACTATAAGTATATATAAGGAGAAAATCGAATTTGAAATTGAAACGTTTGGATTAGGATTGTGGATTACTTGAGGAAACTGCATGGGATTACAAGAAGAAAAATATGAAGTCTATTAAAGGGGATTGAAACAATAGGTCTTCTTACGTAAACCTTTTCTTGTAGGCCAAAACGGAATATTCTTCTATTAGTCTGACGACTCACTTCTACAATGTTTTTTCTTCATCTATGATGTCCACTGTTTAATCCATTCCATATGCCATTATTATTCTAAATTTTATTTATTGAAGAGACCATTAAACAATAAATTCTTCATTTACAGAACCAAATTTGTTTTACGTCCAAATTTATGGGCTTCCAACTTAAAATTAATTAACGTATTTTTCTTCGGGCTTTGCTTTTATAAAGCCCAATTAAAATTTGACCTTCCAAGTCGTCGATCCTTTCATTGTATACGAAAAACTTCTTCATCGACTTTTTTCTTAAAACTTATTCATCGTTTTAAGTTTTTTCATAGGCACCTTGAATGTCCTCATCGTCATATATAATATCATTGAGAGAAATAGTAAAGATAACTGCTGCACCACATCTTCTTTAAAAAAAGTTATCATTTTCAAAATTTACCAAATCCTACAGTAAGCAGAGTGAAGTGAATTCTTTTCACTTAAAAAAAAAAACAATTAGTTTTCTAAAGATTTGAAAGATATTTTATAAAATGCAAAAACATTGAGTTTTTTCTCAAAATAACTCATATTATTCTCAAAATTACAGATTTCAGAACAAAATTACATCTAGTACGTCAAGTATAGAAAAGATCAAAAGAAAGATATTCGTGCATGTGCCAGCCATTGTGATTAGGCACGCTTTTTTCTGTTTCTGTCAACGCACATTTGTTTCCTTTTGTTACTGTCACGATTTCATAAATTCGAGAATTTCCAAGCTAAGTAATCCTCTCGAGTAACAGAGAGAACACTGTTTGGTTCCTTTTTGGTTGATTAGTGGATAGCAAAACAATTTGAGAATAGACATATATAAATAATATAAATAAATAAAGAACAATAAAGCATTGATGAATAGATGGTATATGGATGTTTTGTGTCGGCAGTGTCCATGGATAAGTTGAATTGCGTCGCCATCTCAATTATTGATAATGTGAAAAAGTGTGAAGAAGTTTAAGTGTTATCCATATGTATGATTAGAAAGGGTTAATGTACATACTACTACTAGTCTACTAGCTTCAAACAAAAGCCAATTTGGATATAAATTATATAATCATTATAGATAGAGTCATAAAGATGCTCTGAATTGTTATGTATAATATATTTGTATCGAATTTGTGTTTCTTAAAACTTTTTTTAAAGACTAACACCAGTGGATTGGCATGTCGGTGCTCGGGGTGGCGCCGCCGAATCTAGCTTTCAACTAAATCGATTCAGAGAAAGAAATTTTCTAAATGATATATGTATTATTGTTGTAACATTTTTATATAAGCATGCATGTATCGTTGCATCGACATTCATATATCGTGGACATAACATAACAGAATGCAGAAGATTGGTTAGTCAATGCTAACACATGTAAACCGGAATTACGTACACATTATCATAGTATGCGATGCAAATTACATCACCTACGTAGTGAGGATGGGAGGGAGATAATTAGATTTTTCACCTAAAACTTTTGCGTTAGTATCAGGAAAGAGCTCAGCACCAGCAAGACTTGTTACTTCCCCGTTGCTACCGATGCTAATCGGATAACTAAGCAAATGCCCTGGTAGATCGTCATCTCGAGGGTACTCTTGTGCTGAGTATAGTCCCCATAGCTCGTCTGCCTTTGCATTTACCATTCTTATACACTCTTCGCTTTCAGGAAATTGGAATACGTTAGTTATAATCCGTAAATGTTCAAGCCATAGTGATATCCTAAAGCTAAAGACTTGGCCTGTCGGCCTCATTAATTGATTGGTAGATAGCAAATGGTTAGGTTGGTATGCCCCCATTGCGATCTCTGAGTCTCGGCCTCCATCCATTGACCTCTGGTTAATATTAGCTGATCCTATTATTATGTACTCATCATCAACTGCATAGAGATGGAAACTTTGTAACGAGAGCTTGTGATTGTTATATAGGTTTTTTACGGGCTAACTAGGTCTTGATGGCACACTAAAAAAGACAAGTTCTAAACTAATTTTTCTTGCCATGCAAGGTAGATTTGACTTACCAATCATCATTTTAGAGTGGACATAGATCATGAACCGACGAGATTCTTGAGCTCTTGCGTAATCAGAATTAGCCTCTGGTTTTTCCGGAGGCCAGTACTCACCCGCCTTGTTAACTTCCCGGTTCCCGAGGCAAAAAAACGATAGGTAGTCTCTAGGGTTTGCATCTAAACCTTTCCTGCGAAGAGCAATGATGATATCTGTATACATCATCTCCATTGTTCTCCTTTGCCAGTCTAGTATTGCTTGAACCGATGCAGATCCAGGTTTTCCTTCAGGCCACAATGGAATCACAATATACACTGAAAACCGCTCGCCTGCCTCGATCTTGCTCACGATCTTGAGAGAAATCTCTTTGGGAATGAGGTGCAAAGCGTTGATCTCGTTCAGATTAACGTCTCTAGAGCTCCATCCAAAGGAGCTTCCGAGGAAGTATTGGTTCTCAATGTAGATAAAGTGTTTGGCTCTCCTTATGGCGTTGATGTAAGCGTCTTGTATGCTTCTTTCGATCACGTTGTCTTTTCCAGTGATAACGCTTGAAGCTTCACGTGGATCCTCTGGGAACCCTTCAGCCGCACCATCATCTATCGACCGGAAAAGTTGAACAGTCCAACCTTCTGCATTGTCTGATTCCACAATTGGCAATGGCGGAACCGTGATCTCTGAGAGCCGTGCCATCGATATAAGATACCTTATACCACTGCCTGTAATTTAACACACAAGATGATTGATTTCTTTGAGTTTCTAGAATGACTTTTGTTTAGGGTTAGTTACCATAATTTCAAACATTATTTTAAGAGTTTGATTTACATCCGTTATTCTTTTTCAACATTAGAAAACAGTCGCAAAATATATTTCTTTAAATGTATTTTCACACGTTTAATTTAAAGAATTTTTTTTGGTTAACCTTCAAACAAAAAAAAAAAAAATCTGCAATTAAAGAAAAAATCTGTGTAAGGTTTAAAATGGTGTGGGTTTATTAGGAGAAAATCACCATTTTATAAAATGTAAACCTAAACGTTATAACACATATAATTTTTTATTTTTTTTGGTAAAGTCTTTATAACATGAAAACTAAAAAACAAACCGTTGAAGCCTAGTGTTAGCTAGTTGTTTATTTTCATACCTTGTTTCATCCATCTCTGCTCAAAATTATACAAAACATCCCACGCCGCAGGACCATCGAGCTTGCAGTGAATATCGTGCCATGGCTCACGTGGACCGCCTTTTTTAATCGATGCGCCATCAAAGTTCGGCTGGTGAAAGTCAGTGGAATGAACATTGTTCAAAGTACCGAACAAAGGATGCTCCTCAGTATCGTACCTCCCATCACAAAGATCAATCCCTCCAAGAAAACTAACTATCCTTCTCTTCGTTTTCGATCCGTCCACTTCAGCGTCCACCACAACGGTTTTCTGATGGTGAGTGAACATCGCAGCCACCTCAAACCCTTGAACAATGCTCCCACCGTTATCCGGATTCCGCGGACAGAGAACGCAACGCACTTTCGTGTTCTTGAAGTAATCGTAAGTTTCTTGATCATGAGTCATCATCAAGCCGTCTCTCTTAAATGCTTCGTTAGAAGTTCTATCGTCCCAAACAAGCATAAGCACGGTCACGTTTTCTTCGGCTTTCTTCTTCAGCAACTCTCCTAACTTCATGTTCCCTCCTGGTCTCGACCGTTTAGGATCCCTGATCAGTGTTATGTCAGGGTAAACCGACCAACCCGTGATGTATATCAAATGTTTTGCATTCCATATGGCATCGAAGATGTCTTCCCAACACCGATGATGCTTGTAAATCGCTTGTCCTCCCAGATTAATGTCCGGGAAATCGTCGGGAATATGAGCGTCTTGGTAAAGCGTAACCTTGCAACCTTCTCTTTGGTTGAAAAATACGTTAGGAACTCCTTTGAAAGAAGGTAATATGATACCTTTGTTCCAGTTCACGTCCTGTTTTATGTTATTGAACTTCACACGGACATGGATTTGCGAACCACCTTGGATCGGTCTCTTTTGTTCATCTAAGATATCGAGCCATCGGTCTATAGTCCGTCCGGTGATGACTTCAGTTACAGGTAAATAAGCTCGGCCGATCAAATTCGCACCGACTGGTTCATCTTCTTTGACTGTGAATATGATTTTGGAGATTGAATGTGCGGTGTAGACGTGGAAGGATTGGAACCATTTTGGATGGCGTCTCATCATGGTTCGAGCTACTCTTGACCTGTCTAGGTCAATGGTTGCGTAGAGATGCCCTCCTAACAAACTTGTGCATGAGCCCGTTAGTCTCTTTATTTTGGATTTGATATTCTTCCCCCTCGGCTCCTTGTTCCCCTATTAATCATGTGGATTTAAATTATCAACAACTAACTTTTTAAAATTCCGACAATATGGATAACTTAAGGGTTTAATTGTTTTTTTTTGTTGGAAATTATTGAAGGGTTACCTTGCCGCATAAATTAAATCTAGTGCGTTGATGCAATTTATCGATCCTATATATATTCACTTCAAGAGTTCCATGAAGCAGCAACTGTTCCTCCATTTTTAACTTTAAAACTATTCTATTCGCTTTTTAAACTATATTTATATTTTTTTCTCTTGAATGACTATTTCTTGTATCAATTAAAGTATGTAGACATAAAGTTAGTCTATAAGTATATATAAGGAGAAAATCGAATTTGAAAATGAAACGTTTGGATTAGGATTGTGGATTACTTGAGGAAACTGCATGGAATTACAAGAAGAAAATGATGAAGTCCGTTAATGGATTTTGAGACAATATGCCTTCTTACGTAAACCTTTTCTTGTAGGCCAAAACAGATTCTTCTTTTGGACATTAGTCTGACGACTCACTTTTACAATGTTTTTTCTTCATCTATAATGTACACAGTTTATTCCATTTCATATGCCATTATTATTCTAAATTTCGTCTACTGAAGAGACCATTAAACAAGAAATTCTTCATTTACAGAACCAAATTTGTCTTACGTCCAATGAGTAGTCTTGGAATCTTTCCACTATGACGTGATGATACGTATTTTTCTTCGGGCCTTGCTTTTATAAAGCCCAATTAAAATCTGACCTTCCAAGTCGTCGATCCCTTTCATTGTATACGAAAAACTTCTTCATCGACTTTTTTTTTTAAACTTAATCGTCGTTTTTTTTTCATAGGCACCTTGAATGTCCTCATCGTCATATATAATATCATAGAGAGAAATAGTAAAGATAACTGATGCACCACTTCTTCTTAAAAATAAAAATTATCATTTTCAAAATTTACCAAATCCTACAGTATACAGAGTGAAGTGAATTATTTTCACTTAAAAAAGTATATTCATTTACTTTTCTAAAGATTTGAAAGATATTTTATAAAATGCAAAAACATTGAGTACTTTTCTCAAAACAACTCAAATTATTCTCAAAATTACAGAATTGAGAACAAAATTACATCTAGTACGTCAAGTGCCGGTATCTGTCATTCCTATGTTTGTCACATCCTTAAATATTTTCAAATTTATTTATTTTGTTTGATACTACTCCATAGCGGGTGGTACATTTGGCATAGGTTTAAATAAATAGTTCTGTGTCTCCTTTAGGTTTTATAACATTAAATTTAATGCACAACTACTTCTATAAATATCCGTGGACTTTTACCGCGCATCTCACCGACAATTCTTTAGTTTCATTAAATTAATTATTTAGTTATTAACTAACAAGGCTATTCTTCTTCTTTTTACTTATGATTAAAAACAAAAACTAGATGAATTCCAAAAAGAATCTTGATTAATGTACTAGATATACAAGGGTATCTTTTTAGGTACTGCTATTAAATTTAATACTGATAATTCGAGGGAAAGATGTGTGTGATTTCCATAATCTTAAAAATTGTAAATCACATTCATTTATTTTAGGATTAATTTAAGTTGATAAATAAAAAAACACATATTTGAACTATTGAATACACATGAGAAATCATTATCAATAACTCGGGAATGGATGTTAGAGAAAATTGACGAATTATATAACCTGATTTGCATTTTGTTTACAAACTTCCACTAGTCTGATTGGCTGTAAACAGTGCCCTATAACGATATTTTGCTTAAGGCCTTGTACCACCTTAAAACGCGTTCTATATTAAAACACAAAAAAATTCTTATAGATATTCTCCTAAATGAGGAAATAGACGAATTGGAAAATTCTTACGTTTCGTAGGCAATAAGAAACATCACTTGGTACCATTCGTTGTCGTGAAGACATCAAACCGAAAAAAGTTTATTTACACCTGTTGTAGAACAATCAACTCAGAAATTGTTCATAAAAGTGTATTTAATTATAGGCAGGTATTTAATTTTATATGTGGACTGTGAAAATGTCATAAATTAACTCAGAAATTATGTTTACCGATACTTAATCATTTTCTCGTATTTATTATTTAACTATTGAAAACTCCTTATAAGAAAAAATTAGTTGCTATAATAAGATTAACGCTTTCATGTTGAAAATCATTCACAAATACTCTACCCATGAATGCAAATAAATGACACCAACATCCTATATGCAATAGACCTTTTTAAAACTAACAAAAAATACAACGTCGTATTTGAAAAAAAAAGAAAGCATGAGTGATAACATAATTTAACGAATAAAAAGACATGAGAATTTAGAAGAGAGTAAATTGGAAATTACAAAATTACAGATGGAGCATATATATTACCCCCATGGCACGGGAGCTAGAAATAGAGGACAATAAATAAGTAGAGAGGACGTGCAAAAAGCAAAGTAGTTGAAGGTAGAGAGATCAGAAAAGAGGAATCTCTCTCTCTCTCTCTCACTGCTTTTCTGAGTTCATGTCAGAAAAACACAGAGAAAATTAAGAACCTTAATTTCTAACATCAAAATGGGACATTCGAAGAAGTTCCGAGGTGTCCGCCAGCGTCAGTGGGGTTCTTGGGTCTCTGAGATTCGTCATCCTCTCATGTCAGCTCTCTCTCTCTCTCTCTCCTTCTCTTTAACACAAACATTCACATACACAATATATATTGTGTTTATGCAGCATCTATATATAGTGTATACATAATACATATATATTCGATCATACATTCAAGTAACTGTCACTAATTATTAAACTTTCAAAGATTCATAAATTGATTTTATATAAATCGTTTTCCTCAGTTTTGTCCAATATTAATTTCAATTGGTCACTTACGAGATATAAGGAGACCACATTCATTGATATAATTACATATGTCAGTATGTGTACAGTACATGAGATCAAAGGCTTTTTCATTTTTTATGTTTTTGTTGTGATGGCTTTTTTATACGTATATACGTGCATTGTAATACAATTGAAATGTATGACTTTCTCTATATTCATACATCCATGCGTATATATACATCATATAAATTCTTCCTAGTTTTTTTATTAGCATTCACATTTTTTAGTGCCCTATCATCCTCTTTCTATATACTGTACTATAAATATAATAATTAATAAAGCATGTATACGGTATACGGTTTTATTAATAACTGAAACAACCTGTCTAGCAAAGAATTTGGTATATATTACTAGGCTATATGTCAAATTTTATAAAACACTTAATTCAACGCACTGGTATATATTATTAGGCTATATGTATTATTATTTTGCCCGCATCGTTGTGGTCCATTGGTAGGGAAGGGTTGTGTGGGTAAACTGGTAGTCCAATAACAGGCGATCTGACTATCCTTGGCATTAGTCGGAAGGCATTTCAAACTCGGAACAGGTAGTATGGTGACCCATTTGGATCTCATGGATCTCATGACCCATTGACTCGAGTTCGCTCGAAGCTCATGGTGTCCGTTGAACCGTTGAACCAGGGAAAAGTCCACATTATAGCACTTCGGTGCGTTCCTACCGGGGTCGACCGGATCAGCCGATAGGGTTTATAAAAAAAAATGTATTATGATTTTTAAACACTTTTAATTCAATTTATATGCATGTGATCAGGAAGAGAAGGGTGTGGCTAGGAACATTCAACACAGCGGAAGAAGCGGCTAGAGCCTACGACCAAGCTGCGGTTCTAATGAACGGTCAGAACGCAAAGACCAACTTTCCTGTCATCAAATCCAACGGCTTAGATTCTCCGGACGCTAACTCTCCGTTAAGGTCGCCGAAATCGTTATCAGAACTCCTAAACGCCAAGCTAAGGAAGAACTGTAAAGACCAGACACCGTATCTGACGTGTCTCCGCCTCGACAACGACAGCTCACACATCGGCGTGTGGCAGAAACGCGCCGGGTCGAAAACGAGTCAAAACTGGGTCAAGCTTGTTGAACTCGGTGACGGCGTCAACGCAAGTGCCGGCGGTGGAATTGGGATTAGTAATATAAAGAAAAGAAACGAAGACGTGGAGGAAGAAGATCACATGGCAATGCAGATGATCGAGGAGTTGCTCAACTGGACTTGTCCTGCTTCTGCTTCCACTGATGGTCTAAAGGAGAATCGTTTGAATTAGATGACCAAGAAAACCACAAAAAAGAGGGAGAATAATAATCAAGGGTATAATCCAGAGCTTTCATTAATACTTTCCCAACATATTTTATTTCTAAAGAGTGCTAATTAGTAATATCTGCTGACTTTGTCGGCATTGATATAATTACATAGAGGAGATTATGGAGTAGACCAGACATGATAAGAAGGTACAAAATGGTAGGGAAGATAATAAATTAGTTTAAAAGAAGAGTACGTAAACACTAAATGTGAAAGAGACTTGTCACTCTTTTTAAACACATCTGCGAATCAGATTCTTGTGATTCGAATGTTAGTCCTACCTCCTCGACCAAGCAAGCTTTTATTGTTTTAACATGGTTACCAGTTACCACATATATATGGTGTGTGTAAAATCCTCCTCCCGTTCTTTATTATCTTGTTTTTTCTTCTTTAGAAAGGTATACATCTCTGTTTTAGACTTTCTAAATCATATTCATATACGAGAATGCGTTTTCATATCGGTCAAAAAATTGAATTCCCTTTTTAGAAATAAAATGGGACGGAATGGGAAAATAAGAGGGGGAACCAACTCAATTACTCAAAACAGCAAGCGACGTTTACAAATTAATGGAGTATCTGCACACAAAAAAATAAAGAGTTTAAAAATCGCAAACCCTTTACATAAAGTGTTTATTATGATATTTTTTTATATTTTCGATCTAATCAATATCATTTAATTTTCTCGGATACATATTTAAAATGGGAAAGATATTTATTCTGTTTTGTGATTTAGTTATTTAAATTGCGTATGTTAATTGTTTATGCGACAGTGTATATATCAAACAGATTGGTGTTTGAGAAAGAAAAAAATTTTCCAAAGTCTTAAAAAGTGTTATATTGTGCAAAGTATCTACTCTAAAATTAGAATTGATGGATATATCCTATAATTGTATCATTATCTACAGGAATATGAATAATTATTAAATATTAATGATACTCAGTCATTAAAAAAAAAAGAGTTATAAATTGGTGAAGCACTTCGGTTACGTGGTAGTCTCTTGTCTTTAGGTAAACTCCGAAAACGTATTTTCAGGATCTCACCAAAATTCACACAAAACTTCCACCACAACCACCGTCTCCGCCGCAGAACCACCGTCCCGGAGAGAAACACACAAAAATCTACAAAATATGGGGAAAGGAAAATCACTGAGCGAAGGAGTGATAAAGAACATCGTCCTCTCCTACACATACGTAGCGATATGGATCTTCCTAAGCTTCACCGTGATCGTCTACAACAAATACATCCTCGACAAGAAGATGTACGCTTGGCCTTTCCCGGTCTCTCTCACCATGATCCACATGTCCTTTTGCTCAGCGTTAGCTTTCCTCCTCATCAAGGTCTTCAAATTCGTCGAGCCAGTCTCCATGTCACGCGACACTTACCTCAGATCCGTCGTCCCCATTGGAGCCTTGTACTCACTCTCTCTCTGGCTCTCTAACTCCGCTTACATTTACCTCTCCGTCTCCTTTATCCAGATGCTCAAGGCCTTGATGCCAGTCGCTGTTTACTCCATCGGCGTTTTGTTCAAGAAGGAAGGTTTCAAATCGGAGACGATGGTTAACATGTTATCCATCTCTTTCGGCGTTGCGATCGCTGCTTATGGAGAAGCTAGGTTCGACGTTTGGGGTGTGGTTCTTCAGCTAGGTGCGGTTGCGTTTGAGGCGACGCGGTTGGTAATGATTCAGATCTTGCTTACTTCTAAAGGAATTACTTTGAATCCGATCACTTCTTTGTATTACGTTGCTCCTTGCTGCTTGGCTTTCTTGTTTGTTCCATGGATTGTTGTGGAGTTTCCGGTTCTGAGAGATACGTCCACCTTCCATTTCGATTTCTTGATTTTTGGGACGAACTCGTTCTGTGCGTTTGCTCTGAATCTTGCTGTGTTTCTTTTGGTTGGGAAGACCTCTGCTCTGACCATGAATGTTGCTGGTGTGGTTAAGGACTGGCTCTTGATCGCTTTTTCTTGGTCGGTTATTAAGGACACTGTGACTCCGGTTAATCTTTTCGGTTATGGGATCGCGTTTTTGGGCGTTGCGTATTACAATCACGCGAAACTGCAAGCGTTGAAGGCCAAAGAGGCACAGAAGACTGCTCAGCAGATTGATGAAGAGAGTGGTCGGCTTTTGGAAGATAGGGAAGGAAATGAAGGTGGTGGGAGGAAGAACGAGCCAGAGGATTAATAAAAGTTGAAGAATTTTTGATTGGTAAATTAAACTTTATGATTTTTGATTTAAGTTAACATTTGTTTGGAATAAGAGCTTCAAGGATTATTAGTCAGATGGAAGAAATTTTGTTAGTTATGGTAATGAGGCCTAGGATTTGGCAATGGTCTATTGGTCTCTTACAATTTGCTTTATTGGTGAATCTGAGTTAGGTTTGATATATCTATACCCAAGTGAGGGAAGTATCACCCGGGACCTTTTCCTTAATCTTCTGTTTTTGTTTTTTTTTTAATTATTTATGAACATGACTGGTGTTATTTTACCAACATTTGTCAATGGAGTTTGAGTTTTATGATACTTTCTGGTTAATTATTCCTTTCCTTGCCATGATCATTTGTTAATAAATTTGCAGGTTAACGTGAAGTTTTTTTTTTGTTTTGGGTTTTCATCAGTTTGGCATGACGAACTCATGGCTCAGGGTTTGTTTTGCACATCTAGTTCATTTTAAAATTTTGCATTAGGCCGACATGTAGAATTTAGCCCAACAGCATTTCCAAGAGATACACAATTTATGAGGTATATAGGAAAACCTCATATTTGAAGTTTAAGAATGTTATTTTCTAATAATAAACCTCAAAATTATTTATACATTTATATTTTGTATGTAGTCCTAATATTGATCATGAATAATTAAAATGATAAAACTTTAATAACTAACTAGAAGATACATATTAAACAAATATTAAAAGCAAAATAATTTAATAAAATGTTAATTTAAAAAATTAATAAAATCTGTACATTTTTGTATGTGTTGAAAAAGGCTTTGCAACTTTCTATTTTAAAGTCAAAGCGAGAACTTAGACATCCGTTCATCCCCAAATAGGACAAGGTAGTAATTTCATAAAGTACTAGTAAATATAATGCCAAAACAAACAGATATTATTTTAGTTATATATAACTCATGGAAAGAGCACATTCTTAAGAGAATGGAAAAGTATACAATAGTAATCAATTGCCTTTTTATTCCGAAAAAAAAAATCTTACATATCAAATGTGATTCAAATAACAAATGTCAAACTCCACACGAGTTTCCTCCTGGACCACCATAATTAAAATAGAAACCAAGATAAGAAAACAAATTATTACCAAATCGTAACCCATAACATTTTTCACTATCTAGTAACGCATCAACCGGACCAGAAATGATATTACGTCGCTCATACTTGGAATTCAAAACTTCAACATTTGTGAAAACTCCTGAGTCCTTAAAATGTCTAGATGGTCGTTGACCGTTACCCATAGGAGGGCTTGAACCTGAAGGAGAAGCTTGAACGGTACCTCCAGCTCCAACCATTTTTGCACCATCACTTAAACTATCGAATAGCTCTTTCGGCCAATATCCGATGTCAACATTAGGCTTGTTTTTTATAAGTTCAGTAAGCCACCAATTCCCTGTTTGTTTATCCTGTTGCAAATAGAATAATAAACAAAAAACATTAGTTAATAAGGAAAATATTTTTTTGTAGTACAAAGTATATAATGCAAATAAATCAATGGGTTAATTTATCGAACCAAGAAGATGTTCACCAAGTGTCATAAATTTCTGACTCGAATATTAGAAATAACCAAATACAGTATAAAATATACCCTGATTAAGAACATAAGAGTACCTGATGAATAGAAAAACGGTACGACCCAACATATGAAGAAGGTGGATTTGGGAAACCAATCAGATCATCTTGGGATACTTGAATAAATCCTGGACAGATCAAATTATAACACCCTTTTCCACCTTTGCCCTATTAAGACAGTCGAAGGAACTGGAATTCAAAAAGATGTTGATTATGTAAACCATAATATATATATACATTAATTATTTGAGATGATCCACCCTCCAAAATCCGTAAGACCACACACGTTGATCACCAAATAGACCTGGATTTATCTGCAAATCATGAGCACTTGTAATACTTTAAAGAATATTTATGATAAAAGTTTATGATAAAGAACATTTATGATAAAAAGCTTGTAATACTTTAAAGAATATTTATGTTGATAAGTTTGTAAAAGTACCATCCACCCTGCTGAGATGAAATTGGTCTCGGTTCCAAGATAGATAGAAGCATAAGAAGCTTGGTCTTTGGCGATGTTCAGTTCAAATACAGTAAACCAGGCTTCAACACCATGATAAGGGGCTCCCCTTGTTGCTCTCACTCCAGATATCTATAATAAGCAAACATAACAATTTGTTTACTGTTTTTTTTTTTAATTTTGTATTGAAGAGAACTAGACAAGTGATGAATGCTTACATGTGTTCCAGGGCTATCGGCCGTTAAAGGATTGAAATGCAACTCCGAGAAACGCTGAGCGTTGGATACATATTCTTTTGTAGTTCTCAGTATAGGAACGGTTCCATCTGGACAATCTATTTTATTCTTGTATGTTTCGTTGTCATCAGTTTGGTTCTTAAATCCAGGTCTTGGAACTGATGGTTTCATCTTCCAAAAGAATAATTAAGATTTGAAGTACATTATTTTTCTCTATTTAATTAGTTTAAAAGTGCTCTTTTAAATAATTTGAGACAAGAAGAAAACAGTAGTCCTAAAGAGAAAGCACCTGAATTTTGTGGTTTTTGAGCAAAGGATGATCAAGTGATGGTTGCTTATAGATATCTATGCAATCGTAGGTTACGTTTTCGCTTAGCTGCAATACAACAAGAAAGAAGGAGATTATATTAACAAAATTTAAAGTGAGAGTATGTGAAACCAATTGAGTAGGTAAAAATAATGGAATAACCTTGAAGGATCTGAGAGAGCCGACAGTTTGATTGGAACGAGCAAACGCTGCTGAGAAGAAGAAGAAAAGAGCTGCAAGCTTAAGAAGAAGAGCCATATGGTTTACTATCCTAATTCCGGAAGACATTTTACTAGTTCCGTTTTCTGAATGATGCAAATATACTTATATAGTCAAGGAAAGAATCTTAAACGAATTGTTAATTAACGTTACTTTCTTTATGGAGACAATAGAATTATTTGACTGAGATTAATTACTATGGAAAGGTGATACGACAATGATGAGGCTTCCTTATATTATAAACGAAATTGGTCCTTACGGTTCAAACGTATATTTTGAGATTTTCTAACATTAATGATAGTATTTTGACCAGAAAAAAAAGGAATTTACTTATTTGGTTCATTGGTTTGTAATCAATAGATAGTCCATAAATTTATAATGTAATTATTGTGTTGACTCAAAAAAAAAAGAAAGAACATGTATTTTGTAATAAATAGTACTAGATGATACTATTATATATCCTACTTCCATGATTATAGGCTTTACTGGTTTAAATGTAACAGTTGCGGTTATTAATACAGGAGTTTATGGATAATTGTAGTTTTGAGCGTTATTAATACAAATATAATTGATTTAACAGTTGAAAATGGAACATTTTTTACTGAGAACTAACATATATTTTAGCGATTAAATATAAATTACCAAAATAAACATAATATATAATTATAAAAAATATAAAATTATATTATTATGCTAAATATCAAAATTATTAGTTAAAAATAATTAATAATAAAAAATTATAAATAAATACTAAATAATTATTTAAAAAACTAATAAATTTCATAATGACATGTTTTATTTCAATTGTCAAGAACATCACTCAAAATTGTGTCTAGTAATGTAATAAACAGAAAAAAAAATTGCTCCAATACATAAATCGGCTGGATTTGTCTAATGTATGATGTAAAATTTTAAAAAATTTTCAATTAATTTAATTATTTCTTTTTGCACAACCCCGACTCAAATAAATTCCAAATTGTTCTTTAGTATTCTTCAGAATATTAATATTCTTCAGAGTACTTTCTTTATGGAGTTCACTCTAAACTATAGGTACTTTAGCTTCAGTTTGTTTCTCTATAAACTCCGCTGAAATAACATACCTGTCATCTTGTTTGACTATGTAACTTTCTAAAAAAAAAAATTGTAACAAACTAATTTTGCAATTAATAAAATACATATTTATACATATATATATATAATTTCATATCTATAGGAAATGATTTGTAAAGTTATTTAAACAAGATTTTCTATTTTTTCTAGTGTGATAATTTTACCAACCACAACCATCCACAACTACAAAAACTCTGATCGAACTCTAAACAAAAATAAATAGGAATATGTGTGGTCTGATTAGAGTTTGATTCAAATATTCAATTCTAGCTTGTTTTTTTGTCTTTTTAGGATTGTTTATACATCATCAAAAAATTCTATAATTAGAATCATTCCTAGTTTTTTTTTTAAGATTGTTATTACATTTTCTATAATTAGAATCTGAAGTTAGAGATATTAGATAGGAAGAAATTTAGAATTTCTGAATTTTCTAATTTCGCTTAATAAAGACCAAAAAAAAGATAAATTAAAGTATAAATTTACGAGTGCGTCTTTCACTTCATACATATTAATGTATACAACATGTAGCTTTCATTATTCAAACGAATAACTGACATAAACAAATATTTAATATCTAATAAAGTAACAACTTTTTCCCGCCTTTTTCAGGGTTGGAGTTCGATCCCGTGGATCTGTGCGTTTTCAGACGCACTGCATTTGCGTCGTATTACACAAATACAGAAGAAGGATAGAAGAACAAACAGGAAAAACCCAAAAACTGATAAAAGAATCAGTTTTGGACTTGCACCGAGATCTGGGTATTCTGGTACGTCAAGCTGTTCGTGTCCCATTCTTGCCTGAATCATAAAAAAAAAAATTCTCAGAGATAATTAACAAACTACTCGGATTTATATAATATACACTGCAGTGTAATGAGTACACATTGACGCTACCATTCAGGGATATAGAAGTAGTTGGGTATTTGCAATTATACCTGGGATAATTTATTAGAATATCATCCAACCTAAGACACCCCAAAACCAATTCTTAGGGTTTGGCTCTCTCAATCAATTTCAAGCTTCGATTTCCAAAAAGTTACACCCAAAATCTCGCTAATACTAAAGACCGATAAATCCAGTGACGCCAGAGAGAGGAAAAGAGTGAGAACAGTACCTTAGGTTCAGCTACTGACTTGGAGATCCAGCAAAGGCTCACTAAACTCAACGATTTTGTTGGAGTTGATCCAACTTGAAAGCCTTTTTTGAAGAAAAGTTCGAAGAAGAAGTTGGAGCTGAATATAAGAGCATCATTATCGGGGTGGCTTATTTGGGTTTCTTTAGCCTTTTTGAATTAAAAAAAATGTTTTATGGCCCAAAATCAAAAAAATCGATTCTTATTTGGGGCCTGGAGAAACGATTCTTCTTGGACAGGTGTGTCCTGCTGATTGGTTAAAAAAACGTGGGCTTCATCTTTCGGTTTGCTCGGTGTTTCTTCGACCTTTCCCATATCGAAACCGAGAAATCTGCCCAGAAAAATCCTTTCCAACGTGTCTTTCGTCCCGATTTCGTTGGCGATGGTCGTCTTCTCCGCTCCGTGACGGCGGTGAATCGTTGGTGCTGGTCGTATCCTCCGCTCCTTTTTTGCCAAATCGACGAAACGATGGTTTTTGCATGTTCACCAAATTCCCAGATAAGTTCTCACCTACTCCGTTCACTGGTTTCTGCATGTCGGTTTCTTCCCTTGATTTGCTCAATCAGAGCATCTGAAATAGGTTATGGTTGGAAGATTTAGTTTGTCATCGGTTTCAATCTGTTTTATGTTCTATATCGGTTTATATATCTGAAATAGGCTTGATGATGTGTTGATGTTATGAAAGATGTGTTGATGTTATTTGAATGATTCAGTAATTGAACTAGAATTGTTATAAGTTTTGAATATATTCGATAGAATTTTGAACATGTTCGATGGTCTTAACCTGTTCGATGGTTTTTTGTTTGACGGTGTTAAAGTTTTGAAATGCAAAGGTTGATAAAACTTTGTATTTTTTTCTTATGCAGAACTAGCTATTGAGGAAGGTGAACCGCAGGCTAGTCTGTTCACACACTTCTCACCATAAATGTTCAAATGATGCCTAGTGACAAAGGTATGTATTCAACTCACATCTTCTCTCATTAATACCTAGTTAATTTTAGAAAATAGTTGGTTAGAGATGGTGTTTAGGGTAATAAATGATGGAATGATTTTAGTTGGTGTGAAGTTGGATGTAAAGCATGGTTTAGAGTTAGATAAATGTCTTCTCAATGAGCTTCAATGCTCTTTTGGTTCACGTAGATAGATAGAAAAAATAGGTTGCTTGAGTGCTATTTGCTTCAATGCTTCATCTACTTCTCTTCAATGCATCTTCAATGCTTGTCTTCCTTCTTTGTTTTTTATTAATGCAGAAGACTCTGTTATTCTCATTCTCCTTAACTCTATGTTCTTCTTCTCATTTTGGTTATTTCTTCTAAGACTCTTTTCTGTTATTCTCATTCTCTTTCTCCTTATTTGTTTCATAAGCTCTCATCTATTTGCTTCTTCTATCTCTTTCCAAATGGAGTATTGTTCTCATACTCCTTTTATGTCTGAGTGTGTTTATGTTAAGAATGCTAATTTCTATTTTATGTTAAGAATGTGTTTATGTTATAATCAAATTATTATCTTTGTTTTAAATTATTTTTTTTTAAAAAAAATTTGCTTAAGAAACCTTATCTCGGTTTTACCAATGGACCATTATAAATAAGAAGGTTTTTAATCTAAACTCTTATTCCAAAATTAATAATAAAAAAAATATAAAAACCCTTAATGGGGTGTTAGCGATAATGATGGTCTATGGAAAAAGAAGGAAGCTACTTATTATTATTACAAGTACTGAAAGCTTCTGGTGGAAACAAAAGGTTTCTAGCTCAATGGGCTTCATTGGTCACGTGTCATACACGTGAGTTTTCATCTTCATCAAATATATGTTTCTGGGTTTTAGAAGAATTAAGAGCATGTTTATTGGTGCATTTTAGTGGGTTTCTTAACAATTTTGGGCCAAAAAGATTAAATAAAAAATGGGTTCCGCCAGGGAAACCTGTCTTTCCTTCTTCCCGACTAAAGCATTTCGACTCTTCCTTCTCCAAATCGCCTCACCGTCGCATCTTCACCGATTCTCGCCGTTTTGGATAAAAAGATGTCCGCCGGAGCTATATTGGAGGTAAGCAATTTCATCTATGATTCCTCTCTCGTCGATTTGTTCTTTAATCTACATCTCGGATGCTTGTGGTTTGAGTCGATTGAAATCAAAATCGAAATTCCTTCTGTCTAAATCCATTAGATAGACATTTCGATGTATTATTTCCGTTTCCGATGTATTAGATGTGCATTTCGATGTCTCTGAGCGGCCAAACATGCACACTATTCTCAACAGGTTAGAACACACACATCCGTTTTTCTGAAAATAACAAGGGAAAGTCTTTGACTTTTGTTTTTGTTTTTTTCTGTCTTTGTTCTTTTTGACAGCATAAATGGTATGGAGATCGATGGTATGAAGTGGGTGGGTCGACCAGCAACAACAATTATACCTCATGAGATTCTCAAGGTTTTGTGGGAAGACCCTCAAGGAAAGATATATGTGAAAGGTTTGATTTAGAATCTTGTGAGAGAGATTGAACAGCCTTTAGATGCAGCTCCTATAGCAGCTATGCATACACTATTATAGCTTCATTGTGCTCAACTCTTGAAGATTACAGGCTGGGCTTAAAGAAACAGGCAGAGACAAAACAAACCATATGGAGGAATCTGCGCATCCCCTGCTTATGTCTTGGAGCCTAATGGTTTACTCAAGGTGCAAAATTCAAATCAGTGACTTGAGTTGTGAAAACGTTATTATATCACTCTTGTTGTCATTAAACTGAGACATAAGGTACATATTTTGTAATAGGGTAAGAAGGCAACTACCCACCCAGTGGTGAGAGTCAAACTCTCAGACCAGTCACATTGAGCACAGAGTCGTGGTGGACGGAAACGTCATAACGAGCAGAGGTCCAGGGACTGCAATGGAGTTTTCACTTGCGATTGTTGAGAAGTTTTACGGGCGGGAGAAAGCGCTTCAGCTCGCCAAGGCAACACTTGTGTGAAATTTAAAGAATGAAGTGTGAGAGAGACAGTGAATAAAAGGGCTGAATGTAGTTATCTCTCCTTTGATGATGAGTGACTTTGTGATATGAGCTTTGGCTGAATGTAGTGTGTGTAATGTACATGTCTGTTATATATAAATGAATAAACGAGGTTCTTCTCACTTATTTTCTCCGCAAGCTTCTCCTTATCGGTCAATGTGCTCTTCATGCTGTACACATACGTTTCAAGCTTGTTACTCGCATCAATCTTCTCCTTTACAATCGTATCTTCCTCTGTAAACTCCTCTGCTTCTCTAATCATTTCTCCGATCTCTTCTTCTGTCAAACGGCCTTTATTGTTCGTAATAGTAATGGACTGTGACGTCTTTGCAACTTTGTCTTCGGCCTTCACCTGTAGAATCCCACTTGCGTCTACTTCGAACGTCACCTCTACCTGTGGCACTCCCCTGAATTTTGTTTTCTTTCTTGCGTCATAAGTGACCAAGAACCAAACCTATATGATCATAAACCAAAGATTGAATTTAAATCTGAGAAATCCAAAACCAAACCTAACCAGTTTGATCAGGGTTAGTCCCTTTGTTTAATTCCTTGCCATCGAAGAAATCCTTCAACAATTGCTGGATTTTTGGGATTCGAGTGCTTCCTCCAACAAGAACAATCTCGTCTATTTCAGATTTCTTCAAATCAGCATCTTTAAGAGCCTTCTTCACTGGCTCGATCGTCCTTTTAAAAAATCCATGTTTAGTTCCTCGAATCTAGCTTTCGTTAATGGCATTGTTATTTCAAATAAAAATCTTCTCCTATATAATTTAAAAAAAAAAAAAAAAACTCATGTAAGTTTCTCTGATGTACTTAAAAAAAACATAGATTTCTTAGAGCATGTGCAGTAGTGAACCCCCTTATGGGTTCATCAGATTAAATAAATCATTTTTTTTTTCGTTTGTGATGAACTCTGGTTAAATTTGAGGTTCTAGTAGTGAATCCGTTAATGGGGTTTATCCGGAATTTTATATTAATTTTTTTTTTTGAAATTTTTTTATAATTAAAATAAAAATCACTTATTAAAAAAAGAATACAATATATTGCAAACTATAGAAAAATACAATTTATTAAGAAAAAAATACAAACACACAATTTTTAAAATATAGAAATACTTAAACATTTGTTACACAGATTTTCGATTTTTGATTCAATTTTAGTGATGAGAGGTATGTATGACTCACTTTAAAACACAGTTACTTATCATGACACGAAAATTCCTTCTCTCACGCTTCGCCACGTGTCTGGGATACGGGTTCATCAACCTCTTCCGGACGGACCGATCCGTCGATTTTGGGCATTTTTTTTTTTTTTAAGTCCATTTCGCCTATGAACTCGAGCCAAATCCGTCCAACGGACCACTACTGGACCTGGTCTTAGTAGGTTTCTTAACTTAACTATATAATTTAAATAATCCCTAAGAAACACAAATGGTTTCTCTAAGTCATCGTTTTCTCCTTCCGAGAGTTCTCGACAGAGACTTGAGAGAGATAGCGAGAAAGAGACAGCTAGATAGTGTAAGAGAGATCTTCTTGGGTTCTAGGGTTCTTCTTCTCCTCCTTCTCTTGTTCTTCTTCTTCAGGTTCTTCTTTCTTTTTAAAAAAAAAACGGCGGTGAGAGATTCTTCTTTCTTGTAATGTCGATTGAACGTGAGGCAGCACGGTAGACTCCCCCGGATGTAGCTTTAGTGAACCGGGTCAATATTTCGGTGTCTCTTGAGTAGTGAACGAATGAACAAGAAGTGAATTGAAAAGTGAATTGAGGGATTCAATTCTTAACAGATTTCGATAACTTGGTAGTTATTTACTCTTTGTTTTCCCTGCTTTACCAAAAATGTTCGGTTTTTTTTTTTGGGGCAAGTGCTAAAAAATGAAAAAAGGTTTCAGCTTTTTTTCAACCATTTTTTCCATTGCGATTAAGAAGAAAGACACATTTCTATCATGTTGCTTCGCGAGAAGTTTAGAGCAAGAGAAACCTGGAAAAAGAACAAAAATTCCGAACACAGTTTTCATTGCATACCTTAAAACAGAAATCAAAAACTGTGAAAGGAAAACAGAATTTCCAAGTTTTTTTTTTTGTAAGTTCAGCAGAAACGAGAAATTGAAATTTGTTTCTTTCTTTTTTTTGGGTTAAAAGCCTTATTCAGAAATCAGAAGAATCGATAGAGTGAAGATGAGACATTTACCTTCCACTCTATTTCTCAAAACCAAGAATGAGAAAATGTGTGAATGTTTTTTTGTTTTAAAAATGCGAATGTTTGTTCCCAGTAATCTGATGAGAATGTTAATAAACCTTAAAATTTAGATATTGAGTTTTTTTCCATATTGAGCTCACTCTTTTATTAAGCTTTTTTTCCATATTCGGGGAACTTGCCTTTTTCCGCGCTTTTCCATTCAGAGAAGAGGCTTACTCTCTGTCATAAAGTTGCCTATAAAAAAAAGTTTAGAATTGGAAACGTTAAAATGAGGAATATTTTAAGAAACTGAGTGAAGAATTGCTTGTATATACTCGCATTTATATACATTGCAGTTGAAAATAAAAATAAAACAAACAAATAATCAAATTAATAGTCTGTGGCATATCATCAGATAAGCATACATATATTGAGATGTATTGAGAGATCTAGGAGAAAGAGTACATGTACAAATTTTTAAGGAAATATTTAATAATATTTTGAAAAATACAAAATTAAGCAAAATATAAGAAAAACATAAGCAAAACATGAGCAAAATATAAATAAACATAAATTAGTATTCAAATTTTTTTTCACAAATTTTATGAAAGGAAAGTGGGAATTTCATTCAGAATTCTTGAAAGAAGCGAATTATTAAAAAAAAAAGAGTTGAATTGAAATTAATCAGTATAATGCTTGTAACCAAAATATGTCATTATTGTTTGAATGGTTGTGATGATATTAGTACTTGCGTGAGCTACAATAGTACAACAGTGTACTGAAACAAGTTACAATTGTAGTTTTTTCACTTTCATAAAAAAACACTCTTCATAAACATAATAAAATATATATTAAATTTGAAAGAAAAAAATTCTTACAATCTAATCTTTTTATGATTAAATAAATCAATTGACTGTACACTCTAAGTCTCTTTTTTTTCAACAGCACACTCTAAAACCATGATTACCACTAGTTTTCATTGAGTTTCTTATCATTAAAACTGATTAAATATATTGTATACGTCTCTTATTTGAAATATTGTACACGTCTCTTATTTGAAAACAAATTAGAGATGGTTTCAGGCTCTATGTGTCACGATGTCATTGAATATTGGAGAAAGGGGAAAAAAACTAGGATCTTCCGTCATCTCTCTTCCCAAATTATATAGTAATGCACATGCAAAATAAGATGGTCTTTAATTTAGATTTTTAAACCCAATTTATTATTTAAATATAACATAAGATATCTATTAGGGCATACAGCGATTTACATACTCTAAGTGTCTAACTAGTGAAATGTTTAAATATCTACCATATAAAAACAAAACAAAGTAGCGGATGAAAACAACTAGTGTTTGGTTGTGCAGTACTGTTTACTCTCTCTCTTTTTACTGTAGGAGAGACGAGAGACTATAAAGTTTCAAGTCTCTAATATTATTCTTAATTAAAATAATCTTAACAAGAAGTAGTTATATAATCACTTAAAATATAAAATGCAACACTAACATATGTGTAAATAAATCCCTTGTTAGTTATTACAAAAAGAAAACATATATTACATAGAAAAAACAGAGAAAAACGAGCTCAATTATAGATAAAACAGTCTCAAAACAGATCTAGAAACTGAAAACCTCGACCTAGGAAAAAAAAATATCATCGATCCAAACGAAGAACACGTTACACGCGAGAGATGTAATGATACCTTAGCTGAGAAAATTGAATTGAGAGCTTGAGACGACCTCCAATGGCAAAGTGTGAGAGTGTGTTTGTTGATATACGAGGAAGTATAAGAGCGTGCTTGGTGACGTTCGAATTTCAGATATTAAAAAAAAAAATTATAAGTTAAAAATAGAAGAAAAGAAACTTGGATTTGGACAAATGTGATTTGTTGGATTAATCTGAGTGTCAGAGTTGCCACTGACACTTTGACGTCCGGTCCCGTTCTTATATCTCATTCCTCTGATTCGTCTGCTGGCTCTTAGCATCACATTTTTGTTTGCACTATAATGTTTTATTTTTCCATTATTTATTTAAGGACTGGGAGTGGGAAGATCTAACGGTATCGATAATCTTAATTAATACTATTAAACTTATTAAGTTGGTGAGTAAATACAGACGTAAAATCTGGAAAAAAAGATTGAATCGAAGTGGACCTTTTGCAAATATGGTCGAACGGGCCGGATTTCGGAATCTGGATGTTTTGCTCAACCATTATCCGCTTATCACATTAACTACAATTTATAGCGGGACACCAAATATTTTCTCATTGACTACAATTTATTTTGGTCAACACATTAACTAATATTTCTTAACGTTAATAATACGAGCCCAAAAGAAATGGATATAACGTTTTTGTAATAACTTCGGTCAAATATTTCTACTTTCTTTTGTCAGAATATCTATGTTACCTTATATGGAGTATATTGCTATACGCTCCTTGACATGGTGATGTGTTGTGTACATAAATAACGAGCATTTTCAGTCTTGAATACACAAAAACAGTAAGCCTTTCATCAAAAAAAAAAAAAAGAAGACGAAAAAACAATGTCAAATAGAATTAGGGTGGCTCTTGTTATGAATCTTTTACCTCTTATATTCTCAGTTGCTCCAGTTCGTTCCAATCATCAAGGTGCGGTGCCTCTCAAATCCATTAAGGTTAGCCTCAAAACGAAAACTTTAGACACGTGTTTCCCTTCTACTTGATAAATTCAACATCATCTTTTTGATATCATGGGCTGAGTTCAACATCATTTTGCCTATATTTTTGTTATAAAAAAATCAATATCTTTTTTTCTTCTTCTTTTTGTTATTGGCAGATAGATAAAAATGTGACATACGATTGCATAGATATTTATAAGCAACCAGGACTTGATCATCCCTTGCTCAAAAACCACACGATCCAGGTGCATGGTTTAAGAAATGAAATTCGTCTCCAACGTACATTCTCTATTTATGAAATGTGATATTGATCAATTTGACTATATATTCTTTTCTTTTTTTTCCAAAAAGATGAAACCATCAATTTCAAGAACTAGATTAAAGAGTCAGATTGGCGACAATAAAACATATACGAAGAAAATAGAATGTCCAGATGGAACTGTTCCTGTGTTGAGAACTACAAAAGAATTTGTCAAAAATGCTCAACTTTTTGCCGAAAAACATTTCCATCCGCTATCAGGCGGTAGTCCTGGAACACATGTAAAAGCATTCACTTTTCTCCTAACACCTTTCAATCTAACAATTTTTTTCCCACGTATATCTGACGTATTAATGTACATTTATATGTATGTTATTATAACCGGCCGGCTTTTGGCAGCATGCTGTAGTAAGATCATTTAGTGGTCAATTTCATGGTGTAGAAGCGTGGTTTAATGGTTATAACCTAAACGTTGCACAAGATCAAGCCTCATCTAGTGCAATATATATAGGCAGTACTGGACCGAATAAAGAAGGGAATATTATCGCAGCGGGACTGATGGTGAGTTTTACATTTAATTGCTTTTCTTTTCCCTTAATTCATTTTTAATTTTTGGATAGTCATTGCAAGTCTTTTTTGACAGACAAATCCAGGCCTTTTTGGCGACGGACGTGTTTGGAAATATGGATTTTGGCAGGTGTGCGCATGCATGTGACAATTTACTTTTGTTTCCTAAATGCATAAATCCTTAAATTAAACAACATGTAAATATTGGATATGATTTTGATAGGGCAAAGATGGAAAAGGATGTTACAATACGGCATGTCCAGGGTTTGTTCAAGTATCATCAGTGATTCCCATAGCCCAACCCTTTGATGTTCCGCCAGGGAAACCTGTCTGGTCGCATCGATTCATTCATCAGGTATTTTCCTAATGTTGTGCATGTATAATTATTTCACATATGTCAGTCCTACTCAATAATGAAGGATTTCTGAATCTTATAGAATCAAATTAGTGATCGATATGTGTATTGACCATAAAACTCTTTAACTAGTTCGCATACTTTGCCCTTCAAGTAATTTAATTATTACATTTTTTTCACTGCAATTCTTATATTAACAAACTATTTATTTTTTTTTTCTTTATTTTTATACGCAAAAAGGACCAAAATACAGGAAATTGGTGGATCACACAACTGGGACCAAATGAGAACAACGTAGATATTGGATATTTGCCAAAAGAGTTATTTAACCTTTTAAGTGTTGGTGGAAATGTGGCTGGGGTTGGAGGTATGGTTCAAGGTTCACCTTCTGGTTCTAGTCCTCCTATGGGTAATGGTAATTTCCCGAATAAAGAATCAGCAATGTTTTCAAATATAGGGGTTTTGAGTTCTAACTATGAGCATCGTAGCCTCGATTTTTTTCCTATAGAGGAGTTGGTAGATAGTCCCAAATGTTATGGGCTAAAAATTGGTAAGGAAAAACTATTCCATCGTAATCACCGTGGATTCTTTTTCAATTATGGTGGTCCAGGAGGATACTCTTGCTAAGTTTAATATTTGCAAGTGTAATCTTTAAACATGGTATTTAATAAATTTATTATAAATTAAACTTTAAATTCCTTTTTTTCCTCAAGGCTAACGCACGTCTTTTAATTTGTGAGTGGTTAATGTTTATTTGACTGCGAGAAACATTTATTTAAATTTGAGTAATTATTCAAGAAAATAATATTTTGAATAAAAACGTAAAATTCAAATTAGGTGCCTTTAAAAATATCAACCTAAAACTAAACTTGTGACCCATAAATAAAAAAGACATCTATTGGACAAGTTTCTAGAATATATCAGTGTTTCGTTTGTGTATGAAATAAAATGGAAAGAGGAGCCATATATAATTAAACTTTCTAGATAAAAAAAACATGTTTTGAAGAGAAAAAGGGAAATGTGTGCTTCAATTTCAAATCATTATCAAGCTACGGTTTTGATTTACATCTTCTTGATTAGATATATAGATGGTAAAGGCTATTAAAAGGTGTGATCAGCGTATTCACTAAGGCTACAGAGAGCAAATAGCTTAAAGACCAAGGCACCAAACACTCACTCTATCTCCATAGGCATGAAACCAGATCACATGTGCGTTTATTAGGCTTATCAGTTATCAGATGCGAGAGTTGCTTAAAAAAAAAATGAATAAATATTCGTGTAATATACTAATATTAAAACTAAAAATCGTTTATGTTTTTGGGAACAAGGGTTTTTGTTCATCAGCCTTGAAACTTCGGATCAAATTTTTGCAAGTTGTCTTGGTCATCTTAAAAGGTATGGGCCAAACCTCTTTCTAGTTGGAGGACAATAATGGGGTCCACGTATTCCCTCATGGCTCAATAATGGGGTCCACGTATTCCCTCATAGCAGTTTCCACGGCTGAGATTCCTCCACGTTCCAGTCACATGTGCCTTTCATCATCACATTCCACTCATGGCTCATCTTCCTCCACGATTCACAATTTCTAACCGTCGATTCTGTAAAAGATCTGATGGCTCTACTTTACTCATCTCTTTCCTTAGGAATTCTACTCGCAGCTGTTGGATTCTTCTCCCTCCTCTCGCAAGTCCCGCTCTTTTTCCTTCCTTCGAAGATAGAATCTCTACGGAAGTAAGGAAAATGCAGGAACAAACGACTAGCTCTTTAGCTGCAAACTCTCTACCATCAAGTAGTGAAAGATCATCAAGCTCTGCTCCACCATTAGAGACCAAAGAAGGTCTTTTTTTTTTTCTCTCAGATTCTCGATCTTTAATTTGTGTTTCCTCAAGCTCGATCCTTTTGAATTTGGGTGAACAAAATTCCCATCTTGGTTTTCTGGGTCCATCGAAAATCTGATTCTCGAGATCGAAAATATCAAATCCCTTGCGAATTTGTCTTTTACAATCTCACTTTTGCGGCAGGAATGGAAAGCGACGAGGAGATACGGAGAGTGCCGGAATTCGGAGGAGAGATCACCGGAACAGAAAACGCCGGCCGGAATTCGGCGTCGGCGGCTGGTCAGGAGCAGGTTCAGACGACGGGGGGAGAAAGACAGAGGAAACGCGGGAGAAGCTCAGCTGATAAAGAGAACAAACGGTTAAAGAGGTTGTGTATTTTATGACCGATTTACCCTTCAGAGCTTAACAGTAGATTTGGTTCTGACGGGGCTTGTTTAGTCTTCTTTATTTTTATTTTTGTCCCTTTTAGGTTGTTGAGGAACAGAGTTTCAGCTCAGCAAGCAAGAGAGAGAAAAAAGGCTTACTTGACTGATTTGGAGAAGAAAGTGAAAGACTTGGAGAACAAAAACTCTGAGCTTGAAGAAAGGCTCTCAACTTTACAGAACGAGAACCAAATGCTTAGACATGTATATTACTCTCTCTCTCTCTCTCTCTCACCATTCTTTCACTAGCATCATTGTTAATCTTTTCAAGTTTGAGATTGAGATCCTTGTGTTTTCATTGACTATGATCACAATGTTTTTTCATGGTTTTTTTACTGTCTTCTTTTCTACAGATTCTAAAGAATACTACGGCTAATAAGAATAAGAGGGGAGATAATGGTGATGGTTCTAATCCTGAGTCTTGACGCAAGTGTTTGACCTTCTTCTTATGTTTTTTGTTTTGTTTTTTGTTTGTTGTGGATAATGTGTTTTTAGATAATCCGTCTCTGACAAAAAAAAAAAAAAAAATTGGTCTGTGGATCACCTAGCTATATGTATCTAGTTGATCATCCCAAAACTTTGGAACATTGTTTAGTAATAAACGAACAAACTATTAAGGCAAATGAAATATTAAAGATAATTATGTAGCCAGTTAAATAAAACTTTAAGAATGTAGCAAGCGCCATAAGCTTCTAGGTAGACGTTAAAAGAAGAATAAAAACATTCAAAAGGGTAAAAGAATAGAAGGAACTATATATGTGAAAGCATCAATGAGAAGGGAAGAAATTGTTGAGACAACAAGGTAGACTATAAAACTCATCATTTCGGACGTCGAGATTGTATAGTCGAAACTTTTCCCACCATATCAGCCCACAATCTCTCTTGCTTTCATCGCTCTTACGACACAATGTGCAATCAAGCACTAATGCTATCATTCCCGCAATCGTTGCGTGTGACATGAATATCACTCTTAGCACATCTTCCATCTGTTTTAAATTCACACAGTAATCAAAGAAACAAAAACCAATTTGATTAGTCAATTAGTGAAAGAGTGTTAAAAATGCGTCTTAAAGTATACAAGAAGATGTACTGACCCAGTTTGAACGATGATCAGACCGCCAACCTCCGTTATAGTATTCTGTGAAGTATTGAGGGATTGAAATAGCCATGAAAATGGAAAATCCCAAAACGAATTTAATGTTGAAGTTGTTGAGGTTGCAAAACTGTAGAAAGCTAAGTCCCGCAGAAGCTGCATTGCATTGATATTTATTGTACAAAGTAATTTTAAACTTAATAGAAATTGTATGTATGATGTGATGAAGAGACTTACACACATAACATAATACAATGCAGTATATAGATGCCATGATTGGTAACGGTATGGACGCAAAAAAGGCTCCAAACTTTCCTGCAAGTTAATCAAAATAAATAAATACTAATCGTGAAAATATTTAGAAAACTCATATATATATATATATATATGAAGATAGGTTATAAGTATATATATACCAAAAATGGAGAAAAAAATCATGAAGGCAGCTGATATTTGTATCACTCTTCGACTCCCAATCTTAGTCATGGCCAAAAGTCCAACATTTTCTCTAAACATCAACGTATCATAAGCTTTTATTATGATTTGTATATTAGAATTTGTAGTTATCGATAAATTCTCAGAAAATAAAAATCTAATTTAAAGATATATTTCCTTACGCTGATGTTGTGATCCCTGAGATGCCTCCCAGCATGCCACTGAGTAATACACCAACTCCCTACAAAACATTCATTCAAATATAAGAAGATAAAATATAGTTAATAAACGGTTAAAAAAATGTTAAATCAAAAAGTGACTAATTAGACTAACCAGCCAGCCAGTACCACGGCTAACAACTGATGGTGGAATCGGCGTCGCGCTTCCATATCTTGCGGATGCGTAGAACAAACCCGTTGACTACAATAATATATAAGACTTTGCATAAAACCTAATTTTTGTTTTCTTGAGTTCTAATATGTGATACTCATTATATCTAATTATCAGTTTCATATTAAAAAAAAAATGAAAGATTAACCTCAAAGAGAGTGACGAAAGAGGCAGCCATCATCGCAAAAGAATCAGTTATGTCAAAGGTTGGGCCTCCCCATTGGAAAGGATATGGTATGTAAACCCTATTGTTATCCATATAAAGAGAATAGAAAAAAAGAAAAAAAAGTGAATATTGAAATAGTGAATTCGCCTTATAAATAACGTTCAAATGTATAGATGAACTGACCAAGGAGTGTTGGTGATGAGACCAGCACGATCTGTACGGCAACTAGTTTGAGTAGTTCGAGGCTTATGGTCATAAAGACCACTCGTTGTGAGTAACAGAGCGAACAACCATACCAATGGAATGTATACCATTATGCCATAACGGTTGCATATTGATCCGTCCCAATTCATTCCTTGCCTCATCTTCAGACATCGCGGTAAGTACTACAACCCACAGAGAAATAAATAGACGTTATTAAACGTGTAGGTCTTGATAGATATTATAATACAAATGTAGATGTAAATTCTTTACAGAATTAATTTATGTGATTGCTTTACCTTTACCAAACGCAACCTTAATTTTGTGTAGGTTAGAGCTTTACCTGAGTGATAACAACAAGAAGAATCAATCCGGGAAGTCCCACCTCAACGCATCTCGCCAACTAGAAAACCAAAAAAACTTATATTATGAAGAATAGTAAAGTATTCAATAATTAACACAAATAGTTAGATTGTAAATGTTCAATATATATATATATATATATAATCATACCAAAGGGAAGCCGATATGGTAAAGTCCTAGTCCGGTAAATGTTGCCAAAGGAGCAATGGAGAGTGGGCTTAGAAATCTAATGATCACACAACCAAAAATATACTTTTATTTAAAGGTTTAGTCCCCAATTCCGGTACAGTAATATAATATTAATTATGTACCTGATGATATTTCTCCACACGCCTAAGAAACATACAAGAACTTGGAAACAACCGGCAATAATCAGAGCCCCTTGTATGCTTCTCATTGTTCTCACAAACCTCTGGTTAGTTATGTGATCAAACAATTTTTTATTAGTAAAAATTTAATTTATAAAATTAATGATGAAAGTAAGGGTTAACACTTACTTCAAAAGGATCAGTGTAGTAAGTGAAGCGGGTTGAGGAAATGATGGTAGTGACAGGTATGATATAGGCATAAGAAGCAGCAGCTATCACAGGCAATCGAGTTCCAAAGAAAGACTGGAACAATGTTGTTAATCCAGACACAAATAGCAATGTTTGTATAACTCTACCCTTCTCTGCCTGAGAAATGTCACAATATAATCCAATATTTATTTCTTCATGAAATATAATCTTCAAAATCTGATTCCATATATCATTTTTTGAAAGCCTTTCCTTAAAATACCTTTTAAAACAATAAAAATAAAGTTGTGATCCATATAGAAACGTGAGTTTAATTAACAACTTCATCAAAAATAATGCGTTTATACGTTTAAACAACAATAGTGAAAAAAAAAAATTTCAAAATCATAATTCATTAATAAAAATATAGAAGCATACATTATGTATGCATTACGATTTGTTAATATTTTTGAAAAAATATGTTTAGAAGTTTAAAACTTTCCAAAACTTCATATCTTAAAAAACAAGAAAATTATTTTAAGAGAGTATAACAAATAACACCACATGAGACAATGAAGTTAGATCAAAACTTACATCACCACCTCCCATTAGTGGAACTAAGAGACTTGGAATAAGAACCGTGATGCCAAGACTCAACAAATAATGCTGGAAACCCAACACTACCGCTTTAACTGCAACACCAAAATAATATTATTTACAGACAAAGTTACTTAAACATAAACAAATAATTTTCTTTTTAAGGACATACGCCAAGGAGGAGGACTATTGACACAATACTCAATCCCGGGGAGCTGTTCTTTCACCGGGTGGGGCTGTAACTCCACTGTCCTATTGTTGTTAGTGTTTCCACCACCGCCGTTGCCGCCACCATTGGCCGTGGACATGGTAACTTTTTTTGTCTTCTTGTTATTTCAAGTAGATCAATAAAAAAGGTATCCGTCAATTTTTGTATCTACATTAATAGAACATGTTTATCAATCTATATCATTACATTCCCTTAAGAGGTTAAAATGATCACCCACAACTTTAAAAAGAAAATAAATCGTGAAATAAAACAAATGGAGAAGACTTACTCTTAAGAAGGAACCCACACGGGAGGAAGATCGAAGAAGCTTTGTTTGGGAGGATCTAGTCGAAGGGTTGAGAGAATTTGAAAGAGAAGGAGAAGGTGTGGAGTGAAGGAGAAGAAGTCAAAAAGGTTTGGGTTCAAACTCTTAATCTTTTCTCGAACTTTTTATTTATTTTAGAAACATAATTTGAATGATTAAATGAGTGCATTATATACAATTAATGTGGTAATAAAAGTCTAGTACGTCAGTTTTGATATCTGAAATTTGAAATACAAATCCTTTGAAAATTCCTTTGATTTGATCTGAAAAATAAATGATTTATTATTATTTAAATATAAGTTTTGAAATCAAAACGAAATTTTTACTAATCAGAATTCAAGACACTTTCTCTGATTGTTATTAAATAACAATGTCATTTGATCTCTTGGAAGCTCAAATCCTACGGTCAGAGTCTTTGTGTGACCAGCACTACACTTTGACAATCTTAATTGATATTTGGTAAAACTAAACGCCAAAACTAATACCAAGTGAAAATAGTAAAACCCAAATTTTGAAACATAATAAAACTGAAGCGATAAATGTCAAATAGGTTACAAGTCTCTGTCTCAAATAACAGTCTTAGCTTAAGTTCTCAAAACATTAGTATATAATTATCTGAACTTCTTTCCTCCCAAAAAACACTTGGATCAAGAAGCGAGCAACAATGAATACCTCCATGAGCACGATCATCATCTTCTTCATGACCTTCTCTGTAGTCTTTGTTGCCGTTATGGCCGAGAAAATAAACCCTGAGGAAATTTGCATAAGAAGAAATATTGCCCGGTCGCAACCACCAAGCTCTTCAGCCGAGCCCAAGATATCAAAGTTTGACATTTTTGTGGACCAATATTGCAGAGATACAGGGCGTGCCATCATGTTCTATGTGAGGGTGAACAGAAAGTTCCCGTCTCATTACGTCAAAATGTTGTGCAATATATATGAAAACGATGAAAAAAGGGTCATGGACTACATTTTAAAAAGATGGTTAGGATTTTCGAAGCTCGCGTATGGTTTAACTTGTGTTTCTCATTAACAATTTTGTTATGGGTTTAAGAAATTAAAATAGTATTTCTACTATTAAGTTGATTTTTCCATCACGGATTTAATTATTGGGTTCATGCAAATATTATAGATACTACAATAGAAAACCAAGGTTTGGTCACCTAAGATAACATGATTTTTTATTTTTGATGGAATAGAAAGTTATATATCAAATAAATAAACGTTTTTGGTTTTCAAATAGTTGAAATAAAATGTTTCTATGCATTCTCTTTATCAAAAAATGTTTCTATGCATTCTCTCAAATCGCGAAAAAACTTTAGTCTATCTGGTTAGAATTTATTCACCAATCCAGGTAGAAAATATGAATAAAATTATCTTACAAAAGATGTAATCTAGTTATCGTTTTTTTTTCACCATACTTTTTGGTATTTACCTCTTAGGTAAAAGAAAGATTAAATAGTTATAGATGACTATAAGAAAATAAACACTAACTAAAGGGATACATAAAATTTGGTAAAGTCGATTTAAATTGTAGAAATGAGTCAATTAACAAAAAAATACAAATAAAATTGGCAACTTAAACCGTGTTAATTTGCAGAAAATAAATACCGCGTCATAATTCGCCCTTTTTTTTGCTATATAAAGGGAGACGTCAATAATAAAAATAAAAAGAAGAGGCTGTATAGGAACAGAACAAAACATGGGTTTGACAAAAACATCGCTGCTTTTGTATTTTCTTTTCTTATTACATGTTCAACAAAACCTTCTTCCCGTAGATTCACGATCGTTACGTTTAGCCTCCATTGATACGAGTCATGTTTCCTCTATATCCAAGCCAGAAGGTATTGCCTACGGTGGAAAGACACCGGAATTAGTAGTCTTTATCAGAAAAGGCGGTGGTGGTAAGGGAGGAGGTGGACGTGGTGGCGGTATGGCCCGCACGGGACGCGGTCGTCTAAGAAAGTCTCGCGGCGGGCTAGGCGGGTATCCGTTTTACGTGGCTGGGTCACACCACCACGTTAATGGTTCAAACGGTAGTATGAATATTCTTGGATGGACAGGTTTCGGTTCGTTGGGCTTATCAGTCTTGGCCGGATTAGTTTTGTTTTCTTAATAAAGGTTAAAGTATTTGTAAGAGTTTAGGAATGTTTCTTAGATTGAACATTTAGCTAGTTTTACAATTCAAATAGTCGAGTACTATTGAAAGTTTGAAACCACCGATTTTTTTGTCAAAACAATGGATTGTTGGTTATGAATTTACAAGCATGCATACGACATTGTCAAAAATATAGATGTTTTGAAAAACACATGGAGACATGTGTCTAAAATTAATTAGACATTTTAGAATAAAATTATCGATCATTATGAGTTTTGAAAATAGCTATTAATAACGTTGAAGCGGAAACGTTAATATTTATTAATTGAAATACTACATTTATTTCATTATAAATGTTGTTTTAACGTTTTTTCATATATATATATATATATATTTTTTTTTAAATCTTTAAATTTCTGTTAAACCCTTAACCAATACACATGTAAATATCTTTCTAGCCAATGTTATAGTTATAAGTTATAGTCATAGTCACTCAGACTCATAATTGGGTTTTTGTTATACAAAATATCGAATGTAACTGAATAGAACTTTGAGATTTAATAAGAAAAACTCTCTTATTAGCTTAAGGAAACTAACTCAAAACCTTAAGTGTTTAATCTCTCAAAACTCATAAGGATTACCACAGCTTTGGTATCTCTTATATAATGGAGATCTTTCCTAATCCTTTTAGGAATAGTTACATATTTAGATAACTCCTAAATATTAGATAAGTATATTAGATATCTCCTAAATATACTCTAACTTGATCTCCAAGTTATTTCAAGCTTATCCAACAATGTCTCCCTTAAGCTTGAAATTAACTTCCTTCACATCTTGAACTCCCATAAGGCTTCTCATTTCTTTAAACTTGATCCTTCCAAGTGGCTTTGTCAAAATGTCAGCCTTCTGTTCATTCCCTGGTACATGCTCGACCTCCACTTGGTCATTCTCAGTGCACTCACGTATGAAGTGATACCTCCGGTGAATATGTTTGCTACGACCATGAAACACCGGATTTTTGGTAAGTGCAATGGCTGACTTGTTGTCGACTCGAATTGTTACCTTTTTGCATTCCTTATCAGTTATCTCGGCAAAGAGCTCTTGAAGCCATATCGCCTGCTTTGCTGCCTCTGTTGCAGCCATAAATTCGGCTTCACATGATGATAAGGCCACAGTTTCTTGCTTTTGTGAGCACCAGGTAACAGGGCAATCATCGAAGTAGAATATGTGACCAGTGGTACTCTTTCCATCATCTTCATCAACATTGTGACTGCTATCACTGTATTCTACTAAGCCTGTGCCATTCCTGCGTTTGAACATAAGACCATAGGATAGAGTTCCTTGTAGATACCTCAGCACTTGTTTTAAAACTGCTTCATGCGACTCCTTAGGCTCTTGCATATAACGACTTAGAACGCCAACACTGAACGCAAGATCTGGTCTTGTATGAATAAGATATCGAAGACACCCAATGCTCCTTCTGTATCTTTGTTCATCAATCCGATCCTCTTTAGCATCCTTTGAAAGTTTCACACCCTGATCCATCGGCACTTGAGATGCATTGCATTCTTTCATTCCAGCTTCTTCCAGAATTTTAGATGCATATCTCTCTTGACTCAGATTTATGCCATCTTTGTGCTGCAGTACTTCAATTCCTAGATAGTAAGAAAGTTTTCCGAGGTCACTCATCTCAAATCTGGTTGCCATCTCCTCCTTGAACTTATCTATCATTCGCATACTTGATCCTGTGATCAGAAGATCATCCACATAAACTGCAACCACTATGAGGCTTCCTTTCTCTTCCTTTCGATAAAGCGATGGTTCCTTTGTGCATCTCACAAAGCTTAGCTCCTTTAGAACCTTATTTAGCTTCTCATTCCATGCTCTAGGTGCCTGTTTTAATCCATAGAGTGCTTTGTTTAGTTTATAAACTTTGTCTTCACTCCCTTTGATCTCAAATCCTTCAGGTTGTGTGACATAAACCTCCTCCTTTAGCTCTCCATGCAAAAACGCCATCTTGACATCTAGATGATGTACTTCCCAATTTTCTGAGGCAGCTATAGCAATAATGAAGCGAATGGTCTCAATGCGTGCAACAGGAGCAAACACTTCCTCATAATCGACTCCATGTTTTTGAACATATCCTTTTGCAACAAGCCTTGCTTTGTACTTGTTGATACTTCCATCAGGATTACGCTTAACCTTGAAAACCCACTTTAGTCCTATTGCTTTAGCTCCCATTGGTAAGTCAGAGAGGTTCCATGTTTTGTTCTTGTTTATCGATGAAATCTCATCTTCACAAACAGATATCCAATTTTTTGAATCATTTGCCTCATTAAAATTCCACGGTTCTTCGTTCAGGACCAGTAGGAGTCGCTCTCCTTCAACTTCAGCGAGACATACGAAGTCAGCTAGGTATTCAGGTCTTCGATGTGTTCTGTTTGATCTTCTTAATGGAACCTCAGCATTCTCTTGTTCTTCGTCGCCTGAAACAGTGTCATCGAGTTGATCTGCATCATCTCCTGCAGTTCCTCCTCTGTTTTCTTCTGTTGAATCATTGCTCGATTCTTCAGGTGTTTCGATGGAATCTTCATCCCTTCTGATTCCTCTGTTGCCAAACTCGCTAAACTGTAGTTTGAACATGCCCGATTCTCTATTACTTTCTTCTCCTAGACCAGCCCACTTCCAGCTCTTAGTTTCGTCGAAAACTACATCTCTACTTACCACAATTCTTCAGTTTGCAGGATCAAACAATCTATAGGCCTTTGAGCCTGGTTCTGTTCCAAGATGGACCAATACCTGTGATCTTTCATCCAATTTTCTTCGACCTGCAGCCTCTGTTCTCGCATAGCTGATACACCCGAAGACTCGTAGGTGATTGAGATTTGGCTTTCTTCCTTTCAGTGCTTCATATGGTGTCTTGTGATCCTGAAATGATCTTGTTGCCATTCTGTTGATCAAGTAAGTGGTGTGCCTTACAGCTTCTCCCCATAGATAATTTGGCAAATACATATGTTTAAGGATGCTTCTTGTCATATCGAACAGAGTCCTGTTTCTCCTCTATACTACTCCATTTTGCTGTGGAGAGTATGGTGCTGTTAAGTGTCGATGTATACCATGTTCCTCACAGAAATCTCGGAACTCGTGTGATGTGAACTCTCCACCTCTATCTGTACGGAACGTCTTGATCGTGGCTTTTGTTTCTTGTTCCACTATCTTCTTGAAACTCTTAAACTTGTCAAGTGCTTCGCTTTTCTCTTGCAGCAACATTGTCCACATATAACGAGTATGATCATCAATAATGACGAATACATATCGTTTAAGTGTTGATGTTGTTGGTGTAATGGGACCACAAAGGTCCCCATGTATAAGCTCAAGGACTTGAGAAGCTCTGTATGATGTTGACTGTGGGAACGCTTGTCGTGTTTGTTTTCCAAGTAAACAAGACACACAAGTTTCTTTCTCCACCGAGATCCTTGGTAAGCCACTTACGAGTTCTTTGTTAATCATTAGCTTCATGGTATTGAACTACACATGCCCCAAACGTGCATGCCACTTACTTGAATCACTTATTTCTTTTAGCTGCAGACACTTCAGGTAGTCCACCTCCAGGATTACTTTGTACAGACGATTCTTCGACCTTGTAGTCTGCACAAGAAGCTGTCCGTTTCGGTCAAGAAGGTTGAGACGGTCGTTTTTCATTCGTATCTCACATCCTGCTTCTGTTGCTTGGCCTAAGCTGATGATATTGCTTATGAGATCAGGAATATAATAGACATTGTCTAATATTTTATTGTCTCCATTGTCGAACATGAATCGTACCAAACCTTTTCCTCTGATATGTATGCGCGAGTCGTCACCAAATCTTACCATTCCAGTAACTGTCTCATCAAGATCCACGAAGAACAACCGGTTTCCACTCATATGATTATTGGCACCATTATCTAGATACCACACATTACTCGTGTTTAGGTCAGCATCAAAAACTTTGGGCTTGATTTTCTCCTCATTGAGAAATATTACTTCGTGCATCATGAGCTTGTCGGCTTCAGTGGTATCTTCTTCGTTCTCTTCTTCAGTAGCTTGGAGCTTTAGAAGTCTGTCGGGACAATCTGACGCATAATGGCCCTGTTTATCACAACGATAACATGTCACACGATATTCTCTTTCCTTATCTCGTCCTCGTCCGCGACCTCTTCCTCTCCAGTTAGAACGACCTCCTCGTCCTCTTCCCCGGTTTCCATTATAGTTCGCTTGAGAGTTTGATGAATCAGAGTTTGCATACATGAGTTTACTCTGATCATCACTCTGTTCCTCCTCTTCGTCGTTTATTCGCTCCTCGTATGCCTTTAAACGACCAACAATGTCTTCAAACGTAGTTGTTTTTAGATCAAGGACCTGTTCAAGAGCTGCGACGATATGAATAAATCTTTTTCTTGGTAAACTTTTCAAGAATTTCTTCACAAGCTTTGATTCATCAATGGTTTCTCCGAGTGCTGCTGATTTTGAAGAAATTTCTGAAAGTTTGCCAGAGAAAGTATCGATTGTGTCCTCGTCTTTCATCTTGAGTTTGTCAAACTCTGACATTAGTGTTTGTAAGCGTGCTTCCTTAACTCGTTCAGCTCTAACATGTCTTGTCTTGATCGCATCCCACACTTTCTTCGCAGTGTTGAGTTCTCCAACTTGAAGAACTAGGGTTTCGGGTATTGATTGGAAAATCAGTGCTGATGCTATATCATTCTTCTCGGCATCAGTGGATTCTGTTTCCACAATCTCCCAAACCTTGTGAACTTTGAGTAAGCTCCTCATTCTGATGCACCATACCGTATAGTTTGTAGTAGTAAGCATAGGGCATTGAATGGAGGAACCACTCGCCTCTTTAGGTCGTATAGCAGGAACAAGATCTCCCATAGTTCCTTTGATCGAATCTCTGTGCTAAGATCGTAAGCTCTGATACCAAATATCGAATGTAAGTGAATAGAACTTTGAGATTTAATAAGAAAAACTCTCTTATTAGCTTAAGGAAACTAACTCAAAACCTTAAGTGTTTAATCTCTCAAAACTCATAAGGATTACCACAGCTTTGGTATCTCTTATATAGTGGAGATCTTTCTTAATCTTTTTAAGAATAGTTACATATTTAGATAACTCCTAAATATTAGATAAGTATATTAGATATCTCTAAAATATACTCTAACTTGATCTCCAAGTTATTTCAAGCTTATCCAACACAAAAGACGCTTTCAAAGATTAATATCTACAGCAATTACGTATGGCTTTCCACAAAGTTCTGAAAAATCTACATAAAATATAATGGTTATGTATCGAGTTCGGTGTACGTTTATGCTTTTAAGGAATATAAATTAACTACTATTTTAAGACTGTACCATCGCTACACCACTCTCTAGTCTCTACTATGAATGGGGGATAGATAATGAGGTGGCCTACTGATATAGCAACGAAACTTAAAAAAAACAAAAACAAAAAAACAGCAACGAAATAAGCTATTTACATTCGCCAAATTTGTTGGCCACTTGTGATTTTGATCCCGTTTTTTTATAGCCATTTACGGAAATATAAATATATTGACTATTGAGTAAACATTTGGACCAAAGAAACGCTAATTCATAAATTAAAGGTGAATGAAAACCATTTAACCTAAAACTGAACAGGATGACGTGTCATGGAGTTTAATTAGCTGTTTTGTTTTGGTCAACTATTTAATTAGATGTTATAACTGGATTATTGGTAAAACAGTTAGAATCATGGGTGGAGAATTACGCGGTTTACTATTAGTTATGTGACTTATGTCTAAAAAACACGCATCGCAAACGAATTTTGGCTCTCTAGTTTCCTCCTTTGTTCTGCCAATGATATTCTGCCACCTCAGCAATACAAGTCCCTTCTTTTTCTTTTCTCCCAACGATCGTCTGTCTTGCTTTTCTTTTTTTTTGAATTTCCGCCGATTTCTTCCCTCACTCTCTAGACTTTCCTAACAAAATTCCTCGATTTTCGAGAGAGAGAAGCAAGGTACCTTCGCCGGATTCTTGAGCTCTCCAGGTATGTCGATTCAATGCATGATTAGAAGCCATGTGCCCACTTCTTGCAGATATTATAGCTGTTTTAGGTTTTGTCTGATTCTATTCCTAGTATTGTCCGAAATCTGGAAGAGGTTTAATGGTCCTAGTATTATTTTCGCCTCTTCAATTTCTTCTCTTTAGGTTACTCTGGAATTGTCATCATAACTGTGAATGTGTGTGTGAATTTCTACAGCAATGGAGAGTGAAAGAGGTCCATTTCAGGGAATACTCAGAGATATTGAAGGTAGACGCAAATGCTACAAACAAGATTGGATTCTTGGTATAAAAAATGGTATAAGGTAAGGTTTAATTGACACAAATTTCAAATTTTAAATCTTTCGGTTGGTAAGTATATTGATGCTAAACATTGAGATCAAATTCACTTTTTTGACTATTTGATTTCAATGTTTCACTAGGATTTTGGCTCCGACTTGCTATATTTTCTTTGCCTCTTCTCTTCCAGTTGTTGCCTTTGGTGAGCAACTAAGTAAACATACAGGTACCATATACACATATTGTATCTTCCCATTATTGCTATTTATGAACTCGCCAGTGCATTTTCTCCTACCTCTGATGATTTCTATTCAACTCTAGGCGGAGCTCTGAGTGCAGTGGAAACATTAGCTTCTACATCAATCTGCGGAATCATCCACGCGGTTTTTGGTGGACAGCCATTGTTGATACTTGGGGTTGCAGAGCCAACCATCATTATGTATACTTATCTTTATAGTTTCTGCGTTAGTAGACCGGATCTTGGTGGGGAGCTTTACCTAGCTTGGGTTGCATGGTAATGACACCAACAAAATAATTTACCCTCTTACTTAGTTAGGAATGTGTGAATGTAACTGTTTTCTCTGAGAGTTTTTTTCTTTTGCTAATTTTATGCAGGGTTTGTGTATGGACTGCAGTTTTGCTTATGCTTCTATCGATATTTAATGCCTGCAAAATCATCACGAAATTCACTAGAATCGCTGGGGAACTCTTTGGCATGTTGATTGCTGTTCTCTTTTTACAAGAAGCTATCAAGGTACAGCACCAGTTCATTTTTCAGGTTAGCCATATATATGTTATAGTGAAACATGCGTGTTTTATACATACATGCAGGGATTGATTAGCGAGTTTCATGCCCCCGAGAGTGAAAGCCATGAATCAGGAGAGTCACATTTCCTCTGGCTTTATACAAATGGGTTGCTTGCAATAATTTTCTCTCTAGGCCTTGTAATCACTGCGCTGAAGAGCAGGAGAGCGAAATCTTGGAAATACGGGTTTGGTGTGTCATTTTTCTATTTACTTATACTTCCTTATATAAGGTGTACATAGATGTTGACTTAGACCACTAAAAACTATAGGGTGGCTTCGGAGTTTCATCGGAGATTATGGTGTTCCCTTAATGGTCTTGTTATGGACAGCATTGTCTTACACGATTCCTAGTAAAGTCCCTCCAAGTGTTCCTCGAAGACTCTTTTGTCCTCTTCCATGGGAGCCAGCTTCATTGTACCATTGGACTGTAATCAAGGTAAGATCTTAGATGGAAAACATGCTACTATGATCAATCAAATTTCAAAATAAACTATCTACTTATAGAGATATGCAAAACTTGTTGTATACAGGACATGGGGAAGGTACCAGTAATGTATATCTTTGCTGCGTTTATACCTGCTTTGATGATAGCAGGACTTTACTTCTTCGACCATAGTGTAGCTTCACAAATGGCACAGCAGAAAGAGTTTAATCTAAAGAACCCTTCTGCTTACCACTACGACATCTTCTTGCTGGGAATTATGGTGTGTTTTCTTTTACGTTCTAAAAGCTGTTTTCAAAGATACTGTTCAATTTTCATGGTGTAGTGAAAAGTTTGAGATCTTGTTGTTATGGTGATTTGTAGACTTTAATATGTGGACTACTTGGACTTCCTCCTTCAAATGGTGTTATTCCTCAGGCTCCAATGCACACAAAGAGTCTTGCGATTCTCAATCGACAGGTAAGATCAAAATATACGAGAAGAAGAGAGAGTTAAAACAGAGAGGATATATTCTTACAACTTAAAAGCCTGTCTTTTGTTTTTTTTTTTCGCAGCTGACACGCAAGAAAATGGTGAAGAGTGCGAAAGAGTGTATGAAGATGAAAGCCAGCAAATCAGAAATATATGGGAAAATGCAAAGAGTGTTTATAGAGATGGAGACATGTACACCTCAAGTTAGTAATGGCTTCTCCTATATCTATATATCTATAGAATAATCTGACAAATCTACTGCAAGAAAAGAACTGGAAAATAAAAAGAACCAAACATTTTGTGTAGCTTTGTTCAGTAGCCACGGATTTGAAAGACTTGAAAGAAGTGGTAATGAGAGCCGAGGAAGGAGAGGATACAAAAGGCAAATTCGATCCTGATGTGCATATAGAGGCTAACTTACCGGTTAGAGTAAACGAGCAAAGAGTGAGCAATCTGTTGCAATCAATCCTAGTGGGTTTAACACTCCTAGCTGTGCCAGTCATCAAAATGATCCCAAGTTCAGTTCTTTGGGGTTACTTTGCTTATATGGCAATAGACAGTCTCCCCGGAAACCAGTTCTTTGAGAGACTGTTGCTTCTCTTCATTCCTCCAAGCCGACTTTTCAAGTTAGTTAAAAAAAAAAAAAAAAAAAAAGCCTTTTCTTTTTCTTTAGTTTATTTGCAGAGAAAGAGTTGGTTTCTGAATGACTGGTTTCATAAAATGCAGAGTCCTAGAAGGAGTACACGCTTCGTTTGTGGAGTTGGTACCATATAGAGTGATTGTGGCCTTTACACTATTCCAGTTTGTATATTTTCTCTTGTGTTATGGGATGACATGGATTCCTATGGCTGGAATATTTTTCCCGGCGCTATTCTTCCTACTCATAAGTATCAGAGAACACTTGCTCCCCAAGTGGTTCGATCCACAATACCTTCAAGTGTTAGATGCTGCTGACTATGAAGAAATAGTAGCAGCACCTATGCAACACTCGAGTTTTGCATACCGGGTAATGCTCTTTTTTTCTTATGTATTTTTTTTTTGTCTTAATGATTCTTGATTTTAGTCAGAAGCTTACTGTGAATGATAGAACTTATAAACAATTTTCGTGAGCAGAAACTGGGATCTTCTCGTCATTTATCAGAATGTGAAGATGAATTCCACGACGCAGAGATATTGGACGAGATGACTACTAGTAGAGGTGAAATCAGGATCCGAACTATAAGTTTCAAGGAGGTAATCAAATAGCTTTCATACATATTCCAACTATTTATTCGGTTTGGTTAACCCACAATCCAAGAAAAAAAAATGCATAAACAAGAATCTTGTTCCAGGTGTACCCGGAGCCTGAAGAGAGACGCATAACATTTGAACCACATTGAAAACACCATGATTTGCAGTTGTTGTTGTTGTATACAAATGTATCTGTGCATATTACATCGACTAAGTTATAACTGTCTTATAGTGGAAAATACATGTTTTCAGCAATTCATGACTCTTAGTGGTTAACTTGTCCTCGAATCTGGACTATCGCATTCAAATAATCCAGCACTTGTTGCATGGATGATCGTTTCTTCGAGTCTTACCTCAAGGCATTGTTTTATAATCTCGCAAAATACGACGCCGTTTTATCAGATGTCTCTTGATTCTTCTTCTTCCTTCCTGTGTAAAATAGAATAAATAATATAAGGTTAGCAACTTAGCATAGGTTGCAATCGCATTTCGATGTACAGCAGGAGAAGATATGGCGTCGTTTCTCCAATATCTAGTCGATCCGAGGAAGAATTTCTTAGCTCGTCTGCACATGAAGTCCATCTCTAACCGCCTCCGTAGATACGGTACTCATTTTTCCTCTCTCTCTCTCACTGTGGAACGAGCACTGGTTCCTCTCTGTTCGTTTTCGCCCTGATTTTTGATTTTTCGAATTTCAGGTCTCAGATACGACGATCTCTACGACCCTTTGTATGATTTGGACATTAAGGAGGCGCTTAATCGATTGCCCAGAGAGATTGTTGATGCTCGGAACCAGCGTCTAAAGCGTGCATTGGATCTCTCCATGAAACACGAGTACCTCCCTGATAATCTTCAGGTATGTCTGTGTGTCTCCAAACGAAGTTATATACAGGGGGAGATAGCTATGATAGTTTGAACTTCTCTGGTTTGCATTGTAATGTGTGATTGATTGTACCGACGTTTAAGCTTTGCAGAGAGAAATTAGATCATATTGTCGCTTTCTCTGGATTGATTATGTGTAATGCATTAGTGTTTGCAGAGATTGTGTCTACAAGCTGCATTTTTCAATTGCTTTGCTTAGGCTATTTTATAATTTTATTCTCTTCCCAATGTTCCATGCTTACTTTTTTGTCGTAAGCTATGAATGTTTTCTAATTTAAGGTCTAAGTAAGACATGGATTAAAATGCTCTTTTGTGAACAACCATACATGTTAAGCTTTTTAGTTCCTTAGTATAGTCTTTATAGCATAGCCCGATAAGCTGTAAGATATTGTATCACGTTTTTCTTTTATGTACCATCATACTGCAGGCTGCAACATATGACATTCCTCATGACTGAGGAAGGCTTGAATCTACTACAGCTTCTTTTGCCTCTTTTCATGAAAGAAATGTTTCTGATATGGTTCTTCTAATTGTGAAATAGGACTATAGAAGCTTATTTAAACCTTTTTCTTTCTTTGTCTCTATAATTTCACAGGCAATGCAGACACCATTCAGGAGCTACCTCCAAGAAATGCTGGCTCTTGTAAGTCCCATGCAATTTCTTGTAAGAACAAAAATAGGATGACGCCTAACTTTCTTTTGCCAGCTCAAACTACCCAATGTTGGTTTGATTTACACAAATATCCATATTCATATCTCCTGCTGCTAGATCCATGACCAAGAAAGTGAAGATGTTTTGGTTTTCTCTGTCTTATAGCAATGTTCTTACGTGGGGGCTTTGTTTGCAGGTGAAGAGAGAGAGAGCTGAGCGAGAGGCATTGGGAGCTCTACCTCTTTACCAGAGAACCATTCCTTAAGCATGTTAGTCTCTCTTGTGCAATACTTAAAAGCCTAGTTAACCAAACAGATCCTATTCTTAGTTTGCTATGTATGGTTATCCACAGTTCATGTAAACACTGTACTTATGTATAAGGTTGTATGATATTGATGTTTAATGTAAGTTTTGGTTGAGCAATGGAGTGCAGAAGGGGAGAGAGTCTTGGACCAAAACTCTTGGTGTAACAAAAATAAAAAGGAGGTTAAGTGTTTATGTCTACAAAGTTCCTCAAAGATGCCATTTTAAACATTTTTTACATGAATCATGTACAGCGATGCTTTGCACGGTACTGAGGTAGATAAGAATAGGATAAGGTATTATATTAAATAGATTGGTCAGTAGAAAACGATATGGTGTTCTATTTGAAGACAATTCCATGTGAGTCACATTAAGCACAGGAGGGGCCTAAAATCATTAATGAATTACTTAATGAAAAAGAAGAGGAAAAAGACAACGTTTAATTGAATTGTTATATGTGAGTAACTTCCTCCTAGTCTTTTCTCTCACTTACCAACTATTATTGTTAAATGTTGAGTACTTAGATTAGTTTTGTTGTCGTTGTTTTGTGGAGACTAAAGAGGCTTTAAAAATCTCTTCAAATTTTTTTTTTTTTTTTGCGTTCTGGTTGATTCTGAAATACTAGTTGAAGTCGTTACTCGTTACTAGTTACTACTACTCGATCTTAATGAGGAAAAAATTTGCCTTTGAACAACAAAAATGGAAATGCATGATCTGATATAACATGAATAACTAAATGAATATAACGGGCCTTAAACATTTTGTCTTTACTATATGAGTAAACCTAATAATATTGTAAGGCTATGGATAGTTTTTTGTGTGTACTATCTAGGCAGAGATGGTGGAGTGACGAGGCTATGGGCCCGTAAAAGAGTTAAAAGAAGTGTACAAGGAGGAGGAGACAAAGCCATGATCCTGCCTTTTGCACTCTCTTCTCGCCCTCTTCTTTTTTTTTTTTTTTTCTTACATCGACCCCACTCCTCGTTACCTACTGGCCCACCCACGTTTCCGACGGTTTTTGGTCTTTTTTTGGCTCCATTGTCTTATTCTTCAGATTCAACATTTTTAAATTTTTGGTAGTTTGGTTGAATTTGCTCTTATAGTCCTAATCAATATTTTCTGCTGTTCTATAATACAATACTGCCCCAAATGGTTTCTGTATGATATTATCAAATGCTTCCAACAAAACAAAACAAAAGGGAATCAGAAATCGTTATTCTTCAAATCAAAACACATATTACATACAATTTTTTTCTAGAATCGAAATCACGATCTTAATCCCAAAACTCTCACATACTAATTATCTCATAACACCTTAATCTTCCAATTGATTTGAAATCATAAAATATGTGTAGTTTAGAGATGATTCATTTAACTTTATGCAGCCACCGAAAAAAGTTCTGTCAAAAAATTATATTGTTAGGAGTCTATTCAATCTTAATATACAGTAATACGTGTTGTAATAGACCATTTTATTTTTATCTATGAGTTCCAAAGATAAGAGTTGTGCAACAAAATTTTTAGTATGATGTGCTCGATGTTGATTGAATTTGTATAATTCATGAAAATGAGATAAATACAATTGCAACGCGGCAACGCCCATTAGTTCTCCTTTCTTGGGCTGATAAAAATTGAGAAGAAGACACAATTCTGAATTTCTGAGACCATCTTTTCTAGCCGACTTTGGAAACCGCATTCTTAGCCAGTGAACGGTGCCTTTCCATAGCTTACACATTTATCATTTTTATTATACAGCTGTGGATCCTAAAATCCACACTCAAGGATTTAGTGTGTTGATTTTGTGGTAAAAGAATTTAGGCAAGAATTCTGGTAAGAACGATGTAAAAATAAAAACAAAAACCGACGAATTTGGATTGTATTGATGAAAGATGAATGTTTACAAAGTGTTTTTGTGCTCAAGATTGAATGCCCTTTACAAGAGATTCAACTCCTATTTATACTAAATAGAACGAAACATACTAAATAGAACGAGACGAACTGTTCCGAGATCCGCGGGTTGATACGTTCTCTCCTTCTCCGAGATCTCCGCGATCTCCTCTTATCTACGACCTCTTCTTCTCCGAAATCTCCGCGATCTCTTTTTATCCAGCTTTCCGCATAGATTGACTTGTACTTGAATATATTCCTTGGAGATGCTTTCCTTGCCTTATTTACGGACCTATAGGGCCTAAAACTTCCCTTATAATGGCTTGTTCACTCAAAGTGCTTTATGGGCTGGATTTGGGCTAAATCCGACACCAACAACAGCCAAGAAATCCAAAAGATATAAACCAAAAGACCAAAAAAGGCACAAAGAGACAACATATCAATGAAGACAAAAGGAAACAAAACTCTTTGAGCTTTTTTTTCTTTTTACTTTGGTGTTGAAACACATGCCACGCCACGATAAACGATTCTCCTCGTAGTATCTCCACCGATATTCTATCAAAACGACAAAATTGACCACTGTTATCATAAATAATCAGATATGTCACGTAGTTTCAGATGTAAGATTAGTAAAAAACACCTCAATTATTTTCACAATCTTAGACATAGGTGTTTACATGTGTTTATAGCATGTGATGTGGTCATGTGGATAAGAGATTATCATTGCATAATTACGTTTAGTATGTTTTTCTTTGATTGTGGTATTCGGTCTTCCCTAGTCACCGCCTCGCCGAGATAAGACTAAGTATATAAGCAGAACTAAGATTAATTATACCAAAAATGATTAAACTTAATTTTAATCCCGGAAGTGCCCCCAATATGTCAATAAAGGTACCAAATCTCTGGAAAGGAGTGAGGCCACAACCCCACGTGGGATACGCGAACTACATCAGTGGCACACACTCGTAATATACAGCAACCTCTAAGGGCACTTTAATAGCTCCAGCTCCTTATAAGCAATTGCCTCGACACTCTATAATTGACACTAAACAACATTTATCTCTTTTCTCTCTCGGCGTTCCGATACAATGGGAGGCATCACCGTCGTGTCTATCTTCCTTCTTATCATCGCCACCGCCAATTCCGCCGCCGTCTACTTCCGTGACGGTAAGATTCTTCTACACCTATACATATACACAATTATACCAATTCAGATTAACCACTGTAGATTAAGTTAATAATTTTTGAAGAACAAACTCCAATTCTTTCTCTAGTTATTGCTTTTCCTATCTTTTGAACCGTTGAGTGCAGTAAATAAACCATCCCATTAGTTATGCTTCATAAATTCATTTTCACAAATTTTATGAAAAGAAAGTGGGATAGAAAAACGATTTCATTCAGAATTCTTAAAAAAAGGAGTTGAAGTCAAAGGAATCAGTATAATGCTGGTAATGAAAATATGTCATTATTGTCGTCGGAATGGTTATGATATTAGTACTTGCTTCTGCTACAATAGTGTACTGAAACGAAGTTATTCTTTTACAATTTTAGTACTGTAAACTACAATTGTTGTAGTTTTTTCAATTTTCATAAAAACTGATGCTGAATTTACAATTTTAACCCCGTTACTGACACAAACACACCGCGCGATAAAAGTTTTTGGACATTTCCAATCAATGAAGCTGAGTGGGTCCATCACGAAAGCTAATTCGTGTAATTAGATAGGCCCAGTTAGGCTGTCTCTCGGACACACCTCACGTGTTTATTATATCTTCTTTTTATTTCCTTTTTTTGTAATATTAAAAATAGTTTAAATCGCTAATATCGTAAAGGACAAATTGGGAATTTGCTTTTAAACAGGGATGTTACCGAACGGGGACTTCGAGCTAGGACCAAAACCATCGGACATGAAAGGAACAGAGGTGTTGAACAAAATGGCGATACCAAAATGGGAAGTAACAGGGTTCGTCGAGTACATAAGCTCAGGACATAAACAAGGAGACATGCTTCTCGTTGTTCCCGCCGGCAAATTCGCAGTAAGGCTAGGAAACGAAGCATCGATCAAGCAAAGACTCAAAGTTGTCAAAGGAATGTATTACTCTCTCACTTTCAGCGCCGCGAGAACTTGCGCTCAGGACGAGCGTCTCAACATCTCGGTGTCACCAGATTCCGGCGTTATTCCGGTACAGACGGTGTACAGTAGCAGCGGGTGGGATCTATACGCTTGGGCGTTTCAAGCAGAGAGTGAGATCGCAGATATAGTGATTCATAATCCAGGCGTTGAAGAGGATCCAGCTTGTGGTCCACTCATTGACGGTGTTGCTATGAGAGCTCTTTACCCTCCTCGACCAACCAACAGTAAGTAACTCTTAGTTTCTTGTTCTTGAACATGTCATGTTTCTTGTTCTTGAACATGTCAGGTTATATGAAATTATTACAAGAATTTCTCCACACTGTAACTAAATTGAACCAAATTTGTTTTTAGCCTAAGCCAAATCCGAAATTGATTGATTTTGACAGAGAACATATTGAAAAACGGAGGGTTTGAAGAAGGGCCACTAGTATTACCAGGAGCGACCACAGGAGTTTTGATCCCACCGTTTATAGAAGACGACCACTCTCCTTTACCTGGTTGGATGGTCGAGTCTCTCAAAGCCGTCAAATACGTAGACACCGAACATTTCTCAGTCCCACAAGGTCGCCGAGCTATTGAGCTTGTGGCAGGCAAAGAGAGTGCCATTGCTCAAGTGGCTAGGACCGTCGTTGGTAAGACTTACGTGCTGTCTTTTGCGGTTGGAGACGCTAACAATGCTTGCAAAGGTTCAATGGTAGTCGAGGCTTTTGCGGGAAAAGATACGCTTAAGGTACCTTACGAGTCGCGTGGCACGGGAGGGTTTAAACGTGCTTCGATCCGGTTTGTTGCGGTTTCGACAAGAACTAGAGTTATGTTTTACAGCACTTTTTATGCTATGAGGAGCGATGATTTCTCTTCTTTGTGTGGGCCTGTGATTGACGACGTCAAGCTTTTAAGCGTTCGTAAGCATTAGAAGAATGAATGAATCTCTTATATTACAAGAAAGGAAGTGTCTGCTTTTTCTTTTTTTTTTTAAAAAAAAATTGTCTTCTTGGTGTGTTTTTGATTTTAATTTAAAAGAGATGGGTGAAAGACAGAGGAGAAGCTTATTTACTAGGGATCTTGCTTATATTGTATTTTCTTGTACGAGAAGGCAAAAAAAACGTGCCGTTTTCTTATGTATGTAGGCCGTTTACGTTTTATGGAGCCTTTTTTACAAACTTGCAAGAATAAAAGTGTGTTCATATCTGATACATCTGATATATATATAAATATATATAAGTAAATACAAGTAATCGAGTGATAAAAGTTTTACTTCTAAGATCAGTAGAAGCCAAAATATATCATGCAAATTCGTTAAACTATTATAAAGAGGGTCACATTAATAGCCCAATACAATGGTGTAAGTTGGTGAACACTAAGTTGAGAAAGCTAACTCATAGGAAAGAGACAAGAGAGGACTCTGTCTCTTTTCATTCATTGACGAAATGCACTCTAACAGCAGTAACCACACCTCCTGAGCGTTCAAGTTCACAAACCACAGTGTCTCCTTCTCCCAACTTGTATTTTCGACATATAGCCGCCCAGCCACTGAAACAGAAGTTGCGGCCGTTGCAGTAGATCTTAGTTAAAGCCTCGTGTTTCTCTTTGCCAATAAGGTAATACATGGTAGATTTATGAGGACCAAACTTCAAGCCATACTTGTCAATCACCGGCTGCTTCACATACTACTTTCATAGACATGGAAAATTTGGGGAAAAAAGACAAGTCTTAGCGTGAAAGGCAACAAACATAAACTGAAAATTTTGTGACTAAGATCATATATTATTATAAAGCCGAGTCTGCAAAGAAGCTGAAAAACACTTCTATTATTACCAGAACATCGATTTTTTTCGTCAGCGTCTTCACAAAGTAAGGGCTTTTGGGATTTACGAGGTATTGCTCAGGGTTTATGACAGGAACACAACCTTGTCTCGCTCCACTTGCTGAAATATATTCACCAAAACAGAAACAAAAAGAACCAAACTTAGAAAAATAATTCTTTTGATTTTGAGATACAAGAGGAATGGTCTTACCAGAGGCAGATGCAGAGGCAGAGGTAGAGGCAGGAGTTTCCTGGTGAGAATTCTGGGGAATAGGGTTAAGCAGTTCAGCTTCGGGATCAGCTTCAACAGGCGGTGAGATGATCTCTTTCATGAGGTGTATATAGTTTTTATAGATTCGCACTTCAAGATTCATTGTGTCTTCGTGGGTGACGAATAAGACATCATGTGGACCTAAAAAGTTGTCATCGACAAACTCATTCCAATCTTCTTCTTCCATAAACAGACCTTTCTTGTCTCGCTTGAGCCAGAGTTGCCAGGAATTACCCCAACGAACACTAAACACCACTCTGTGCTCAAAAGCCCCAGGCGTGCTTGTCACAAACTCTTCCGGGATAATCCTCTTCATAAACCCAGAAATCAGAACAAACAATACTGGCATTAAAAGAGGAAACATGAGAGCAAAAGCAACAACTTTCCAAAGCAAAACACAGTTCAAAATCTTGGTTTGTAGATCAAGCAATGCAGAGAAAAGGTATGATAAAGACTAAAACTAACACTAGCAGAAACATGAGCTAAAAGCGAATGAAAGCTGTGATGTAAAGGTAGCCATAACATTATCTAAAACAGGTCAATATTTAACAAAATAAAGGCAAAAAACAGAACAGGAAGCAGGAGGCATTGTACCAATATCCAACCCTCCTTAGGGAGATAGCAAAATCTCCTCAAGGTCTCTTAAAAAATAGAAAGATCTGAGCTCTTTCGAACAACAAGAAGCGAATAATTACGTCTTACTGTTGTAGCAACAACATTGAAAGCAAAGAGAAAAAGCAATTCAGCAGAGAACAGCTAAACTAACTCAAATGGAAATAGTCGAAGAACAGTGAGTAAAAAAACCAGAGCAGCTCTCTAGTTAAGGAAACTGAGAATAGAAAAGAGGAGAGGCTAATATTAGAGTTACCATGGATTTAGACTTCCAACTTTCTCCCAAAGTCAGAGACTTGCAGAAGCTAGGCTTGCTCGTATTTTCTAGGAGCGTATCCATAAAACTCTTGAACGGCATTATTTTTCAGTATTTCCTCGAGCTTCAAAGCGGGATCTGTCCTGAAATTAAGGTTTGTAAGTGAAGACGAAGATGACTTGCATACGTTATATAAATCAAAAATGTACAGTAATGCTTTATTTCACCTTTCACGCTTCACCTCGCCGATTGTGTCTTTCTATTGCTAAATCCTAAGCGTTAGAGAGAAAAAAACAAAGAGTGTACAGACAATTGGGAAAACTCCGTACACATTTTCAGATTAAAAAGAAACAAAAAAGTAACGTCAAAGAAATGCGTAAAATGCAAGTATTTATTTTTAAAAGTAACGTCGCCGAAGACCTAGAAGGTAAGTCGCCGGAGCGTGAAATGCACGACCACCGTCACAGCTAACCCTCACGGCGGCTTGCTCTTCTCTCTAGAAGTCCGCTCAAGTCTCTCTCTGCCTAAAGGATAGGGAGAGAGAGAGAGAGAGTGAAAAGCATCAAGCAAACTTTGCCAGTAGTACCGTCACTTTGACTCGTACGGAAAACGTTGTTCAAACATTGTTACTGGGTCTAGATAAGGCCCATCATAAAAAAGTGGGCCAATAATAATAGTATTAAATCTATAGGGTAATTCACTAATTGTGAAAAGGCACACACTAACGTGATCAACAAAAACTTAGCTCACCGGTATAATTGTACCATTCAATTCAAATTCGATTCAGCAAACAAACTAATGATACAAAACAGATCGTGACTATGCCATGCTATGTCGGAAAAACCGGAATGGGGCAAAGACCAGACCGTAATCGGTTGCGTCACTTGCTTCTTGCTTCCTATTCTGGAGTCAAGACGGAGAAGAACCGAATAGATACCGAAGAAGAGGAGCCACGACTGCTACACTTAAACTGTTTCCAAGCATTGCATATCTGCACAAAACGAGGAGTTCATGAGCTTTACAGTCTAGCTTCTATTATTCTTGTGCTTTTTTTTCTTTTCATATTCACATTTTCAAGATGATTTTCAACTAGTCTGAAACTGAGTGTACCTCTGTCGAAGACTTATCTGCTTGGGGAACTCAAAATCTTCAGGGAACGAGTGAAAGTTAGCTACCTAATCAAATAGAAACTGAACATCATCTTTCACTGAAATATAAGGATGGTAAAAATAGAGGACTGTGCTTTAACCTCTCTCGGGGTGAAGTATCTAAGCCGTTGCTCTTTCAAACAAGATTCCTTCCCCTTGATTTTTGGCTGCGTGATCACAGATTCACGATAAGCATTTCTTTTCACTAGCAAATAGAGGAACATAATACTGTATACTCCGTGTAAAGACATACCTGGACAGTTGCCAAGAGGGAACCAGTGCCCTTCACGTATCGGTAATAACTCTTTGTGAAACAACAACATCTCTTTGAATCGGGGTAAACAATGTCTAGTATCAGCTCAGGAATATAGATAGATGGATGATCGATTTCATATGAGCTGAGCAAGTGTCCCATAAACGGTATAGTTGAACAAAAGAAAGAAGATGAAATCATAAAAGGATACCCATTGCGTTTCCCCATCTCTCTACCAAACTTAATGGTACCAGATACTGATGTGCAGAGTCTGGGACCGAATCTTCTTCCTGTCCATAACAATCTTTGGATCCATTCTCAGAGTCATCAAAACCGCTTGGCTCGCCATCTACTTGTGCTGTTGAGTCAAGAAACTTCTCTACTGGTTCGCAAGACTGAAATAAATTTTCCGATCCCTCTTCTACTTGACATTTTCCAAACTCCACCTGATCATCACGCCCATATAACGGGCCTGGAGACCAGAGCAGCTTGTTATTATTGTGTTGAGATTGAAATGATAGAGGCTTTCTTTTGGCCTACAAAGAAGCGAGATACATACAAATGATTTCAAAGTTTGTGAGATGCTTTAACCAAAAACAGAAAGATAAAAGCTGAAAAAAAGAGAGAGAAAACGGAAAACCATATATGAGTAAGGAGAGAAAGACCACAGTAGAGGAGAAAGTTCATATAGCCGAATAATGCAGCTTGCAGCATATATGCTTATGCATTTTCGGAGTACTAGAAATAGCAGTTTTTGGTTTATAAGATATATAACTATTATAAAGTAGGAGCCATGCAAAAAACAAAGGAACACAGAGATGCATCAAATGCATTACATAATGACGAGGTAAAGAGAGAGTACCAGACAAAAGTAACGTGGTCTTGAATACGGCACACCAAACTGCAACGGACTCAAAATAAATTCTTGAGTGACAAAATCTAGTTTTGTTAATGTATCAATCATTTCCATATGGGTATCCGAAGTCTGCACCAACAAACACCACCAATAAGTAAAAAAGATATAGATGATCGAGAACAAGTACAAGTGATTCTTAAAAAACTTGATTATAAGTCTAGCTGGGGAAGCAGAGGCAAAGACAAACCTCAAATCCAACAACATTCTCTACAAATAACATTTGTGGAGGCTTAGATGTATGCGGTATAAGCTCGAGAATCTTCAGAAAAGAATATGCCCGAGCATCACCAGAGTGTTTCTGAAGGCCTAACACCAAAAAGTTGTTAATATCCAACACATCCGCTACAGAAAGAAAAGCGAGTCATGTGATAGTCAAGGAAAAAGGTGAATCACCTTGTCGAGTATAAGGCTGACAAGGAGGAGAAAGAAGCCAAGCATCTGCATTATACCTATCTAGGTCAGCAGCAGTAAGGCTCTGAATATTTCCCTACGAACAAACAAACCAATAAACAAAATTAACAGAAAGAAATCAAATTGAGGATCATACTGGAAAATGTGTAAGAGAAACACAATGGAACAATCTCAATTAACAAACAGAGCTAATTCAGCAAACTAGAACAAGTCATGGCCTAATTCTACAATTTGCCAATGTAACAGTGATTGTGATTGATTAATCATATATAAGCAGCATTAAGCAAATAAGTTCAGAGTTTCAAAGGGTTCTAAATCGAAATTGCAAACAGTGTATCTTTACTGCTTCACTACGCGGAGATTGAAATTAACAGGAACTGAGAGCAAGAAGAAACCTGATAGGGACGATGTCCGAAGTTATGCTGATAAACATCATTGGCAACATCATTGATCTCAAACGCTTCCACAACTTCTGCGACGACGCCGGACGCCATTAAAGAGTATCTCTAAAAGCAAACGAACAAAACAGGAATTAGGGTTTTAGTAGAGTAGACTCCCCCCAAAATTTCTAGTGAAGAAGAGTGTTACCATTCCACCGATTCCACTGTAGAACTCGAGAACTCGCCATGGCTTCTCATCGATTTTGTCCGCCATGGCTTTTGTTGGCTGCTTCTTTCCCTGCTTCTTTTCTTTTTCTTTTTTCGCTGGGTAACTTAAATTTATTGTCCGGTTTAATAATCAAACGATACCAACCTTGTTCGGTTTACTAATAAATCTTTTTTTTGATCAATTCGGTCTACTAATAAAATAATACCATGGACTTTTCCACTACAGTTTTGAAAATTTCCTTTATCCCATTAACAATCACATAATCAAAGTTGTGTTTCAAAGGTGTAATTAAAAGCTTAACCAAATTATACATAGATATTCTGTCTCCGCGTAAAACTTACACGTTGAGTTTATTTTTTAAAGCTATGAATTTTTTAATTGCGAATGTATAAAATAAATTTTATCAATTGATATATAGTCATAACTCAAGAATCGGCAGAGTATCAATCATCTTAGACCTAAGCCGTTGCTATGTAAACTATACGCATATCGCAACTTGTATATTGTTGAATAAGCAATTTATCACTCTAAAACATATGTTTGGAGTCAAATAACAGTAGACAAATGATTTTACGCTGTTGGATATAATTCGTCATGTTGATATAAATAAGAAAACTACTTCCATTATAATCGGTTAATATATTACAATTCCATTTCACTTCGATCAATCACAACTCACAAGGATTATATCTTAAGTATACGTGGGATCATCATAGATAAACGAAAACTCTGGAGAAGGGGAGATAATTGATGCATGGAAGCATTTCCAAAAGTGAATCGAATAGATTCTCTCTAATTCTTTTGTGTTCGCCAGTCTTCTTTTCTTTACCATTCCCCGAGACAATATGGTGGGTTTTGCTAATTATTATGATTCTTATATACTCTCCTTCCCATTTTCTCTTTTTTATTATCATGATTCTTTTACATATATACTTTAAATCACCCACTATTTTTCTACAATTTCGAGTTAGCTTTTACGGCGACTTATGGATAAGGCATTAGCCTCATATGCAATTCTACGAATAACTATTTTGTAGCTTTAATCCACGACACTAATAAACACTTTGAATATTACGAAAGACTTGTTTGGGATGAATCAATTACAAGTTTAAACAGTATCATATGTTTAGAGTTAGGATAATAACTTTTTGATGTTAATTTACCACCTATTTCATTGTCTATAAAACTAATGTTAATGGGAAAAGATGATTGATACAAATGAAGATATCCTCAAAAAATTGTCAAAAAATATTTTTCTACTTTTGCTTTATTTGTTTGAAGCATATCTCAATATATGAAAATAAAATCAATTTCCATCAAATAAGAAAATATTAAGCAATTTTATTTTATTTATGGTACTGTACTTGTATTTTTATTAGCAAAATCAAATCGTATTGTGTCAAAAAACTTTTTAAACTTACGATGTCAAAGTGTAACCTTGAGTTATAGACCAATATATCGGCAATTTTTTTTTCACCTAGTATCCATAGTTAGTTTTAGTTTCGGTAACACTGTATCTTGAGAATTTATATTAAAAAGTTATTAATCATTTGTGGCCTTCCACATATGTCCTACTGTGTTTTTTTTGTCTTATTATCTTAGAGCTGACTCTACTTTAGATAGACATATTTACTTCTTAATAATAAGATGTACTTTAATATACATATTTGAATGATGGCGAGAATTACAATTTATCATGCACAGAGGAAAAGGTGAAATGACGGTAAAAAAAAAGCGTTTGCAGTCTATCATAAGCGACAATGTATGATTTGTAAAATGGTTTAAACTTGTAAATAAAGTTTTAAACAAAATAATAAAGTAAATGAAACTCTAGTAGGCAAATAAAAAATGACACAAAGATGGTCAAGATTCAAACTTGGAAGACTTTTACCTTCACATTCAATGATTCGTTTGGTATTTTTAGGTTTTTAAACTACTTTTTAATATGTTTTCTTGGGTTTTGTTTGAGAATCACGAACAGGTTTGATGGATAGACACGAAAAATTTCGATGATGTATGATATTGGAAGAAACATTAAAAACTTAAAAGACTAAAACTAAAGAGGTGAGAAGTTATTCTTTTAATGTTTAGTTTCCGCAGTAAACCAATACGTTCCTTGAAACTGTTGCCATGCAACTTTTGCTTTAGCAGTCGCAGATTGTTTTTCCTTGCTGCATCCTTTTTTACTCCTAACACGCACGAGAGCATGTACCCCATGAACGGCTATATATGTGTTTTATGGTTAAAAATGGTGATCTATCTTTAGTTGAATTGGTGGAACACATCGATTTTGTACAATGTCGAATAGGTTATAAACACATCAGTTTCTCCATGAAGTATGGGACTAGTTTGGAAAAACTACTTTCTCACCAAGCGTACCATTGGAGAATTTGATTCTGAAATTGAAATTTAAACATAATTTGGGCGTTTATGGCTACATATCTCCTACGGAATTTAAATTCATAAATCATATATGTCACGGCGGCTATAGTACAAAACTACTAGGCTACGTGCTCCGCCCAAATTTAATTTAAAACAGTTAAATGTGCAAATGCATCTGTCTTGCACGTAAAAAAAAAGTTACTGAAATTTGACATGTAGTAGCTTTTGTGAAGCAGACGCATAGCGAAAACGGCTCATATTGGAGGCTTTAACTTGTGTTTTCTTTCCTTTGTTTAAAATAGTGGGGTCTAAAAATGATAAACTCAAAGGAAAATGTAGATAATTTGTTTCTTTTGGGAAAATGTAGTTTACGGAAAACCCCAACGTTAAAGGATATGCATTAAAGCTGGAACAAAAAAAGAAAGTAAAAAACCAATTGAAACCCTAGTTTCACTTCAAAAAATGTTCCCGGTTGTTAAAGGAAGTGCCATTTGCTTTGCCAATAGTATATATATGAGGAGAGTCCAACATAACATTTATATGCTCTAACACCAAAATCTCGTCTCTTCTATTCTCACATTTACTCTCCTTAATCATTTCCAACTAACATCCCCAGGTAATCATAATAAATTTACTATAAGTTACATAATGTGTGTATATAGATATGTATGCCTATAATTTTGTGTACTAATTAATTCTTTTTTCTATGGGGCCGTAGAAGAAGATGAATAGGCCGGGAGATTGGAACTGCCAATATTGCAGCCACCTCAACTTTCAGAGGAGGGATTCTTGTCAACGATGCAGAGAGCCAAGACTAGGCGGCATTACCAACTTAGCCAGCGGTTTTGCTAGCCGTCCAGTTAGTAGCTCTTTCACTTTCAACACCGGTCCTGATGTGAGACCCGGCGACTGGTATTGCAACCTTGGAAATTGTGGAACACACAATTTTGCCAGCAGGTCCAGCTGTTTTAAGTGTGGTGTCTCCAAAGATGAGTCTTCACCTTTGGCTGCCGCTGTAGCCACCGGGTTTATAGACATGAGTGATGGTCCAAGACGCAGCCTTTTTGGTTTTGGTAGCAGCAGTGGTGGTGGCAGCGGCACGGGCCGTTCTTCTTGGAAATCTGGAGATTGGATTTGCTCAAGGTACCTTTTTTTGTTTCATTTACATGGTTCATTGGTTCATGAAATGTACATGGGGTGCTACATCACGTAATATCTATAATCTCAAGCATGCATGCGGGCTAAGTGGCTAACGTAAGCTAAAACGAAAATTACATTAGACGCATGTATATAAGGTACTGTAGAAACTGATTGGGTTTGTATATATAGGTCAGGGTGCAATGAACATAACTTCGCAAGCAGGTCAGAGTGTTTCAGGTGCAACGCCCCAAAGGAACCTGCCACCAATCCACCCTACTAGTCCTAACTTTCTTCATCTTCTTCAAGTAATTTTTTTTAACTTTTAACAAATTTTGCGTGGAACATTATATCAAGATAATTTTTTTCTTACATAAACAAAACGTATGAAAAACAACACATAATTTTTATTGAATATAAATCGTGAGACCTCATAATTGGAAAAGACTAATTTTAACATTTTTTTTCAGGTTACAATAGAAGCCATAAAATAAGTGAAGAACCGAAGCAGTTAATACCAACTCTTAATGTCGTGATTTGTTTCTTTTTTTTTTTTTTTGAACTTGACTCGTTTCATATCTCGTAGGACTTTTGTTTGGTTATGTTAGAATGTAAGCACTTCGGAAATTATCGGAAGTGCTTTGTTTTGATATCGGTCTCCTATAGGTACCATGTACGTTTGCTTTAATGTATTCTTATTTTTGATAGATGTGTTACATTTCTTATTCCGCAGAGATGATCTGGGATTCTATCTAGTTTTGAAGCACTTGATTTGTTGATCGTACGAGACGCAAGTCCAAATTGCATGCAGATCTTAATATGCAATTAGTTTTTATTATAGAAATATTTATAAACCAAACAACATGCTCTATTAAGTGATTCAAATAGGTAGATGCATGGACCACAGCAAAACCTTTTGTTCAATCCAATATATACCTCAATAAAAGGCGTGAATAATTATGGAAATTTAAAATTTTCAAGGCTGGATGAAAATTAAGCATTCTGGTCATGAATCGTTAACAATATTTTTGCAATATGATTACCTTATTTAATTAAATGGATGTTTTGATCATTCGATGCATATTAGCAACAAATAGCAATGAATTCTGATATCATATTTGTCAAAATCGTTCATCCAGCATATCTATTTTAGAAGACGCATTCATTTGTGATACTAATTAAGTAAGGATTCAGAGTTATTATTCCGTTTATGCCTCGATCGGTTTGTTATATGCACCATTCCTTCTACTATATACACCATTCGAGTTAATTTCTAAGATAGCATAAACGTTTGTACGTGTCCACATACACGTTGCATTTTGCATAGGATTCCTCATTCATTTACCTGCTCGTGGAGGTGTACTTAAGAATATCATCAACTGGTCAAAAAGAAGACAACCCGTCTTTAATGTCTGCTACTATAATCCATTGCTTGGCTTTTATTGTTTTCATTAAAGGGTTGCACTAATTGGCTTTTTTACTAAAGAATCTTTCGTTTTTCCCCCCACTTTTAAGTTAATTTCATCATTTTATTCTTCTTTGGTTTTAGTGAAGTGAAAGTACGTAGTATATTGTCATGCATCATTGTGAACGTCTTCCCACTTTAAGTTCCAAAACCATCAATTAGTTTCGGTTCAGATGCATTGCATTAATGTCCTGCATTGATATTTGAACCCTTTGATTTGTAGTGAATAGATACATTCTGAAAGGCAAGCCCGACCAAGTTTATATCACACATGATTTAGATTCGATAGCACATGTGAATTGTGAACGAGAGAAAACAAATAGTTTAGCAAATCCGTTCATATCAATATAGTATTTCATATATAATTAACTCTTAGATCATTGATATATGAAGCTATTACACATCTTCATCATAACTAGCATAGTCATGTCTAATTAGCTTATAGATAATTTCATACTGTAATTCCTAACAGATCCTGAGATCCATCCCTAAGCAATTAATTGCGAATTGTTGTCAAAATTAAGTCACTGCTTAAGTGTTGGCGGATAATATATATGAGACATCTATTTACAAGACTCAGGATATATGTGTGAGTGATGTGTGCGCATCGTTTTATAGAGCTTTAATCCTATGTAGTTTCATAATCCATGCTAACCAAACACATATCAGGGGGAGTAAATAAGTAATATAAATCAAAATCCTATTAGGTATAGACTTGGTGTTTCTTTTAATGATCATATGAGAGAGACCCGTCAATGACCATTCTAAGTGAAGTGTACATCACTTGTTACATAAACAAAAACTCATACTGTTAAAGTCAATTTTTGTTACAAAAGCAATAGCAAAGATAACTTTTTATCCATTTCAAAATACACCCTTTCAAAACAATAATAAAAGGGACAAACTTATTGTTACAAAAAAATTAAAGACGTACAACCATTATAAATTTGTATAAATTTGAGAAAAAAATGCGGTAACTTTTCAAAAAGTTATAAAATTTCTCTTTAATCCACATAAAAGAAAGTAAGCATGTTCATCTTTCTATAAGCCCTTTTTTCTTAGCCCTTCTTTCTTTGATTTTTGTCACATTCCTTCTAATAATTTCTTCCTTTATGAAAAGCAAGAATGGATGTCATACTTATATGAATGGTCCAACTGGTGATAGCTCATTTGGTTTCTAAAGCTAGTTAATTAGCTAATTTAGCTTTTTTTAGTCAATAGTTTAAATTAACTTAAAAAGTTTGATTTGAGAATATAGGGTAAACCATCTATTTCCCCACGAAAACTACCATATAGCACCAGATCCCCATCAAACTATAACCTCATTTTATATCTCTCCGTTCTAAACGTATATACCCACCAATATCGGTTTTAATGGTTTTTGACCTAAACCGAATATCAAACCAGTAAACCATGAAACTAAACCAGAAAAAAACCCGATTTCCTAAAACTTGACCCGCATGTCTACCCAAAATATCCAATTTCCCCAAATAATATTATTTATTTTTTTCTTTATTATAATAATAAAATAAAACAAAAAATCAGGAGCAAAAAAAAATATTTTCATCCTTCGTTGTTTCTTTCGCCACTCTCTTAACTTTTTCCCTCTCCTTCCTTTCCAAATTCATATTGTCTAAGTAATCAGTAAAGGTTCTTTCTTTCAATCAATGAAATTCACTCATATTCTCTCTCAACTTCGACCTATTCCCGTCCTGGTTCTCTCTCCCTCTTGCCGCTAAGCCGTCTGAGTTCGCCTGATAGCAACAGCGAGAACACAGCAATCTCGCCAGCGATTTTGCCGCCTTGATCTTAATATAACAAAACGAAAGCGGAGGTGACACAGAACGTTCGTTTCAGATTGGAACTGAGAAATTAAAATTCCATCGGATCAGAAATACTCTTCTGTTTGGGTTTTCCCTAGAAAATTGGAAGATGGAGAGTGAAGTCTCATTCTCTACTTATAATTCCCACAAATCCCAAAAAGAAGATCAGTAAAACAAAATTGTCAATCGAGGAAAACACGAGACTAAACCCAGATCAAGGATCATAAAACGCAGAACAAATAAAATCCAAAACCTTAACCGGGATCGAACCCCTAAATAAACATAGAATTTAGTAATCCTCGGCCCAGAATCATCAGGAGAAAGAGGACTAAAAACCATGACAAAAATCGATCAAGCAAATTCACGAATTAAAAAAAAAGGGGGAAGGAAAAAGAAGAAGTGTCGGGTCGAGTTGATTTTTGAGCCGGGTAATTTTTTGGAGTCGGGTTTGATTGATCAGTTTAATTTCGGTTTGGTATCAAAATTAAGTGGTTAATAGTTGATTAATAAGCAGTAAACCGAATCAATTCGGATTTGTGGGTTTCCAGGTTTTAAACTTTCAATTCGGGGAGATAGAGGATTAGAATTTTTGTGTTGGAGAGATATAGATCTTCAAGTTTGCTTTTGTGGGGATCTAGGACGAGGTTATAGTTTGATGGGGATTTAGTGTTATATGATAGTTTTTGTGTGGAAATAGATTGTCTACCCGAGAATATAAGAAAATGAGGCCTTCTAAATCTCAACTTGTTCGGCCCATTTATTATGATCCAAACGCAGTAACATCTCTTCCCTTCCCAACTCCATCTCCTCTCTCCCAGCCTCGCTTCTCATCTGATGTTTTCCTTTTCTTCTCTTAAAATTTGCTTTACTTCCTCTGAATATACATATTCTATTGCACCCGAGTTTGATTTCTTCGAGAGAATGTTACGTGCGGATCATTTAAGAGCCTAATACTTGTGGGTATTTTCGTTCATAAGAGTTGCATGCAAGCTGTTTGTAGAAATTCCTAAAAGAGAGTTTTGACATTTTTCCTCCCCTTGTCTCTGTTCGATTCGATTACTTGATGTCTGAATAATAATATCACGTTGCTGTTTCACTGAGCTTCTTGAAATGTGGGGTAATGTGCATCACATAAGAAGGCATTTAAACTCTCAAATCTGTTTCAGGGCAAATCAAGGTCGCTTCTTCCGTTCAATCCAGGTTTTGTATCATTCTTCGGTTGGTTCCGACAGAGAAGCATTGCCTTATGAATGGTACGAGAGGAAACTCCCAGTTCTGACAAAACTAACCCGTGCATTGAGAGACTTCGATTTAGTCGACGGGAAGCTCGAGGACGTCAATGGTGTCATCATCTATGATGATTGTATCAAACAGAAAATGCAGGCCTTTAAGTCTCTGGCTAGAATATTCATTGGGTCTCCTTCAATTCAGCAGAAGCTCAGAGCACAGGGACGCTTCAAGTTTCCAATTTTTGGGACTGATAGCGAAAGAGAGCCATTGTTGGTGAATTCGTTGACAAAAGTTTGCAACTTTCTTAACATCTCGGCGCAACAGCGGAAGCTAGTGAGATGCACCGTGTGTTCACAGGTTACTCAGTATCGTATATGGAGAGGTGCTCTTGAAGATATACTGAATGGTCTCAAGGAAGAAGTTGATTGGTTGGTTGAACATAGCGAGACGAGGCAAGGCACAAAGTTGGGCCAGCAAGTGATATTGTCTTGCCTCAAATTCTTATCTGAATCATCAGTTTCATATGAGGCTGAGAGCTCAACTTCATGGATGCGACCTGTCCCAGCTAGATACGCAAAAGCAAATGCCTCTGCAAAATGGGAAGACGTTCTTGACATGGTCAATGATCTGAGAAGGTATCTCCAAGATGATGAAGGAACTAAAGTACTCTACCATCTGGAAAAGCTTGTATCGATGAAAGAAGGGCTTCTACAGATCAAAGATGTGTTTTTGGACAACAATATCGGTTTCAGAGAAGTTAGACATCAAGAGCACCTTGTGCACAGAAAGCTTTCAAAGATGTTGGGCAGTCCTTCGCCATGTTTGTTCAATCTCGTCATGTATTTCCTCTACGGCCGTGTGCGTGACATCGAAGTTGATCTCTGTGGAGCGTTTTACAAGGAGAAGAGCGAGTTCCTGTGCTTAAGCATGGGGAGGATCTTGACGTCAACTGATGAGAAAACGTTGGCGAGAGGGATGAAGCAATTAGATAGAGCCTTAGGGCTCTTTGAGTTTGTGTGGGAAACAGCAGGAATGAAAGAGACTCTCAACCTGCAAGGACATTTGTGGTGCCTTGGAGCCGAAGAAAGGTCCATCATATACCGCGGGAAAACATTCTTCCTGCATGACCTTAGCCTATGAAGTTTTGTGAGGAAAATACAATAGTTGTACATTTGTTTGTTTCTCTAGGCTTCGAAATCTTTTCTCAGTTCAATATCAATTTCGTCATATACATAAAGTCATTGCTGAAAGGAAAAAGGATATATATAAACTTAATTGAATTACAGAGTTTGATATAGAAATCTGCGGCATGGTTTCTTTGCTTCCTCGCTTTTAAAGGAAGCAAGAGATATAGCATAAAACCCACACAGCTAACAACATCAAAGTTATATAATATTACAAATATCAATCCAGATGAAAAGTTCCAAGACCATAGCTTAAGCCCTCCATCATCTTTCTTCTTCTGATATTGCTGCTTCATTGCTTGATAAACTGTCTGAGAATTGGTTTGAGCACTGTTAGCAAGCAATGGAGGTTGCTAAAGGAGTTACCAGAACAGCCGTCTTTCCAGTTATCGGCTTCATACTTGCTGCGTTCTCTAGCTTAGCCCAGATTTCTTTCCTCTTTTCTGCTGCAGAACATTGCTTTGCTTCGTCCTCCTGAAAGCGAGCATGGCAAGACATGAACAGAGCCTCGTCCATTTCACAGAACATTTTTCTCACGTTTAGGGTTAAGTTTAGCACGGATTGGTTCCAGTGGTTTTCAGCATTCTTTTCTAAGGCAGTGAACATGATCGGTAGGATGGCTTGCCGGTTGTGTGCAATCAAGTTCACAATTTGATCGTTGTTCCACAAAAACAGTGCTCTTTCAGAAACCTGAAACACAAGAAGCATTTTTTCAAATCAATCATATATGAGAACTATGAGTGTATATCTAACCGCAGAACTCAAAATCAAGGTCAACGATACAATCTGTAAAAGTCTTTTATGGTTAAGAATGTCTCTTAAAAAGTACGAATATACCTGAAAGTGAGAGCTGTTGACACAGCAAGCAATCCGCAAGAACAATGGGACCATGACCTTTTGGAATTCCATCAAGCTCATTGCTTCTAAAATCTCTTCGACCTCCCCAAGAAACATCACTTCCTTCTGGCTGTTGGTGATAGGCCAGAACTTCAACAAACCCTTTATCACAACACTGCCAAGTTTTGGCTCCTTGTCTACGAACTGAGTGATGCAGTAAGATAGCTGCTGGAAGTAGTTCCCAACAGATTTAGGCTTGTGCAGTGGAATCAATACTCTCCACAAGAAGATCTTGTGCTCCTCTTTCAAAGGCAACGCGAATCCACTCACTATGCTCCCGAAAATCTCCAGAAGCTCTGCGATTCCGCTATGCTTCTCTGTCTCAAACACAAACCGGTAGAATATATTGCTCATGGACTTGCGGACAAACGGCCTGTGAACCATGAATTTCCCATAAACCCGATGCAGAATCGTCTTCAAACACTCTCGTTCTCTAGGGTCCTCTGAATCAAACAAGTCGAGTAACCTCACAATGAAAGCATGATCCAGATACTTCTTTGCCATTTTAGCATCAAGACACGGAGAGGTGATAAACTTGAGCAGCAAATCATAGACGATTTGTAAATGCGGCCAGGCAGGATCGAACATAGGCTCGTCGTCATCGTTTTCACCACCAACACCACTAGACCGGTAATTCGGAGGGAAAACCCTAAACAGATTAACAGCACACATTCTACACATTGCAAGAATAGCTGGTTCAGTGAATCTAACAGACCCTGAAGCTACAAAATCCAAAAGCTCGAGCAATGTCTGCCTTTTCACATCTTTCTCGATCGAGTTTTTACTCGGGTCGGAGAAATCAAATGTTACGCAGCAGAGGCTAACTTTACTCACAAAGAGGTTTAATTTCTCCGAGTTTGGTACATCCTTGAATGGCACTAATGGCTCTATTCCAGCAACCACGCTCGCTGGGAAAACAGCAGATGACATACGCTTCCCTGAGTTGGATCGAACCGGAGCTGAGCCACCACCGGTTCCGGATCTCTGAGCCGGGGACGGAACCGGACCCGAGCTCGAACGAGTCAGCTCTCCTGAGTCGGCTTTTGAAGACTTCCGAGGAAGTTTACTCAGAAACTGCTTAAACATTCTTCCCAAATTCAAATTCACACCCCAATATAGAAAAAAGCAGTGATGAAAATTGGGAATCGGAGAGGGTGTGAGGAAGCTCAAATCCACATTATCAAATGATGAGCCCTAAAATTCGCCGAATCGAAGACGGATCTGAGAGAAGAAGGCAAAGAGAGGAATATATTATGAGATCCCCGGGGAATGTGGTTTAGATCCGAAACAAAAGGTTGCCACTTTTATATCCCCAATACTTGGAAACCCTAATCATTACCTGCTTTCTCCTCAAATCTTAATCTCATGATTCCAGTATCCACGGACATTCCTGGAGATATAGAGAGAGAAAGAGGAAGAGAGAGAGGATTGATTTTTTTTATAAAAAAAAACCTGAATCTAGAGAGAGCAAATTAAAAAGGAAAAGAAAAAAGAGAAGCAAATCTGGGTGGTGAAAGAACAAAAACGGTGAGTATTAAAGACAGAGTTCGGATCGAGAAACTTATTATGATCTTTGGGGTGTCTTGATTGTTTTTCCTTTCTCGATTGCTGAGAAAAATGATGGCATTTTCTCGGCAATTGCAGAAAAAAAAAATAAAAAAAAATTACTTCCAAAATTTAATTTTAGACAAGGATTTTCCTTTTATCGAAAAAACAGCGGCAATGTTCCGTTTTTCCGATAATATACAATAAATTAACATCTCGCATGCAAATTATAGCGTCCGCTTGATAAGACGCTGACACGTAACTACAACCGTTGGATTCACTGAGAGGAATCCTAAGTAACCCGGTGCGCCAAAGCCCAATTATTCTCGAGATCCAATTTGTTCTGACATAAAATGGGCCTATTATTATTTTCAGATTGGGCCTTATATATATAGATACGCAGGTGCTCTTCTTTTTGTGAGCTTACAGTTTGGTTTGGTTGTTCACTTGTTGCTAGTCTTGTATAAGTTTTTTTCTCATCATTTTGATTTTCGTGTACTTGATATGGCAGATCTGTTTTGAAAGTTGAGGTGTGAGTTCTTCAGGAAATAATAATGAAATAACTTTATTTTGTCTTTTTCAATCCATGTGAACCCATATCTTAGTTTCGCTTGTCTCGCAGCTGTTGAAGTGAATCTTGTCAAGAACCATAATGAAACTCCACTTTGATGAGATACAATTTATTATTAATTAGTTCTTTTAATTTCTGCTTAATCATAGGACTTAATCTCCACTTTCCTACTTCCCACTTTCCACTTTCTTATCTCCATATTTGTAGGATTGATCAATTGTTTTCCTTGGTGTATTTAAAGGCCTCATGGTTAAGATAATGAACAGACTGAAAATTTGCCAAAGAAACTGTGTTGATATTGTGTTCTTAGTGTTCACAATCTCTTAGTTCTGAGGAGGGACCTATCACGCTTGATATGTTGTTTTTTCATATTATGATATATTCAAAACAATTCACCATATCGAGTGTAGTTGCATCTTGGTTCTTGACATCATCCTTCTTCTCACCCATATCATCTTTGAATAATTTACTCTTTTTAAGAATAAAAGTTTGAATTCAACAGTAAGCAACACAGTAAAGATTTGTACAGATTTTTTACAGACATATCAAGAATATGCTACAAACTGTATATACCAGGAAGAAGAACTAATGCACAACAACAACGAAAGGTATCATCCTCAAGATTCTTCAACCAACTAAGACCCGCTTGAGTGCAGATTTCTGGTCCATTGTCAATCTTGTAGGAAACTGAACATCGAATTTGATCTTTAGATCACCTTTGTTTCTTGGCTCTTTAGCTATTGGCATCCCTTCTCCTGGAACCACAAGCTCAAATCCGGGACTAACGATATCCGTGACACCAACGGGTAAATCCCGCCCATCGAGCGTGTTGATACTCACAGTTGTTCCTCCTATAGCTTCTGCAAGCGTCACTCTTCGGCTTGTGATGAGATCATTCCCATCTCTCTTGAAAAAATCGTGTGGTTTCTCGTCAATCACAAACACCAAATCAGCTGGTAACTGATTCACTTGCTCGTTTCCTTTATCCGGAAACTTAATCTTGGTCCCTTTCTTCCATCCCGGTTTCACAACAATGGTCAGAATCTCTGTCTCTTGCGACTGTCTCCTGCACAAAACGAAACAATGATACATTGATACTGATCTTATGGTTTAGGATTCTAAAAAAACGAAACAAAGTTTACCCGTTAGCGTCAACAATGGATCTAGAGATCTTCATTTTCCTAGTTGATCCAGAGTACAACTCTTCAAGGCTACAAGGCAACTTGCTCTCAACAGGTGGAGGTTTTTTAGGCGCAGTCCCATCACTGTAAGTTCTGAATATGTTTTCTCCGCCGTTGTTGTTTCCGCCACCAAATCCGCCAAACATTCCTCCTCCATCGGATTGAAACCTCGTGGACCTTCCTTGACCACCAGCTGATCCAAAACCAAATGGACTACTTCCAAAGAACTCTGCAAATATATCTTCTGCGTTTCTCGGGTTAAAGCCTCCTGCTCTTCCGGTGTTTCCCGTGCTCCCTGGAGGCGGCATATCGCTCAATCCCTCTTCCCCGTATTGATCATATACCGCTCGCTTCTGTGGATCACTCAGAACCTGAAACAGTTTCCCATCCCCAAAAAAAAACTCATTTTTAGGACGGATTCACATTATATTCAGATAAAAAATGGAACTTTTGGGATCAAACGAATGAAAAACGTGGGATGTTTTGGGTAGCAATGCAGCAACATTGCCTTATATGCCTCAGAAGACATGCTTGTGGTGGTAACATATTTGCTTGTATCCCAAGAAACTCATTATAAGCCAAGGGAATGGATCTCAGTAAGACATGTAAACACACAGTTTTGGATTTGGCTGGATCAATCAAGAGAGTGAAGATGACTTGCCTCATAAGCCTCAGAGATCTGCTTGAATTTGGCTTCAGCTTCTTTTTTGGTGTTAGGGTTTTTGTCAGGATGCCATTTCATAGCCAATTTCCGGTAAGATTTCTTCAGATCATCCTCCGTTGCGTTCTTGTCCACTTTCAATACGTTGTAATAATCCAAACCCATCTCTCTTTTTTTCTTTTAGTTTTTTATTCAATCTTCCCTCTAAAACAAATCCAGAAGAAAAAAAAAGATATTCAGTATCACCAATGGATGATGAAAAAAAATCTGTAACAAATGTATTTAAAAAAAAAAAAAATTGAAGAAGAAGAAGAAGGCAATTTGCGGAGATACGTTGTTCTGTATAGAAAGAGGAAGAACAAAAATATCACCGACTTCAGTTTTTTTTTTTCCTTATTTTCTATTGGAACAGACGATCTTAATTGCTCAAAATCATATTATGACAGCTTTTGCAGGTCTAAAACACAGAAATTCACGGAATCTATTTTCCTCATTTTTCTCCTAATACTTTTTAAATTTTTTTTCAAACAATGACATAATTAGATGATCTAATAATAGTACCAGAGAGAGAAAGACAGAGGGCCGCAAAAGAAGCTGCACATAGTTTTATTACAGACCCATAGGCCATAGCCACAGGCCAGTAGTTCGAATATTGTGTAGACTTCATTGTTCAACTTCAACCCCGTTTTTATAATCTTTTGACTTCCCTTTAAACCCATCAAGTAGACAAGTTATTATATGAGAAATGCATCGCCTAAAGCCTTGTTTGGGATTCGAATTTCAAATTTCTGGGAAAAATAGGTTATAACATAAACATTATTAACAAATATTTCGGTTGTCTGACATAAATAATGGATATATTTCGGTTACCAAAGCAACATATCAATTCATAAGTAAGCTCATAACATTGGCACACGGTGTAAAAGAGAAGATATTCATATTAATATTGAGCAGCAAAATGGGCAAATGAGATGAGGACTAAAATGGTCAAAAGAGCAGAGAGGCTTATGATTCATAGCTTTCTCCACCAGAAGACAATCCCAATTCTCAACAGAGAAAGAGAAATCCAAACTGAAAATTAAAAATCTATACATTGTACTCTCTTTTCCCAGATACAAAGGCGGGAAATTATATAGAAAGAGATATCCTAAGATAAACCATCAACTTTTCATATCATCCATTGCATGAAAATAAGAGAAGAAAACTTCACATTTAAGGACTCATCAAATCAGGAGGAGGATGCAGGAGCGTTGGGGGTACCCGAGGATGATGATGATGATCCACTTGCATTCTTTTGTTTTGGTGCTGTCGAGGTAGAAGGCTCGGTGGTTTCAGGTACGTCGCCAATGTCAAGTGTGTCTGGGAGGTATTCCTGTGCTTCAGTACTGTAAATCTGTAGGATGTAACAACAATAGCCATTATCAAGCTTAAGTTTTGTTAGAATTCATAAACTTAAAAAATTAGCAAAGCTATTGCAGGCAGACTCTGATGATACATTATTAGAGCGGGTTTTCATAAACCCCTGAATCCAAACACAAAAGCTTACAATCTACAATGGTGTAATCGCATGTGTGAGATGGCTATTGAATGATTACCTCGAGCTGATTCAACATTTCGATAGTTGCATCCAGATCACCACTGTTGGCCAAGTATACATCATTGATGGACTCATGTGACAGACCAGGGAATGTGACTAAAAGGTACTCAATGTCCATGTCCATCTCCATATCCTCATCCCTCATCTGCTTGTATGCCATGTCAGAAGATGTCTTTGGCATCGACATTTGAGAGCCTGGAAAACTTCCCATTCCTTGGAATCCAAAACCATGAGGTACGTAGGGTTGGTGCTGCACCTGATGTGTGACAGGCTTTGCAGATCGCAACTCTTCGCCACCCAAATAACCCTCTCTTTTGGAGAGTGGTACGTAAGCTGCTGCGTACGGGTTCAATGCAGATCCTCCTGGCTTCATTGCTAAGCAAGAAGAGAGAAAATTGATTACTTGAATCATGCAGTAAAACAAAATCAGTCAAGGACTTGGCAGAAAAATCTACGCTATCAACCACATTCTTAACCAAACAAGTTTGTCACAATGATTCCAACCAGAATCCAAATCAATCAATTAACAGATGGCGAGACCCAACCAGAGAATCAAAATCGATGAGACAAAAAGATAATCGTTACAGATATAATAATAAGATCAGCTTCTCTTGTTCTTCGTGACGCCTTAGGTCTCGATCAAATTAATCTACGCACCTTCAAATCGACTAGGATTCGACAGGGACTCCGAAAACCAAAGAAATCGATAATACACATGGTTTCCCAGAAGCAAATCAAGAGGAAAAAGTAAACCTAACGGAGATAGATAACATGAACATACGAAAGAAGAGATACTATCTAGCCTCTACGTCGATCAAACGCGATTCTTGCTATCCTAGATCGCAGTAATCAAGAGACTACAGAAACAGAAATCGAAAATTTCTTCGGAAGAAATATGACCTAGAGAAACTGATTCAAATACAAGACAAAAGAGAACACGAACAGGCTCCATCGTTGCGATCACGCCAACGGAGAAGCAGAAACGAGAGAGAAAATGAGCTTACCAGGAAACAAAGCGTTGAAGAAGATCGTTCGAGAGGAGAGACAATCGCAATTTCAGAGATCTAAAAATGCTAAAAAGGTGGGAGAGGAAAGAAAACTGCTCAATAATGGACTTAAATCGTCAGCGAAGAACAAAGAACGGGCGTTTACTTGAAGGTCGCATCACGGTGGGGTCTGTTTGGAAACGTTATTATCTTATCCTTGACCCGGTTATTGGTCCGATGTTCATCTCGTCAATGATCTTAGATATTTTCTCCGGTATGGTGACGTGTCCATTAATAATTGGCTTCCTCTTCGTATCTGTTGTCAAATAAAATAGGGAAAACCCTTAAATGAATTTTATGTAAAATATACAAAAATAACATTTCTCATTTTTTGCTGTCATCAAACTCTATAATAAAAAAAAATTGATAAATTTTCTATAATTAATAGTTTTAACTTAAAACTGTTGATGTGAACTTATAATTATTTAACAAAAAGTAAGTTCTCACAAAATCTCTAGAATGCACTTACAATTAGGCAACTTTTTTATCTCACTTGAAAAACGAGATGAAAAGACAACAGAATTGAAAAAATTATTTGTCCAATGACTCAAAATTATATAATTAAGAGATTAAAATGTTTACGAATAGGTAACTACTTACTGTTACGTGTTGGGCAATAGTATATTACAAAGAAATATTTTTAGAAATATATACTTTTATTCAACATTTTTGAATTAAAATATACAATATGAAATTGTTAAGGATTCAGTCAGGAGACTCGACTAAATTGGTCCTGAATTGGAAACGATTTTGCAGTTTTGGTATTTTCGTAAAGACGTTTACAAATTCTTTGACATGTGCCAATCATCTTATATATAACCTCATTGTTTTCTTATAAAAACAAGGCTCATTCTCACTGTACTGCTCAAATACCTTGAACTAAAGTCCTTGTATAAGTTTTTTGAAAACGTGAATTAGTAGGACATAGTTAGCCCAGCAAAATTTCTCAACTGCTTTTCAAAAAGGCTTAAAGGCATTTAGATTAGTGACGATGATGTGCATCCTAGAGTTTGTTAAAGCTCTTTTAATTTGTCGTTTAATTAAGTTCCCATGATGTGCAATCTTTAAATTTTAAGGTTGGCTATTTGATCCGCAATACAAATTACACCTTTGCGACTTTCTATTTTCTAGCTTTGTCTATCTCGGTTTGGTTTAGAAATTCCAGTTAATTTTATACTATCAAGGTTGACAAAATAGAAAGTAAATGGTAGTTGGTAGCTTAGTAAATAGTAACAAACAAATCCCCACGTTTCATCCCTAAAAACTTGCATCATCACATCCTGTTCTCTCAGTATATTTTTAACTTTGCTTTTGTTTTATCTTTGTTTCCTCAGACGCTAAACTAGTGGGACAATTTTCAATTCAGTTTTGCTAAGTCAAATCCAAATAAAATAGAATAATCTTAATTTACAAAATTAGTTTGTTTTTTTCTTCCCCAAGAAACTAATCGTTTTATTTCCACTGTGCACTGTAATAAAATTGTAATGATAAAGAATTTTTAGACATTCTGGGTCAAAGCCAATGCTGTAAACGAAACAATAATTTGACAAAATCTACTAACGAAAGATCTACAAATAGCGATACATATATGTCATACTTCCTCCTCACATCTAATAATAAGAATCAGTAGCTTTCACTGCTAATCTCTCTCTTTTACAGATACTAAAACAAAAACAAAAAACAATAAAGAACAAGAAGAGTGAATAACATAACTAAACTCCATAATAGTGTGATGAGGATTTATCAACCGACCCTATTAACGTTCGCCACCACCGTGATCTTACTCTGCATCTCCGCAACCGCCGCTCCTGGTGGGTCCCGGCAACTTCTTTATTCCCGAGACGACCCTATAACCATACCTCCGTACTTGGTCTTCGAAAACGCACGGCTCGAGAGAGCTTACGTGGCGTTACAAGCGTGGAAACGGGCAATCATCTCCGACCCGTGGAATCTAACGGCGAACTGGTTCGGATCCCGTGTGTGCGACTACAACGGAGTAGTATGCTCCTCATCCCTCGATGACCCTTCGATCAAAACCGTCTCCGGCGTCGATCTAAACCATGGAGATATCGCCGGTCACCTCCCCGAAGAGCTTGGCCTCCTCACTGACATTGCTCTGTTTCACGTCAACTCGAACCGGTTCTGTGGGACCCTCCCACTCGGGTTTTCGCAGCTGAGTCTCCTTTTCGAACTCGATCTCAGCAATAACCGGTTCGCTGGTAAATTCCCCGAATTGGTTATTGGTTTACCGAAACTAAAGTATCTCGATCTCCGGTACAACGAGTTAGAAGGGGAATTGCCAGAATCTCTGTTCGACAAAGATCTAGACGCTTTGTTCCTGAACAGTAACCGGTTCGTTAGTAAAATCCCGGTTAACATGGGGAATTCCCCGGTATCCGTTTTAGTTCTGGCGTCAAACCGGTTCGAAGGATGTATACCGACGAGTTTCGGTAAAATGGGTAAGACTCTGAACGAGATCATCCTGATGGATAACGGTTTACAATCGTGTCTACCAAACGACATGGGTTTGCTTCGAAACGTCACCGTTTTGGACGTTAGTTACAACTGGCTGGTCGGAGAGTTGCCGGAGTCGATGGGGCAGATGGAGAAGCTGGAGGTGTTAAACGTAGAGCGTAACATGCTTTCCGGTGTAATTCCGGAAGAGCTTTGCTCGCTCAAGAATCTTAAAGAATTCAGATTTGGGTCTAACTATTTCACTGGAGAGCCATCGACGTGTTGTAATCTGGAGAGTTATAACAGTACGATGAATTGTCTCAAGGATGAGAAGGACCAGAGATCGACGATGGAATGTAAACTGTTTTTGTCGAAACCTGTAGATTGTGACTCCTTCAAGTGTAATCCCGTCACAGCGTGTGTTTCTCCATCTACTCCTCCGCCGCAAATATCACCATCTTCGCCATCTCCAGTGGCGTCTCCAATTTCACCATCACCGTCGCCTCCGGCCAGACCATGTCCGCCGATATACCCACCGCCTCCACCGCCACCGGAATCTTCTCCATATGCTCAACAACCGGCGGTTGAGATTCCTCGAAATTCTCCCTCGCAGTCGCCGATGAACTGATCAATCATTGTGTAGAAACTAGAAAGCGCATGTGTTGAAATGAGATTTTTTTTATAGCGTGATGATATATATATATATATATATATCAGGGTTTTGTAGTTGGAACCGAGAAGGCTACAAGTGGAGACAGCAAGCTGGAAAATCTTTAGAACACAAAGTGTAAGAGGACTTGTCTCTTTTCTGGATTTACATGTGTGTGTGTGTTATTTTTTTTTATCTTTTACTTTGACATAATTTTTTTAGTCTCCGAATCTTGTTTGTTCAGCCTTTTTCCATATTCATCAATAAGAACATGGTTAGCAACAATCTGACGACAGATTAAGTCTATCATTAGATACTATCTCTAAGCATACCAATGAATGCTGTAAAGTTCGAAGCTTTCAAAATTACTATTTCAAGAGTTGAATTTTAATCGAGAAAACAACATGTAAATCTCATTGCGATTAAAAAAAAATTGACTCGTTTGTATTGTGAACATTTATGAGATATGTATGAATTTGTATTCTTTGAATGGATTGACAACAAGAGTTGATACGTGTCTACATCATAGTCTCATAGAGAGATAATCAATTGATGCTTGTGGGAATTCTTTTGTAAATAAACTGATTAAAGATTCCCGGGAAATTCAAACTCCTAAAGATATCCAATCATTTAGTAAGCCACGTCATCATCCGCGTCCCCGCAATAAGATAAGTTAATTAAGTTGAACACGTAACCTTTCTCCGCAATAATGTTATCAGTTTCGATACTATATTAAAATGTTCATTCACTACAACAAAATTAGGTGGGGTTTTCGTCTAAAAATGAAAAATGCAATCCTTTCATAAATTGTTAAAAAGATGTGTTTCGTCTGTTTGCGCCAATTAACACTTGGACAATTTAGTCGTAATTTTGCGATTAAGAACTTAACATATATTTCATTTTAAGTAACGTCTCATTTCTTTTGCTTAAAAACTAAATTGGATTTTGAAGACATACTCCAGCTGTAGCATCGAAATATGATCGTAGACATTTGGAAATTGTATGGCGACATGTGTATATATATGTTTTTTTTTTTTCCTTTTGGGTGAGATATTAAACGTAGAAATCCTGAAAATTAATGATTTTTTAGATATTTCGCAATGACGACAAAAACGAAAAAAAAAAGATATTCCGCTGTCAACAAAAAAGAAAAAATCATAATAATTAAGGACATAATTTTGGTTGACGTCTCTTTCGCTTTAAGAACGGCAAAATTCGAAGTATCTGGAAAGTCAAGCCTCATCTTCCCACCTTTATAAACCACACGCGGGTATCCTCAAAGTTTTCATCACCTGAAAAACTCGATTTTCTTTCGTGAGACGTCGTCACTTTCAATCGAAGGTTTCTTGCTTGGAGAGCTCGGAATTATCGCCGGAGAGCTTAGCTTGTCTCTCCGAAATTCTCTAATCGGAGGAGATCGCCGGATCGGAAGTTCGTCATCTATAGTATGATTCGTAGTGTGTGATTTGATTTATCCTCTTTTTCTACGTTTTCGTGATTTGATCTTTTCATTCCTTGGATTTGATCTTTTCATTCCTTGGATTTGTTTTGGTAATGTGTCCCTCTCTCTAAGTGTGTGGTTGATTTTTCTCATACACTTTAGTTTTGATCGATTGGGTTCCGTATAGTTTTCGAAAAGACTTGGAAGATTTCAGAAGAAGCCGTAGCTTAGACTGAAGAATTTGGTTTGGGCATGTCGCAAATTCTGAATTCAACTGCAAATAGATTATGTTCTCTGTTGTACGGGGAGCAAGTAGAATCATAGGCCTCTTATAATCCATCCAGCAGATTTAGTTTGGTGCTTCATAGAAGATGTTAATCCAGACTTCCATAGACAGAATACATCTGACACTTCTTTGAATTTGAACCATACCCATGACCATGAGGCAGTGTTTGTGCTGGGTCTTCTTGGGGAATACTTGGTATCGTTGGAAGGCATATCGGCGCTGTTTCAGGAGTAAAAAGCTAGATTTAAGGTGAGTCTCAGAGCCTGGTTTTAGTTCTTCTGGTTTAGCGATGAAAGGATCCAGAGCTCAGTGAGAAACATCTTTCTTCGTGTTGATCTAGTGTAATAGCCATCTCCTTTTTCAGCTTAGTTGTTACCCTTCATGGATATTTTTCTTCGTTAACCCAGACCTGTGAAAACTTCATTCTACCTAAGTATTTCCCTTGATCATGCACTCTTCAATTATCTGTTTATTATATCTGATTTGGCCATGAGTGCTCGTTGTTTTGTCATCTCATCTAAGGTGGATGAACAGAGGTTCCTCGTAGTTATACTTGAAGAAGGTGGCCTGGTTGCTCACTTTGTTGGTAGCCTGTCTATCTCAGCTATATAATTGAGTTTCCTAGGAGCATATCACCTGGTTGTTCATGACGAGCTTTCTGCTCCCTCGAGAATCCGGAGGTTGTGAACTTAGTAGTAGAACTTTCCCGTAGCTTTTTAATTCCTTTGGTTACTGGATACACTTTAGCTCAAGAGAAAAGAAGCCAGCTTTAAAGATGGAGTTGTATAAACTAAGAGTACTCTTCAGGTTTCTGTTTCCTTTAAGAATTTTCTGATTCGTATGTTGACTGAAGAAAATTGGTGCAAAGTGGCAGTCGGAGGTAGGTCTATCCTCTTTGGACCCTAACCCATCTCTTTAACCCGGTTATTCCCTTTTCTATGTCAGTCCCAAACCTTGTTTGATCGTGTTTGCCTTGCTTTTACGATAGGTTGGGCATATCCGGTTTAAACTGGATAGATTTCCCCAGATTTCAAGGACTGAAGTGAGCATTCAGTGTGCTAGGCTTTTGTTTGTCTATGAAGGATCCATCAACCAAGAGAGCTGTGTTTAGTTGTTTAACAGGATATTTGTAATTTTTTTTTTTTAATTCATTCCTCTTGGAGAAAGCTGATTGGCGCCGTTTCGAAGCTGGATTGTCTTGGTGCTGATTGGATTGGTCTGGTGCAATGTAGATGGAAGCAACAGTTCATCGAGTTTTTTTCCTGATTTTCAGGTGACAGAGTTCTGGAAATGATGAACATATATTCTAAAATCTTTTCCTACTTGCAGGTCTCATAAGCTTTTCCATCAGCTGGCATTGTCTGCCAATATCACTCACAGATAATTCGTAATGGGGCACATACATTTCAACCATATAGTTCAGCAAGCCCAGAAGACTGATCGAGAGGACAGTGAGATGTCAAGAAATTTGTCCCCTCGTTCATCCAGTGAGGATTCTGAGTTGTCAGTTCTCGAATTGGAGGCAGCGGAGTCATTATTAAAAGAAGTCCGTAACAGAGGACTAATGGAGTTTGGGTAATTTTTGCTTCCTGTTTGAACTTTCTGAGAGTGGAGCATGTTTCTTGGATTAATTTCTCCCAATGTTCTTGCAGATGTCCACATTACAGAAGAAGGTGTTGCATTAGAGCTCCTTGCTGTAATGAGATATTTGGTTGCCATCACTGTCATAATGAGGCGAAGGTAGAGTTCTTTATTTGAAGTTATAGATTTCAGGAAACTGCCTGTTTTTTGCAACTCCTATTTTTCTCAAGATCTGTACTGTCTTTTGTAATCATGTCTTGGAAGCAGAACAGCATAAATGTAGATCAGAAACAGAGGCATGATATTCCTCGCCAGAAAGTTGAACTGGTATAGTAGTCTGTATATCTTGGTCGCTCTATGTTCATTATTCTATGCTCGACTCCCAGTTGACAAGATCTCTATCTTCTTCATCACAGGTTATTTGCTTACTCTGTGGCACTGAACAAGAGGTGTTTTCTAACTCAATACTTTCTCTAAATTTTGCTACTTTTAGTAAAGAGAGATTTAGTGCGACCAGTGAAGGAGCTGAGTGGCCCATTAACAGAAAAGATGCTAACAAACATTTTCAGAAATTTGTTGAAGAATTAACTCTCTGTTTTCCCTGGCCTTCACCAGGTTCGTCAAACTTGTATTAACTGCGGAGTGTGCATGGGGAAGTACTTCTGTGAAGTTTGCAAGCTCTATGATGATGATGTAAGATTTCTGAGGATAATTTATTCCTTAGCTTGTTTTGTTGTATCCATATTTTTTATATTAATTTATGCTACAGACTAGGCCTTAGAATTTCCAGGCTTCTTTATTTTTGCTGGTTAACCATTATGTTGCTTTCTTGTTTCCAGACATCTAAAAAACAGTATCACTGCGACGGGTGTGGAATTTGCAGGTTCATCTTGAACTCCTCTTTAACATACAACACGTTTGATTTAGCCCACACGCTATAAATATGTTCATAACTAAAATCTTGCTTCTTTCATTCCAGAATCGGTGGACGTGAGAATTTCTTTCACTGTTACAAGTGTGGTAAGCCATCTTCGGCATCAGAGAACCTCAAGTTTTCATGCTGGACACTAGTATATCTGTTGATTCTGTTGACCTGTACAATCTAACCAGCTCTCTGACTCTCAAACAGGCTGTTGTTATTCAATCCTCCTCAAGAACAGTCACCCTTGTGTTGAAGGAGCAATGCATCACGATTGCCCCATTTGTTTCGAGGTAAAACATATTGTCGTTTTGGTTCTACTGATCCATCGTAAACATTGACGTCCCTTTATACCAAAATCGTTCTGGCTGTTTTTTTCTTCCAGTTCCTGTTTGAATCACGTAACGATGTGACGGTTTTGCCATGTGGACACACAATCCATCAGAAGTGCTTGGAGGAAATGAGAGAACATTACCAGTGAGTATACATAACTCAGGGCTTGTGTCCTGTTTTAAAAATTTGTTATCGTAGATATCTTTGAACTGACAGGTGTAAACTAATGCCTGCAGATACGCGTGCCCACTTTGCTCAAAATCTGTATGCGACATGTCTAAGGTGTGGGAGAAATTCGACATGGAGATTGCTGCTACACCAATGCCAGAACCATACCAGAACAGAATGGTTAGTCTGAGCTTATTCTCACACCTCATCCTATAACCAAGAAATGAAATTAAAATCAGCAGATTATATAACCTTTTGATGGGGTCAAAACAGGTTCGAATTCTCTGCAACGACTGTGGGAAAAAATCGGAGGTACAGTACCATGTGGTGGCTCAGAAATGCCCAAACTGCAAATCGTACAACACTCGCCAAACCCGAAGCTGAAGCTGTCTTTTGTATACTTGGCGTTTCCAAGTTTGTTTGCTATCAAATGCATTTAAGAGCAATTCACTTGAGCCAATTACGTGTGTTGGCTCCTTAACCTCTCGAGTCTATCTCTTCACTCTCTCCGTCTGGTCTCTTGTAAGTTGCTTTCCTTAGGAAATGTTTCCTTTTGTCCGACTCTGAGCTATTAATCATAATAGTTTCTTTCAATCCGGAATCAAGGATGTTCAAACACCCAAAAAAGTATAACACATAAGGCAAAACCAAGCATAAGTCTATAGGAAAAACTATTATGCATGAAACAACACATCTACCATTCAAGGATTTTTGATATTTGTGTCTTCCCGAAAAACTTACGGAAAGAGAGGGTAATAAGATTATTACATTAATAAAGTTTCGATACTCCCATTATTAATACGGCTCTAAACGCTTGAAAGATAAACCAGTTTAACACTTTTCCAGATCAGAGTGTTTTGACTTGCCTTCCACAATGAACGGACCAACACAGCATTTTGCATTGCCCGGTTTGATCTGGTACACCGATTACCATTATACCGTCAAAGACGAAAATTGAAACGCGAAACTTCGATTAAAATTGATTAGTTTTGGAGACTCTTAACAGGCCAAGGCCAACACTCACAGTCTCACACACACACGGCTCGAAACAAATCTGTTTACTCGCAAATACAACACCTCTTCTCTTGCTTAGCTTCGAAATCTCTCTCTCTCTCTCTCTCTCTCTCTGCGATAATGGCGGAATCACCGTCGCAGAATGGTGCGCAGCTTGTTGCTCATCAACCTCCTGGTCAGCAAGCTGAATCAGATCTGGCGTCTCTCATCTTCGGTTTGTTGTTTTTTCCCCTTTCCTGTGATCCTTTTCATTCAAAACCGAATTTCTACTGACCTAGGAATCATGAATCAGCGCGTGTTCCGATGTCGGACTAGCTCATCATCTTAGTGAAATTCATAAACGTACTGGTTCTTTGTGAAAATCATAAAAATGAAATGCTCTATTATATGGTTTTAACGAGCTTGTGCATACTTTATTCGCATCATGAAATAAAATGCTCTATGATTTGGTATTAACGAGTTTGTGCATACTTATTCGCATCTCTTCTTGTGCTAGTACACCTGTAGAATCGAAATTTATTCGCCATTGTTAGGTTCTTCTCTCGCCAAAAAAAGCTGTAGGTGATGTTACTATAGTTTCTCAATAGAGACTGATTGTCGCTTGGGTCAATGTTATTTGCCAGAGTAGCTAAAAACAAATGATTAGAATGAAAAATGTATATTATCGTTGCTTAGATCAGTTTGGAGTTGTTCTATTTTGTTATTCTGATTATGTTTGTTCTGGATACACTATCCTTGTCTCTTTGGCTTATGCAATTTCATGAGCTGAGACCTTATATATGTCGATTTGAAGGTTTATCATTAAATGTTTAATGGATTAGATCAGTGGATGGTTTGAGATCACAAGTCAATGTTTTCTCCATTAGTTTTTGAACAATGTGTATAGGTTTGTTGTTGAACCTTCTATTAGCCATGGTCCTGATATGTTGCAATTTGCAGAAATGTCACAGCAGGTTCAGATGGGAATGGAGAATATGCTCAAGTTGGTCAAGTAAGTATATGTTGTGTCTACAACAAGCGTAATGGCTACTGCTGAGTGCTTATCCAGTGCCTCTCTCTCTCTCTTGGGTTGACAAATCCTGCAGTGAGATCGATCAAAACTCTGTTGGAATCAAGGAAGAGATTGAGAAATCAAAGGATTTTGCAATGGAGAAGAAAAGGGTTCTCGAGGAAGAGAAAGAACAGTTTCAGAAAGCTGCTTACACTATTCTAGACATGCTAAGCAACCGAGGCTAAAATGAGGTACTCGATTTTAACCTCTCTCGGGTTCGATAGTCTTTGTTTTGGCATGAAACTGCTAAATTCATCATTACTTGATCGGTTCCTCATTTCTAATGTAGCAGGGGAATGCTTACTCTGGAGAAAAAAACTTATCAGGTAGAAGAAATATTCTAAATGTCAGAAAGACTCACTGGTTTGGTTTTGTATTAGCTTGACGTTGCTATTACCGACACTTTTTTAACAGAAAATACAAGTGGATAAAATTCATTAGGATGGCTTTTTTCACACACACATGACACATCCGTATATTCGGATTCAAGTGAAAAATTCATAAAATAGATAAGAAAGGAACAAGGATTTGCTCAACATGTAGGATATAACTTTAAATTTTGTTTTGAGGTAAGCGGACCAGAGATTGTGAATTTCATATTTGACCATACGTCATATGAATTTCTATGGATATTAATTATCTAATAAGGAATCAAAATGTACAGTCTAGTCAAAATGAAAAAATGTACTACTGTTCAAGTACAATCTTTTATATCAGCAGAAAGAAATTAAAGCCGAAATACAGATATTTTCAGGGACTAAAATAGAAATATAGAATAAAAGAAAAGATAAAAAAGTAAAATATTAATAACTCTAGGGTGTGGTAGAGTAAATAGTAAATAGTAAAAGCATCCCTCCTTTGGCGGGAGAGCTCCCCCAAAATTTCTCCATTTTACACTCCCACTCCCACAAAAACCCATTCATCTTCTCGTCTTCCACTCTCTCTCTTTTTTTTTTCTCTCTCTCTCTACGGAAATGGTAATGCTCCGCCAAAGGACAATGGTCGCGACCGGAGAACCCGAGCCGGCGTTGGAAAAAGAAGGACTCTGCGGCGACGACTTGACGATTCTGGTGGACGATTCATCCACCGACTCAGCAGTGAAGCACCTGCGTGGACGCTGGGAACTTGCTTCTGTTCTAAATTTCTTGAATGTATGAAACTCTTTCGCTTCTCTCTTTGTCTTAAATACCAAATTTCTCGATTTCTCTTTTACAGGCGAATCTTCGTTTTCCTTTTTTTTTTTCCAAACGGAACATTTTCTTCCATGTTTTGCATCTACGGCTTTATATTCTAGGAATTTGTTGGAGATTTTGTTGCTTGGTGCACTAATTCAACGGGAAACTAAACATTTCTGACATCGATCATGTGATTAGCGTTGGGATGTTTCCCTAAAAAAGATTTTGTTGTTGTGGCAGGTCTTTGGACCACTCGTCTCGGAAAAATTGAAGTTAACAGCTGAAGAAATTGAGACGGGTCTTATCGATTCCAACGCCACAAATGCTCAGCTTCACATCGCACTTTTGAAGGTTTCGATTTTATCATTTATTGAGCTTAACATATTATCTGCTGTCAATGGATTCTAACAAAAACTCTTCTGAATCTCTATGATTTCTCCTCTTTTTCATCATGCATACAAGCACAAGTGTGTTCATTACCTATACGAAACCTTTACTGGAACTGAAATTTCCACAGGGGATACTACCGATAGGTAAATCGCTTGACCAGGGAGATGCATGGATCACGGTGTTGTGTAAGAAACTAACTCCATGGTGGCCATTGGTAAGGCCACACTGAACCTTTTCTAGTAGCTTATATCCTCTTTTGAAACAGGTTAAATTTTTGTTTCTTTATTGACTCCTGTAATGCCATTATTTGCAGATTGCTGAGGGTGAAATTCCTGTAACCGCTAACAAAGGGTATTTGGTGAAATGGTGTCAATATTTGTGCATTATGTTATTTGATTCACGTTGAAATGGTATTGCCTAACAACTTTCTTCTCTCCTGTTGTATGGCTAGGGAGGAAATAGTTGAATACAAAGGACTTGACCCTACTAATCGCCTGCAGCTTCTTAAAGCACTTTGTGAGCTTCGAGTCCAAGTAATTTCTTCTTATCATTTAGTTCTTGAACTATATTATCAATGCATGCCGCTTTGTTTACATATCTAAACAAGAGCATTGCTAGTTGGATTTGTTACTTTTTCTTAGTTTATCCTTTTTGTTTTGGATGGTATAGCAAGATGATGCTCGTACGTTTATTCAAGAGAATGCCAAGCAAGGAGCTTTGGATTCAGGTTTCCAGAAAAGGAAGTTTGGAGGAGATGGAAAGAAGATTTCTTACTGGTAATTAATTACATATCTTATTACTTCTTTTTGTATTTTACATTCGGTGTGCTTAACTTTTCATTGGTTTTTCCGTTCTAGGTTTGATGGTAATGACATCCAGGGGTACAGATTATATAGGGAAGTCAATGACTTCTCGAAGAGCGCTAAAGCAAGGAAGAATGCATGCTCAGATATATCTAGTTTCTGCTGGGAAACTGATGCAACCAATCTAGATGAATTTCAACGAGTCGCTGTAAGCTTCTTTTTTGTTTGTTCTTCTACTCTTTCAGATGTGTGTAACTGTTTTTTTTTTTCATTCATCAATAATATGCTATAATGGCAGAGAGAGTTATCATCATGCAAAGCTTCTTCTTTGGCTGCTATCGGCCAGATGATCGAGACAGATGCTATACCCGTTGTTGAGAAATACCATAAAGTACATTTTAGCTACATCCCTCAAATTCGTTCTTTATGCTAATGCACATCTGCTATATCATGTTTTTTGTTTAACGGTGTATCTATTCCTTTCGCAATAACAGAAGAAAGAAAGGGCCATCAAAAAGAAAATGAAGCAAGAGATGGCCATTAGTGTCAATTTCTCACGTCCTATGCGCATTACCCGTTCTTGTCGTAACCGCATGCCCGCTACTTACACCTTTGGTAAAGTCATATATACTTGTGTTACTTCCTCTTATTTGATATACTACTTACCCGTTAGTATGGCTTGTTCTTTTGTATATTTTATTGTGCAGACGAGTATGAAAAAATGATCAGTGAGGCTGTGAAGGATGCAGAGTAAGAGCTTGACTATTTTGTTAAGCGAACTTATCTATCCATCATAACATATCAGAGAGTATTTCCATTTTGCTTAATCAACTCTCAAATAAAATGATGAACTAGAATGTAAACGCTGCTGATCTCACCTGTCCTGTTGTATCACTTAGAAATCATCAAATATTATTGGTCTTTGGAAACCTCTATAGCGGAGATGTGTAATTCGTTTTCCAATGAACCATCAGTTTGGAATTAAACCCAAATTTCTGTCATACTATGCTTGAGGAAACTCATCATTAACTTCTTTTCTTGATCAGGGAAATGGATCGAGAAGATGAGGAAGGAAAGGAGCAACAAAGTGCGTCATTGGTGGTTACAAACGATAATTCTGAAGGCAACAACAAGATGAAGTCAACAGAGGAAGTAGCACCTGAAAGCGACAATGATGATGTAAAAGAGATGGAGAAATGCAAGGAAGACTCAGAGGGAAAGAGAGAGTTCAGTGTCAAAAACAGGCTGAGACAGAGACTAACGAGGAACTCAGCTCTCTGAGTTTAATCGTCAAGGTTGTTGGAAAAATGGTAAAAGCTTTTGGGTGACACGACATCGTTTTGTCTATTTTGGATGTTGGTGGAGAGACCATGCTATTGATTAGTCAGAGGGGTTAGGACTTGGAAATGCTTTTTTTTTCTTTTTTAAATTATATGATGATGTACTACATTCTCAACAGTGTAGATCTTAAGGTGAAATTATTTGAATATATGTTTTAATTATAAATGTTTCATAGTACATAACCACTTGTAAAATGTCAGGGTGGCAAAAATAGTTAACTTACTTCTAAAAACTATTCAAACAAGAGTTTATTTAAAACATAAGCAGCGAGAGAGAGAGCCCTTTCTTGTTTCGAAAAGAAGTAAAAACTGGTTCAAGAAGATACAGTGGCTTTCTGAGTCTGCGATATGATTCTGAGCTTTTCGTATGAGTCAGCACAAGCGTGGGCATAATCAGACAGTGCCCTGAAGATCTCAGGCAATCTGATCTTCAAACTGTTGAGAGACTTCTCCCTCACCTGAACACAATGTCTTTGGTGAGCTTCTTCTTCGTCTTCAAGCCTTTTCTTCAGTGTCTCCACAACGATTCTCCTCTCTGTGACATGATCTCTACTGCTTGCGTCTTCCCCACCTTCACCTTCCTCCATTGGTCCTCTTTTCTGCAAGTGTTTCTGATACCATTCCTCAAAACCTTGCTTCTTCCTTATAAACTCTCTTCGCGTCTCTTCACATTTCTCCTTCAGTTTTATCTCTTCCTCCTGATGAAGCAATATTGTTTTGATGACTGCAGCGAAAGACGAAATAGCTGATTTGGCGACCTCATCGGGAAGTTTCTCAAGACAGTCATGCCACGAGTGGAGAAGTGCTTGGATTGGCGGGCGCTGAGGCCGTGGAGGAGAGGAAACCTTCTCTTTAAGGCTGCTCTCAATGGGGATAAGGTTTAGCTTCAACCAGCTGTTGAGAGAGTTAATGTACTGCTTCTGGTGAGTCACGAGTCTATCGAACTGAGCATGCCATTCTTCCAAGACCGTGCAGAACTGCCGTGTCTGTTGGTGATGTTGCTTTGTGGTTTCTTTGTGACAAGTTGAGATTTCAAGGGATTTTAGCTCTCCAACGATCTTTAGTTGTGTGTCATGTTGTATGCACATATTTGTCCACATCTTTGCCATCCTGCAGAATCTCACACGTCGAGAAAGCTGGTTAGAATTGGCTAATGCTAACGAATCACAGAGAATCATTTGAAGGAGAGAACCTACCCTTCAACTAGGGAGACAAGTCTTGGATACAATTGGTCATCCCTTAAACGGTTTACTTCTGAGACCGTCGAATCCATTGATTGCATGTCAACGATATATCTCGTGTGTAGATGACTCACGGCCGCCTTTGTTTTCTCCACGGTTTCTGCACTCGAACCTTTTTTTTTATACCTATTAAGTAAAGATACCTTTTTCTGGTACTCTATCTTCATAAGCTCACCTTGCTAGAGAAAGAAACACCACCACCAAAGAAAAAATGCATTAAACTAGACATCCTTTACACTTTAAGTAGAAATGATCAGCTTTAAGTTAACTACCTTCACTTCATCATAGAGTTTCTTCTCCCATGCCAACAATTTGTCCAACACCGTCGCATGAGTTTCATGCTCATCTGATTCTTGGTCATCTCTTCCACCTTCACCATTGGAAATGCCTCTTAGCGATTTATTCCAAGTTATAACCCGCATTACCCTAGCAGAATGATCAACATATCCTGAAAAGGAAGGAAAGATCAATAATTCATCAGCAAGAAAGCAACAACTGTCCAAGAAACAGGCAAACGTAATCAATTTCCATCAGACTTTGGCCCCAGAAACGCTCTCCGATAGGGATAGATCTGGTAAGATAATGGTAGGGATAGCAAGAAAAAGGGAGTTAAAGTGTTGATTAGTCAAATCCAGAACTTTGTTTGAAGGCTTTAAACGGAAAAAAACAATTAAGAAGGCCACCAGAACTATTAATTTAAGGTTTATCTTGGATTCTCACAAATGTTAAACCACAGACCCAAATGTCAAAGTAGACAGACCAAAAAGTGCATCAGACTCATACTTTAAGAATATTGCAGACACTAAACCATGATCCGATCTAAAAAAAAACTATAACTTTTTCAGACTTTTGGTTTTCTTTTTCATTGTTTCAGTTAGAGAAACAAAGAATCAATCTTTCTAACCAATCCAATCATCCACACATCATGAATCACCTAAGAAAGCAGCAACCAAAGTTTTGGCTAAAGCAAAGGAAATAAATTACTCATCTGAATGTCTCAAAAAATTGGAGCAATTTGGTAGAAAAGGAAAGAAAACTACTCATATGAACTGATCTTGAAAGACCTTAACCAAAATCGTTGGCTAGACCGCACTTAATCAGTTAGAATTTAGGGTTGGAAACTCAATAGATTCAACAAACTGCACGAAAAATATATAATTGCTTCAATCACCGAATCAGAGAGTGAAAAAACGACTTCAGTACCTCGATTATCTGCAAAATTCGAGTGGTAATGTAATCTTGTTGCTTCCAGCATTTTGGAGACCTCCTGGGCACACTCTGACGCTTTGAGGAATCGATCATCAATCTCATCCAGTATCTTCATCAAATTCACGCTTGAAGCGGTGGTCTTGGCGACCGCACGCCGGAACTCCGTCGGAGCAGTGCTGGCATGCTCAATCTTAGCTTTTCCTTTCTTTTTCTTCTTTGCCTCCGCCACCATTGCATCCTCTTCTTCTTCCTCCTCTTCTTCTTCTTCATCTTCTTCTTCCTCATCCTCTTCCTCTTCTTCTTCTTCAACTTCCTCCACTTTCTCCGGCGTTTTCGGCTCCATTTCCTCAACAGCCTTGTGACCGGAGTTCTTACGGAATATCCCAGATCTCTCCTCTACTTCTTCTTCCTCTTCATTGAACTCGAAATGATGATTACTCTGACTCTGATACCCGTTTCCCATTTCCCTATTGTCTAAGTTAGGTCCAGGCATATTCTCCACCATGAAAAAGTAATCCCAAGCCATGCTATTCGCCGGCGAGGCACTCGCAATCTCCGGCGTCTCCGGTCGCTTTCTACCATTCCCAACATTCTCCGGCGTTCGGGGAGAAGACTGTTCCTCCTCCTCCTTACGAGTAGTAACTCTAGCACCGTCCTTAACTCCCTCCTCTTCCTCATCTTCTTCCTCATCCTCTTCATCTTCCTCCTCAATCGCCATTGAATCCACAGTCCGAAGCTTCCTACCTCTAACCGCCATGGTAGGCAAGCTAATGGCGCGTTTAATCGGAGAAGGAGAGAATTTAGGGAGAGGAGGAGGCGGAGGAGGGAGATTCTCAATAGGCGGAGGCGGAGGAGGTTGAGGAGCAGGATCCACAGTGCGGTCACTTTGTTGCTGATAATGGCTTTGATCCAAGACATCAAGTGTTTGATCAGATTCGCCATGGCCATAGTCACTGAGAGCAGCACCAGTGTTCTTCAAAGCAATGGCGTAGGCGAAATGACCGGCGGCGAAAGCTTTGCTCGCCGCAACCGCCTCCTTGATGACGTTTCGTCGCTCCTTGCATCTCGCCACCGCCTCTTCGTTATCAACCCTAGATTGCGCACACCCCATTTCCCCAGAAAAATGAGATTTCTTTGGAGAGAAAATTAGAGAGAAATGATAAAAAGAGAGTCCTGACAATCGAGGGACAAAGATGCACAGTGAGAAGAGAGAGAGGTAAACTGATATTTCCCACGCGCCACGAGTGGAGATATTTTATGTACTCGCTCTCTCATGTTATCGTGGTGTCATGTCTATATTCATATTTTTTTCTTTTTAAAAGGATGAGCTAACGGTCACATATCTCAACGCACCACGGCGTCGTTTTGTACACCTTTTCTACACGTACTGTTTTGTATCCAATCAAATCAACTAATGAAAAGGTTTTCCTTTTTTAATTTTTGATCAAATCTTTTGATTTCCTTTTTTAAAATCATTAACACTTTGATATTTCTACAAAGAGCTTCAAGAGTTTGGTTTACAATTACATCCCAACTTTCCAAAAAAAAAAAGAGATATTTTTTGTTCCAAGACTACAGTTGAAATCATCAGACAAGCCTAAACAGCAATGAGAGACAAGAAACTAGAATTAGACTAATTTCTTGCAGATTTATTTATGGGAATTTTTATATCTGGAAAAAATGAGGTGACCGTTGAAAGTTGGTTGGGGTTAGACACAGCAGCATCATGTTCTTGGTATGATTTCATCAAAGAAACTATGAAAAACTTGTGATTGTTCTGTGTGTTCTCCTAAACATGTACAATTCTTGATGCGTCTAACACAAAAAAAGGATAAACTCTTCACACTTGCTTTCTTAGATGATAGGCATAGCTTCTCGAGAGGCTTTGTACTCACACGAACACAACAAGATGATGCTCAAACTAAGCAAGTTTTTGGCTTAAAATCCATCTGCAACTTCCTAATTTCCTCCATTTGTCGCTACAAAAAACATAAAAAGAGTTGCGTTCAAACTAAACAAGTCAAAGAAAGTACATTGAATTGCTATGCAACAGATAACATAAAGACAAAAGAAGGTAGAAGAAAATCAAACCAAGACGGAACTACGTTCTGTATCCTACTTTTCGTGCTATATCTTATTAGTAGCTCCAAACAAACTTAACATAAATAATTAAACCCCACTCAAGAAAGATAATTGTACGCTAACCATTGCCTGATGGCCACAGAATAAGCTTTTATAAGATTTCGGTTTCTTTAGTATACACTGCCATAGTCTGGACACTTACCCGGCAAAAGAAAATTAGAAGAGTTCATTTCATAGGAAGCAATGGTGATAGATGTTTACCTCCAACAACATTTTCCAAGTAAGCTCGTATCTGTCTCGGTGCAAGCACCAATCCATGGCCATATCAAATTCAATGGTGTTGGACTGAGAAGAATGTGATGTAACCACGGCGTTTCTCTGGAAAATATATAAAGACAAAACATAGGACCATTGCAAAAGGAGCGTTGCCTTTTTACTTGTACGTGATTTAGGGGGAGTAGTGATTAATAATACCTTCCCTCGTCGCATTTGAGTTCTGGTGTTAATATGGCCAGTGAACCCCAATAGAGGCATCGCTGGAGGATTCACCTTAGCATTAGAAGCAACAAGTGTTCTGTCCAATAGAAGAAAACAAAAGAGTTCGTTATTCAAAACATCATAAATGCAACTAAGCTTTAATAATCGCTCCGAACAAATATATGAGCTATAAAGCTATATGAAATAAGCATATAAAGATTATACTTTTGAAAGTAGTATGTCTTTTGGTAAATATATGCAAATGAGTCCAATTCACTTTTGTTTCTCTTTCGCATTATCAGCTTACAAAGTTTTACATAAAGCAAATCCGTTGATAACACATATTCATGAATGGACGTGATAGACGGCCCAGCACAAAGATTTCATGTGAATAATTGGATGCTAAGAGAAAAAGAGGAATATCGCATGTGAAGCCTTACCTTCCATTTGATAGCAACAAGCATCCCTCATCTAATCTTCTAATTACCCTTTTCGCAGCATCCATTGTGTTGAATATCGCCAAAGCTTCACCTGGACAACGGACAACATGAGATGCCATAGTAAGGCTCCTTATTCCAGTTGTAGATATAGATGAGATAAAATCAAAAGGCAGAGACATTTTATTGTCAATGTATGGCGACCATCGCTGTAAAACCAAAGTAACCCTTGTGGACTTACCGATATGAGGAATAGTAACTGACGTCCGCTCTATCATCCTCGCCGTACATTGCTCATTCAAAGCAGAGTAGACTATATCCTGAAGAATAATTCATAAGTTTGTTAGAGATAGTTTTTACATGAAAGGTGCACCAGGAAAAAGCTGAACTGCACAGCTTGAGTGATGACGGTTCTATCAGTTACTATATAAAATCTTAAATATCCTAAGAAAAAAATCTCCAAATTGAATAATACCTCAACTTCATTAGATGTATAAGTAGGATCCAAGTTTCGAAGAAAAACCAAAGTCCCTTGCCCTTCTGCACACCTCAAATTTTCTTCCCAAGGCTGGTAATCATTTAAACAGTATAACAGTCAGTGCGATGTAGATGGCAATTCCTGATATGATTTACAGAATCCGATAAGGGAGGAATACTTACAAGATTTCGGTACCATTTGCTTTCTTCCTGCGAACAAGAAAAAGGTTACCAAAAAATTGTTAAAGGAACATCCATGTCTACATTCACTTTGGTAACAAGTATTTTGACAGATATAATATGACCACAAAAAGAAGATATAATATAACAAAACATCGCCAAAACATACACAGGACTGCCTAACAAAAATACCATATGTTTGAAGTTTAAGTTGTTGCACAACCCCACCCTTATCAAAGGAAGTTTAACAACATACTCCGAGTGAAATTTTGTCAGCAGCCAATTCTAGACCAACGTCATTCAAACTATATGGCATGGTTCACATACAAAATTGGTTTCATATGTAATATAAAACTTACAACATTCGGCTTTTGTGTCACTTCGAAGATTCGATAATGTCTTCGGAAATTGGCATCGGTCACCATCCTCTCTTCAGTGTGTTTTGATATTTTACAATCAGAGCTGGGTTTCTTGAATGCTTTCTCAGTTGCAGGTTTGATCTCTTTTCCTTCAGCAAGTCGTGGTATCCGCAGATCTTGCTTCTTGTCAGTGAAGCTTGGCTTATGGGAATATAATTCTCCTCTGTTGACTTTGTCTTTAGGACTTCTAATAGGTCTTATGTCTTTTCTACCATCATGACTTATTTTCTGCAACTCTTTCGTCCTTCTATCTGATACTGCAACAGAACCATCTAGCCTCCGTTCCTTATAAGGCGTGTCAACCAAACAGTAAGAATCTTTCCTGTATTTTTCACCAGAAAGCCTTGATTTTTCTACTGTCGCATCTTTTCTAATAGGTCTTGTGTCTTTTCTACCATCATGACTTATTTTCTGCGACTCTTTCGTCCTTCCATCTGATACTGCAACAGAATCATCTAGCCTCCGTTTCTTTGGAGGCATATCATTTAAACAGTAAGAATCTTTACTGCATCTTTCCCCTGCAAGCCTTGATTTTTCTTCCATCACATCTTTTCTAATAAGTCTTATATCTTTTCTACCATCCTGACTTAGTTTCTGCAACTCTTGCGTCCTATTATCTGGTACTGCAACAGAGCCATCAAGCCTCCGTTTCTTTTGAATAATGTCATCCAAAAAGTAAGAATCTTTACTACATCTTTCCTCTGCAAGCCTTGATTTTTCATTCTTGTAACCATAATCGCTCTTCCTATGACCAGAAAGATCACTGACAATACTTTCATTCTGCCTAAATGAACCACTAGTTGAACGACGATTTGGTTTCAAACTATCTGCATTCCCTTGTACGTTGGTTGCCAGTTTCTGCACATCGCTAGCTTTTTTCTCACAGCTGGTTCTGTTAAAGATAAATTTAACTGCAACAATTAGAGAGAAATGAACTTATGAGGTATAAAGAATCAAAATCAACCACATAATTGAATAAAAAGGGAAATAAATGAAAGAAAACAATATGTACCATCAACTCCAGCAATTTTATCATCTATCTTGTCTAAGATTTTGAAAGTTCCAACATCAAATGTTCGGTGAAAAAGGAAGTCAGCCAACTTGATTTCTTCATCTGAGGGTTGTGGATTTCTTACGTCCTTCGAGATGCATAGACATTACATTTTCCAGAAATTGCTTCCTGGTGTAAGAAATGTTATATCAGTAAACTACTAAGCCATTTTTAAATTCAATACCAGGAAGGAAAAGAAAAGGTACCAGGATAATAACTGAAGAGAAATAGCAGAATCAGATGATCAGTTATCGACTATGGCTAGACTAAGAGTCAGAATGAAATGGGATGCCATCATCAACCAAAAAAACACCATATGTTTGAAAAGGAATAAGCGGGATCAAAAATTTTAAATGACAAAAAGAAAAAGAGAGAATCCAGTTACCAATTGGTTTACATTGGTGAGGCCAACACCTGTTCCCGAAGCTAGAAACAGTTCGTTGGCAAGTACATCTTGAACTCCTTCAAGATACGACGAAATCTCAAAAGGTGTAAAGAACCAGAGTAGCTCGACTCGCCGCTGATCATTAAGTTCCCACATATTTATGATCTTGCCAACAAAGAACTCCGGGGGATCCAGTTTAGTGGCATCGCCAAATGAGACACAGTCATAAAGACAGTATTGAGAACCACCATAGGTGAAAGATTCATAGAATTGAACATCCTTCTTTTCTACAACGCCGATTCTTCTCTTTTTACCCCACTTAAATTGTAAGCCTTCAGCTTTTGCAGATGGTTCCATTCTCTCCTGTGAAATGCAGTAGAAAAGAGCCCCCACAATTAGCTTTTGATAAGTTCACATAAATAGTAGTTTTGTTGAGCAAAACTGAAACTAAGATCCACTGGTGAAGAATGTAAAATGCTTGATTCATCTTCAACAGAACTAGATACAGAGTGTAGACCAGCCAATACATTGCTACGCTAATGAAAAAGCTAACTTCTTTTAAAAGAAAGATGAAACAGTTGGTCAAAAAAGATGAAACAGTTGAAAAATTCAGAGGATGATGATATCAAAATTCAAGAAAGAATGCATAATAATCAACAGCGTGCCTTCACGAAGAACAGGAACATATGCAATTTTAGAAAGTCGCGAAACCCGAGGCAGTAAACAAACACAGAGTAAGATAGTCGATAATCAAGTTCATGACAACGAAACAACAATTGATGCTAAAAAATTTCGATTTTTCCGCAAATAATGTTTAACATCCATCAACTGAGCAAACGATCAGGAGCAGTTTCCGTCTCTCGGAGACGAAATGTCCCAAAAAATGGTGCAGCGAGGAGAGAAACAAGTCCAGTTTCCTCGGGAAAGTAAACAATGCGAGTTCAAAAAGCAGGGCAATGTAGTAGAAAAGAGAAGGTCTTCACCGAGAAGCTTCCACTTTCCCGGCGATCGGAAGGAGAAAAACCCTAATTCCTCGTTTAATCACACCACAATCTTTTCTCCGTTCTTACTCGCTCGCTCTCCGATTACACACAATTCCAAGAGAAACAAATAAAAAGAAAATTGCAGAGAAGAGAAATCGATCGCTTCGCTTTGCTATTTTACTTGTCGTCGCAGTTCCCAAGGAGACACAAGAGCGAGTGTAGCCGAATGTATGGGAAGTGGGATTTTCCCTCTTTCACTCATTTGTTCAATGTGCAAACTTCTGCATGTTGCTTTTCGAATAACTCACTAATTAACTTACTACTCCCTCTGTTCAGAATTATTTGATATTTTAGAAGGTTTTTTTGTTCAGAATTATTTGATGTTTTCACTTTTCAATGTAAAATTTAATGAATTTTTATAGTTTTTGACCTTTTATATTCTGTAAATTGTTTTCTTATTGGCTGAATGATATTTAAATGAATTATAAATAATATTTTTAGTATAGGAAAAATAAAAATTAAATGAATCCTTAAACTATGTGCAAAAACCTTAAACATCAAATAATTCTGAACAGAGGGAGTAATAATTAACCTTTATTAGCGCATAAACTCGAAAATTGAAATTCATACGAAATTAGGATTATGATTTTTTTTTTTCGCCATCATTATAGTTGATCGAATTGTCTATAGAGCCCCTTGACCGTGAACTACCAAATAGTCTTTCTTGAAGTCGTTTGTTGGTCAAACATTCAAAGTAAGTTTGACATTTGATATTTTGACTAGAGTCTATTTTAGAGTTGATACGTTTTTTTTTTTTTTTTTAATCTTTTTTATTCATCATTTCATCCTCTTAAGGGACATCATTTGGAACCACAATGCAAGTTTAGCACAAGATGAATAAAAGCAGGTAATACAGGGGAGAAACAAAAGTAAAGCAGAAGTGAAGCAAGAGTGAAGCAATTTCAGAAAAACAATAAGCGAGGCCAAAGATGCCGGATGCGCGGTCATCGTTGGATGAATCTGAACCAGGTATATATGTAGGAGTCCATGCCTTGAGATGGGGAGTAATGAAGATGAACAACTGATCTGTCTAACCCGGCTAGTTTTGCACGAAGAAGAAGCTGGATTTCTTTGATTATAACTTGAGATGGCTTGGAGATAGAGGTATGTAGCCGGTCGTTACGTTCTTTCCAAAGAAAATAAATCACCGCTTGAAAAATCAGCCTGCAAATTGCTTTGAGTTTCCCATTTCTCGAAGAAGTTTTAACCCATTCAATAATGTCCTCAAAAGCCTGTGGGGGGGGGGGGGGGGGAGATATCCTGATGAGAGAAGAAAGAGGTCCAAACCTCTTGGGAATAAAGGCAATTGAAGAATAAATGGTGCTTATTTTCTGCCGATGATCCGCAAAGAAGACATGGAGCAGGAACATTCAAACCCCAACTTCGCAAGCGATCCCTGGTTGGTAATCTGTCTCGAACAACAACCCATAAAAGGAAAGCATGCTTAGGAATCCTAACTTTGCCCCAAACAGATTTGTACCAGGTAACTCTTGGAGGAGGAGGATGCAAGGTCAGCCAAGTTTTTGCATTTGAAAAAACCCCAGGAGAGGCGTTTGAAGAATTCCTCCATAAGAAAACATCCGGATGTTGAGATAGAGATGCTGGAAGATGAGAAGGAAGGACTGCTCGGAGGAGAGATAGAATTGGATGCCTCCCGTGCGAAATCGACCAAGAACCATTAAGACACGCTTGAGAGACTTTGGACGAGATAGGAATACCTGAAACACGCGGACCAAGCGGGCCAGTGATGTCAATTAGGGGGCCCAATTCTGTCCAATCGTCATGCCAAAAAAAAGCCGAATCACCAGACTGAATTTGACATGAGAGAAAAGGCTTCGCAATACTCGGAAGCTTCATTAGATGACGCCAAATCCAACTACCAGCTTGGGTGAAGTCTGAAGTCCAAAAAAGCCTTCCGCGGATCACCCTTTTCTTAGTCCAAGCTACCCACAGGGACCCATTGCCCGCAAACAAAAGCCATATCAACTTAAGTCCAAAAACCTGATTCGCATCTTCAAGTTTTCTTAGACCTAAGCCACCAGATTCTCTAGGCGTGCAGACAGAGTCCCATGCAACTTTTGCTCCACGAGCAGAGTTTGGAGCACCACTCCAGAGAAAAGCATTACATATCTTTTCCAAGGCCTGGATGCACTTCTTCGGGAGAGGAAAAACAGCAGCCCAAAAATTGATGATACTATATAAGACTGATTGGATTAGCTGCAATCTTCCGGCGAAGGAGAAATGTCTAACCGTCCATGAAGAGATTCTTGCTAGAATCTTATCAATGAGGGGCTGATAATCCTGAGGTCGCATCTTATGAGGCAAAAGAGGAAGACCTAAATATTTGACTGGAAGGGAACCTTGAAGCAAACCGAATCTAGAGGCCAAGTCTGAGATGAAATCCAGATTATTCCTATCAATGAAAAGACAAGTTTTCCCTAAACTTAAAGCCAAACCGGAGACCAGTTGAAACGACTCCAAAATATTTAAAATCCCAGCCAGAGATCTTTCTTTTCCATCAAAGAAGATGAGAACATCATCAGCGAAGCTGAGATGCGTTACCTGAGGCAAGCAGGCGAAAAGACATCAACTTAAATTAGTTACATATATTGTACTGTGCCTATATTAACATTTCGACTCTAGTTTTATCATATCCATATTTTTTTTTTGGCAAAAACTACAAGAGGCAAGCAGGCCAAAAGACAGCTACGTAAAGTGTAAACACAATTCATTTAGCAAAAAAAAAAAAGTGAAAACATAAAGATGCATTCATTCTTTGATTATAGAGAAACCACGCATTAATATATGTATATGTCTGTATATTCATAATCAAAACATTACAAAAGATAGATTGTCTCAAACATTATTACATAACCCACACTATATTAAAAAGCATATGTTATCTATCTAGTAGTTGAACCAAACAACATGGGTCTGAGGGAGGAAATGGCAGATAGGAACAGTGCCAGGCTTCACTTTAAGGACTTTGAAGGCCAAGTGGTTTGGATTCCAAGCTGAGGTGTTCTTGTGGCATACCGCAACAGCTTTAGCTCTAAGCCCGTTCTCTCCTTCGAGCGGAACCGCGTAGACGCTCGTCATCATCGCCTTGTGGCAGTAGAACACCGCGAATGGGTACTTCTGTTTGTGACATACCACTGACTTGTCATCCGATAACTTCTTTACTCCAGCCGCCGCGATATTGTACTTCTGCATCGGTGCATTCTTCTCAGCCACCTGTAGATAAATCACGGTTACATCCAGAGTATTAGTATTCATTAGTGGACATACAAATAAAATGGAACTAAACCCGAACCAAACTGGAATGTGTTTCTATATAGTTGACTTGCTTTTTATATACGATTTAAAACCTAAGTTAATTTAAAAAAAAAAAAAAGTCAAACCAATTTTGAATATACCAAACTGAACTTTGGGTGGTTTCTCCAAGAAACCCATCTAATTAAATATGTACATTTTTTTCCCAAGTTGACTCATGTAAGAAATGTCTATGGAGCATTCTAATTAATTCCAATGGATATCTCAACAATTTAAAAAAAAATATATATTAGGAGAGAGAGTGAGAACTTTGAGAAATCTGTAGGACATTTGTCTCTTGATGAGTGGTTCAGTTCTTTCTAACAAATTAAAATTTAAGTATCTTTAATAAGTATTAAAATATCAATATTAAATTTTCGAGAAACTCTTTGGAGATGATCTACTAAACCTAAACCTAAACCAAACCATAAAAACGGAGATTTAGTTGATTACCTCAGTGGAAACAGCACGGACACGATCTTTGCCAAGCTTAGAAACGCTAAAATCGACCATCGACTCCAAAGACGTCGCACAATACTTCTCCTCTCCACCGACTCTTTTCGCTTCACACTCCTCGATCGTCTTCTTCATCATCTCCGCTTCTCCCGAACCGGGTTTAACCGAAAAAGTCTTCAAGATCTCCGAAAACTTCTCCGAACCAAACGGCACCGTTTCTGCCTCCCCACGAGGCAAGAACGCCGTTTTGCCGTTGTAACCGTCCTCCGCATTAAACCGGAGGCTCATAACTTTTCCGGGAACCATGTCCTTCTCCAAGAAGAAGAGAGCCGCTTTGGGATCGTCGTGGAGCTGAGTCTTGCTCGCTGCATAGTTATACACGAAAGGGTTTGGTCCTGGTTTAACACCGACGTAAACCGGCTTGCCCTTGTGGCGCGTGTGAACTATAACTCCGCCTTTACCAACTCCTACGTCGGTTCTTTTTCCCGGTTTTCCGGTGTGAACGTCAACGCCGCCGCCGTGACCTTTTCCGCCGCTAACGCTCACGTGTGTTCCTTTACCCTTTCCGGTGTCCACGTGCACACCTCCTTTTCCAACGTTCACGGCGGTTCCTCCGCCGGGTTTACCTTTTCCGGCGTTAACGTTCACGCCTTTTTTCCCTACTTGGACGCTTGTGCTTTTGTCGTCGAGAAAATCTGAAACAACGAAATAATTTGGTAAGGAGCAGGAGACATGTAATTTTGTAAGAACGTACAGATTCTCATAAATTATTATATAGATTTGTCTAACCTATTAGCTCGAGACGCATATCTTCAAATATATGTTAAAAAAATTGATTCTAAAAATTGTAAAAATCTGCGTTTAGGTCTATAATTCTTTCTCTTGTGTATCTGCCGTAAATTTTAAATTGGAAAAATCTTTAGAACTATACAGAACAAGATGTTAAAGAAATTAGAATCTAACAAGCTATATAACATTAGGAATAGTGGTGCAAGACTAGGAGGAAACAAATATAAAGTCGGTAAAGTAAAGAAAAAAAATTAACCGGGCTTAAAGAGATGGCGGAGAGAGTTTGGCATGGGAGTGTTTGGTAAGGCAGTGTTCCAATAACGCTCCGGTGTTAAATCAGCTGCAATCGCAGTGACTGAAATAAGAAGACAGATCAAAGGAAGACGAATCGCCATTTTTTTTAGGAGTTAAAAAAGTTCTGATGAATTTGAGGAAATGAGTGAAAGTGTACGTAGAATTTATAATAAAAGGGTTTTAGTAGTAAGATCTGAGGTTGAAGTTATTAGTCGGGATATAGACGGCTAACACTTACCAGTCTATTTGGGCCGATTTAATTATATCACATACTCCCTAACCACCACTTGCCTTCTACTCCTTAAATGCTCTTTGTGTCCATGTGTGGACATGTGTTTATTTTTTAATTTCACCTGTTTTTATTTTTGTTTGGATGTGTTACGTTACGTACGGCGTCATTTTCTGTCTTTCTTTCATAGAGTTCTTATTTGAGGCGCTGATGTCGTAGAACAATTCCATGGAAAAGCGATGAATCATTCACACATGTTTTTTTTTTTGGTGATTCAGTTTTCCTCAGGTCAAAATCTAGATTGAGTTGGGAGTTTCCATCAACAGATAAATTTTGTAATAGATCAAATCTGTATACTTATACGGACTTAGTTGGTAGTTTTGATTCACATAGCAAAATTTTGACGTTTCACTTTGAAGTCTCTTAACATTCTTAACTTCAAAGGAAGACTATGTGATTCGCTTAGTTATATTATTATATACAAGCACATTTATGTTTGGAGGTGTGATAGTTTAGTTAAAGGTACAAAAAAAAATCTCATGCATGCTCTCTCCTATAGTTTGTTATATTAATGGACCGACAGGCTCTTTAATAGTAAGACAATGACCCTATGGTTCGTATAATTTTGATATCCTAACTCCTCCATTCCTTCTTTTAATATACATATAAACTAGGTGTATTATTTAAGTTTTGAAATAGAAAAAGGGAGATCAATTTTAGCTATTATGAGTCAACTAATCATATCTTGACACATGACATTTGAATATCACATAATAAACACTCAGTGAAGACTAGTACACAGAGCCCCTTCTGAATTTTAGAAAGCTACACCCCAACTTTAGCCCCTTTACACTAAAAAATAAACATTATTTAACCTCAAACCGAAAATAATATCACCGAAGTATATGGTAATTAAGAACTGTAAACTATTTTAACAGAATTACAGAATTAATGAATTAGACGGGATCGTAGAGTTTTTTTGGACACATGATTTAAGTATTCGGTATCCGAACCCATGTGAAGTCTCTTATGAATATGATTCAACAATGGATCTTCACCTTCTTCCCAGAAAAAATACATAACTATATACGGAAAACATTCACAAAATCTCTCACACGACACACGTACACACTCGTTTGCAAGCACATAACCTTTTATGTGTTTGTGTTATATTTTTAGCTCTTTTTCCGGCTCATCCTTGACTTGCGTGTTAAAGAATCTACCGAAAGCATTCCTTTTGGTGCTCCTCGAAACCTTAATATTTTCTCCCTTGGCTCATATGCCCATTTACTATCTAGCAATTGACTCTGGCGATTCCCAAAAACATATCTGTAATGCGATAGACCAAAAATTCTTTTAAGTATATATACACATATATATATATATATATATTTTTTTTTTTGAAAAATCTTTCAGTTTTCTTAAATTCACATCCTAATCGAAATACCATTAATGAAGGACGGTCTCCGGCATGTTTGGACGGCTCTTCGGTGTCACATGGCGATGATATTTCACTTCGTTCGAGAAAAGTTTCAAAAGCAAACCAAATGAGACTGTGGGGGTATGGTGATCTTACCATTTGTGTGGACTTTTCAGACAAAGAGAAAAACTAAAACGAACAACTAACTCATTTATGGCTAATCAATACACTCATTTTCGACTTTATTATTTTTATCCATTGTTGAAGAATCTGAGTGTACACCAATATGTATTTAATGTTGTTGATTTTAGTTCATTCTCTAGCTACCCCAGCAAAGGAGGCCATGATTGTTGTTTTTCCATTTACATTTACATTTACATTTACATTTACAGTAATTAGAATAATACAAGTACAAAAACAAACAAACGTAAGCTAATATTTTATGTTTACAATTGCGTTTTATATTTTTTTCTTTTTATATTTCCTTTGGAGAGAGATACAGAATAACGAAAAAGAAAGTGCTAGTCGACGGCCATGAGAGAATTTTGATTTATACGCAGAGTGACGATGGCAAAAATTATCTTAAAAAGAAAAAAAATGGCTTAAAAAAGAAAAATGTCGTTTCGTAATCACATACTTTTACACGTTTTCTGATCACATCTGAAAATCCACTTGAATTGGTACATAAGCTTTGCATATCATTTTCAAATCGATTAACAAAAAGAAGTAACAAATTGTACTCTTGGAACAAGATCACATCATGGGATTCTTAAATCTTCCAAGCAGGATTCTCTCGTCACTTTGATTCAAATCAAATATTGAAACCATTTTCAGGTAAATTATGGTAATGCTTTTTATTTAATTTGTACTCTAAATTCAATTTCTATATTTTTTTTTCTGTTCTTCTAGTTTGATTTTGACTCTCTTTTAAAGTTCTATTTGTCGTCTACTTAAGTTTCCGTTAGGTTTTATTATAGAAACCCTCTGAAGTTCTTTGTAAAGAGGATAGATTTTGATTTAAAAAAAAAAAAAAACCTAAGAAACCTTTCTTACATTGCCAAATATATGTTTGCCATGTAAGCATTTCTTGACGAAATTAGAAAGAAATTCAACGAACCTCAATTTAAAAATTCCTTAATAACTAGTTTTTACTTTTTATATACATCGTCAGATTTTTTTTTCTTCTCCTCTTATTGTATCATTTCATTTGTGGCAATAAACTCGTAGATGCTTTTAAAAAAAAATAAAACTGGCGATAAGAAAAAAAAAAATCAAAACAAAAAACATAGTAGATATGAAGAAACCATGGGCTTATATACTCAAAAAACGATGGGCCTTATTCAAAAGGCCCGAAATTAATCGTGGACTAAACCTTATACCCCCATTTTGACTATTCAAATCAAATTAATTTTTTATTTAAAAACATCCATGCTTCCAAACGTAAAAGTTACGTTCCCCAAGTAAGTTGGATCTAGGAATAAACCAACCCATGTCAATACTTTTGTATACGTTTTGTTATCATCAAATTGGGAACTTACACATTCAACAGAAAACGAGGCTTCATACACACTGACACACACGTTGAGAGTATTATTTGCTTTCTTACTAGTAAAAGAAATAAAATTGAAAATTGAAAAGCATAAAGAAGGGACAATTTAGGATAAAATTTGGGACGTGGGGAGAGTGAGTGAATGTTACCAATCACGCTTTCACCAACCATTAGCCCCCAACAACTTCTGATATGCTCCAATTTTAATTGTCTGGATATGTTAATTTTAATTTACACAATAACAATTTGACTGATACAGGGTTGACGGTTAAATGTTTTTAATTATTCATGACTAAATAAACCACTAGAAGAAGTAGAGAAACGAGTAACAGTGGATATAATCTTATAACCAGTAGCGTGTGTTACTGATAGAATGTATATATATATATATATATATATATATCCAGCGAACGCATGCTACGAAATCATATGATAAGTAAATTGTTGACAAATACTATAAATCGACCCATCTTAGTTAACGTCATAACTCATAAGTACTCGTACTTACGTAGTGGTCAGCTATCGCTAGATTACGATAGGAGAATTCGTTTTCATAAAATTATAAATAAAACGTGAGACAATATATTTTAGTGAGACAATATATTACGGAAATAAATGTGGATTTTGGATTTTGACCAGAGTGTACATTCTCTTTTCACAAAATCACAAGACGCTGTCTAGTTTACAAGGCTCAGAGACACAGAACAACAGCAACACAAATATCATACCACGAATGAATAAAATGGAATATCCGCTATCAACAAAAAAAAAATGGTATGAATTTTGAGACAAATTGAGAACCAATGTAGATTGAATTTCAAAACTTCGATTACCTATGCAAACATTCATTTTTGGGTTATATAATATTTAAGTGCATGAATGACTTAAATATATATACATATATATATATATGTGTATATGTGTGTATATTGGAATCTAAGAATCTAACGGCACTTTATTATTTCTCTTGTAATATAAGCTACGAAAAGAAAAATATAGAAGAGAGAAACAAGTATCCAATAATGAGCATGCACGATCACGATCCGTCTTCTTCGATTGACCTATTAAAGGAAAAAAAGAGAGAAGAAGAGTGGACCCAAAAGTGAAGAGACATCACTTTTGTAATCTTAATCGCTTGCATTTCACTGGGAAGGCATTAGTATCTTCTGAGGCCATTTAGTTAGGACCACCCTTTGCAATTCATTCCCACACTTACTTCCACTATGGCACTATAGAATCTTTGTCTCATCTCTCCGCATGTGTAAAAGAGATGTTTATGAGTACTCATCTGATTTTTCACACATGCATCCGTATATAGATACATTTTTCTTTCACTATGAAATGTTTATCAATCTTTTTTTGTTTGATAAATGTTTATCAATCTTCAATTGAACCCAACGTAGAATTGTTTGATTCAAATTGCCATATAATAGGAACTATGTTATATTTCCATGATGCAATTACGTATCCCTATTTTGCTTTTCTTTTAAATATTTTAACCCTAGTATTTTGTTTCATTTTGTAACCTTAATTTTAATACACTCTCTCAATGTATTTTTGGTTCCCAATGACCTTCAAACTTTTTGTGTTGGGCTACTCTCCCTAATAATAATTTACATATTTTATTAGTTATGGTGGCTTTTAAGATCATGAATAGATGAATGAAAATTTGCAAGGAAAAAACCCACACTGGTTTTTTTAGCATGTTTTCTTAACGATTTCATTTCATCACATCACTTGACGCGGTTTTTCATATTCACCTCTACGCCTTTCCAGCTATACAAAAACTATTTAAATTTTGTCAAATACTACATCTGAAAAAGAACAATATTCTCAAATCAACCAATTCATGATAGTCCACTTGAATGAGTGTTCTTTCTAACATGAATAATCGGTTATAAAAGAAGAGCCATATCATCGAATGGACATCACGTAATTGTTGCCGATTTGTTCAAGCCATTGTTATGTGTGTAAAATACGTATACTCGATTTGTTTTGAGTAACTTCCGATTGAATTTTAAATGTTAATTATATTCATCTATTGAGTTGCGTAAGAGACACATGTTTTAGAACAAAGATAATTCAACACACCACTGGTGATTTTGTTGGCCAACGATTGATGAGCTTGAGAACCTAGCCTAAATACCAACCTAATTGGTATAACCATATCTGTAAACACTGAAATTTGGTGCAAACACAATTATTGATATTAGTGGTATCAGTTTCATTAGAAGAAATCAGTTCTAATTAATTAAAAAGAAAGGAAAACAAAAAAAAAAATTGGTTAAAGTTTGGTGTGGCTTTTATTAGTAAAAATCCTCGTGAGTAATTATGGAGAGATTGCATCGTCACGTCAACGCTGGTGACAGATGATATTTCAAATCCGAGATTACTCTTTCTAATCATTGCTCAATCAAAGCTTCAGTGATACATAACCGTGGGATGATAATACCGGTCACATTTGGCTGCTAGTCTCACCGTCGGATCGTCTTTTCCCATTCTAATTATATATTAAATTTATATATATATTAAAAACAAAAATTAACGGACCAAAACTGAAATGGTCCATTTGAGACCGTTAAGATAATGAATGCGAAGGACCAGTGAGAGTTTAAAGCCTTTGGAATCGGATGGTTGAGAAAGAAGCTGGACCCATCAACGCCAAATGTACGACCGTGGCTGGATCGTCCAGCGAGATCACTTCCCTTGTGGAGGAGAATATGCACTGACCACTCATATGGACCACATTTCCCAAATTTTCACTAATACTTCCCTCTTCTATTTGAACTTCATGATTTTTTTTTTGTTTGGTTTTTGTGGGTTTTTTTTTCTTTTGTTAATTGTAGTTATTATTATCTCCCGCGGAAATTTTTATTATTAGATTTTTTCTCTTCTTTTTGTTTTCTCAATATTTCTATTCTTAGACTATTCATCAATGAAATAGCAATTGAATAACAAATAAAATAAATGAAATCTTTTTTTTTTGAACGGCCAAATAAATGAAATCTTACTCAAAATATAAGGTAATAAAAAATGAAAAAGCGGTACAATAGTGAGACATCTTATTTGTAGTTATTTTCTTCCTTTAATTTTTATTTTTACTGAAAGTGATTTGTCTTTCAATATATTATAAGCCAAATAACCCAATGGCTCCTCCAATTTTTCGAGCCACCGTGGTTTGACCCCAAATTCATTAATGCGAGACAAAAATGCCGACTCTTTTGTTAGTTAATAATTTAGGAATATACTTTTTTTCTTCTTATATTTTTTTCATTTAGGAATATACTATTGACTTTATTTATTTTCTTACGTTGGAACTAGCTAGAAGAAAAGATATTGCTGAGGTTTGAATCCATCGGATTTACGCAGGGACGATGACATATATTATCTTCAAACGTTGGATATACTAAGAGGGTTGATACGAACGATATACTATTATTCATGCATTGCACTCTTTAGTGGGTTGATTCTTCCAATGAAACTTAATGCGTGAAGCAAACTAGAAATGAATGAGAAAATGGTTAGTGTTAGACCATGAAAGTGCAGGTAAAGGGTCATTCATGGCAAGTGGCAACTCCCTCTAACGAGAGAACTAAAAACGAAAATTTTCTTTAAAAAAAATTGATGTTTTTTAATCTAAAACCTAATCTATTCTACCAATGCACATCATTGCCGCTTTCGTCTTCTGAACCCAACTTTTAAACTTAATTTGCAGCATTCAACGGATCTTAACTTAAGAATTATCGGACACACTATTCCGGAACGAATCTGTCATGTCTCGGGACGTTGTAATTCAACAAACGCTTAAAACGGTAGCACATCACAAAAGAAAATCGTCGTCTCTAAAATCAAAATACGTATAGAATGTAAAATGTTATGAATTTATGATACATGTATATTTACTAAATTATTATTATTAATCTAGAAATACAAAATGTAGTCGTGTAGGAAATTGTTGAAATGAAACTCTTGTATCTTCTAGAGATTTTGATTTGTATCGTTAAAATATGTTAGATTTAAAAAGACATCAATTTTTTGTACGGTAATGTTTCAGTGAAACTATCAACCCTTATTATTATTTTTTTCGAAATTTTCCCTCCTCTAACATTTCATAAAATACTCTAATAATTTGAGTAATTTAAATTGTTGTGAACTCATTAATTGGTAAACTCCCAAAGATGCTTCCACTATTAGCAGTCCTCATCACGTGACAATTGATATGAATATTTCAGAACATTTTTCCCGAGCGCACATACACTTTTTGTTGGTTGGTGGTCGTATCTCGTAACACATATATATTTTACAACGAACTAATTTGTATAGTGCATGAAATATCGTCAAACAAAATAATGATTTTTCCCAGTCATATCATCATATGTATAAAATATATGGACACAATCATCTATACCGTTTACTGTCGAAGAGCACCAATTTCCAACACAATTTGGTTGACAAGCCAACTATATAATTCAGAGCCAAGAAAAAGGGCAAAACTAAAAAAGGCAAAATTAAAGAAAAAGAGCTTCAGAAAAATAAAGCAGAAACATGATTTGAAAAAAGCAAGTGCTTCTTATGTTAAAAATGTGGGACTAGGAACTGTAGGATATATCAAATCTGTTTGCCTACTTGGAGTCAGCCACACTACTAATTACTTCACCAAAATTTTAATTAAAAGAAAAAGTAGAGTTTCGAATTAAAGATTTGATGTTGACAAAAAATAAAATTGAAAGATTTGATTTGGGATCTGAGTATCTGATATTGTTTCCTAAAATTTCCCCAACAGCTTGGCAAAAGTGTAGGGCTCCAGCTTGTTACTTATGTGCCTTTTACAAAAGTAAATTTTCTGTAAGATCCTTCTTTCCTTTTTCCCTTTTTCCTTATGTTTGCCTGTGTTTAATTTTACGTATTAATAATATCTTCTGATGGATTAAAACCTTTTTTGTTTTGTTTAATGGGTTCTGAATGAATCACAATTTTGTTTACATTTGAACAAGTTACCGGTCATTTGACATGACAATTTAAAATAATGAACCCACATGGTGTTAAGGTTAGTGAACATTCTCTAATCACATGACTTAAAAGGTCAGTCACATGGCTACTGGTCCAAAGGGTTCGAAGAAACAGAACGTTTAATTTTCTTGTTAAATACGACTTTCATTTTATGTCTAATTCTTATGTGGCCAAAAGCTTATAATATTGTGGTTGAGTTACTACGAGATTGTTGGTACCAATTCAGATTCTATACTGGTGCTCTATGTAAAAGCAGTTGAAATATACTTGAAAAAATAACAAAAGAAAAAGCTGATATTAAAATAAAGATGATACGCCTAGTTAGTTCCTTTCGACCAATATACAATTTCGTTTACATGCAACAATTTTTTTACCATTTTTCAAGGAATTTCAGAGATCCTATTAATACAGCCAAGATAACAAATCCATGATGGAAACTGAACCGAACGATCTATCTGACATGGGATCTAGGATAGATTCATATCTTAGCTTGTTTAATTCAAAAATATGACAAGAAATCATGTGGAGGCCGTACATCTAGCAATAATTGGGAAAAAAAGGGGTCAGCAGAATTATAAATGTGCAGGTCTTAATTTCTGACGAATGTACAAGCAGTGGTCCAGATTTATATAATACTTCTACTAGGGAATGAAATCATTTCGACAACGAAATATCATTGACACACTCATTGGACACAATTTCTAAGGTATTATTTTATTTTGATTTTTTTGGGTAACAATTTAATTACTCTTAATTATGTCCGTTAAAAAAAAGCAAGAGTTTTAGTTAAACAAATACTCCATTATGTATATAACAAAAAAAAAAAATCACCACAATACTCTGCCAAAAAATTGAACCAGAAACAAAGAGCAAAAAAAACTAAGGAAAACTAAAGAAAAAAGAAAAGGAAAAAAGAAAAGAAAATTAGAAACATAGAAAGAAGGTATAGAAAGATTTACAAAGTGGGTTATAAGCATGCAAAGAGAGAGGGTCCCCTCCTCTCCTTTGGGCAGATGATCATCAATTCCCACCACAATCACTCTCACTAAGTTTCCTTTTCATTCTTTCTTTTCCCCAATTTGCATTGCAGCTGGAGATAAGTCTTAATTTACATCACTCCCTAATTCTCCTTTGACACCAAAACCATCCTTTTTTTTTCGATCGCTACCCGCCTTCAAGTTATGTTTTTCTTTTTCAACCGTCTAGTCTACTAGTAGGTTTGATCAGATTTTCTTCACGTAGAACACTTCTATATGTCTATAGGCTATTAGGCTTGATCATATTTTCTTGACATGAACACTTGTATATGTCTTGAGCTATTCTCTTTGCATCCATCGATGCTCCAAATATTCCACGTTTTGTGAATCCGACCGCATATAGCCCACATTCCCCTCTCCATCCCTCCGGGAACTCTTGCACTGGAAATCCATCTTTCTTACTAAACATTTTATTCTCCTGCAAAATTAAGCGTTCCAGTTTAATATAACTCCTAATATATACATATATATATATATAATTATATATCTTTTTTTTTAAACCTTACATATTTATTTTCTTAGGAAAGAGGAAATTTTATAAGATTCTAATATTTTTTGTAAAAAGAACGTGAACAAAGATAAATATAACTATATTATCATTATTGACTAACCTTTAGCCAAGAGGGTACGTTGCTTTTGTAGCCAGTTGCCAATATCATGGCGTCAAATCTCTCCGTTTTTCCGTCATCGAACTCAACTTCATGCCGTTTTAACCTTCGTATCCCGGAACACACCTTTTACGATTAATAAATATATCACAATCAGTAAACTGTTTATATGGCACATATCATATTTGATTAAGATATATATACGGTACCTTGATGTCTCCGGTTTTGATCTTGGCAAGTGTCCCCACGTCGAGAACAGGAGTTTTTCCTGTGAGATTTTTGAGCTCTAATGGGCCTAACCGGGGCCGGTTAAGACCTAGCAGGGTGGTATCACCGAGGATGAACCGGGAAACAACCAAGAGGAAACGGTCAACAAGCCGGATGGGCAGCCATTTGAGTAACAACATGGACAGCCCAAAAGTCGAAGTACCCAACATCTCTCGTGGTAGGACGTGCACCTTCACGTTCAAAAGATAAATAAAACATAATTAGCAAATACTACATTTATATAATTCGAATGAGAAAAGTAGAAAATCATACTTTTAAAATTTTCTTTAATAAAAAAATTATTGAGGGACTTTTTTTGTGAGAATGTTTGCGCGTGCTCGTGATAATCCCAATAAAGTTATGTTCTGATAGTTTTTATTCTGTAAAAATATTATAAAAATAGTATTTTTTTTTAAAAGAATAGTATATTCATATCAAAGAAATTAGGTAAACCTCTTTATTCATTAAAAAAAACATACAGTATTTAACAAATTGTTGGAACTTGAAGTCACCACTAGCCTAAAAGACAGAATAAATCTTAAACTAGGATGATACCAGCCTTTGTATTTTCCCGTATATTTTAAATTTTCTATCAGATTAATCGAAAGCAAAAATGAATATTATCAAACTGAAAAGGAAAGGACGTATATTATTTTTCAAAGTTTTATTGTAAGAAACAAACAAATTAAATAGGAAAAAAGGTTGCAAAAATTCGTTTTCTGAAATCATCAGCTAATAAATCGAGGACACAATAATCAGCTAGTTTGTATAATTGCCATCTTAATGAAAAGAGTACAATGAAATAGATATATTTGCACTTAGTATTAGTAATAATAAAATTTACATGAAAACGCATATAATCCTACAAATTGTATAATTTTTTTTTTTTTGAAAAGGGTTTTAAAACTAAAAGTTTGTTACGAAGTAGGTAATATCTTTTCAATAAATAAAGTAGGTAATATCTTCAGTTTATTGAAAGGTTAAGTAATACCCTAAGATCATCGTGAATAACCAAAAAAATGTTAATGTGATTTTGTTATTAGCAAAGAAAAACTCTCCAAAACATGAAAGAGCCAAAATATCGAAAACGCATGAGAAAAAGTTAATTTAATCTCCACACTTACTTTTCTCATAAAACAAAGAAATAAAGAAGAGAACCAAAAAAAAAAGAGAGAGAGACTCACAGCGTCTCTGACAACGAGAGAAGGCTGAGCACCGAAATTGCAGAGATCCAAACAAACCTCCATGCCGGAGTTTCCACATCCGACGACCAAAACCCTTTTTCCGGCGAAATCTCCGCCGGTCTTATAATGACTCGTGTGCTTAACTATCCCTGTGGCCTCAAACTTGTCCATCCCCTCAAACCTAGGGACCACCGGCTCCGCATTCTCCCCCGTCGCGGCCACCAACCACCGGCAAACATACTCCGTCGTGCCTTCCTCTCCGACGCTCGTCACGCGCCACATCCCGAGGTTCTCGTCAAACTCAGCCGACTCAACCGTCTGACCAAACTCCGGCCTTATGTCGAACCTCCGAGCATAGTCCTCGAGGTACTCGATGAACTGCTGTTTTGTCGGATAAGTAGGGAAATCGGCGGGGAAGGGTATAAGTGGAAGTTCACAGAACTGCTTAGGAAGGTGGAGATGGAGTCGGTCGTAAGTCTTGAGCTGCCATAGTGAAGCTATGCAGTTTGATCTCTCGAGTAGCACAGAAGTTATACCTCTCTCCTTCAGACAAGCCGCCGTCGCTAGTCCCGACGGTCCGGCGCCAACAATCACCGGTCCGGTGACGACGCAGATGCGACGTGGTGACGTCATCATCTTAGCGGAGGACGACAAGTAGTCATGTGCTAGTTTACCTTCAATCTCTCTCATCCAACAGAAATCCATCAAGAAAGCTAAACCAAGAATCGCTTCTCTCTCTCTTTTCTCTTGCTTTTATAGATATAGGGCCTGGCCTGCCTTTGGTGTGTATTTGTAATGTGTATAACTAATTATAAGTACGTATTCTTATGCAAATACGAGAAGGGTTTGTAGAATAGGTGTAGTGGTGGTGGTGACAGTAATTAAGAGCAAAGGACAATTTGACATTTATGGTGTGGAGGAGTATGTAGGGGAAAGAAATAGAGGGATGGTAAAAAAAAAAGAATATTCTGTTAAAATATATTTTAACTAATATTCTCCGATATATCGGAATCAAAGATGTTAGGGTTTGGATTGAAACTTGCTGAAAAAGAGGGAGAGAGATAGAGATAGAGATAGAGATATAGATAGAGATAGAGAGAGATCTTATCCAAATGAGAAGAATGAGTAAAGAGAGTGAGAGTTAATCGTTGATTTGTGTTTTGATGAGAGTGGAAACCGGAGGCTGATCAGAAAACTACGGGTCTCTTAAATCGCCATTCAAACTTATAGGGTGGGAGAGAGAGAGAGAGATATATAATTTGTTAGTTGTGATGTGACTATCTCTCATATGTGTGTATATATACGTGCTTAAATATGTTTAAATAGAAGGAGATTATATATTTAATAATGGAGTTCTCTTCTTCTTCTTTTTTTTCCCCTTTTTTTGGATTGCCCACCTGTGAGATTTTTGTTTTTCCACTACACTTTTTGACTCACCTCATGTAAATCTCAAAGGTTGATGTAAGTAATCTTTTGATTGTCTTATGATCACTCAGTGTCTCCACAAATAATATGAGTTTGATCTATTTTTTTGTCTATTACATCATTTCATTATAGATGCCATAAACAACGTCGGTTAACCCTATGGCTCTAAGTTTAAATTTTTTAAGAAAATATAGTCCACAACCACAACATATAAAATAAACGGACTCATATATCTTAAAGTTAACTTTGAAGATTAAGGGAGCATAATAACTGAAATATATATATATATATATATGAAGAGATGTGTTCACGTAAAAAAAAAAAAAAAACTGAAATAGTTATATGAACATGCACTCCCATGAATACAAAGACGATAACAAATTAAACTTTGTTAAATATCTACCAACTATTGCATTAAAAAAATATAATGTCTTCAAAAGCAGATTTTTTTTTTTAATAAATCGCACACTTATCACAGAAATCAAAGACTATTTGATAAATAAAATCTCTAAAGAGAAAAATAAAATGTTATTGAAGAAAATCAAGCAACTTACAATATTTAAATCATATAGGTAATATTAGAATTATGTTTTAACCTCTTTTGTTTATTATGTCAAAATATATTCATTAATAATTAAGAAGTTCCACGTTGATTTTCTGATTAATTCTTATAAGGCGAGTGTAACCATCGAAATAATTCACTCATTAAATTTTAATAAATCGTGTCATCATCATTTCATCTAATCGAAAATATTTCTAATACAAATTGAGACTAGAGAAAAGCAAAATTTACAAGCTTTTTACCAATATACCATCATTACTTAGTTTATTATGCATAATTTTTTTAAATTTTATTACTATTTCCATGATTAATGATCATCTTCTAAAGTATCATAAACTCATAATGCAATTTCTCTATGTATAAACTATATAGTGGTAGATAAACTGGTGGTTACTTAGTATTGAGGAAGTGTCGTACCTCGTCAGCTATACATATCGTAGATTTCGTAACTTTGTACTTCGTATTGTTTTTTTCCCCTTAAATGGTGCCATTTTATACAATTCTTTTTCCCGCTCCCACTAATCATGTCATTGCCAAGCTTTTATTGGGTGTGTATGGACAATATTATAACATTTTATTTTAGATTATATGCCAAGGGAGTTTTTCGCTTTCTTTTTTAAAGCTATTATAGAAATAATTATCAATTTAAGGTGGTTGATGAGTGATTAATCATGAGTAACAGTATTAGAAACTTTGGCTTTGATTAGAAACACTATATATAGCACGACGTATGTGATTTATAATGTAAAAATATCAATTCAAAATATAAATAATTAAATAGAGGCATCTTTTAAATAGTTTACCCATGAATTGTAGAAAGTAATCTAATAGTTTATCATATTTTAAAGGATTTACAAAAACTAGATGAAAAGGATTTATATCCAAAGTAAATAACGACATTTTGTGTATATATGACTAATTTTGTTTTTCAGATGAATGCTCTATTTTTATTTTTGGAATAATTAAAATCTCCACTAAAATGAATAAATGGTTATTTTTTGTTATCTGACTTATCTATAATTTTATTATTAAAATAACTTGAAGATCCTTATAATAATCAGTGGAAATTGTAATTATTCCCAAAATGCAAAACCAACGGAAAATCTTGATATGTCAGGAAATTAATTCTGCGGACAAAAGAAAATATATTCCAGTATCAAACGCTCTAACAAAAGAAAACACACAGGCGAGCGTGAGTAGGTGATAAAACATAATTAAACAACAAATTACGTCCAAACATAAACCAAGTGAACGCTCATTCAAAACCAAGAAAAAAAACACATAATTACCACCAAGTGAACACCAAATATTAGATATATTGCTTAGAGAAGAAAATTATTCGTCCAATTTATTGACGAAAGGAGAGACGAGCCGACACCCGTTATACATCGACAACCAGTGCCATGCCTAGCCTTAGAGACCTAAGGCAAATTATAAAATTTATCATTATTTTATTTTGTTTATTTTGAAACTTTATTTATAGTTGATATATTGTTAATATAATTATAATTTTTATCAAACAAAATGTAATTTTAAATATCATAACACATTTTTTCAAGTTGTCTATATATATATATATATATCTTTCTATTATACATAACAAATAAAATCAAGTATTTTACATATTTTGATAAAGTTATAAAAAATGTGGCTTTTAAAACTAAAAATAAATTTGGTGGCCTAAGGCAAATGCCTTTTTTTATACTTATAAGCACGACTCTGTCGACAACCCAAATCTCACAGCTTAAACTGAGCAAGAAACCAAGTTCGATCAAACCAACTAAGAAAACATTTTCCTCTTACTACTTCAGAACTTTAGTCGCAATCCACGATTGATCTTCTGCATCTAGAAAAAGGGGTCATCGGGAAAGGTCTAGAACGAACACAAAAAGATTGAAAAAGGGTAACCAACACAACTGAAAAATAAAATGGACCAAAAACCAATAGTTTAACTGGTAAATATCTCAGGCAGCTTAGAAGTCGTTGGTTCAAATTGCTTTTGAGACAAAAATAATATTACATGTTGTGGTTTCGGGCTTGTGAGGATTACGAGTTTCGGTCCTGTGAGGATTACGAGTTTCGGCCAAAAATCTTCTTGATAATCCAAAAAAAAAAAATGAAATAGAAAGAATTGAGAACTTGTGAAGCTTTACAAAAGAAAAAATATAAATTAAAGAAACCCCAAACTTTTTTGACATGGAAACACCAAATTAGAAATGAGATATCTACAGATACAAACGTTTCCCGTTTTTATCAACAAAGAATTCAAGTGAAAATTTTGTAGAGCTAAATAACAACACATCCATCAATCATGAGATTGTGTTTCATTGCATAATTAAATAAGGTAAACCAAATTCTTATATTGCATACCAACTAAATGGTTAATATTCTTAAAAAAAACTAAATTGTTAGTTAAAAAAAATCCAAACTAAATTCTCATCACAGTTCTAACCTTTTTTGGTATGCCCTTTTGCAACATAAATGGATTTTTTTTTTCTCTTTTTGGCTTTACGATATACTCCCTCGGTTTCATAATACTGAACATAGATTAAGAAGTAATAAATACTCAATTATTTTCTGTTTTATTTTTTTGATTAGTTTACTTTTACAACTAATTTATTATTTTTATTAATATTACTTTCTCTTTTCCACCGATAAAGAATGGAAACATGCATTAATTACAAACAAACATGGCATTAATTATATACAGGAAATCAAATATTGTAAAACAAGAAATAAAACTCATAAAATCAACTATTATAAAATAGAGAGTATATATTTTGCAAAAGTTTCGTCATTTCGGACGTCACAATGTGAGATAGAGAGATTTGATTGGATGGGGGATACGAGTGGAGTAAAGATCCTAAACCAGACAAAAATACATACACCTAACCCATTTTGTTTAATTGACCACTTCGGGCGTAAACGTAATTAAATAACATCACCTAGTTGAATATAATAAGTAGTAACCTACCCTACCATGTACCTTGTACATGTGTTTAATTACTATAAATATACTACGCTAATATTTACATAATGGGCGAGATTAAATCTATAATACTTTCTTGTTTGCTCAGTCCTATATATGCAGTACTTTTTGAATAAATTTAGTGAACTAGTTAATAAAATGAACTAGTATTTATATTTAAGTTCTAGAGTATTTAAGTTCTTACGAAAAAAATGGCATATCCTAAAATGTTTTTATTAAGCAAAAATTCTAGTGGTTCGTGATACTGCCGTCATTGTATGATTATGTGGATTCAAGTTTGCATATTACATGTTGAAAAAAAAATATTAGAAAGGAATTTGATATAAAGTAGTGCAATATAAGCTAACAGAAGAACAATAAATAATTTAACAAGCTGATATCTGAAAAGGCTATGGGAACTGACTTTAAGTGTGAGATCAATAAAAAGTATAAAGGCGACTCGTTAGTAGGCTTTGTAGTGCCTATAATGTAGCCTAGGCGTTAGGATTGTCTTTACGCGTTAGTTTAAACCGTCTTCTTTTAAAATTTACTCATCCAAACAGATTGTCATAAAACTATATACTAAAGTGACGCTATTGTATAACTTTATTAGCCCTAGAAAATAGGAAACAAACAATAATCTAACACTTTTAAGAGGGTCTCGCAATTGGTTCTAAGATAGTGGAAATGTGGAATAAAACAATGAATTGGTAAAACGAGAATCGTTCCGTCAAATTTGACAAACACATGCAGAATTCTTTTCTTTTTCACATGATCGATATTCTACGGAATTGGTTGTCACGTTACCAAAACTTCTTCTACCATGTTCGTATGACTAGTGTATTTATATGGGTAATCGAGCAAAGCGGACCATTCATGTATATTACCAATCAAAATCTCTGTTTAACCAAATAAAACTCAAGGAAAGAAGGAATATGAGGATCCATGTCCGCAAATGAAAAAAAGACGATCTTTGATCATGCCGTTGATGGCAGTTTAGAGACGAATTAAGGTTATAGAGGAGGAAGTGAAAATACGAGCATTTCGTTTCTTCCACACTAGATAAATGATGGTTTGCAAGATAAAGTGTTATAACGATGGAGGCCGGTGAACGAGCCTTTGTGTTGATCTGAGATCGAACCTTCATTCTAACA